AATATCACCAGGAAATTGCAAGTGCATCACCAACTAGCGGAATGTAGTCAAACTCATACAAGTCTGGTCCACAAGCGGTTGCAATTTTACTAGCTGTATCATCAGATGATGAGAGATAGTGTACCGCTTCATGAGAAAATGTAAATGAACCAGATTTGGAGGCCTTTTTGATGGATATTAGATTTGGGGTGGCATCAGGGACAAAGGAGACGTCAGACACGGTAAGAACTTTTGAGGTAACTGGGTGCACAAAGCGGATAGTCCCAGTACCTTTAACGACCAGAGGATTGGATGAGATCCCAGTAATGCAGCCAGACGCCGGAGTAAATTCAGCAAAATGAGACCGCTCATTTGAAATGTGGAGTGTAGCACCAGAATCCAAAATGTAGCTCCGACTTGGCATAACTGAGTCTTCTCTTGAGTTGAAGACTGCCCAAGAGATACCAGAGATAGATTTGGATGAGGAGTTGACAAGAGCTGCTGTATTACCACTAGAACTGCTAGCAGCAATCGGGGCAGCAGCTGGACAATCCTTAGCAACGTGGCCTCGTTTCTGGCATCGGTAACACTTCTGCTTATTAACATAAGGTTTCTTGGAAGTAGCTGCAAATACTGAACCCTGCGTAGTAGGAACGAGATCCCGCAGAGTGTTCTCAACCGCTGACAACGTAATGTTCGGAGTTGACACATCTAAAACTCGAGCATTCGCTTGGTCGGACTTAAACATCCTTAAGTAAAACAAACCCATCACTTGGGTAATTTCCGAGGAGTGGTTAAAGTGAGCACATATATCTCTGAACAAGGACAGAGCACTTTCATCACCGGCAGACTTACTGACCGAAGCATCACAAGCTTTATTAACCATAGCATACAATTGACGTGATGTAACCTGGGAGTAATCACGTCTAATCAACATAAGTAAATCAAGTCCGAACGCATTATCAGACTGATACTTTAACAACACTTTTGACGACACAGTATTCAACAGTACAACTTGAATTGCATTGTTCAATGCAACTTGGAGCTGCATAACTAGAGTGTCGTCTATCGGTTCAGCTGGAGGTAACATCATATCTCCAGTTGTAAAATAAACGTCAAGGCCAGCACCCTGAGTGGCAACAAGCATACCAGTGTAACTGTTCCATTTAGGATAGTTCATAGACGAAGAAAGCTTCAAGCTCTCATCTCTAGGGCAAGTGAGAGCGAATTGGCTCATAACCTGTTGTAATCTAGCTATTCTATTATGAATATCCATTGTATATGTTCACTTTTTCTTATGTTTGTTGCTTATTAATTTATAACTAATATAACTAGCCTACAAACTAATATTCTCAAACATAAATACAAGGGACAAACCTCTTGTATTTATACACTTACACCTTCGGTTAAACTTGCCATTATTCATTTATCATGGCGGCTAACTTTCCAGTTTTAGATTACTTAAGATGCCTTATCATGATAAGACTCTTATCTCTTATCACTCGATCATGATTGGCTTCGGCATCTTATCTCAACACATATACAATGGATATTCATAATAGAATAGCTAGACTTCAACAACAACTCTTAATAACTAATGATTCTAAACACAGATAGGAGACAAAACCTCTCCTATTTATACACTCATGACGTCGGCTAATCTTTCCAGTTTTAGATTACTTGATGCCTTGTCATTACAAGGCTCTTTTCTAATGCCTTGTCTTTAATAAGCCTCTTTCTCTAATTTATTGATATTGACTTCGGCATCTTATCTCAACATCGGCATCTTATCTCAACAATGACCTTCTCCTTCAGCTTCTTGCCTTAGTCCCAGTAGTGAACATATCACGTGATTTTTATATATTAGCCTCTAATAATTTATAGAAGAGACTAAAGATGAGCAACGCCCGTGTAGCGTAATGGTTAACGCGTTTGACTTCTAATCAAAAGATTCTGGGTTCGACTCCCAGCATGGGTGCTGGCGTTAGCTTAATTTTTTGGTGCTTTTTTTTGGTGTAGTAAGTTTTACAAAAGGAATGATGTGGGTTCTCTCGGCTATTATGCCTCATTTTTTTTTCATCAGTTTAGAAGGAGTATAGAAGAAATATGCTTCCCCACTTAGTCTTTCCAAATTTTTACACCTAACAACAATAAGTAGCTAAAACCATAATGTTTAAACACGTTACGATGCTCAATAAAACAACCAGTCCATTGGTAAGCAGAGCGTTCGGTGGTAATGGGATATCACTTCTTGCTAATAGGCAAAAAATTGATCTAAACTTCTTTTTGTTCAGATCAACTAGGAGTTTTTCTTCTTCAAAAAGTGACAACAAGGAGGAAACTGCACCTACTGCTCAAGAGAGGGCGAACAGAATTATTTACCATGTTAAAGCTGGTTCAAGACTTTTACTTTCGTCATGGTTGATTATTATTGCGGCAGGTGCTACATTGGTGACATCATATCTAGTTGCAACTGAGATTTTTTCACCATCAGGCGAAACATCTACATTTAACAGAGTAGTCAACATGATTGAAAAGGATGAAAACTGCTTGAGATTGCTTGGTTATTCGGATTCTGAGATTGAGCAAGGTGGTATCAGATTAAAGGCTTATGGTGGCATGTCGCCTGATCTTTGGACCAGAAACATTCCTGTGCAAGCTACTAAATTTTCAGGGAAAGACCAAAAGGAGCATATGATCATGAGATTTTTTGTTGAGAGTAACAGAACGGTTGGAGTTGTCAATTTGGAAGCCATCGAAGAAAATTTTATCAATCAGGAACTTGTATATGTTACGATAGATGTGAAAGGACATAACAGACATTATCTGATCGGTGGACCTCATTTGTCCTATGCCCAAAAAAATTTGAATCCTTTCAGTTCGCAGGGATTTTTAGGCGTCAAATGGGGCTCAAAGAAAGACTGAAGAACAAACATTTCTCAATATGTAACACATGCGTGAGTTTTTTGCATTCTATAGCAAATTTTCTGACTATAAATATACTTCATTATAACATAAGTGTACTGATGAGCAACCATATTAGAATGGTAAGCGAAATGATTTTGCCATTTGCTGAAGAATTTCTGAAGTCACTATGGCCATCGTTATTATTTGCATCAGTTTTGAATTCAACATCATAATTATAAACCTTTTCTCTACCTGGTTTATTATTGTCGCCGACTGTTTTTGATATACCGATAAGATACTTATTCCAGTCTTCCATGATTTCTTCATTGCATTGTTTACCATCGAAATCAAGTAATTTCAGATAGTCATTCACCGAACCTTCTTTCTTAAGAACTTTGGCTTTATGATCAAAATTACAGAAAGCTTCCTCATTGTTATGTAATGTATAGTACAAGTTAAATGCGATGGAATATTTTTGGATATTATTACAGCTAGCAAAAACACCATAATTCCCTTTTTCAGGCTCATTTAATATTGAGCCGCAGTGAACTGATGAGCAAATTTCATTCAGAAGAGTCTCGTCATTGGCAAAAGAAAAATCAGTGCCTTGATCTACCACACACTTTAACATTGCCATTATACAATCACATCTACTTGCACGTGGCGAGTACGGGATGAAATTAGGGTTAATTCCATTTAAGAAGATATTAGAACATGATTTGTTCATAGCTATGAAACTCGAGCTATTATCATGATTGATATCAATGAGTTTGCCTTCAGCAAAATAAAAATTTGGGGCGTACTTATTGTCACAGTGAAAATAATCTACTACGTTACTCATCATTGGGATTGAATCATTTTTGTCAATCTCAATACCCATTGATACGTGTTCCATATTTTTGAAAATCATATATTGTTTCAAGTCCCTTATTGAAGCTTTGACATAGGGTAAGTTTTTCATTGTTTGATTAGAAGTGAAACTTAAAGTAAATCCAAATAATGTGTTCCAGGCTTTGGTCATTTTTTTTGTATTGTCAAGTATTGTTGTGAAATCGTTGAATTCGTCGACGTTCCATGATTTATCAATTGTACCCAAGTGAATCAAAAAGTAGTCGTCTGGTTGCTTGAAAGTCGTTAAGTCAATCAAACTTCCCTCAATCCTTGTAACGTTCCTACTGTTTATCTCTTCAAAAACGACTTCAGTCTGATTATTTGAATACACAATATGTCCATTATAATCAACTACACTGGATAACCTTTCTAATGTTGTTTGTGATGGATCCAGAAACTTTTTAGTTTTGAATTTTATATCGTTAAACAATTCCAGGAAACCCTGTCCTGTCACCAAATTGAAAAATACAATGCAAATAGAAAATGAAACGTAGGGATGCTTCAACCAGATCATCTATTACTGGCCGAATATTATAGAATTATTAACGAAAACGAATAAATTGAATAGATTTAGCTGGAAAAAAAGGGGGGAAAATATAAATGGGCAACTAAAAAAAAATAATAGTTGGACCTCTGGCGATTCTGAGGTCCTAAATGAAACCGATCCGTTTCAAGCAGTTAACAAATAGACTCAAATTATAACCTCCTCTTGACAGAAATAAAAAAATAGAGTATATTTTGGATTTGAGCCACCATTTCAAGTTGTACTTCCATCTTGGTGTTTTGACCATTGCATTTTGATCAAGAACTTTGATTGGGTCATCTGTAACAATCCCTTCTAGCAGCGAATTTCCAGTCGGCAAAGAACAAGTACTGATAATGTTTTGAAGGTCAGCATTTTCATTGACGGTCCAAAACCAAAGTTTTACATTCTCTTCTTTTGCCCATCTTAGCATTTCTTCCTTGTCTTGAGACTTGTATAAAATTAGGTTGATCATCGAAATAGCATGTAGTGTTGCATCTTTGTCCTTTTCTTTTATCTCTCTATAGAAGTTTTGCGCTTTCAAAATGTCAAAGGTTATATTGACTATAGTGAAATTTTTCGACAGGGTCGGATCGTAAAACTTCGAATCCCAAAGTCCGAGAATTAGCTTATTTTTCCAGTAGTGTATCATTTCAGTGGAGTCACCAGATTTCAAACGACTTTTTTGACATTCATTCCAGAGCTTTTTCATGAGCACAGTGGGATCATTGTCGGATTTGATATCAAGCATTAGCTTGATTTCTCTTCCAGTATGCTTAACCTCTTCGTTTACTTTAACACACCAGTCTAAAACTTCTTCAAGAAGGGGCATTGGTGACCTTGGTTTTGCAATTGTACGCAGTTGATCCAAAACACCTACATACTTAGTTTTAGAAATTTGAAACTCACTACCAAATACTCTATGTGTGCTGACATCATGTGTAACGACAACAAAACCGTCAATTGAAGTGTGAAGGTCCAATTCTATGACATCACACCCAGCATCGACCGCTGCTTGAAATGCACATATAGTGTTTTCTGGATACAGGGCTTTGTATCTGCCGTAAATAATATGAACATGTTAGAATTTAGCGAGAGAAACAGGATGGTAGTAGCCGCCAGATAGTAACTCCGAGTGTTCCAGCTATTTGACTTTGTGATTCGACTCTTGCTTAGTCCTTAAAAAGGGATACATACCCTCTGTGTCCCGCTAGAATTATTGCAGACATCTTTAACGTTGAGTAAATTGAGCGGGCCAGTTAAAGAGGTTTAGTACCGAACAAGATGGTATGAGAGTATAGAATGTCTTCAAGAAAGCTCTTTCGAACCACTATTGATTCCGTACCCCCTTTCAAACACACTCAATGAGAGCGAGAAATTAATTCCGACACCCCGCTAAAAACCGATCATTACCCTGTTTGTGCCGATTATCAATTATTCACTTATTTATGCACATTGTGAATATATACTTCTATAGAAAAATACTTCATATATGATATGTGATACTATCACCTTAATCCGTATTTGTCCTTCTCCGATGGATTCATTTTTGCAAAAAAATCTGTTGGACTAGTAACCATTCCTAGGGCACGCTTACTCAGTACATCCAAGTTTTGTAACCCAATCAAGTAACTTGCATTGACCCAACCAAAACCTTCGGTTGCCACTCCCTTAAAACCGGATCCTTGATTTCCATATTCTGCCTCAACCTTATGGGGCTGCCTTTCACTTGTTGCGTCATATTTCTCAACAACTATACCATTGAAGTCAACAAACGATAGAGTCATCAAATATAACCATCTATAAGACAATCTCCGAGCGATATCTTCTCTACCATAATTTTTCAGGCCATCCCAAGTCAAGATTTGGTGAGGCGCCCATGCAAACGGATAGTCCCATTGTCTTGAAGGTTTAGAAACTCCTATATCACCTCTAGATTTTTCAGTACCCGAAACTAAGCCTCCAAACTCTTCGAATTTATGTAAAGAGTTTCTTATCAATGTGTTAGCTCTTTCAGGTGAACAAACTTTTGCCCATAAAACATAAAATGCTGTGACTGATTCGTAGGGTGATTGCTTTTGAATCTTGATGTTGTAATCGAAATAGAGCGACTGTTCCTCATTCCACATATATTTATCAATCAAGTTCTTCCTTATTTCGGCCAACTTTTCCCATTTTTCACTGGTTTCAATTCGATTGTTGTATTCTAGCTTATTATTAAAATATGTTTTGATAACAAATGATATGTCTGTCTCGTATTTGTAAAGTAAACAATTTAAGTCCACTGTGGCTAAATTAGCACAGATACCTTCCAAACGATAAGAAGTATCGTGTCCTGATTCTCTGACTGCACGATCATGCAAAAAGTACTCATCCAGTTCTGGCTCTTCAATCAATCCATCGTTATACTTTTGCTGGAATTCTGTAAAGGTTAAATTGTACTTTTCACAGTATGGGCTCAAGACAGCGTTGAAATGGCTTGCCTCAGTTTCAGGTGGAATACCTTTACCACCCGGATGAAATGTGGATAATTTCGAAACTGGATCCAACCTTGGAGGAGAGCACCAAACCTCATCATACTCTTTGATTGCAGCTAAGAAAGCTCTTTTCAAGAAATCCAACTCCATTTTGTTGGTTTTGGCTAAGATGTAATCAAAGATTTTTAGAGTCATATCGGTTAAAAATGGTGGCTGCGAACGGCACAAATAATATGACCTGTTCGCATTCAAAATCTTTCCGTAGTTGTTGATCTCAAAAATGAAATTCTCACACATTCCAACACAAGGTTCTAAAATGTCACAGCTTAAAAGACCTAGTGTTTCAAAGTATGAATCCCATCCGTACTGCTCGTTAAACCTACCCCCCGGAACCACGTAAGGATACCCTTCCAAATCCCCGTAAGTATTTGATCTATGTCTAACCGCCAATGCCAATAAGCCTGGCTTATGATTGATTGATTTCACAAACTCGTCTGTTATCTTTTCAGGTAAATATTCAACTTTCAAGTTGAATTCCTTGTTTGCCTCCGAGATTTTGCTATAATAATAGTATTGCTCTTTCTCACTGAAGGGGATATAGATTCTCGGAAATTTGGCTTCTTCTGTTTTGATCTTAGTATCTTTCGCCATATCCAGTATCGAATCTCTTGTAACTTGACGAGTCAAGTTTTTCCAAAAGTAGGTTGTAATAAGTCTATACAATCTTGAGACTGGGTTTTCGTTTAGTCTTGCTTCATCAAGGATCATTTGTTTCCGGCCAAATCTCTTGGCGATTGTCAATTCTTGTAGTAAGTTTGACAACATGTATGTGCCTCTAATGTCATATTGGTTGAAGCCGGCTGAATTTGCAGTACCTAATTTCAAAACTTTGGGACCTGTGTCATCTATAGTGATCTGACAGTTTTGATCTGTGTCCTCATTTCTTAGTAGTTCTTTCAACGTCGTTTCGATGTCACTTATGAAAAATCTTCTCGAGTTGATTCTGCTTGATGACATATCTGCAGAGGCTCTTCTACGAATAGTTGGAGAGGAGGGCGAAGGAGATTGGAGATTCCTATTAATCACTGTACTGAGAGGATACCCCGGAGTTGGTGGAGGCACATTATTTTTAGCCAAAGAAGAGGTCGACGAAGAAGATTGAGACTTTGAGTCAGATTCTAGCGGAGAAGGGGAAGAAGTCTGTGCATGTGTCTGTGCATGCGGCTGTGCGCCAAAGCCCGAGGCCGACTTAAACTTTGACTTCAATGTTGCGAAAAGATCATCCGTCATCCTTTTATTTGATGAAGGAACACCCCCCCGTCTGGCCTGGGAGATATCGCTCGAATTGTCATTAGACCTCTCCATGTCCGACTCTGCCACCAATGATCCTGTCGAGTGCGACTTCATCGACACGGCCTCCAAGCTGTCCGGCTCGTTGTCATCGTCCGAGTCAGAGATCACCGGAGTATTATTGTCCGAGGACGACATATTGAGGGCCTTCAAGTCCTTCAAATCCAAGAAATCAGAATATGCCGGTGAATCCGCCCGCTGTGTAGGAACCGCAGAAGCAATGGCCCTCTTCTCACCCTCGATGGTGCCACTGTGGTCTATAATGGCATTGTTGAGCAGTGTCTCCGCAAATCTTTCATCGTAATCGTTATCATGGCCATGCTCATCGGCGTGGATTCTCGTGTCTGAGGACGGGCCCTTTTCCGCCACACCGTCGTGCATGGACGTCATGGACGACGAGAACCGGCGTGTCGCCCGAGGAGCAATCACCGATCTGGTTCTCAGCCTCCCAAAGCTCGAGTTGACATTCGAAGGGTCTGTGATTGGACCGTAGTACAAGTCCGGAGATTCGTACGGGTCCACCTTCACACTTGACTTTCTTCTGTGCGATTTCTCAGTTTGTTTCGTGTTATCCAGCATTGCCTTTTCGGACTCAAACTTTGCTGTTTGCAGTCACGGTGCTACTCAATTGCGTGTATAATGGCCTAAAACACACCACGAAAGCCAATGAGCCGACCTCGTCCCATGAGCAAAAGGGAAGAGGAGCGTCAGCGCCAAAGCGGAGTGGCAAAGGGAGCTGTCCGAGTTAATCTGAGCCCGGTGCGGGAAGTGCACGTTACCCGGTCGCGGCGGACGGGCCCTGCTTCGCAAGACTTTTTTTTCCTCTCTTGACTGTTTTGGCACACGTTACCGACACAAGCTGAGCAGATCAGAGCGTTACGGAGGGCGTCTGGACCAGAAGGGCCCCGGAATCGGAAGCTGAAGAAAAGAGCGGAACCAGAACCACTTGCACGATTATGTCTGCCAAGGAAGAAACTACGTCCACCACTGCAGCTGCCTCGCAACAGAAACCTCCCACGGCCAACGTGTTTGCCATGTTTGGTGGCGCATCTGCCAAGAAAAGCGCTGCAGCAGACGAAAAGAAGGAAGATGATGCAGAAAAGGCCAAGGACACCGACAGCAAGACCGAGAAGGACAGCGCCAAGGACGATGCGGCTGACGAGGAGGAGCCAGACGTTCATTTCGAACCGTTGGTCAAGCTTGAGAAGGTCGAGGTGAAGACTAACGAAGAAAATGAGGACGTCTTGTTCAAGATCAGAGCCAAGCTTTTCAAGTTCCATCCAGACACAAAGGAGTGGAAGGAAAGGGGAACGGGAGATGTCAAGTTTTTGAAGCACAAGGAAACAGGGAAGGTGAGATTATTGATGAGAAGAGACAAGACGTTGAAGGTTTGCGCCAACCACTCGATTGCTCCTGAATACACGTTGAAGCCAAACGTCGGTTCAGACAGATCCTGGGTTTACTCGGTCACTGCAGACGTCTCCGAGGGTGTTCCAGAAGCACAGACCCTTGCCATCAGATTCGGAAACAAGGAGAACGCGGAGAAGTTCAAGGAGGAGTTTGAAAGTGCCCAAAAGATAAATAAGGAATCCAAATAGACCTGCTAATGTCAGAAGCCAGTTCATTCAGAAAATGGCCAGCTCTCTTTCGTCTTCTTTTCCTATGTAGATGAAGAAAATTATAATACACATTATATACACATATATAATCAAACAACTAAACACACTTAGATTTACATATATGCACATACTAAATCTCATGGAAGTAATAGGAGGAGTAGCCATGTGTGTGCAAACCAAACAGTCGGTCCTTCGTTTTGTGGCTCTATTTACAAAGCTTTATTTCTTTCTCATAACTTTTCAACCAGCACCTCTACTGCTGATATGCTTCTACTGATGTGATGGACTACTAGTTGACAATCCAGGCTTATCCTTCGTGCAGACGTGCCTTATCTGTTGTTGTATGTCTTGTTGAAACTCCACTTGATCAATATCCATACCATATTCAGGGCATTGAACTGTGGCCAAAGAACATCCAAAATTTCTATATCGCACCCTTCCTTGCTACATTCCCAAAGCATGAAATCACTCAACCGATAAACCCCTGATGTTCTGATCAATAAATCTAGCGGTGGTGAAGACCCGGTGTACAAATGCTTGGATATGCAATCTTCGTCTATATCTTTAACCGGTAACCGGTTTTTTGCCGTTTTTCCTACAATTTCCCTCACAGAATGTGTCATGTCATCTCTCGAGGCATAAGACCAACAGACATTTAATATAGCTCTGGTATTGTGTTGTGTTATTCTCTGTGCTTCCAGCAACACATCTCGAACGTCATCCGGAAGCAGCTCAAGGTCCCCTAGGATCCTAATCTGAACTCCAAATTGTTCACACATCTCTCCGTTTCCGACAACTTGTTTAAACTTCGTCTTCGCCAGTTCCATCAACCACTGAATTTCATAACTGGATCGTTTGTAATTCTCAATCGAAAACGCAAAAACTGTAGCACATTTCACTCCACAATCGTAGCAGACTTCTAAAATCTTGGCCATACTTTCAAATCCAGCACTATGGCCTTCCTTCAATTCAATGTGTTTTATCCTAGCATATGTTCTGTTCCCATCCATGATGAATCCAATGTGTTGTGGTATCGGTCCGGTCCTCAAACTTTTGCAAATTTGGCTTTTTCCCAGTTCTAGCAAATGCTGTGTCAAGGGGAATGAAGCCAACCAGTCCGCCATTGCTCTTTAGATTGTTAACTGTGTATAGAGGTCTTGGGTTTTGCCTATAAACTTTCACTTATCCAAGCAGACTGGAAACGTGTTCGTTATCCCAAATTTCCAAAACCTCTCGGGAAAAGTAAAATCCAGCTTAATGTTCATTTCATCACGAAATTTCTTCCTCACTCTTTTGTTCCTCATTATATACTGTCATTCCACGGACCTTTCCTTACTTTTACCTCATCATATTGTGCCTCAGACATAATCTGCTTCCCAAAGGCAGACACCTGGCCAACCTACGTTTTTCACACAATCTTCATATTTCACTCACTGATACAATGCTAAAAGCAGCATCCATAAAGAGATGTGCCCTGCCAAGAGGTCCAGCGTCTGCCGGCACTCTTTATAGCAAACGTTTTGGATCCTCGTTTGGTACGGCAATTGAGACAGCAGAAAAAATGGTCCAACCAGGTGTATCTAATCCATTCGATCCTTTTTCAATGGTTTCGGCTGAAATGGGGGTTCTTGCGAAACATATTGCTCAATTGATAGGTTCTGGACATCCAGTTTTGAACAGAGTAGCATCTTATTATTTCGAGGCTGAAGGTAAAAACGTCAGACCTTTGATTGTTTTATTGCTTTCTAAGGCTTTAGCTAAAATCCCAGATGAAGAAAGAACACGTATTATCATTGATCAGTACGATGTCAATGACCAACCAGAATTCAAAGGAACACCAAAAGCTTTCTCATTTGCAGGTGCAAATCCTTTACAGTCAATCACTCCCTTGAAGATTTTACATGGTATCAACCCTAATATCATATTAAATCCATTGAGTAGACCAATGATAGATCAAGATGCATACGTGACACTCGATAAAAAAAATGGAATTCTACCTAAACAAAGAAGACTAGCAGAGATCACGGAAATGATCCATACTGCTTCATTATTACATGATGATGTTATAGACTTTGCCGATTCAAGAAGAGGTAGAGATAGTGGTAATATTGCCTTTAGCAACAAAATGGCAATTCTAGCGGGTGATTTCCTACTTGGCCGAGCATCTGTTTCTTTAGGTCGTTTGAGAAACAGCGAGGTTGTTGAGTTGATGTCAACAGCCATCGCAAATCTAGTTGAAGGTGAGTTTATGCAGTTAAAAAATACTGTTTTGCAACCGGATACTAAGTCAATTGATAATGACGGCCAATCGAAAAAGATACCCGAACCAACTGGTAAGGTGCCTGTCAAAGTTCACGAATATTCTGTAAATCCTTTGAATACCATTTCCCACCAAGACAACGTTAACGCTGCATTTGAATATTACCTTCACAAAACCTATTTGAAGACTGCTTCCTTGATGTCCAAAAGTTCAAGATCAACGGCTATATTAGCTGGCTGTAACGAAAACATCATTGAAAACTGTTACCAATTTGGCAGAAACTTAGGGCTTTGCTTCCAAATTGTTGATGATATGCTAGACTATACCACAACCGCTGAGTTGCTGGGCAAACCAGCAGGCGCCGACCTCAAGTTAGGACTAGCAACTGCTCCTGTGCTATATGCTTGGAAGGAGAAACCAGAATTAGGACCTTTGATTGCAAGAAAATTCAGTCAACCTGGTGATGTTGAAATCGCCAAGACAACAGTAGATGTAACAAAAGGTGTCGAAAAAACCAGAGAGTTGGCTGAACAATATAGAAACGATGCATTGAAGAACTTAAGACATCTACCGGATTCAGACGCTAGAAGTGCCTTGGAACTCCTAACTAACTCTGTTTTGACTAGATCCAAGTAGCCTAAATTCTTCTCCTTATCCTGTATATATTAATTATGCTACAAAGACTTGACACATTCGTTTATAAATGTAAAGTCAAACTATAGAATATGTGTTTATTAACTTATGATGATTATGTCGGAAAAACTTGCAACAATTTGGGTGTCGTGACTTAACATTTTTTCAGTTTTTCTATTTCTGGGATCAGTAAGTAATAATGAAACAATGCACTTGGGTGCTTATGATCATGTAATTATGAAGTGTATATACAAGCCACATCTCCAAAGTGTGGAACGACAAGAACCTGGAACTGCATGCTTTGCCACTCTACTTTCAAACGACAAGCAAACCGGTATACCAAGCTCTTTGTCTTTCCGAATTTATTCTTAGCGACTTCAAACATCCTGTTTTGCTCAAAAACTTTAAGCATGACAGTTAGAGAATATAATTCCACTACAACCAAAGAGAGCATGAACAGAAAAGACAAAAAGGTAAGTAAAGGGAGCACAAAGAAAAGCCCGTCAAAAACAGTCGATGCAACGTTAAAGCGTTCAGTGCTGAACCATTGTTCTTACCCAGAAACAAATTTTGACAGTGATAGCCATATAGAAAGTATTGAAGATATGGAGGAGGAAGTTCAACAGACACAACCTGATCTGCCTATATATGGATACAGTGGTGAGATATCTGATCGATATGATCTCAAATCTACTGAAGCTCTGTGTTCCGACGAATTTGACTCTGTAGAATCTCGATTAAGATACGAACTACAAAAGTGTATGTCAAATCTGCCAGCTAAGTATAAGCTTTCAAAAGAAGCTTCTTCAAAACAGCAACCAGAAACCATCTCAGATTCTTCAAAAGATTCTTTAGTTCCCCCTAAATCAGAAATATCAGAACTACCCGAGAAGAAAAAAGAATCGAGGAATATCTATCTTTCAGTTGAGGAGGCCATTGAAGTAGTTAATAAGCGTGAATTTACGTTGGTATCAATTGATAACGAATTTTTCGAACGTTCAACATCGAAAGTTATAGAAATTGGTATTTCTATCTACAGTCCTACTTATCAGAAGTTTGCACTCTTTCCGCATTTCCTCAATTTTCATTTTATCATCAAGGAGTTCATTAATTTGAGGAACGGACTTTTCGTCCCAGACTCAAAAATGAATAATATAACAGGTCAATCTTTGATTATTTCGAAGCGAGATGTACCACGGGCGATGTCACTGATCTTTGAAATCTTGGGGCCAAAAGTTTGTATTGTGGGCCATAATGTTTCAGGAGATATCAAAAGTTTTAAGTACCTAAACTATGAGTTGCCATCCAACATCAAAATAATAGATACTATGCATCTGTGGTATAGCTTTATTGGATCATCGTCAGGGAAGTCGTCTTTATCATTTATCCTTGATAAACTCAATATACCAAATGCGTTTTTACACAATGGTGTTAATGATGCCTACTTCACATTAGTGGTATCTTTGATGCTTACTTCTCCTGAGCTCAGAAATAATCTTGCGTTCAGAAAAGTAGATGCTAACGGAGACAATGCAAGTGATACTTTAAAAGTGAAAACTGAAGAAGATGTTTCTGAGATTGAGAAAGACAAAGAAACACCACCAGACTTTTCCTCTTTCCCACCGGAAATGGCGGAGATCAAAATGAGAAGGTGGCTCAGAAAAAAGAGCAAGGCCGAAGGAAAAGCCAAAAAGAAGCTCACCAAAGGTAGAAAAGATTCTGCTGTTCCTGTTCATATTCGTTGCTCAGTTGACGAGGAGGCAATATTGCAGAAACAACGATTAGGTCTCCGAGATAATAAATTTGGGAAGCTAAGAAACCCTCCTTCAAATAAATTCTTCAAACCTATCGATTACGAAGAAGAAAAATTATCACAAAAGCTAGGAGAATTAAGTGTATAGTAGGTTTTTATTAGAATATTTTTACATATTTGAGATAAAAGAAAGTCATTGGAATTTGTTTTATTAGTGCCACCACCAATATTAACCGTCTAGCTATTTAATCAAATCCCTGTTGACCAAAGTAGCAGATTTTGTCATATTATTGACCTTATAAATCCCGACTAGGCTCTCAGCTAATTCAAACATATTATTTCTCAATGAAATAACAATAAACTGAGCGTTTTTCGTTCTTGATTTGATATAGTTTGCAACAATGCTGACGTTTTTGAAATCTAGTGCAGCATCAATCTCATCCATAACGTACAATGGCGTAGGTTTATAATGATGCAATGCAAAAACCAAAGCTAAAGAAGCCAACGTCTTTTCACCACCAGAAAGATTTGAGATAGTTCTCCATGATTTTTTTGGTGGCATGACAGAAAAGACTATACCTTCTGAAAAAGCATCATGAGAATCATAGTACTCTAGTTCTGCCATTCCGCCGGCTGTGATCAAATAATACATGACTTTTAAAGTCGATGAAATTGCATTAAATCCTGCTTTGAACTCAGTATGCCTGCGTTCTGTCAACTCTTCACCTTTTTCCTTGACTTCGTTCAAAACCTTCAAGGATGCTTCCAAATCTTTTTCTTGTTCAAAAAATTGGTTTTGCTTATCCCCGAACGATATTAAGATGTCTAGATTGACGGTCGTACTCCCCAACTCAGTTTTCAGACTATCAACATTTTCACCTAGCTGCTTCAGATCGATTTCTTTCAACTCATCGTCGCTAAAAGTTCCCTCAAAGTCTATTGGCCGTTGAACTATTGAGTTTCTCTCTTGATCATCAGCATCCATCCAGGTCAAATATGGTGTAATGACTCGATAATCTATATTTTCAATCGCATTGACCGATTCTTGGATTTCATTCTTGATTTTTTCAATCATTGCCTCGACTTTGCTGATTTGCTTCAACGAATCACCAATAACTTCCATGCTTGTACGCAAATTATAATCCTCTTCTTCAATTTTATCGTCAATGTGTGTTATTTCGTTGACCATATCATCTTTTTCATTACTCAGTTTGTCGACTTCCAATTGTGCCTTTTCAACCTCATTCGTCATCTGCTCGTAGTTTGTTTTTAGTTTCTCCAATGATAGATTGAGATCTCTAAGCTGAGATTCGGAGGTTTCTATTGATTTTTCTGACTTTTGTAACTGGTTTTGCAGTTTCGCCACCCTTAGCTCTTCGCTCTCTTTCATCTCTGTTTTAAGCTGAATGGTGTCTTTTATTGATTGAACTTTAGCGGTCTGTGCTTTCAACTTTATCCCACCAATGTCTAGCACTTTCTGTTGTAATGAGTTGATTTGGTTCTGTAAATCTATTGAGTCTTCCTCTAACCTGGACTTTTCTTTCTTCAATTTAGTCAATGATTTGGAAAGACTTTCTATTTGTGAAGTTAAAGCTTTAACTTGATCCTTTTTGGAAGACGATTCCTGTAATGACTTTTCATGCTCCTTTATTTCGTCAATCAAACTATCGTTATCCATTTTTAGCTTCAGCAATGCTGACGACATTTTTGGAATCTCTTCCTGTGAGCTACGTAAAACTTGCTCCATCTTTCGGTAAGCCAATTCCGCCTTCCTGTAATTTTCCTCTTTTTGTCGTAACTCTTCTCTCCACTCTTGCAACTGCTGGGGAGAAACGGTATCTGATTGTGAGGAAGAGTTTGAAACTAGTTTCATTGCACCTTTGCTGACTCGTGTACCACCACCGGACATGGTACCACTGACGTCAACCAACTTACCATCCAAGGTTACGACTCTCCATCTCTTCGAACCTCCAAAAGCGACTCGATTCGCAACATTCAAGTTTGGTGCAACTAGAGTATCATACATGGAACTGTAAAATGCCGGCAAAAATTTCGGACTTATTGGACGAATCAAATCAAAAAGTCGAGGAACATTCTCTGGTGTATTTATCTTATTCAAATTAAATTTTCTCAATTTCTCAAGCACAATAAATTTACCAAAACCCAAATTATTTTGCCGTAAATGTTGTATACAGCTCTGTGCATCTTCAACCGAGTCGACAACATAGTCACTTAATGCTCCACCACCAGTCGAAACAGCGACATCATATTTATCATCAATCACACCTAAATCTCCCAATTTTCCGTAAAAGCCATTGATTCTGCCAGTCTCTTGAAGTCTAGTTAAAGCAGCCAATACCTTATTCTGTGATTCAAAACTTGATACCCTGTTTCTGGCAAACTCAACTTTGTCACCAAGTTCTTTCAGCTCCATTTCAAGCTTTTTCAATTCTTTTCCTGCAAATTCAAAAGTACTTTTATTCCTATCAATGGTTGACTGATATTTCAACTTGTTCTCGTTCAATGAATCCATTTTTGAGTCATTTATTTTTATTTGTTCTCTTTTACTGTCCAGTGCTGACTTTATCCTATCTGTTTCACTAACAATTGTATCAAGTTGATTTTTTAGCAAGTCAATTTCTGAGTTTTTGATATTCTGCTCACTTTGCTTCTCGTCGATACTGTTTTTCCATGGCTCCAACTTTTTATAAAGCTTCTCAATTTGTTCAGAGTATTTTTTGGTCTCTGAAGACAGCCCCGATCTTATAATGTCCAATTTTTGGCTTTCACCCTCTAATTCTTCATTCAAAGTTCCAATGTTTTCATTGTGTGTTTTTATATTCTCACGTAGACTTTCAAGTTCCGCTTCATTAGATCGGTAAGTTTTCTTACTTTGGCTTAAATTTTTGCCCGTTGTATCCGTCTTCTTCTGTGTTATTTTTATGTTTTCATTCAGTGATACCTGCTGTTTCTCGAGCTTTCTAAGTTCACTTTTCGACTTCATGATTGTTGTATTCAAGTTGTTTAATACATTATTCAGTTTTGCTTTCTGCTTTTTGAAGTCCGCCAACAAACTTTTGGATTTTTCAATCAACTCGTTGTCACCTTTTATTTTTTCATTCATCTCCTTCAATCTTGAGTTGTATCTTTCCAACAAAGCTTTTTCGGAAAGGTTTGTCAAAAACCAGTATTTCGCTGTCTCATCTTTCAACCTTTTCTCTAGCTTCAAATACTCCAGTGCTGAATTTTTTTGCTTTTCAATATCTTTGAATTCTTCCGACACGTAATCAAATCTCTTCTTTTTTTCGTTATAAGAGTCAGTCAAATTTTCTATTTGAGTGGTTATACTTTCGATTTCTTCTTTGTAGGATGAGGTCCCTATGATATCTTCCAAATACTCTAGCAACCCATCATCGTTTTCATTCTCGGCTTTGGGCTTCATTTGAGCAATCATCTCCACTTCACCTTGTAGGATAAGAAACCTTTTATGATCTAAATCAATCCCTTCTTTTTTCAACAAATTCGTCACTTCTGTATAAGAACTCACTTTCCCATCAATGTAGTAAGTTGATGTGTTATTCTTGTTAGCTTTCCTCGATATAATTAACTGAGAATTTCCTACAGTACTCGGATTATTCGTGCTATTTCCCGAAGAATCATATTGATCTACTATTTTCTTGAAATGTATATCAACTTGACAAAATTGTAGGTCCGGAAAGGATTCTGAATTATGAATCAACTCTTTGAGTTTTGACTGTCTCATTTTGGAAGCCCTAAAACCAAAAACAAACAATAACGAGTCAATGACATTCGATTTACCAGAACCGTTTGGACCAACTACGGCACTGAAAGACGGGTGGAATGGACCAATCTCCTGGCGCCCCGCATAAGACTTGAAATTTGTGAGCACCAACTTTTCGATTACCAAACGTGGAGAGTTGTTCACCGGTTGAGAAAGAATATTTTGAATGGACTTTCTAGGTGAGTTAATTGGCTCCAATCCAATTACTGAAAGAGAATTATTGTTTGCTAAACCATTCTTCTCGTCTTCTATATCGTTTTTGGCGTTGCTGTCATTGCCGTTATTATTCTCCAACATTGGTATGTCACCATTGTCGACATCCCGTGTCTCATTTATCTCCGCCCCAGTGAAAGCAGCTTTGTCTATTCCAGGTATGACAGCCTCTGGTTGATGTTTAGCGGTTTCACCAGTTTGATTGTCCACCTGAGCCCCCTCTGGATAGTCTTCTGAATCATGACTCCGGAAAGAGCTATTGGCCAGAGCGGGAAGCTCTTTTTCTTGATTTGTCATCATATCGCTGCAGAAAGGATCATCCACTTCCATACTTTGCCAACACTGGAAAAGCTGTGGCTGCTTAAAGAATGTCTTTTATAGTTTAATCCTTCAAACAGCCAACATGAAACGGAAGCAAGATCTATACTTTTTCCAGATATAAACAAACACGAAATGAGAAAGGCTGAGACTGTGACATACGTGCACCGCGGTTTACTCACGTGATATTATATAGCAGCATTTTTCTGCCATTTATAATATACGTGTCATCAAGTGCGGGGAATTTGCTTATGTAATATCCACCGAATATCGCTAAGGAAAAACAAAGGTTGAAGATGTAAGCTACATTTCAGGATATGCCCATCCTCCGACGTACTATCGGCTTTGATCACCCCCACCTTGTTGCTGCAATCTAGTTTCCGCAAAGGCACAGACAATTCAAATATCATGGCTATTCATGAACTACCTGAGCTTCGTATGTATCTCTTCTTGTCATTCTCATAGGGACTATGCAGAAAAAAGTTTGACTGCATCAAATTTATCTTGAATTAGAGACAGAACGTACTAACACATCAACGTGGATTCCATACTTCACACTATCGTTACTTGTACAGTTTCCCATGAGGAAATGAAGAAAAACCAAATTCCTATCCCATTCAGGGATAGGTGTGCTAGTCTTTTGATCCCCTTAAACAAATGCAGAAAACAAGGGGGCTATCTGCCATGGACTTGTGTTGAAGAAAGACACGACTATGAGCACTGTCAATATCTAGATTTCAAGAGAAGAATCAAGGAATTAGAGGAATACAAGAAAGAGAGAGACGCTTCCGCTTGATTTCATTTACCATGGGATAAAAAACTTCATTTCTTGCTATTTCACCATAATTCGTTCAATGACCATCATTTTGCTTTGATCAATGTCTATCACTTTCATACTGGCCCATCATTAATTTAAGCCATGGACGTGCTACTTGTTCTTGTTATGAAATGTACTGTCTAATAGACCACAAACTGCAAACCCACCTGCTTATTCAGTCATTTATTTATTACCTATTTATTCTTCACTTTTTCCGTATATATCAGTTTCAGCCAAACCATTATATATCAATAAATAAACCTACACTATTTTATACATATATTTCAGCAGTCTTTTATTTTAGCACTTACATGAAATTGGCTCCTCCGCTTCCATTTTAGGAAATTATTTTTGTACCATTAGTTGCCCCGTTAATATCTAATAGTTTTATTCTTCTCTAAGATCAAAAGTGGTAGCATTCGTCACTTGGTCACATTATTCAGCAAAGCACATAATGGTGAGAGTAAACGTTTCAGATAATTTACAGCGGCCTTTGCTGGATTATCAATCTAATTCGAAAATTTCCCTGAAATGTTTACCATCATCGAGCCCAATCAGAAATTCCCATCAAAGGTTGCTCGTATTTGATCAAGCGACAAAAAAATCAACAGTTGAAAGAGATCGGATAAGCCTTCAAGTTAATTCGTCGTTTTCCTCCTCTCCGATCAAAAAAATATCTCACTCAGTCCATGCTAGAAAGAAGAACAATAATTTGGGCAAATCAGAAATTGATCCTTGCGATTTCAAATGTACACAGTCTGACTACTTCGAGCCTGAAAACGAATTACGATCAAATCTTTTGCTCAAATCTGTAAACTTTATTCAAAAAAAGTCCTATACTGTCGATGAAAGCGTCTCCTCTTTCTTGAACAGATTCAACCAGGACGGTGTTTTGGATTTGGGACTTGATGAGGTAAGTTATGGAGCAGAAAATAACTCTACTTTCAATTCTAATATATCACCAACATCACACAAATCGGCACTAAAATATCACATTTCCTATTTCTCTAACAAACTGGAAACTATCATTGAGATACCATCTTCTGAGGATATTGATATTGATGCTCTCAAAATCCAACTAGTAAATAGTTTACGCAAAGCACTAGTGCTTTCGCAGACAGGTTCACGAAAATACAAGGTTGTAATATTAACTCCGAGACCAGGAGCCTCTTGGTTCGAACGAAAGTTGCAAGCCTATCCTCTGCAATTTCGGAATGACTTTCAATATATAATTGTGACAGGGAAAAAAAGCTTTGCACCCAAATTGAAAAGTTGTCTAAAATCCTTTTCATAAAGCAGCTTCAAGTTTCGTTCAGCCATACCAACAATCCGAGAGTTAGAACGCACCAGGCCAATGTAGAATCAGAGCTGATGCACATTGGTCAATGTGATACTGTTGGTAATCATCGGCATCATTTTAGTACAGCATGTAAATACCAAACCAATTTTTTCTCTATAGCTCTTATCACATTTACTCTGTATAGGTTCATTTGTTGCTACAACTGTCTTCTATAGGTCATCATTTTATGGGTAAAGAATGCTTGTTATAGGCCAGAGCCTAATGATTACGTAACAGCACGACATGACCATCTAGAGGTGTAAGCCGTAATCCTTGGGTAAAGAGCCTTATATATATGAAGCTAGCTCTTCAAATTTTTCAAAAAAAGCCGTTCTAGTATAGTGGTGAGTACGCATCGTTGTGGCCGATGAGACCCAGGTTCGATTCCTGGGAGCGGCACTTTATTTTTGTTTTTTGTGTGTATGTTTCTGGGTTCCGAGCAGACTGACGTGCAGCCAGACGTGATGTTATACCGTTCCTGTTTCTGCTTCGTTTCTTCTAATGAATGGTACGAGATCTCAACAGTTAATTTCTGTAGCACTTTAATGAAACTTGCCCTCAAATTGAGTGACGTTGGAAATTTCAAACGAATACTTGGCTTTGTACTTTCAGTAAGAAAGCAATGCATTTTCAAATTCAAAGCGAATGAGCTAAATATCATTTCGGTTGATCGGGAAAGTCCACTAATATGGGGTACTATTGGAAGTGCTAATTTTTCGAGGTTTGATGTCATTGCCAAAGATGAATGTATTGGCTTGGAGTTAAATGTAGAACCTCTTTTTCAGATCATGAAAAACTTTGAGAAAGCGCCTGTGACATCTGATCTGATTATAAAATTACAACGTGGCGAAGAATCTAATACTCCCAAAGATAACTCTAGTAAAAGAAAACGACCAGTGTTTTTACATTTGTCTTACAATGAGGATATCACATGCACTTCTGAAATATCTCACTCGTTTAGTATACCAGTGAGCCTTTTGCGTGGCAAGCTTATTGAAAGGATTCAGATGCCACCCATTCATAATGTTGAACTAATTGCTGATATGAACCAGACACTAATATCCTTTTTCATGCGAATAGAAAGGTACAAAGCTATTGATAATATCAACGTAGTGATGAATCGGCTAGGTGAAATTAAAATAGAACTCAAGGATGAAGGCAAGAAAATTAGTCTTAAATGGAAAAGCTTGCTAGATACCTGCAGTCCAGAAGAGGTTGATGCACTTACCCGCACTGATACTGAAACACCAGCCACACATGTTGCTAATAACCAAGAGAATAATGATATCAGAAACAAAGATCTGAATATGATCAAAGAAATTACGGTTAAAGTGAAGTCTCGATGGTGGAATCTTGCCTCGAAACTTATTGAGTTATGCGATACTCTACAAATGTATATTTACGAGGATGGTTGTGTTTTCAACTGTCATGTCGAAGATGAACAAAGTTGTTCATTGCTATATTATCTACCTGGAAAGCTTTTAGATTAATTAGTAATTTTCTATATATACCACGCCTTCACTGGTGTTCTTTTGCAAATCTTTCAATCAACTCGCATAATAATTTGGTGCTTTTCAAAGTAACTGCATTGTAAAGTGAAGCTCTCATACCACCGACAGATCTGTGACCTTTTAGGCCCTCAAGTTTGCTCTGCTCAGCTTCTTTCAAAAACTGATCCTCCAAGCCAGAACCTTCAATAGTGAAAACAATATTCATTCTTGATCTTACTGATTTTTCAACAGGCAACTTATAGATTGAAGGATATTTGTCCAAAGTTGAGTACAACAAGTCTGATTTAGCTATGTTTTCTTTTTCTTGCGCCGCCAATCCGCCTTTAGCGATTAAGTCCTTCAATACCAAGTTGACAATGTGGACAGTAAACGTAGGAATAGTGTTATAGGCTGAATTGTTCTTAACAACAGTTGGATAGTCAAAAGCAATTGGAGTAACCTGTAAACCGAGTTTTCTCAACTCTTCTGCTGGAGCTTGATCCAAGAGAGATTTTTTGATGATGTAAATGGAAATACCCGAAACACCAACATTTTTTTGGGCACCAGCAAAGATAAGACCGTATTTGCTGACGTCAACTGGTTTAGACAAGAAATTTGACGACATATCTGCAGCAATTTCAACACCTGGAAACTTTTCAAATGGGAATGTTCTGAACTCAACACCGTTGACAGTCTCATTATCACAGTAATAGATAAAAGAAGCATCACTCAAATCTTTTGGAATATTCCACTTTTCAGTTGGTGGGATAGTTCCGAATTTTCCATCAATTTCCTTGGAGTTGACAATCACCTTAGGATTGAAACCCAGTCTCTCTGCCTCTTCAAAAGACTTCTTTGACCAGGTACCATCGATAACATAGTAAGGGGTACCAGCTTTATGATGCTTCTTCACATGAGCAGCTGTCAAATTGGTAACGATAGAAGAAAACCCAGTAGTTCCTCCACCTTGGAGAAAGAATACCTCATGAGTATCTGGAATACTGAGAAGCTCTTTCAAGGATGCTTTAGTTTGCTCAATAATACCAACTCCAGCTTTTGAACGGTGTGAAATCTCACCAGCACCTATGCCAAGGTTATTATAATTGATGAGATCTTTTCCAGCTTGTTGAAGAACGCTGGTAGGGAGCAAAGCTGGCCCCGCACCAAAGTAGTTTGGTTCTTCTCTGTCGATGCACATACTTAATACGTTTGTTTTATAGATTGGTTCGAGATTGTTTCAATAAAAGAAACATACAAGTGTTAAGTTGGACGCCTAAGATAGAACGGAGAAGAGTCAAATACCAAATTAGATTGATGTTATGACTGATTAGTATTACGTAAGTAGAGTCTCGTTTTTCTTAGCTACATATTTAAACACAAAAAAGTTTCAGACACAGGCTATGAGCTGTGTCAATCTATAATAATAGAAAATTGTCAGATGTTATTGCTTTTTGTCATGTTCGTTAAACTTGTTGTAGTCAGAAGCTTTGGCGTATAAGTACCCATCAACCTTGCCGTCTTTACAAATTTCTTTCTGATTCAAAAAGTCCAGTTTTTCTAGTGTAGGCCAATTTACAAATTGGATGCCATTCTTTATCATAAAGCAAAGTGAAAAACCACTCCATAGCGTCATTGCAGTCAAGAAAGAAAGATTTTTAAAGTCGGTGAGAGATCCTTTCGGCCAAATAAAAGTAGCAAGTATGATGAACACTCCAACAGTGAAGAAGTATGGCACAGCTTGGTACAAGGCCGGTCTGCTATCCTTGAAAGGTGATGTTGTAAGTTCGTACGGTATAACGTTACCAAGGAACAAATCATAACCATCTTGTCTTGCTCCATCTAAGTAGTTATTTTTGATGTAACGAGTGATTGAGTTGACTAGATCGTTCAATGCACCTTTATTCGTTCTTTTACCGGTACGTGTGTAGTCTGTTTTTAATGCCCCCGTACCAGAATATGCGTTAGAGACATAATCTGCATTATCTGCCCAAACAGCCTGGAATACAAGATTGAAAGCAGGATCAAGATCCTTCCAATCGACAACGCCATCAATTATACCAGCATCTATTAATTGTTGCTGTAAAAACCATCTTGCTAACATTGATTGAACGACATTGGTTCTATCCAAGCAGTCCATACAATTGGTTCTAACAACATGACCTTGTACTTTTTCTGCGACAAATTCTTTACCGACACTGAACAAAGAGTAATCTTTTTGTGACAAGCCCAATTTAGTCAAGTGATCAACCAAAAGTTTAACTCTGTCCCATCTCATCTTTCTACATTCATGGTGGAAATCGAAATAAGTATATTTGACATTGGAGTCGTTTAAGGCATTCACTGCACTTTCATACGCCAGCTTGATCGGCTTTTCATATCCGGACTGATTTACCAAATTCACCAGATAGTTGGTACCATACTTGGAAATACATTTATCAAAATGAATACGAGCTGGTAAATAATCACTTGTACCCAATAAAAGCTTGGGCTTGTACATCAGGTTATTCATCTCAGCCCAAAATACGGGAACAGATCCTCTGATTTGAAAATAGGTATACACTTGATCAGCTTCAACAGTATGGGCAACTAAAAATTGTTCTGTTTCATTGAAGTTTGCAACGTAACCATCCTTGTTGATACCTCTTCTGAAATATCTGGTTCCCGCCCGGTGTCTTGACCTTCTAGTGATAAGGCCGAAAGTAACTGGCTTTGTGTTAATCGTAGTTTTGGTAAATTTTGCATAACCATAGATGACAGGCAAGACAAAGTTCGATACAAATGGAGTTGACTTAGATAGCTCAATCAAAGAAGCAGAAATGAAGTAGTTCCACATGAATTCATTATCAAATCCCAAAGAAGAATATGTAGGTTGGTTACCAAAACTTTTTGTCAAATCATATGTGTAAGAGAAGAATAAGGTGGCATTGTCTAGATGGCTTTTCAATATTTCAGTATACTTAGTGTCATCCTCATCGGGCTTGTGTTTAGAATTTAATGGCAAAATGCAAGTGGACTCAACCTTATAGATGGTCTTGTCTCCATAAATAGTACCTGCATTGCTAGCAGATTGGGCCAAAACAATGTAATAGTTGGAATATAAGTGTATAATACCCAAAAGTCCCGCTATTGGCTGGAATGAAGTTTGGAACGTCTGTTTTTCAATGTCTACTGTGCTAATCTCACCTGATTGAGCTACCAGCAACAGTTCAGATGAAGCTGTGCCTGCCAATTGAAAGACGTAACCTTCTGCAGTTTTGGCATATTTCAGAGAGGTGGATGCAACCATTTTCGTGCTATGCCTTGCTTACTTAGCGGAATACTGGATACGATAATATTTTTGTAGCTATTGTATATGTTGCAAGTGACACAGTGCATTCATCAAAAGGACACTGAGAGTTTTTTTGGCGACCGAGACCAGCTCGCTGCTTTTACAAAACCACTTCTGTGCTCGAGGAGGGTGATGAATAGTGTAAAATTACTTATTATGGGATAGAACGTTAAAAAATGTTGCAGTACACAGGGGATACATCTCTCTTAAAAGTCAAGAACATCAAGAGCAGGAAAGTCCTTGATGACCGGTACAGGTATTTCGTCAACATAGTATATCATACCATTGTCATCCAATCTTTCACGGTCACGCTTGTCAACTGTGTATATCTCTACAACAGTGTCCTTTAAAAGTTGTAAAATGTCGACAAAGTTGCTTTGAATGAGATAAGCTTGGCTTACCATATTTCTCTTAACCATGGCTTCGAGGAGCTTGATTGAATCAGGTTTTGTGATTTCCAACCTATCAATCAATCTACCTATGGAGCTAATAAGATATTCTTCTTCGTAAATCGTTCCCTTCTTACCACGAGCACGTTTTCTATCTTCCCTTCTTTTGTTTTTGGCAGTACGACGTGATGCTCCAGTTTTGGCAGTACCGGAGGTTTTACCCGTATACCTAGTGAAGAAAGATTCCTTGGTCGAAGTCTCAGATGGTGCAATCGATACATTATCTGGTGTGTTTTCATTCCCACGAATCTCTCCATAAAATGCATAAGGATCTAGATTCTTCTTTTCACGTAGATCACGTAGCCTCTTCAACTGTGACTCGATTTGCCCCTTGCAATCTGCAAGCAACTCTGCAATTGAGCCAAAACCTTCTCTTATTGAGGGATCGACAACTTCTTCAATCAATTCCGGCTTCCCTTCCTCGAGGCATAATTGAATTGCAGTGGAGTATTCATACTCTTTACCGTAGTATTCCAATGCTTCCTTGATATTGTTCAAATATTTGAAACTTATGTATGCAGCAGCCTTATACTCATGGGTTAAAGTTAAACTTTCAATCAACGAATTACATGTAGCAATCAGTTTTGATTCTTTGTATTCAGGCTTCAAAGCAATACTGATTGCTTCTCTCCACTTTTTGCCCCAGATATAATTGTCTAACGCTTCCTCGAACTTTGACAATTTCTCATAAATGATAGCTGCTTGAGTGTACTTCTGCGTTGCCTGTAAAAAGCTAGCATAGTGTCTTAGTATCACATTGAAATTTTCTTCATCATGCTTGTATAACGATAAAGCATGCTTGTATAATTCATGTTCAATAATGAACTCAATGATCTCTTCTTTGATGTCATGCTTTTCTGAAATTGGTATTTGTATCAAAGAATTCAAAGCCTTATCAAACTTCTTCAAATAGGAATCGACCATAAAACGTCTCCTCAACTCTGTTTCCTCATATAACCCTTGCAAAAAAGGTAAATATTCTTTCGGATCCTTTTGACTTTGCTGTGCAACCACTAATGCCAACGGAATGTTATATATACCCAATGCAATATTGTACAATTTATTCACATCCAATAGGAAACATAAATGCTGGACTGACTTCTCAATTTCTTGGTCGTTGTCAAAGGTAGAAATTAGTTCCAAGGCTTCCTGAGTTCTTGGCGGTTTCTGAGCTGCATACGCTGTGATTATAGATTGTAAATATTGCTGTTTGTATTTCTTGTTGTTAAGTAGAACTTCTAAAATTGCGTCACAGATTTTTCTGGTCTTTTCAAGACCTTTTTCCGTACGATTCAGGTTAATCTTACTTAAATTGTCAGTGATTTCTTGAGCTGTTGTAGTATTAGAGCCAGTACTTTCTTTATATTTGGTTTCACAAACGTCTTGCTCCAACAAGCAAGATAAGAATAAATCTAAATATTCAACTTTTCCCAATTGATTTATAAATTTCTCAACGTTTTTGAAGAATAGTTCTGGATCATAATCGTGTAAAATATCTAATGCAATTCTATGAACCCTACAAGTCAAAAAAGCAGTTTTATAATCTGCTGCTTTGATGGCTTTACGAACATCGCTTAAAACCATAATTCTAGGATAAATGCTTTCCAAATTACCTCTTGGAGCTTGTAAAATCACACATGATTTAGAAGGAATTGCATTGACTAATACTGAGCCCCTTTCTATATTTCTGATTCTTTCATCATGAAGGCCAAAGTTTACGTCTGTCTCACTGGCAACAGTATCCTTGAACTCCTCATCGTTGTAAAGCGTTTCGTTTTGTAGCAAGTGAATAAACTTCAATTGGTGCTGTGCTGTAGTGTACAGTAAGTAAGAACCAGTGACTAGCATTGACGTAACACCTTGACTGATCAATTTGGAATTGACATACAATTTACCGCTAGACATTAAACCGATTGGTACCTTTATTGTTGATAGGAAAGTGTCGTTTTCAGAGCCATCTTCTGTTTTGGTTAGATCGGCCACAATGAAATCAGTACATATTTGAGGAAACTGGCCCAACGATAAAATCTCTGAGTTTGCATCCAAACTAAAGATTGAACCGTCTATGGTTTCGAAAACCAGACTTTCGAATTCCAAGTCTGTAGACAACGTAATGACCTTAGTGCTAGGCACGGGAGTGACCCTTTTCAAAGTAAGAGAATCACCTCCTGCTTCGAACTCGGCTATACTAGATAGATTCATTAAAACTTCATCAAATAGTACGTAAACCTTATCATTTCCAGCTATTGTAACTTGCCTTGGATAGATTGAGTTTTGGGAAATGTCTGTGATTCGAAATCTATCAGTCAACTTAAAATCCCAGTTTTCATCGCCATGGAATAAATAAAGAAATGAGCTCGTCAGTATGGAAATGAGTTTATTATTGTGTGAGATGGAAACACTATTTATCGAACGTTCGTCCACGTCTATATCGCGGTAAGCAATGGGAGGAGGGACGCTAGCCTTTGCAAATGGAGTTAACATACATGTCATACCATCAATCACTAAGTTCACACCCGCATCGTGAGGTGGCGAAGTACACCCCTTGGTGGTTGTATAAGACATGTCAACAATTTCAATTGAAGCAGAGGTACCTATCATAAGTTTGGAAGGTTTCTCAGGATGAAATTTTGTAAATAGAATCTTCTCGTTATTATAAGCTGAAATTTCTTGCTTTAGATACCAATGATAATTCTTGACATACCAGAGCTGAACTGAAGATTCTAGTTGCAAAAGCAGATATTCGCTATTGGAAGACCAGTCAATTTGGTAGATATTGTCGAGTGATGCGTTCAGTCTAGAATCAAACTCACCATGCCTTAGGCCATTTTTTTCGAAAAAGATAACATCTAAAACCAAATCATTTATTTCGGGCTCGAATCTTCTCTGAGTGGAAGCAATCAAAGATCCTTGAGGCTTCCAAGATAACGAGTGTTCTTGGCCATCGATTGGTTCAGAACACGATATCAAATCTCCCTCTCTTGAATAGACTCTAATCACCCTTCTGGTTTGATCTTTTTCAGGCAGTGTTTCTATACAAGAAATGGCAAAAAACTGACAGTCTCCCCTCCAAGAAATCTCGTAAGATTGGGAGTCGAACTTAGATAGATTACCCGCCTGTATTTCTTTGATTGTTGGATCACATAAGATTGCGTTTTCACTATCTATATTAAGTCCAGCATTTTTCAATATCTTTCGTTCTCTTTCTATTTGCTTGATACCTCTACCTTTGAACTGAGTCTCTTCCTTACCCCAACCTAAAGACACTTGATTATTTAATTGTAAATCTGAAGGATCGATTTTTTTTTCCAATACCAAATCTAAGAATCTTGAGAAAAGTAGAAGGTTATGCTCATTAGTGACAATGGATAAAATCTCTTCATCATGAGACCATTTTGCAGACTTTATACCACAATCGATACTTCCGATAATTTCAACGAAAGTTTGGTCTATGTCAAGACTTGAAGGATCGTAGGTTGCAGTTATGATATCACCCTTAGAAAAGATAAGAACTAGCTGATTGGAGTCCTCAAAATGAGACAAGCTCAAGAGAGTGTCACCTTCCCGAAAAGGAACAGAAGCCAGGACACGGACTGCACCATTTTTCTGGAATTGCTGAATCTCGATGACAGCAAATTCTTCTGAACCCAATGCCAAAGTCAGAGAATCTGAGATTAGGTCAAAACAGGAGTCCAAAATTGGCAGATCAGGACACGTCTGTGAATCTGCAACAATTCTGGACTTGTTCAAGACTTTCAAGTTCTTCATTTCAGCTTGTAAAGTTTGTTGAGGTCTAAAACCGGCAATGCAGAGAATAGAAGAACTCTTGCTGAAGCGTTATGGGTACTGAATTTCAGATGCAGCAAATGAAAAAAAACGGTGTCTAATATTTTTTTTCCTCACCATCTAATTTTTTTCCCGGTGACATGGATGGATGGAAATACGCATGCCATATCGCCTGCCTCTCAACACATGCAACATAGAGAAAAAGTTTATTAGTAGAATAGAAAGGATATTTACAGGTAATGTATAAACGTACATAATTACAGAGTGGGTCTCCCGAACTTATTTTTTGGAAGGTATTCTGTCGTTGACTATATCCCAGTCGATACAGGAGATGACGTTGTTGATGTACTGCTGCTTGCCGTAAACCCCGTAGTCCCTCAAGTAGAACGCAGGGTTTGAACCTATGGCGAGAAGCGGAGTGAAGGTGAAGTTCAAGGAGTTCAAGGCGTCGGCATCTTCCATGGAGGGAATCTTGTTCGACGAGAACTTCTCGGACTCGTAGTTCTTATTCAGCTTTTTGTTTTCAAAATCTCTGCCAGAAGACACTCTGTTTGAGGTGAACGTGTGTGGCAAGCCGTTGTTGTAGGTGTTCAAGATGGACAAGTGTCCCAATTTGGAGAACGTGACGGAGTTCTCGATGTGTTTGTAGATCAACCAAGTGTACCCGTTTCCCTTGATGGAGTTTGCCGAGTCTGAGAGCAAAGTGAGGAACTCGTCCATCGAGCCAAAGGACTTGTTAATCAAGGAGACAAAGACCTCGTTGGATGGGGCGTTGGCAACAGCCTCTCCTGGGGACGCCAAGAGGGCGGACGCGCTGGCCTTGGCGACGGTGTTTGCAGGGTTTGCCTTGAGCGAGGAGAGGAAGTAGAAGAGGTTGTAGATCGAGGCCGTCAGGTCGAACAAGTAGGACTCGTCGTCGTCAAACTTGTTGGAGATCTTCTGGAGAAGGTCTCTGTACTGGTTGATGATCTTGTTCGACGAGTCGGCGCCTCTGTCGATGCTGCTGTTTGCCGAGTCGAAGCAGTCCAGGTAGTTGTTCGACGTCGACTGCACAATGGCCTCCTTCAGCTGGCCGAGGTTGCTCTCCAGCTGGCGGGACCACACGTCCTCCAGCACGTGCTGCGACAGCAGCCCGGGGATCCCGGCTCCTGCTGCCTTGAACGCGTTCAGTCTGTCAATCTGCGGAAGCTGCACCTTCTCCAGCAGGAGAGCCTGCTCATCAGACCCGCTGCTTCTGCTGCTGGCGCCGCTCACTTGTCCACGGACCGCCGTGTGTGTGAACGCTCTTCTTCCTGGCAACGCTGCCAACACCTGTGCTCTCGCTGTTCTCAACATCACGTACGCTTGCTGCTGCTACTTCGGTGGCCTTCCCACCCTCTTTCTAGGTCTCCGCTGTCCCTTTTCTTCTCTTTCCAGCATGAGCCACCTCTCTTGAAATTTCCTTGTATCCGTCCGTCTGCGTTTGCGTTCGTCTTCTCCCTCCCAGCAGAGTCTGTTCCCCCAACAGCGACGCGTCGGCCCTCTTGCTCTTTGGGAGTTACCCGGCCCACCCTGCTTCCGCTGTTCCCGCGTTTTGCCCGCCGTCTGGCCACGGCCGACGCGTCGCCACGGCCTGCCCAGACGTGTTTCCCTCCTCGCCCTCTCCCAGTTTTTTTCCCAATTTCGCCAATTTCCCACATTTGCTGGGAGACCGCTTTTTCCAGGCGGCGAGTGCGTTGCCTTCTGCTGATTCTGGTGCTTCACTGCACACTCGACCGAACGAACGGACGAACGAACGACACCCATCACCATACGCAGACGCCAGTCCGTGCCGTTTCTGTGCTGACTCGTATCGGATTGTTTGTTTGGCTGCTGCCTCTTTTTGCATACTAGCGTGTCGACCTTCTGTACCCCCACGCATACACCCACCACAGGTTAGTTACACCCCCCACCTAACGCCCGGCTTGCCCCTGCTTCGCCTCCACAGCTAGAACCCTCTTCTCTTCCCGTGTTCTGAATTACCCCAAGGCTCAGTCGACCAACTGCCTTTTATTCCTGTTGCCTCTCCCGCCCTGCTATCTGTGGCTGCTTGACCGATTGACACTTCACTCATCGCCGTCCTCATCCCTGACCTCAGCAGACAACACAAGACAACGCCATCCTCACGACACCCACTGATACAATAAACAACTCGGTTTAGACGTGCAGTTCATATACTCACCCCATATTTCTTTTCATCGCAGATCAAGAACAAGGAAAAAAGGAAGAGAAAACGCCCTTTCCTCTTTTTTACTCTTCATCCACCAACAACTTTCCTGTTTATTTACTATTCCTATCTATTTATCTACCGACTTATCCACCTAACTTAGTGAGCGATCGAATCCATTCTTCCCTCCTGGAACCTTACATTCGAATCAACAACAAGACAAGACAAGACAAGACGTGACTAAAAGAAAGTACTTTAGAATAGAAAACAAGAAAAAGCAAAGAGAAATTATCCATTGATCTTTCACTCCCCTTCTATCACATCATATATCCGCACAAAATATACAATTCATTATAGTCGCCTACCACGGTTATAATATATTGCTACATTCGCCTCACAAATAAACAAAAGATACAACAATGTCAACCGAAATACAAGAAGCAGACGTTGACTCTATAATCGACAGATTATTGGACGTCAGAGGCTCAAGACCTGGCAAGCAAGTCCAACTACAAGAAAACGAAATCAAATATCTCTGTACAAAGGCAAGAGAAATATTCATCCAGCAACCAATCCTTTTGGAATTAGAAGCCCCAATCAAAATCTGTGGTGATATTCACGGTCAGTATTACGACCTATTGAGATTGTTTGAGTATGGAGCTTTCCCACCAGAAGCAAACTACCTATTCTTAGGTGATTACGTCGACAGAGGTAAGCAATCCTTAGAAACCATCTGTCTCTTGTTGGCCTATAAAATCAAATATCCTGAAAATTTCTTCATCTTAAGAGGTAATCACGAATGTGCCTCAATTAATAGAATTTACGGATTTTACGATGAATGTAAAAGACGTTATAACATCAAGTTATGGAAAACTTTCACAGATTGTTTCAACTGCTTACCAATTGCCGCTATAATCGATGAAAAGATCTTCACGATGCATGGTGGCTTGTCTCCTGATTTGAATACTATGGAACAGATCAGAAGAATTATGAGACCAACAGATATACCTGATGTCGGGTTATTATGTGACTTACTTTGGTCTGATCCCGATAAAGATATAATGGGCTGGAGTGAGAATGATAGAGGTGTCTCTTTCACTTTTGGACCTGATGTCGTTTCGAGATTCTTGCAGAAACATGATATGGACCTAATCTGTAGGGCTCATCAAGTCGTTGAAGATGGATACGAATTTTTCAGTAAAAGACAATTGGTCACAATCTTCTCTGCTCCAAACTACTGTGGTGAATTCGATAATGCTGGTGCCATGATGAGTGTTGATGAAAGTTTGTTATGCTCTTTCCAGATTTTGAAACCAGCAGAGAAAAAGAAATATCAACCAATTGCTTCATCGAAGAAAAGGCCAGGTAGAATATATTGAATTTAGCGTGGAACTCAAAACTGATCGTCAATAGCAAGAAATTTTAACCTTCATCAAGTCATAAATCAGATCATACTAAATCAACTCAACTCATAACAACTCATATCAATTCAAGTCAATATCAGGTCATCAGAACAAATGATTATTTTAAGTTTGTTTATTTATTAATTTGGATTAACTCTTTATTATTATTAGTACTACTACAACTATATATTATCATTAAATATAATAGTTTAATTATAAATAACGAATAAACAACCCGACGAATCAAGAGAAACAAAAGAAGAAAAAGAATAAAGACGAATCCCAAGGAAATTGTTTCATAAGAAATAGATGTCCCCACTTATTTGGGTTCAAACGCATTCCCACTCTGTTCACATCCAATTTGTTTTTTCTTTTCATGATCAAATATCAAGTATACAAAAATTTCCTGTATTTGCCCCACGTCTTCTTCATGTTGCAGCCCTTTTTTTTATTCCCTTCATTCCAAACGAATATTATTATTACTTGCAACTTTTTCTTTCTCTCCATTTCTATTCTTCTCTATTTCTCCCATTTTGGTTTTTTTTTGTGTATCAATCAATACCTTTGTATTTGTTTTTATTAATTAATCATCTTATAAGATTCTTCCCTTTTGTTTTTTTGTTTTTTACCCTCCCTCTCTGTCTTTGTTAGTCAGCTCATTTTTTTGGCACGATCTATACATCTATTAGGGTCATACATCCTTCTTTTACCTTTTCCTTTTACTTTCACTTTTTTTTCATGTTTAATTGTTTTTAGGAAATATACAAATCTATAAATTCATGAAGTAGCTCATCGATAGAGGCATATTGCAGGAGGAGAAACGGAGGATGCGACGTAACTATGGAAAGTATATAAAAATGTGTAAGATGGATAATTACTTCTATGAAAGTAAGAGTAAAAGAACAACAACGAACAAAAGAACGAGAAGGGAAAAAGAGCTCAAAGCACGAAGCACGGAGCACAAAAGCACGAAAGCACAAGAAGAAAATAATCCTATTCAGAAAATCGAGTTGATTAAGTCACTACCGATGGTTGCACCTGCACCGAAGATCGCAGCGTCACCCAGCTTGGATCCGAATCTTTTGAACGTTCCTGAATGCTGGCCCTGCTGCTGTGGCTGTTGCTGCATTGGTGGTTGGCCAACCGGGATCTGTCCTGGAATGTTGAGCGAGCTCTGTGATTGCTGATAGTAGGGTTGCTGCATCTGCTGCTGGAAGTATGGCTGCTGCATCTGCTGCTGCTGTGGCTGTTGATAGAAAGGTTGTGACTGCTGGTACGAAGGAGGAGGTGCAACGTTCACGGCTGATCTGGAGTCATCCGAAGGTTCAGAGTACAGCTTGACGTAGTTTGCTGGGAACATCCCGCTTCTGCCGTGAACAGAGCCCTTCCACCATGCGTCGGAGACTTTTTCCAGAACGGTGATCTTGTCACCCCGGGTAAGTTTGAGGTCATCGGACTGCTGAGGGGCGTAGTCGTAGATCGCTTCGGCGTACTCTCCCTTGGTTGTGGAGCTGACAGACGTTCTTCTCTGTGATGGCGGAGGGCCCGGTGGTGCCGCCAGCGAGGCGCTGGACTGGTTGGATGGCGCCTTGGAGACGGCGATCGAGGGAGGGTCAAGCGTAGTGCTCGAGGCGGTGTTCCCGGCGGGGGTAGCTGTGGTGGTGGAGGTGACTGAGCCACTGTACTCCTTCATCGGCATGCCCTTCACGTAACGCTCTGGAAGCGACGCAATGATGTGGTCGTACAGCGTTTCCGAGATGACCTCGGATTCCAAAAGGAACTCAAGCTCGGTCTTGATGGTGGTCAACGATCTGTTGATGCTGGCAGACATTGTGTTTCTGTGCGTTGTGTAAGTGAATGCGTATGCGTATGCGTGTGCAAGGACCAAACAGAAGTGGACCAGCAGAAGAACGGACGGAGGCAAAGTCAGCCAACAGGATGCCTTTAAGCCACCGATTCATGTCCGCAGAGCCGTGCTGTGGGCTCGAAGGGGCGGAAGGAGGGCTCGATATTACGTAAGCGCAGCCGATGAGACATTTTCTTTTCCAGCTTTAGACAGATGGCGGTAATAATAGTACACAGTGTTTGACATAGAAGCCGACGTAGGGTCGACAGAGACGCAGATGACGCTAGAGGGGCCCGAGGTAGTCCTCCTTGATGCTGCCGATGGCAGAGATGCTGTTGACGTCGGAACGCGTGCCGATTATCTTTATGCGCACCTTGGAGCTCTTCATGATGACCTGGTCCTCGCCGATGTAGGCCGGCGGGGTGTGGCTCGGGTTGTACTTCATGTCTGAGGGAATCAAGTGCTTCGAGATGAACACGCTCAACGGGCCCACGTCGGCGAAGAAGCCCATGTTGTTCACGCTGGACACGACGCCGTCCACAACCTCTCCCTTGAAGGGCTTCCACACCACCGCCTTGTACTTCACCTCGAACTCGGCGTACCCGGAGTTCCCGGCGATGATGCGGCCCTTGCCCACGTCGATCGTGGCGCTGTCCAGCACGCAGATGATGTACCCAAACTGCCCCGTGCACGTGCCCTCCACGTCGGTCAAGAGCTTCTGTCGAAGATAGTCGTTCATCTGCGCACCGAAGTACGACGGGTGTAGTGTGAGATTGAGCGCAAGGTCTTTGATGAAAAACATGCTGTCTGTTTCCGCAGTGCCTGCTGGTCCTTCTCTTCGCTCGTGTCTGCTTGCCGCTGCCCTCTGCTCCGCTTCTCGACCTTGGCCTCATCGTCTGCTCACCGTCTCGATTCATGCTGTCTCTTCACTGAGCACGTCCGTTTTCGTCGCAGAGCCGCGACCGGCGGCACTGCGCGCGTGTACACAGAGTACATGGGCGGGGTGCCGTGGAACCGGGCATTTTTTTCCAGTCTCCGTCCATGTGGAAGACCATTTCAGGGTGAAGGAAGCAGAGACGAAGCAGTTGGAAAGGGAGCAAGGAGCTAGCACAATCGGAAACAGCCAGTATAGACACGCCATGTCAAACCAGATTGGAAAGGCGGGACTAGGGTTTGCCCGTGTGTGGCACCACGTGGACCTCTCGAACGAGCAGCGGACGTTGGGTCGTTTGGCCTCGCAGATCGCCATAGCGTTGATCGGGAAGCACAAGCCGATCACACACATCACCGAGGACGCCGGGGACTACGTGGTGGTCTCGAATTGCCAGTACTTGAAGGTGACCGGGAAGAAGATCTCGGACAAGACGTACTGGAGCCACACCACGAGACCGGGGTCGGGAATGGCGACCCCGATGGACAAGATCATCCGGGACTACGGCTACGGCGAGGTGCTGAGAAGAGCCGTGAGCAGAATGCTGCCTAAGAACAGATACAGAAAGGAGAGACTGGCGAGGTTGAAGGTGTTTGACGGCGCCCAGCACCCGTACCAGCAGAACATCATTGCCTGGGCGGACGAGTACCCGCAGGTGGAAAAGGCCCTCGAGGAGAGCATCACGAGAGAGAAGCAGCTGCAAGAGTTCAACAAGCTTCTCCAAGAGAAGAAGCTATAGGACTGCCATCGCGCATGGCCACACGCATCGTCAGCAACCCTGTATATATATACATCTATTCATATAGACTAATAAATCTCAGCAACAAGACAGCCACCACACACTCACACACTCTTGCTCCCACCAGTAGTGTTCCAATTAGTAAATATTTTTTCTATTTTAAAAAGCTTTGTTACAATTTTTTTATATACATTACAGTTCTTTAGTTAGTCTTTTTTTGTGTTTTTCGTCTTTTAAGTTTTCGATCGTTTCTACTTCCTTCAACGAACAGTATAACTACTCTTTTGCGTGTAGAGTCTTGGCGTGATGTTCATTGCCATCAATTCCTGGAAAAGCAACTTCGCAGCATATGGTATATGGATCTGGTAGATGTTGGTTTTGTTCTTGCAACTCTTACATTCGAACTGCGCCTTCTTCAAATTCGCCACCACACTCATCAATCCACAGATGCCACAAACATGAACTCTGAACGCATCCGAACTGTCCATCAATCTCTCCTTCAAAAACCCAGCAGCACCGTGCGCAATCATACAATCTCTCTCCATCTCTCCGAATCTCAAACCACCGTCTCTGGCACGACCTTCCATAGGTTGTCTGGTCAAGTTCTGGTACGGTCCACGGGCACGTGCATGGATCTTGTCATCCACCATGTGTCTTAATCTTTGGTAGTACGTTGGTCCAAAGAAAACTTGTGCCATCAGCTTCTTACCAGTGTGTCCATTATACATCACTTCAAATCCACGTGATTGATATCCGTTTTCACGCAAAAGCTTCGACACAGCATCAACAGTCAAATCGGTAAATGGCGTAGCATCACCTTCATAACCTCTCAATGATGCCACCTTGGACAACAAACATTCGATCAAATGCGCAACAGTCATACGCGATGGAATTGCGTGAGGGTTAATAATCAAATCTGGAACAACACCTTCGGCAGTGAATGGCATATCTTCGTTTCTGTAAGTGATACCAATGGTACCCTTCTGACCGTGACGCGATGCAAACTTATCTCCAATCTGTGGAGTCTTCGTAGTTCTCATACGAACTTTGACGAATTTCAAACCTTCGGCGTTTGTGGTTAGTAACACTTGGTCAACAATACCACTTTCGGTTGTTCTTAGAGGGGTAGATGCGTCACGCTTAGTATGATATTTGGTTCTTTGACCCAATTCTTCAGTATCAGTTGGAATTGGGACAGTCTTACCAATGATGATATCATCACCGGAGACTCTAACACCAGGAGAAATTAATCCATCATCGTCCAACTTTTCATATGTACCGGCCTTGAAACCTAATGTATTAGAACGCATAGGCTTTTCAAACTCTTCAACAATAGAAATACCATTTCTTCTTTCTTGATCCATGTAAGATCTGAAGAACAAAGAACGGAACAAACCTCTATCAATAGAAGATTGATTCATAATCATAGAATCTTCTTGGTTATAACCTGAATAACATGCAATTGCCACAATAGCGTTTTGACCAGCAGGTAATTCTCTGAACTTCAAAAATTCCATAGATTGTGTCTTAGCCAATGGCTTTTGAGGATAGTACAAGATGTTCGCCATAGTATCCATTCTAACATTGTAGTTAGTCAAAAACACACCCATAGCCTGCTTACCCATAGCGGATTGATATGTATTTCTTGGGGATTGATTATGATCTGGGAATGGAATAATCGAAGCTGCAACACCTAGAATCATGGATGGGTGAATCTCACAATGAGTAAAAGAATGAGCGTTGATATGATTCTTAATTCTTTTGGCTGGATCAGCTTCAAGATCCTTCATTTCATCTTCTTCATCCACTGGCGACAAGTCTTCTGAAGACATGGCAATCAAGACTGTTTCCTCTTCTTCTGCATCTAAATATTCCACAACACCTTCTGCTAATAAAGAATCCCATCCATATATTCTCTGAATCGGGTCTAATGGGTCACCATTCTCATCAAATCCATCATCCTGTGGAATTTCTTCAATTTCACGATCCAGAATTCTTCTACAGTGCTCCTTGGTTAATTTCAAGCCACCCTTACGTTCACTATCAGGATCATCATCAACAATGAATAATGGCCTGTAAACTCTACCGGCATCTGTGAAAATTTTAAATTCTCTCTCCCTAATATTTCTGATCAACGAAACTTCGGCTGAAATAGTTCCACTTCTTCGTAATTGTCTCATGGTATCAACCAACATACCTGGGTCTCTGTGTGTACCAACCCAGTCACCGTTAAGGAAAACTCTTGTTGATAATTTATGCTCTTGCGGGTCGTAATCTGAAATTGGTTCTAAACCCCATTCTTCTAACAAGTAGGTGATTGGCTCAGATGCGCTACCAACAGAAATACAAGACATTAAAGATAAATTCTTGACCAAACCACATGCCTGACCTTCTGGAGTTTCTGCAGGACAGACAAGACCCCAATGGGTATTATGCAATTGACGGGGCTTTGCTAGCTTACCATCTCTACCAATTGGTGTATTAGTTCTTCTCAAATGTGATAATGTGGATGAATATGTGTATCTGTTCAACACTTGAGAAACACCTGCCTTGGAACTCATTGCCTTTTTCTGTTCACCCCAATTACCTGTAGCTAGAGAATATTTCAAACCTGAAGTAATGGTCGTAGACTTTACAGCAGACACAATATTGAAATCTTCACCATGTTCGATACATCTTTGCATGTATTTGTAGATATCACGTGAGAGTTTTCTGAATAGAATTCTAAATAAATTGGCTAATAAAGGACCTGCCAAATCCAATCTCTTTTTACCAAAATGATCTCTGTCATCTTGTTCTTTTCTTTCTAGTGCACATAAGAGTAATCTGTTTATAATGTAACCCATGAAGTAGGCTTTATTTGTTTCATGCCCACCATCTTGCGAAATGTGAGGTAAAAACTCTCTTTGTAAAATATCCTTCGCAAATTGAATACGTCTTTCTCTTTTGATACCAACGGCATTACCTCTTCTACCAATGTAGTCCAATGCAACTTCTTGAGATTGAATCAAAAAACCTTCTTCAATACAAGGCTTCAACATTTCGAGCATTTGCCAATCGTTATCATCATAACAAATGTGTTGTAAAATATCACCATCCTCGATGACACCTAAAGCTCTGAAAACAATAACAATTGGAACATCGGTTTTAATATAAGGTAATGTTGTCTTTATCGAACGACCGACACCACCACTCTTGAAACTGGAGGCACCACCACTTGAAAGCTTAACTTGAATAGAGGAAATCAATCGGGAACCTTTTTCAAGAGCAGATCTGATTTCGGCAACGTGTGAAATTGGGGAAACACCAGACTTCTTGAAAACTTGAACAATATTTGCAGCAGATCTTTCTTGAGCAATCAAAACCTTCTCGGAACCATTGATGATGAAGTAACCACCCATATCAAATGGGCATTCTCTGATTTGGTACAATTCTTCCTCGGACAAGCCATATAACGTACAGAACTTGGACTTCAACATGATTGGAACTTTACCAATGAAAATGGTCTGTGTTTCCGCCCCACTTCTGTGAATTTTAGTGTTGTGCTTCTCATCCACAATAATATCATCGTCGTCGTTAAAAGCGTTAGGAATAGGCTCTAACTCATCCAACTGTCTTGCTCTGTACTTGAAAATATCACCCTCTTTGTACCAGTTTACTTGAGAAGATTGGCTGTTTTCATCGTCTATACTTTCCTTCACCATCTTCTTCATCTCGACATAGAGAGGCGCAGAGTATGTCAAGTTTCTCAAACGTGCTTCTTGAGGTAGCAAGGTCGAAGTGGTACCGTCTGCTTCGGTCTGAGAAGGCTTCGAAAGGAAAATATCGCCAAATGTAATCTCATATCTTCTACTGATGTCGTCATCTTCACTGATATGTTGAGCAGGTTGATCCAAAATCAACTTTCTGTCTTCCAAAACTAGCTCTTGAATCGACGTTTCGATGAACTCTTCGAACGATTCCAATTGCTGAGACACCAAGCCTTTGGTTTCGAAAAATGATGTAATCACCGTCCAGCTATCTTCGGTGGTGATAAGATCATCCTCTCCAAGGGAATAAGCAGACTCATCATATGACATCGTAATACTGCTTTTGCTGCTTTGGTGGCTCCCGGTAAACGCTTGTCCAACCCACTGGCCTAAGTCCTCTGCCCCCCTCCACAAGCTAACTTGTGTTCTACAACAAACAGACACACTCTCTCTTTTGCCTCCACTGAAAACTTCAACTTTTCCATTTTCGCTGAGCACAATTTTTTCTCGTCAACTATCTTTTGAGCCGATCGACGGCCCTTAGTCTTTTACCCGGCTTTTCCTGCGTGCTCCACCATTTTTTCTCGATGGTGAAAGTTAAGCTGAATCGACTTTGATTTTCCATCTTGAAAGACCATGTAGAAGCGTAGGATCTCGAAGATTGAGCTGTTTCAATAGACCAAAAAGCTACAAGGCGGAAGTCAAGTACATCCATGCTTTCCAGTATGCTTCCTGTACGCGTCTTGCGTTCCCACGCAACAAACAGCAACTCGTTCCAGCACATTTCGGTGCGTACAATCATCATGGGATATCGTAAGCCATTTGCACCAAAGCCAAAGCCAAAGGAATCACACGACCAGCGTGCTTTGAGATCAAAAAGAATTGTGCAGCTAGTGCGTGATGCTTTGGAGAACGACGAACCGAATTTTGTGCCGGGTTCGAAACCAATCTATCTTCCATTTGCAACTATAAAGCTGTTAAGACCAAACGCAAAGCACACCCCATATCAAGCGAAGTTCATTGTGCCGAAATCTTTCAACAAGCTAGACTTGAGAGATTACCTATACCACATATACGGTCTCAGAGTTTTGAATATCACGTCTGCCTTGATGCCAGGTAAGTTCATCAGAAGTATGCCTGCTCCGTACGGTAGTAGATACAGAGAGGCACAAATAAAGAAGATGACTGTGGACTTAATTGATCCTTTTGTGTGGCCAGCAGAGTCTGAAGAATACATACAAGAGAAGGAACTCACATCAGAATTGAACAGATACAGGGAAGAAAAAGCCAACGCAATCAATTCCGATGCTGAAAAGCCAAGTAAAGCTTTTGGTGGTATTATAGACAAGCAACCAAGACCAATGAACTTTGTTCCTAAGGTGGTTAAGAGACAAATGAAAAACACAAAAGATCAAGACATAATTGCAAAGAAGAAGCTTGAAGCCGAAAAGTTCATTTCTTCTTACATACAATTATGATTTATTCATTCAAGCATATAAGATGATACATATATATATGACTTTGTAACCTCTTCTGTACATATATTATTATAGAACATTGATAATAATGCAACGACGATAACAAATATTAAGTCTGTAAAATAGTATCAAACAAATCAAACGCAACGGAAAAGAATGGAAAAAAAAAGAAATAGTATAATCGTAATTGTATATAGGATAAGAAGATAATTTTAGAATAAATCGTCACAGGAAAAGAAGAGAAACGAAGCGAACCAAGAAACAAAAAACAACCAGATCAACCTCTTGACGATGTTCTGAACCAACTCGACCTAGATCCTGATCTAGAGGTGGCTTTTTTACCCACAGTAGAGGATTGCTTGGATAATTCGGGAGCAAGCAGTCCAGACGTCTCATCAATCACAGTACCCACGTCACTCAAGTTGCTGGCTTGACGTTTTGGCTCAAACGAAGATGTGCTTGAGTTGTAGGGAGAGTCGTTGCCTTTGCTTGATAATCGATCTTTGGACTTGTTGGCTCTCTTGGCTTTATACATTTGTCCACTCAGGTCGCTGCCCTCCAGCAGATCTTTCTCGCTAACAATTGCAAAATCATCAAAACTTCGGGTCGGAGATGGTGTCTTGGAGTCTTTTTGCGACACCACCGATGCAAAGGACGAAGATGAGGCCGATGCAGCGACTTGCGCCCCTTCCAAGTTGTAACCGAAGGGTGCAAACAAGGAGGATAATATGAACGTAGTGTCTGTGTTCCGAATATAATCATTTGCGGCTTGTTGAGGAGGTTTATTCTCAGCATTGGCAGTTGCCAAACCTCTGCTAGGCTCTGGAACTGTGCTGGAATAAGTGGAGCCTGTTACGAAGGATGTCAAATATTGGGAAATTCCGCCAATTTTGGACTCCGCATTCCCATTCCCAAAAACTGCGGAGGCAATGTTCTCTTGTGCACTCCTCTTATCCGAAGGGCTGCTCATTTCCTTGAAGTACTTCTCGTATGAGTCAACATTCACTCCGGCAATCCGGAAAAAAACATCCGAAGAGGGAAGCCTTTTCACTAGCTCACATATGTAAACACCCAATATACCTAAACCAGAGGTGAATTTCGACTTTACGAACGTGAGGTTTCTCATGTTGTTATCATAATAGTAGTGATAAATGACGAAAGCTCCTGAAACTTTCACGTTGTTGGCCAGAGGTATGATAGGGAACCCCAACCAAATTTGGAAATATAGGATGGCGAGAGAAGATAAGGGCAATATTTTAAGAAGGATGGCAATTGGCGTTATTTGAGTGAAATAGAACCAGAAAGCTAGGACTATCCAGTAGGTCAGCGATTCCTGTAACAACTCAGCATCTTTTCTGTAGAGCGGTATCGTGTCCGTGAGGGCGGCAAGTGCATTGTTGCGGGACGATTGTAAGGCCGTCAACTGTGTAATTGTCCGGTAAAGAGGGTATGCAATGGAGGCCATGGAGGCCAAAGACTGTAGCAATCCGAACATATTGAGCAGTAGTGTGTGAAAGAATTGCCCAATTTGTTTGAAACAGCTTTCGAAGAAGGAGGACAATGCGTTCAGGCCACTGGGAAAGTTGTCTTCGGCATGCACTATCTGACAGACGGGATGCATTGATACCGAATTTGAGTGAGTACCTATTTGGATGCACAATCTACATTAGCGCAGTGTATGCTAGATTACATAATGTCTTTTTCTCTTTTTTTACATAAGCGGGTTCTTATCTATCAATGATTCAGTAGGAGGCCCATTCATCAATGAAACAAATCAAGTCCTTGAGCAAGGCACACGTCTCCCCCGGGCTGGAAATCCAAGCGGTTGCCGCTGCCGTTCGGCTGGCGTAGTCGTTGGAGCCCAACGCGTTGAACTGGTCGCCGACGTGTAGAGTGTTTTGCGGGCCGATGCGCTGGCCGTCGTTGCGCTGGAGAAACTGCTGGAGGACCTGGACGCCGAGACTCTTGTCGCCAACGTCGACCCAGATGTCACTGCCGCCGTTAAAAGCACACCACTTGATGTTTTTCGCCGGCTGGAACTGGCGGAGGTTGTGGTCGACCCTGAGCACGACCTCCTCGAGCTGCTCCCGGATCAAATTGGCGCCTGGCAGGGCGACCAGTCCGACCGCACGCTCCTTGCGGATCGTCGTTGCAGGAAGCGAGAGCTTGTGCACGAGGTTGTCCAAGTTCTCCTGTGCAAAGTCGAGGACCGTTTGGATGTCGCTCTGCTTCCATTTCTTCATGTCCGGCAACAGCCACGACTCCTCTTCCTGGAATTCCAACCCCTCGATGTCGTCCTTGTATCGGAACAAGAAGTTTGCCTCGCCGCCCATCACAAGAAGGTTCTGCTTCTGCGTCGTGGTCAAGTCCGAGCCGTGAACTCCCTCTACAAGACCGGCAAGCCGCTCGTGGTAGCGGGCAGCGTCCCGGTACCCGGCCGCGGTGACGATTCCGACAATGATGTCTTTCCGCAGAAGCGTCAACATATGCTCGAGCAGCGGCGACTTCGGGTCGAAATTCTTCCCGTCGTCGTACAAGGTGATGTCCCCGTCGAAGGTGATGAGCTTTAGCAGCTTTTCCCGCGAGTTGTCCGCCTTCTCATGGAAGGGCATCGACAACTGCAAAATCTGCGCCGTGTTGAGCACCAACCGGATATCGTTGAAGCTCGGGGCCACAAGCCGCCGCATACTGATGCCCCGCCGCTGGTCCTGGATGTAGAACGCCTGCTCCAGCGGCAACGGAGTGAAAAATGTGCCAATGCTCGGCACCAACTGCACGATGCGGGACTGCTCCGGAGTGCCCAACCGCGTCATCTCGATGTGGTCCAGCACAAGCTTCTCAATGTCATGGAAGATCTCCGCATACCGCCGGGCCGCATCCGAGTTAATCATCAGGTCCTGCACCGCCGTCACCGTCAAGTTCGGCTTGACCGCATACAAGACAAACGGCGTAGCCAAAAGCGACTTGATCCACTCAATAAACTCATCTCTGCGGTGCTCCTTAAGGTAATAGTCCACCCTGTACCGAGAAGACATTGTACCGCTTGTCTGCCACCAGTTCTGCCTCTTGTTTCGGCCCTGCCGCCCTCCTGTCAACCCCTGACCTGTCTGTGGCCCGTAGTGCAGGCCCATTATCGGTCCGGGCCTTCACCGTCTTTTTTCCGCTGCACTGGGCCGATCGGCGGAATTCCCTTTTTCCTCGAAACGGTTTTCTCCCACAGTCATCCTATCTGTGGGAAAGTTTCAAGTTCAAGCACTGAGTCATACATCAGCAGGGAGCTTGGTGTGTCTTAGAGGCTGATCTATCCGGGTGGAGCTTTTCAGATCGGAAAGAGTCGAAAGAGTCGAAACAGACACAGACACAGACACAAAGACCAAACAGCTATATACCAGGAACAGCTGCAATGACGGTCGAAGAACAACGACAGAAACATGTTGTCATGATTGACAACTATGACTCCTTCACCTGGAACTTGTACGAGTATCTCTGCCAGGCAGGTGCCGAGGTTTCGGTGTACAGAAACGACAAAATCACTCTGACGGAAATCGAGGCACTGAGTCCGGACCTCATATTGATCTCGCCCGGTCCAGGCCATCCGAAGACGGATGCGGGCATTTCCAGAGACGTGATTGAATACTTCAAAGGCAAGCTACCGATCTTTGGTGTTTGCATGGGACAGCAGTGCATCTACGAGGTGTTTGGCGGAGATGTCGAGTACGCGGGCGAAATTGTCCACGGTAAGACGTCTACGATTACTCACGACAACAAGGGGATGTTCAAGAACGTTCCCCAGGGTGTGGCGGTGACCAGATACCACTCACTAGCAGGATCTGCGCAGTCGCTACCTGATGTTCTCGAGGTGACTGCACAGACTGAAAACGGTATCATCATGGGTGTCAGACACAAGGAGTATACCATAGAAGGCGTCCAGTTCCACCCGGAGAGTATTCTCACCGAGGAGGGCCATTTGATGGTGAAGAACATCCTATCTGTCAAGGGTGGCTACTGGAAAGACAACGAGGCCTTGACGAGCACGACCGTCAAGCCGTCGATATTGGACAAGATATACAACCAGCGCCGTAGTGACGTGAGAGCTGCTGCCCTCCAGCCTGGCCGGACGTTGGAAGATTTGGAGACTTACTACAAACTGGGGTTGGCTCCAAGCATCTTGAATTTTCATTCAAAACTCTCGGCACTCACGTCCAAGGGCGAAGTGACAATAATAAGTGAAATCAAGCGTGCATCCCCATCGAAGGGCGACATCGATATCGAGGCAAATGCTGCGTTACAGGCGTCTAGATATGCCAACGCAGGAGTCGCAGCGATATCCGTTTTGACCGAACCAACCTGGTTCAAAGGCTCGCTCGAGGATCTGGAGATGGCCAGAAAGGCTGTGGACATCTTTTCTGCCAAAAACGACACAGAGAGACCGTGCATCTTGCGGAAAGAGTTTATCTTCAACGAGTACCAGATTCTTGAGGCACGTCTTGCTGGTGCCGACACAGTTCTCTTGATTGTGAAAATGCTCACTGAAGAAGAGCTCACCAAATTGATCAAGTACGCACGGTCGCTCGACATCGAGCCATTGGTCGAGGTGAACACTTCTGATGAACTTGCCGTGGCTCTTAAAGTCGGGTCGAAGGTGATCGGCGTCAACAACAGAAACTTGAAAGACTTCAACGTCGACCTGGATACCACCACTAGTGTACTTTCTGGCATCACGGCAGAGCAGCGAAAAGAGTTGGTGTTTCTGGCCTTAAGCGGCATCAGCGGTGCTGCAGATGTGAAGTCTTATGTTGACCAAAACGTCTACGGGTTTCTCATTGGTGAGTCCTTGATGCGCAAAGGCGACAAAGTTGGCGAGTTTATCAAGGAGTTACAGAGTGTATAGGACGAACGATGTGATATACATATTTCTATAGACTGAATCTTATTAGCAAATAAACGGAGGCGGTCAGAGGTCCTCGAATTCTTTCATTTTGGCGGTCATTCTCAGCTTCAATTCCGTCAAACTAGCTTCTGCCGTCTTGAAATCGAGATCTTCGAAAACAACGGCAGGGATTTTGCTATTTCTGAGGTTTTCATTGTTGGTCAGAGCAGCTTGGCTTCTTCCCTCCCAAAACCGTTGCAATGTGTGAGACTCCAGCTCTCCCGAGTATAGATAGCCCGTGAGGATGACCGAGAGCTTGTCTAGTAACGACATGGCGGGAGTGAGCTTGAGACATGGCCATAAAAACTGGTCGGTAAGTATATCGAGATCGTCATCAGTGAGATTGCTCCCGTATTTCTTGTGCAACCTGCCAATGTCATATTCTCCCTCGTGGTTCCATCTTATCTGAAAGGGCCTTCTCTTGGACTTGAAGATCGATTTACCAGTAAACTCCTCGGCAGGCTCTACGGGTGGCATGAAATGGCTTTCGTCGACTGAAGGAGAAAGCAACAATACTGGCATTGGAGTTTCCTTCTCGTCATTCTCGGCCTCCTTTTCATCCTGCATCCGTTTGCCGCTGCCGCCGACATTCATACGTAGTATCAGTATTTTGAGTATCTCACAGTTGTTACGACTGAGAAGAGGGACGTATGTAACATCTGTTAGCACATCTACAGTTGTCCGGAAGGGCACCTGTATGACGCTTTTCTCCAGCTTGTGCCACTTGCTACACAACAGCTTTTTCTGCGGAGCTTCTGTGATCACCGACCGCAACACTACCAAATACATGTAGGAGTACTCTAGAGAAGCAATCATGTTTACAACTCTGCGGAACAAATCGTACACGTCAATGCAGGCGTACACATTGGCAGCTGCCAAATGGAGGTCTCCAAAGCTGCGGATATGCCGTGCTGTTGAATCTTTTCGTTCCTCCATGCTATACGGATGCAGACCATTCCTCTTTCAAAGAATCTAAACACCTCGCAAGCTGTGCACGTACTTTCAACATGCAATCCCAAGAACACACAGCAAGTTAGCCGGCGTGGCCAGCGTCTATACAACACGGTGGAGAACAGAGTGCGCCCCGTCTTTTTCGTACAAGAGCGAGGCATGTTTTCCTTGCCTGGGCTTTTTCTTCTGTCTGGTTCTATAGGCAGTGTGTTGTTCGTATGTTGTTCGTGTGTTCTACTGCTGCTGTTCTCTTCTGCAAGCACGCTTGACCTTTCAAGAGAAGCTACGGTAACGGACAAAAGGACGCCTGAAGCACTATACACAACATAGCGGTGTCGGGAGAAAGATTGTTAGCTCGCACAGAAACAGATACAGCGTTGCAAATACACTCACTCATAACTATTAAAACACGCCGGAACACAGCAGGATATCATTATGGCTAACATACACTCGTTTTTTTGCAGTTTCTTCATTCTGCTGCTTTCGCTTAGAAGTTGTTTAGGGCAGCTTGTGATCGACAGTCCTTCAGCAGGCTCAACTTTTGACGTTGTTGGCGGTGAAGTGACGATTCCAGTCAAGTGGGAGGACGACGGAAATGACCCCACCGATGACCAAATTACTTCATATGCTTTCAAGCTTTGTACCGGTCCGAATCAACCAATCGAAGGTTTGCAGCTGATAAAGGGCATCACCCCAAGTCAAGTTAAAGGCAACTCATACGATGCGGTTTTCGACGCTGACAATGGAGCTGACGGTTCGTACTTTGTGCAGATTTACTGTAGTTTGTCCAATGGTGGTTACATGATTCGTTATTCTGACCGTATTCAACTTTCTGGCATGAGTGGTAGCTACAAGCCAAGCGGTTCAGGTCCTTCACCAGATGGTGAGACAAATTCTGATGACAATGGACAGCAGAACGATGCCGACATTTCAAAATCGTTTACTGTTCCTTACACGCTGCAAACAGGAAAGACTAGATTTGCCCCAATGCAGATGCAACCTGGCTCAGAAATTACAGTTAGCAGTTGGTCTAGACGTTTTCCTTCTTCTGCTGTTACTTTCTACAGCTCCTTTGCTTCCCAGCCAAAGATAATTTCAACGAGAACACCTGGTTGGTCGTACACCATGAGCTCTTTTGTTAACTATGCTACCCCTGCTCCTTTCCCCAGTGTGGTGGGATGGTACGCTCCAAGTAAAAGGCTACAGAGTGCATCACTCGATGCCCCAATGCCGGGTGCATCTGCTGATGCAAAGAGAAAGCTACAGAAAAGAAGATGGGTAGATTAAGCGGAGTACACACATAATTGTTGAGAAGTCACGAATGTTAGGCTAGTCCCTTTTGCATTAGTCCGCTCAAAAGCAACCGACATCTGGTTTCATCTTCACCATCATATACCCCTGTACTACTACTACTGCTACAGGTTTTTTTCATTATTTTTTTCCAACATCCACCTTTCTTTTTTCATAGCAACATCTTTCCATATTACTTTCCTTTACTTTTGCATTGTTTTTCACTCTACTGTTTTTTTATAGTTTAAGCTGCGGAAACGTACCAGCAGTCTTTGTACTCGCAGTCACAAATAAAAATATAATCATTAAACCTTAATCACGCTATACTAAATAATATACAAAGAAGAGAAGACTTTCTGCAGAGTAGCCTCAAGAGTGGTAAAGCTCAGGAACACGATGCACGACCTCAACAAGCTTCTTGGCGGCATTTCCGTTGAAGTCTTTGCCGAAATCAAACCATTGTAGAACGTTGACCGACAAGTCCTTCTGCACCACCCCAATCACCTCGTACCAGTTGTCTACGACTAATTCGTCGGTGTTGGAGGAGCTCGACACGCTGATCAAGCCGTTAGAGTCAAGACTTGCAGACGAGTTTCCCGTGTCCAACGATTTGAGTTGGCCTATAATACGAACAGTCTTGTTCGACGATTGTGCAAGCAACGTGGCGTCAACTCTTAGGGATTCCATGGCTGATATGTCTATCTAGCGACCTAGTTATATCCTTTATTCCTGGGGGTTCTGTTTGCTCATCTCACCAGGAGCCGAAACGAAGAAAGCATCTTAGATGGCGTCAGCTATTTATTGCGCGTCTGTGTGAATGTGAATGCGGTAGGGTAGACGCGTCGGCCTTCAGTATCACTTCAAAACATATGCTGGGCGCCTTCCTACGGTATACTATTTGATAGTGGTTTGAAGCAGATCACTTCTAGTGCCCTGATTCATTTAGATGTCAATAGTAGTATGCTTTGAAATCCCTCCTCTCAAACCCTTTTCTTGTAAAAACAGTCTGCCTCAGTTTGGTTTGTAAATTGCTAATATTAGAGCAATTGTCGTGCTTTAGGAAGGCGTTTAAGAAATGCGGAACACATTTTTCTGGAGTTGCCTCTGTATGTAACCTTTGTCTGGCTTTGAATCCCATATATACACAACTGCCTCGCAACATACAAGATGCGGTTGTCCTTGATCCATGCTCTAGCGTTCTTTACGGCGTTTGCCAGTGAGTGTTCTTGTAATGATGATTCCTATGTTGCATCGGAACCTCGCATTATAAACTTTGCTTTAATCAAACTACCTGAGGAAGTGAAAAACGAGATACGTGTACCCTCTATTATGCATTCTTGGGAAGAAACAGAGTATATTATGCTTACCAACGACGACACTCCATTTGAGTATGCACTAAACATGTCGTATCTCGATTTGGCGAAACTGCATTTGCTAAATGCAAACAGCGGGAAATTCAAAGGCAACGACTACGCTGGCCATCAGGCTAGCTACAAGGGCAACTTAACAGAATTGACTTTGGACGATGTGATTTACTTATATTACACTGAAGATGAGCTTGTGTTGGACCGTAGCATACCTTTTTACACTCGGGATGAGACAAAGACTGCTACCGGAGAATCCAGCCCCACTTCCAAACCTGGCTCTGAAAACTAATATAAATGACTCTGGGTACAGTACTCAAATATGAGATTTGTGCTGGTTTTTGGACACTTCGGCCCCCCTCTCCCCTCCTTCCCCATATTTATTTAGAATTACACAACTCTGTTATACAACTATCGCACAATGAATTTTACTGACTGTAGAGTAGGCATTCGCTTCTAGGATGGTATTTATGCATGCAAGGTATGCCACATATTGAGGTGAAGCCAAAAGGTGACGGACGATCATCGAGTTCGGTATCTGTCCACTACAGTAAAAACGCTCAATGCTAAAGCCCGTTCATAATTTGAAAGTTTTCGATAACAAAATATGCAACTTATCTCTGCTCGAATACGGGCTACCAATCAGTAGGTGTCCGCCTGTGTTTCAACATAAATACCATTCTGGCTCTGATCCGACTTGTTCATCATGGCCTAGAAGTTATAATCCACGTTTAGTTACCCGGCGTTACAGCGCTCTTTTCCAAGAAAAAAAAACAGGAGCGAGTAGTCCTCATTCTCTGTACATGAAAGCCTTTCGTCACTCCCTCAAAGAAGAAACAAAAGTGGTTTGAAAAGGTCGATCTGAAGTGAGAAGGCCCATGTCAGATCCAAGCACAAAATGATTTACCTTAAGACTTTACTGAAAGTGATTGACAACTCCGGTGCAGAACTAGTGGAGTGCATCAAAGTTCTCAGGAAAAACCCAATGAACTGCGCACACGTTGGAGACAAAATTGTCGTTGTTGTGCAGGAGGCAAAGCCATTGTCATCACAGATTACAGGAGCAGCTGCTTCGAACCGTGTGAAAAGAGGAGATATTTGTCGTGCCGTTGTTGTAAGAACCAAGTACCCAATCCAAAGAAACGACGGGACCGTCATAAGATTTGATGACAATGCCTGCGTCCTAATCAACCAGAAGGACGAGCCTATCGGTACCAGAGTCAGTAGTGTGGTTGCAAGAGAGCTAAGAAAGAAGAACTTTGGTAAGGTTATTTCTCTTGCCCCAAGGGTTGTCTAAGCCCGTGGGAGAGAAACCTTTTTCTCAAGCCTAGGCGTGAAACCGCTTTCTTGTTTTTTCAGCCCAGACAACTGCACCTTTACCGAAGGCTTTCATCCACCGCATGAACAGGTGCATTTTCATATCTATGCCGGTTCTGGGAAATTTATATGTGTTATAATGTGGACTGTTAGAATCCTGTACATAATAAAGAAGCCTACCTACACAGCGTAATTTTTTTGTCGATAGTCGCTTTTTTTTTGCGTAGCCTTTCGTGAGGTGAAAAATGGAGAAAAACTACATAGATGCTATACTCTTTTCATGATGCACCGCATAGTTGGCCATAAGAGCCAGACTGTTGCACGCTATTCTGCACACTCTACACATAACCCTGCTCGTCAAGATGCCGTACCAGAAGATTCCAAAAGCCTTGCGCCCGCTATACTTGAAGGGACTGCCAGAGTCACGCACCCTCAAGCAAGCAAACCATCTGGACTTGATTGCCAATTACAAAAACTCCGCCTACAAACTTGCAGACGTCGAGAAGTTGCAGCTTGTTTTCAAGAGACACAATGCCTACGGACACATGGGCATGCGCCAGTTCTGGAAGTACAACCTCAAGACCATAAGTTTCCACAATCCCGAATTGCCAATCGAGGTCCAAAGAGTTGAGTGCGAGACGAAAGACGAACAGCTGAAGTGTCCGTGTCTCATCAAAGCGCACCTCAAAGGCGGTAAGGTGGAGACCATCCAGGCGAAAGATAAGCACAGCGACGACATCATGAAAGAGTTGATCAAGGCCACCAACGCACAGAAGATTGCTCACGAGGAAATACCCCTTGTTTTGCCAAAGGTGCAGGACAGAGCCTGAACTTTTGTAATGCTGCTTTGTAGCTTCTTTCTCCTTATGAGCCGATGTATAGAACACCCCTGTATATACCAACTTGTTGAACACTTTTAGCATACCCATAACGACCCATCTCAGGTCACGTGAACAAAATCCTCCCCTTTTTTTTCGAACCACTCTGGGCATCTTCCTCGTACAGCTCGCGTTTCTCGTATAGACAGCGGGTTATTGTTCATTCTCTCATGATTCGAGCAAAACGTTTCACTTTTTCTCCTTCTGTATAGGTGGTTTCTTCTCCGCCAGCAACATTTAAAACAGGCAAGACCAGCTCATCTTTTCTCCCCTCTTCTTTTCTACTAAAGCCCCCCAAACAGCGTTCTTTAAGTATCGTTTCTTTTTCGTGTGTGGTTGTGTTTCGTTCTTCTTTTCTTTTCCCCGACAGAAGCCAGGATACAAGCTAGGGAAAAATGTCCGTCATCAAAACTCTTGTGCAAGACGCACACCATCTTCTGAGCATCGCATACGGCGTGTTCAGCGAGTTGTCGACGATCCAGCAGATCTTTTCAATTATCGCCATTCCATTCATTTACTCCCTCACATGGCAATTCCTCTACTCGTTGCGCAAAGATCGCGTGCCGATGGTCTTCTACTACCTTCCGTGGGTCGGGTCGGCTGTGACGTACGGTATGCAGCCTTACGAGTTCTTTGAAAGCTGCCGTGAAAAGCACGGCGACTGCTTCTCCTTCCTGTTGTTGGGCAAAGTGATGACGGTGTATTTGGGGCCAAAGGGCCACGAGTTCGTGCTCAACGCCAAGTTGAGTGACGTTTCTGCAGAGGAAGCGTACACCCACTTGACTACGCCTGTCTTCGGTAAGGGTGTTATCTACGACTGTCCTAACTGGAAGTTGATGGAACAAAAGAAGTTCGCCAAGGTTGCTCTCACAAAGGAAAGTTTCGTGCGTTACGTTCCATTAATCAAGGAGGAGATGATGAGCTACTTCAATGCTGCCTTCAAGGGCTCCTCTGGTACCGCCGATGTCTTGAAAGCACAATCTGAAATGACCCTATTCACTGCCTCCCGTTCTCTATTTGGCGATGAGTTGCGTAGCAAGTTGGACACGTCTTATGCTGAAATGTACTCCGATTTAGACAAGGGTTTCACTCCGTTGAACTTTGTTTTCAGTTACTTGCCGCTACCAAACTACTTCAAAAGGGATGCCGCTCACAACAAGATTGCGCACACTTATTTAGACCTCATCACCCAAAGACGTGATTCTGGTAAGATTGAAAATAGAGATTTGGTCGACGCATTGTTGAAGAACTCTGTCTACAGAGATGGCAGCCGTATGACTGATCGTGAAATCGCTAACTTGATGATTGGCGTTTTGATGGGTGGCCAACACACATCGTCGGCTACATCTTCGTGGTTTTTGTTACATCTTGGTGAAAAGCCAGAGCTTCAAGAACAGTTGTACCAAGAAATAAAAAGCGTACTAGGAGACAGATCTGAATTAACTTACGATGATTTGCAAAAACTGGATTTAGTCAACAGTACCATCAAGGAAACCTTGAGACTACACATGCCATTACATTCCATTTTCAGAAAAGTCACCCGTAATCTGCCAGTGCCAAACACATCCTATGTCGTACCAAAGGGCCACTACGTGATGATTTCTCCAGGTTACACCATGATCAACGAAAGATACTTTCCCAATGCAGGCGAGTTCCAGCCTCACCGATGGGACGACATCAAATCGATTGATGGCGGCATATCTTTGCCAGCAACTTCTAATGGTGGCTCAGATGAACAAGTCGATTATGGTTTCGGTAAGATTTCAAAGGGTGTTGCTTCTCCATACTTACCTTTTGGTGGTGGTAGACACAGATGTATTGGTGAACCTTTTGCATACACTCAGTTGGGAACTTTATTGGTCACATATATTTTGAACTTCAAATGGACCAGTAAATGTCCTCCTGTCGACTATACTTCGATGGTTACTTTACCTATCCAACCAGCTCTCATCAATTGGGAAAGAAGAGAAAAGAACTAGTGTCTTTTCAATGTCAAAAAATAGATTATTCACTAATCTAGAATTTTCTAACTGATTATCACTGTATATTTGTTTAATTATTTTTTACCTCTTTGTTTCTTCATTTTTGTTCTACAATTTTGTTCCATGGTTTATTGCCATGATTACTTTCTTTATTATTCTCTCTTGAATTTCTTTTAGTCCTTTTTTGCTAAAGATTCTAACCAACATCTGCTAACACGGAAAAAATGCTTTGCGGCTACACCGGCGTTAAAAGAGATTTTCATTGAAGATTTGAAGTTGTACATTATTGAATTAGTTTATATAGCTATTCAGTAGACCTGTCGTTTACCACACTTAAAACTCTTTCCGCTCTAAGGTCTCTACGCTTTTCAGAATCTGTGGCAAGAACTTTTTTGATTTCTTTGGTCCACTTATCCACAATTCCAGATGCAACTTGACAACATTCTAATATGTGCATGGCGTCTACATTTAGGCCACCACTTTTGCTGATCTGGCATAATTCTTTGTTGGAATTTAACGTCACGGTCATGCTTCCTTGAGAAAGTAATTCTTCCTCGGCAGTTGCATCAACGATGATAATTTCATTGGAACCCCTTGGTCCGTCATCATCGTTATCTACCTCCATTCTATTGTTATCTTCGTCATCACTTTCTTCTTTCACATAATTCTTACCACGTGAGTGTAGCCCACCACTATTTTCACCTTTTATATTTCTCTCCACGCTTTCAGTTGAAAAGAACTGAAACGTGATGCAGATAGGTATGTGTAAAACGCTCAAAGGGACCATCTCTCGTTGCTTTTCATCATACATAACTAACTCAGAACCTTCTCCGCTACCAACAACTTCAACATCTGGTTTTCTGAAATGTAGAAGAGCAGCAATAACAGCGACACTAGCTGCATCGACTAAGTTACCGTCGTAGTTCAAAAACCTAATATCTGCTCTGACTGCCCAGCACTTTTGTCCAGCAATGATACATAATGATTCTAAATCTAGGGAATTAGACCGACGAACTGCCTTCTCAATCAACCTACTGAGCAAGACTTCGGTTGCTGTCTGATCTGCTGCTATTCCCATGACTGCACCACCACCCATTGTTACGGCACTGTCAGAGTTTGTATTGTTGTTTGAAGAAGCCAACACCGAAGAACTTGTACTATCCTTGCCTTCTGAATTTTCTACATTATTAGCAGAAACTGAAATCGCTGGTGCAGGAACAATTGCCGGAGCAGCAGTTGAAAAATCGGAATTTCCTCCACTAGTAAAAGCCGGTGAACACATTGGTGTTATTTCTGTACCGATTGCAAATGTACCTTCGAATGGTCTATCTTCATATGGAGATGTTATCTGAGCTGAAACTTTACAGGAAACATAAGTTTTACCTAATTTGACCTCAACATGACCATACTCTGAGCTAGAAGCTATAGAGATGTCTAGCGGACGAGGTTCTGTGAGTGGTCTGAGAGACGGACGAAGAGGCGGATTTCCGGACAGAAGCGAGTGTAGGGAAAGGATATTAGGGATCGGAAGAGTGTTGTCTGTATTCGGCATTTTGGGATGGTTAATCCTTTTTGTATTGGGGAGTGTATTTATGAGCCAGAAAAGAGGTACCGAGAAAGGGAAGAGAGATTAGATTTCCTAGGGAAAAAATTTCATGATGTGTAAAATAGCTTCTTTCCCAATATGGAACTTGAATGTTGCTTACGTACACGCCGAAAACGTTCAAGTAGGTTGTTTGTCTGTAAGTTATCCTTACACCGATATTTAAATCTTAGAATAAAAACATTATTAGCAAAAGGTTACAACACTTTATAAAAGGATATCTACAGTATGGCTATACTAAAATGAAGTATTTTCTCAACTGAACCAGGAAAATGTTCATAGCTACAGATTGTAACAAGAATTTCACACTCTGGGAAAGATGTAAATTTAGATCTTCTTCTTGAAAAACATGTCAAGAGCTCCTTTCCCAACTGCCACCGAAGATGATTTTACCGTTTTGACTTGCTTTTTGACAGTCTTGACTTTCTTATTTTGGGCGGAAAGAACAGCGGCGGTTCCTTCATGTAACTGTTGCAAACTTTCATTTATCATATCCTCTGCATTTTCTCTTTCTCTAACCTTTTGGATATAGCAGTCAAGTTTGGAGAAATCATAATCGACAGACTCTTTGATGTACCATGTATCAACGAAATTCGACAAAAGAAGAACTGACTGCTTTCTGCACATCGAGAGTTTAATTTCCTCGGGAAGTTCTCCGGGATACATTGTTTCCCACCGCAGCTTAATACTTCTATACTGATCCTTCAGGATTAACCTTTCAGTTAAACCTTCAACTTTAGTAAGCAAAAATTGCTTTATTTTTTCTATGGACGGCTTGTAAAACACACTCAGCTCTTCATCGTCCGAGTCCATACTTGGGATAGACGTAGAGTCGCAAATGATTTCCAAATACTTTTTCAAATCGAAGTTAAAAGAGTGCACAAGTTTACCCAAAAATTCATCCCTCTCGCAAATTTCATCCATCATGTCTTCGTACGTTAGCAACCTTTGATCGTTGTCATTCCCTTCCCTATTTTGATGCTTTTTTTGTATTATTGGCTTGAAGTATTCCAATAGAAAATAGAGTGGTGAAAAAGGGGTCATAGCATATATATCTGGCTCAGATCCCAATATAGTAGCAGGAATCAAGCTGGAGCCTCCAGATGCAGTTGTGTCCCCTTTCGTTATGAACAGGCATCGATAAGGTTTTCCATCTGGTGTGTAAGATTGGTTTTTCACGTTCGGATTTTTCCAATTTATACGATCCAAAACTGACAGTGAAGTCGAGTTGTCTACCTCACTCTGTGTTATAAGGAAGTCTGTCATTTTTCCCGTAATTGGATGCGTATTTGGCACGGTTATCAGTTTCGTGTCAGAACTCGAGTCCGAAACGCTTTCAGGCACCAAAATAACCCTGTAGTCATTTTTTTTTCGTTCCTCTAGCTCAGCTATTGAAATAGTCATGCTGCTATCTTGGATTGTCCTCTAGAATGACTTATGCTTTTCTTTCTCTATTCTTCAATCTTTTAAACATGTAAAGATATGGTACACGAAACTTGGGTCTCTCAACTTCCCGTGGTACCGCTCATTTTTGCACCCGTACACCTTTTGACGGTTATGGCAGTAGAAGACCGAAAGAGAGGGATCAAAGAGTACTATCATGAATTATTGGGGAGAGGGTTGACAAATAAAGGTAAATATACAGTTGGTAGCAAACCTGGTGTAGATAGTATCAAGCCGTTGGAAGTATTAGATCATATACGCGATCTGCAAGAGTTTTGACTATGCAGAACGGTGCAATGGGTCATGAGCAGGGCATGAGCTCGTCTGCGAATTATACATTGCCCGGTATAATGCAATACTTACAATCGCAGTTTACACAAGTGGAAAGAAATAGGCTTCAGGGAGAGTTAGAACGCAGCTCGTTGAAATTGAAGATCATTGAACTAGAAAACGAGCGCAACTCCTTGTTGCGTAAAAATGCTAAACTCCAATTGACAGTAGAACAATTGACTGAAGAGATAGATCAGTTGAAAGGTAGTGCAGTTGAAGATGGAACAAATAGCAGTAAGACCACCAAAGTTGCCAGTACAGAAAAGTCGGCCTCTAATTCTGAGGTAGAGCAAATTTTGGGCGGAATTCATTCTCTGGATGTTTCAAAGTTGATACACGCTAGAAAGTTCCTAAAATCAGCAACTAATGAAATTCTATACTTGTTGAAAACTCCAACGGTTGAGCTTGAAAATACTTCAAGTGTAGGAAGTATTACTGGCATTTCATCGCTCACTGGAGGGGATAACGATAATGATATGTTTTTCAACTACAGCACACTAAATAATGTGGCACAAAATCCAACAACAAATGGAAGCTTTCATTTTAACAATAACAAAAGCACAAACATCAATGCGAATGAGCATTTTGAAAAACCTAACGTGGAAAAAGAATTGAATGAAATTCTTGCCGCTCCTTTCAAGTCTACAGGAAACTCTAACTCTGAAGAGAGCGATGCAGAAACAATCATTGAAGAGTCGAACGAAGAGAAGAACAGTGAAAACCAAAAAGATGCCAGAAATGTCAAAAAAGACATAGAGGACACCAAAAATGAAGATGGTGACAATCAACATGAAAATGATGATGACCAGGCGGAAGATGATGAGTTTGATGATGAATTCGATGATGAATTTGATGATGACGACGAAGATGACGAAGACGGTGACGATAATGAAGATGGCTACGATGCAAGCGACGACACTAACGGTGAAACTGAGCATATGAGTAATTCCGGGAGTAGAAAATATCCGAGCAAACGTAATATAGCACCAGGATCTCAACATGGAAAAAATCAGAAAGAAAAACTACTTAACTTATTGAAGAAAAGTCCAAAGAAAGTGAACAGCTCTACCAACCGAACATTATCGGTCAAGCTACACCCCCACTTGTCTGAAATGGAACTAAAGAGTGGAAGACTGTTTATGTACTATGACAAGGCTAATATTGTCAAAATCTATGATGACTTATTGGGTAAAGGTAACTTGATCAAGGAAATACAGCTGGAGGACGCTAACAAAATTGTCGATATTATAACTAATGAAAACTTTATTGTGATAGCGACAACTGACTCTTTGATTGCCTATACCATTGATTCGGAAATTGACCTCAAAATCACTAAAGCCCAGGTTGGTGCAAAAAGCATAGATTTGGACAAAGACAAACTTCTTTTGGTTTCCAATTCCCAAATAGAATTGTTGAAAATTGATTTAGTAACTGAAACATTTAAAGAGCTCTCATTAACTGAATATCAATATGAAGGTACTTTGAAAAAAGCAAAATTTGTCAAGAACAATTCGTCTTTTGATGTTGCTGTACTTTCTTCGAATACATTATATCTTTACAATACTGATAGCACACAGGCAAAGTCGAAGCCATTTAAATCGATACCCTTAAATCAATATCATGAGTGGCTAGTCACTTCAAGAAATATGATTCTTCGGTTTAACAATGGACTTTATCTATTTGATTTCAGTGAATGCTCCGAGTTCAAGCAAGTTACTCTGCCACCGCTTCCAGATTTGCAAAGCTTATCTGAATCAATTTCTGAAGTTATAAGTCCATGTGTTGATGATGACACAATGTTTTACGTCACTAGGTGTACTAACACCCCATCAAACAATTCTCTGGGACTATTTGAGTTACGTCTTTTCAAAGTCATTGAAACAGGGGACATCCTGGATATCAAGAGTTTGACTGATTTGTCCGGTTTAGAACGTTACTGTGTCGGTAAAATAGGTGATGGGTTTTCCATCTGTGTTGCGAGGGGTAAGGAGATTCAGCTCTATGATATTTCAAAGTAAGCAAGAGGTAGCTAAGTTGTATAAAAGATGTACACCAAAATACCTGGTTCCTGTTTCGTAACGCGTTAATTTGATTCACATATTCAAGATGTATGCCTGTATACCAATTGCTCAACAGCTATCAAGATGCTAGTATAATGTCTCTAATTTTTTCGGACATGATTTTAGCTGAAGGGGCTCATCGAATAGATCCCTTTTTTTTATCTCGGTGATTTATTCTCAAAAGTGTTTCTATCTGTGTGGAAATCTCTGGGACTTTGGTTGAACAAGATGGCAATGTTAATTTGGGAGAATGCATTCAGGCGCTTACTTATTCTGCTGATTTTGTTGTTGTTTGCTCTGTTATTACTTTACACAGACTATATCCAAGAAGTAAACTTTTATCAAAATAAGTTACAATTGGGTGAGTTTAAGGTGAATTTTGACACTTACAAGCTTTTGCAAGAGTCCAGCTTATTAAGTCAACACCAGCTGAAAACTATTAATGCTAAGTTAGAAAGTGAAGCACACGAAAACAAAGGCAGTCAAAATGATAGAAATGATGCAACGACTATAATAAAGAGCAAGAGCAAAAATAACGGAGACACTCACAAAGTTGACAAGCAAACAAGTTTAGAAACCAATATTCCTGTGAGCCTAGCTGATGATCTGCAATATTTCTCATTGAATCCACCTTTTCCCGAGATAGATTTGACCAGTATAGGTCCAATATTTTTGGAAAATGGACTAGCCCATCTGTATTGTGAATACAGTTTTGATACTATCCGCTGCACAATAGGAGGTAGAATCCCTGCAGAAAAAATATATTTTCCAACTGCTTATTTCACTAATCCTAATTTTGAAAGTATTGTGGTTTTTTTTGGCTGGAAAGAACTACTTAAGTTCTTCACATTTTATAGGCTCAGCAATAAGAAAGAGCCAAAAGATGATGGGAACGTTGAGCATATAGGATGGATAGACGAACAGATTTTGAAACCTAATATTATGAATATTGAGTTGTTGACCAACTATGTAATGCTATTTGGCTCAAACGGTACGAACATGAATTTATTCAACGATCCAACTGATGTTTCCCCAGAAGTCGAAACAGAAACAGATCTAAGTATCAGCAAAAAGTTCAAGTATTATACCTTCATCCATACCCAAGTATGTGTTTTATACATCCTAATTTATTTGAAGCTTGTGAACTTCATCCTCTTTTCCTTTTCCCTTTTATTTCACTTTAGTGTGCATATTCCGATTTACATTTTCAACTTTTTCAAGTATGGAAAACATAACGATCAATTATCAGCTGAAAGTTATCTAACGAGTGACGCCAGCATGAATGGATTCGAGGAATGGATAAGCAATAACGAGAAGGTGGAAGCATTCTTGTTAAATGGTGGTTTTTCTCCAACTGCCATGCCAAATTGTAGGTCAAATCCTCAATCTTTTCCTTGCTCTGGCGATTCTGAGTTAAGATTACGGAAGGTCTCAGCCGGAAGCCAAGCCACGTACAGCCATAATGACGGATATTCGACTGGTATTGAGGAATCTTTCAGTACAAGAGTACAAGATGTTAGGAGACTTTATGAGTGTGTTGCGGAAGAACCGAGAAGTTTAGCCTACTCGCCTCTTGTGCAATCTAGTGCTTTATCACATTTACCGATCAAGGAATTTGCAGGTGATATTGAGAACCAAATTCCAAGTGTAAGCTCCAACAAATTCAGAGAAAGTGAGAACACATTAATCAGTGGAAATACATCGCTCCCAGAAGTCACACTGAACACATCGTCGCTTAACGACTTGGTTGACAAGTACTACTTGTTTTACTTGTTGATATGTTTGTACTTCTTGATGCATTTGGTGGTTTACGAGATTGTCAATTTTATATCATACAATCTGATTTCGGGCATTTTCGAAGTGATCAGAACTAGCGATCCCAACAACTTGAATGTCAAAGCTAAATCTCTTTTTCAGATCCCCAAAATACTTATAGATCCAGCCACTCATAGAAGCAGTATAATGATTGGTAGCACCAGCAAAAGCGTATTAACGCATGGGAATCAAATTTTTGATTCACTACTCAACATTTTCGGCTGTGTCGTTAATGTGATTCTTGCTCTATTATTCCACAGCATTTACACATTCTGTATTTATACCTACACCATCTCTATCTACTGATATTGCTAATGGTATACATGTAGCAATAATTTAAAGTATCATGTAAGATAAGATAAAGACGGCTTTTTCCTATCTTTTTCCTATCTCGAAAACGTTCGACGCGTCGATTCTCCAAGTACTATGCTTCTTGAGATTTTTTTCTCATTTGTTGCGTACTTCTTCAGCTTCGAAAATTATAGTACATTTTTCACCTGGAGCAAATCAACATATCAAGCGATCTTACACATTTGAGAAAAGTTTGCCCAAACAAGAGAACGCCAAGGCTTATACCCGCCCTTGAGGATTAGAGTCTAGTAGTCACGATGTTTGGAAGAATATCACATGCTTTGGGCTTGAAGTCTCTTGCTTCAGCAGGTCGTTCTTCATTACCTCAAGGTGTTCTATCGTCAAAACGTGGTTTTCATTTTTCGTCGAAGTTAAATACCTATGAAGAAGAAAAAGTAATTATTGATGAACTTTCGGGACAAATCAGCGATACCGATGTTGCCAGACTTAATAATATGAGGAATATTGGTATTTCAGCACATATTGATTCTGGTAAAACCACCTTCACTGAAAGAGTTTTGTTCTACACCGGTAGAATCAAGGCCATTCATGATGTTAGAGGTAGAGACGGTGTCGGCGCCAAGATGGACCATATGGATTTGGAAAGAGAAAAAGGTATTACTATTCAGTCTGCTGCTACTTATTGCTCATGGGAAAGAAGTCCTGAAAAATCCTATCACTTCAACTTGATTGATACCCCAGGTCACATTGATTTCACTATTGAAGTCGAAAGAGCCTTGAGAGTTTTAGATGGTGCTGTTTTGGTGGTTTGTGCTGTTTCTGGTGTTCAGTCACAAACAGTAACTGTTGACCGTCAAATGAAGAGATATAATGTCCCAAGAATCACATTTATCAACAAGATGGATAGAATGGGTGCCAATCCATGGAAGGCTATTGACCAAATTAGAGCTAAGTTGAAGATCCCTGCTGCTGCTGTACAAGTTCCAATCGGTTCCGAAAAGGATTTGATTGGTGCCGTCGATATCATTCATAACAAGTCTATTTATTATGAAGGTGCTCAAGGTGAAAAGTTAAGAATTACTGAGGAAATCCCAGAAGAACTGAAAGATCTCGTGGCTGAGAAACGGTCTGAACTGATTGAAACTTTAGCTGATGTTGATGATGAGATCGCTGAATGTTTCATCGATGAAGTTGAGCCAACTATTGATCAAATCAAGGGAGCAATTAGAAGATCAACTATCGCCAGAAAGTTCACGCCTGTGTTTATGGGTTCTGCATTGGCAAATAAGGGTATTCAACCTGTTCTTGACGGTGTCTGTGACTATTTACCAGATCCAAGTGAAATCTTGAACACTGCTTTGGATCTTGCTAATGAAGAAAAATCCGTCAACTTAGTTGCAGCATCAAACTCTCCAGCTGTTGCACTTGCATTCAAATTGGAAGAAGGTAAGTACGGGCAATTAACTTACTTGCGTGTCTACCAAGGTAAGCTCAGAAAAGGATCCATGATCACTCATGTCAAAACTGGTAAGAAAGTCAAGTTGGCTAGATTAGTGCGTATGCACTCTGAAGAAATGGAAGATGTTGATGAAATCCATGCTGGTGAAATTTGTGCAACCTTCGGCATTGACTGTGCTTCTGGTGATACTTTCACTGATGGATCTGTCGACTATTCCATGAGTTCTATGTTCGTGCCAGATGCCGTTGTCTCATTGTCAATCTTGCCAAAGACCAAGGATGCTGCTAATTTCTCCAAAGCTGTTAATAGGTTCCAAAAGGAGGATCCAACTTTCCGTGTCCATTTTGATAAAGATTCTAAGGAGACTATTATTTCAGGTATGGGTGAGTTACATTTGGAGATTTATGTTGAAAGAATGAAGAGAGAATACAATGTTGAATGCACCGTTGGTAGACCAAGAGTTGCATATAGAGAATCCATTTTATCAGCTTCTGCATTCGATTACACACACAAGAAACAATCAGGTGGTGCTGGTCAGTTTGCTAAGGTTATGGGTAAGATGGAGGCTACCTCATTGGCTGATCCAGAAGATATCGGCGCCACCTTAGGTGACGATGTTAAGTTCCGTAATCACTTCCAAACCAAGGTTGTTGGTGGTAAGATTTCTGAGAAATTTTTACTCGCATGTCAAAAAGGTTTTGAGGACTGTTGTGAGAAGGGACCACTAACAGGTTCAAGAGTTCTAGGTGTTCACATGATTGTCGATGATGGTGCAACACACGTTGTCGATTCTTCTGAAATGGCATTTAGAACTGCGACTCAGTTTGCATTCAAGCAAGCATTTATGCAATCCCAGCCAGTTGTTTTGGAACCAATTATGAACGTTGTGATTACTGCGCCAAATGAGTTCCAAGGTGCAGTGATTGGTTTGGTTAACAAATTGGGTGGTTTGATCAATGACACTGAAAACCAAGCTGATGATTTCAATTTGATTTCTGATTGTTCATTAAACCAGTTATTTGGATTTGCATCCAAGTTGAGAGCAGTTACTCAAGGTAAGGGTGAATTCACAATGGAATTCAAAGAATATCAACCTGCTCCTCCACAATTACAAAAGCAATTAATCGAAGACCACCAGAAGAAAAACAAGGATTAAATTCAGAGGTTTTTTATTTTTTTGAGAAATTTTTTGTACATAACAATAGATCGAGTTTAAAGCCCGAAAAATAACAAACAATATATAAATCGATAAATTTATGTAACATATTTCACTGTTTATAGTTCACATTTGTGATAGTAACTTTTTTTACACAAAAAAAAGGAAAAAGAAGGACAGCGCAGTCCGTTTTGAATTGAAAAAGATTTCTAGACTTCGAATAGTTTCAGTTTTTACGATTAGAAAGATGACGCAGCAAATAATGATAACGAGTAGTATTAGTTAATGTTTTGATTTTTTTTTTGGTGTTTTTTTTTTCTTTTTTGTTGTCGTTTTTGTTGTTCGGCCTTGACTGAGCTAATCACTCCAGCTTGGAGATGTCTACTCTACCGCTTTCAATCCATGCAGGATCCACTAACTTTTGTCTTGCAGAATGCATCAATTTGTAAGACGACTTTATGGTACCCTCGGAAACCCCTGTCTTCTCACTGATTTTTGAAAGGGTGATTTTCTGATCAAATACCAGAGTAGTAAAATAGATGACTGTTGCGGCAATGGTTGTTGGAGATCTACCTTCAAGTACACCGACGTCTTTCAGACTCTTGGCAATCGACTGGGCTGCACTGGCGACTTGAGGAGATAATCCAAGATGGGAGCAGAATCTGCCCACCAAATCCTCTGGATTTGTGTGTCTTGTATTTATACTATCATTTTGGTAAGTGATCAAACCACCCTGTTCTTCATTCTTCCGCTGAATGATCGAGTTAATTGCCTTAAAAACTCTGCCAATCTCCTTACGCGGAACGTTCGTTAGAGCCCATATTTCCTTAAAAGAACGAGGGACGCTTGCCTTTCTACAACCTAGGAAGATTGCACCTGCCATAATACTCTCCTGTGATTTCCCCTTCAATGATGGGTCATCATAGACTAATTTATAGACTTCCTTTGAACCATCTTGAACGACTCTAGGAAGCTGATAACCATCACACATCTGAGTAATTTTGGCGAATGCAGCCTGTAGGATATGGGACTTTTTATCGGCGAAAGATCTACTTTGGGTCCTGTTAAGATCTCTGGCTGCTCGACTGGCATCGATACCTGCAGAGATCACAGTGTTTAATTGGTCACCATCCAATATAGAATTTGTGGCCTCACCCACACGGGAAGGGTCGTCACCCTTTTGGTCGTCGTTATTGAAGGTTCTCCATTCGGATCTGTTATCAATAATTCTCTGGCAAAGAACCAACCCACAGAGTCCACAAACAATGTCTCCTTCACTGTGTCTTTCGATCAAGTCAGGAGGGAAGACTTTACATTCCGGACATGATAGAGTGACGTTCAAGTTAACACCTCTTGGAAATCTTCTCTCTGCGGTGGTCATGTTTGTCGACGAGGTGTACGGGGTACCTGAGTCTGGCGGAAAGGCTGACTTGTACGGGCCAATAGGAAGAAGAAGTGTCTTGCAAAGGTGATACTTGGGTGGCAAATTCAGGTCACATTTATAAAATTGTTCTGAGAAAAAGTTGAGTGAGAAGGCAGAGAAGGCAATAGAAAGAAAAATGCTATAGCGCCAAAATCGACGCGTCGATTCTTATCGGGCAGCGCAGTGATTGATAAGGGAGGCACCACTCGAGTGTCTTACATATGGGTTAGTATATAGGTTATATGTTTGATTAGCTAGAAGGGCAAGATCGGTTCAACGCAGAGGATGGGCTTGGTTCCCGGCTGTGGCTGTTTAACAACCGCACGTGCTATAGTTGTCGCCATCGACCTGGATGTTCACGGCATCGGTGTAGTCGTCTGTGAACTCCATGCTTTCCTCCTGCTGCAAGGCGCTTCTGGCCACGACGTCAAACGCCTGATCGACATTCACCGCCTCCTTGGCGGAGGTCTCAAAGTACGGCAAGTTACCCAAGCTGGCGCACAGCGACTGTGCCTTCTTCGAGCTCACCAAGCGCTTGCTCTCCTCGACGTCGATCTTGTTCCCGATCACAACAAAGGGGAAGTTGTCCGGGTCCTTGATGTTGGCCTGTATCAAAAACTCGTCACGCCAGCTCTGGAGATTTTCAAAAGACTTCGGGTTGGTCACGTCGTACACCAATACACAGCAGTCGGACCCCCGGTAGAACGCCACCCCGAGACTCTGGAACCTCTCCTGGCCAGCCGTGTCCCATATCTGCATCGTCACGTTCTTGTCGTCGATCGACATGTCCTTCGGCAAGAAGTCGGCCCCAATGGTCGCCTTGTACTGTTGCGAGAACTTCCCGTTTATGAATTGTTGCATGAGCGAGGTCTTTCCGACCCCGGTGTCGCCTAGAATGATCACCTTGAGTAACGTCTTCCTGTGTCCCCCCGACATGTTTGTACCTGTGTGTTCTCTCCGGCGCTCTGGAACTTTGTGCAGCACAGACAGGCTCGTGCTGGATGCTCACCGCCTCTTATCATCGCCCCATCTGGCTTTCTCTCTGGCACTGGTCACCATCAATTGGGGCGGCTACGTTTATTTGCAAACAAGGAGCGGATTCTGCAAAGGGAAAGCGGGCCGCGCTCACGGGGCCGGGGGGCCGATCGTCTGCAACATGTTTTTGGCAAGTACGTTGGTGATGAAGTATAGAATAGGGTTAGGTAGAAGGGAAAGAAGGCTACAGATCAGTTGAGGATGTCCTGGATGCTCGAATGGCACTTACTGCTCTTGATCTCAATGAGCAGTCGGGAAGCGGCATGGATCTCCGGGCTGTGGTGGTCGGGGGCGGAGCCCTTTTGCTCGGGCGAGACGGAAACGGAGCCGGAGCTAGAGCCAGAGCCAGAGGACGTGGCAGTCGCAGGAGTGGCGCCTGAGTAAGGAGTGCGGTCCGGAGAAGGCAGCGTGTTGTTTCTGCTGCGCTCGGTGCTGAGACGTGTCTCGGTGGCCAGGACGGGTCTATGTGGGAGGGAACCGTGTATGGCGCTGTGCGCAGCGGGGTTGAAGTTGCTACCGCCACTGTTAGCCAGGGAGTAGCTCGAAGACATGGAGGAAAAGTGGTTTCTAGGAGTTGTAGAGCCGCCTGGGAATAAGGGCCTGCTAGGGCTGACGAGCGGGGGTGGCAGGACTTGTTTCAGTGGAGAGGTGGTAGCGTTGTTGCTGCCGATTCTATATGCAGGGGTGGATGAAGAGGTTGCTGGCGAGTGGGTGTTCGAGAGAGGGGATGTGTTGGGGACATATGACGACGAGGATGGCGAGGGCAGCATGTCGGCGAGGCCGGTGTTGCTGCGGCTACCAGCGCTGTTCAGTATTCCCAGATCTGGGTGTTTGTCGATAATGGCTGGAAGCGGGAGTTTGAAAGAGTTGGACTCCTGCTGCAGCTTCAGGATACTGTTCCGGTACTCAGAGTTCTGCTGGATCCGTTCCTCAAGAATTGTCGACGGGGTGTGGATGTTAGGATGCGACTGAGAGCGCATGGACGGATTGGTTCTCTGGGCTCTTTCGTTCGTGGTGGGCGGTTGTTTGGAGGGTTTTGCGGCGGCGGGAGGCTCTGCGGAGGGAGAAAGAACCTTGATGATTTCTTTTGTGATGGGGTCAAGCCAGTCGTTGGGGACGCCGCCGTCGTTTTCCCAAACCTTGAGAAAGATGTTTTCGAAGCTGAATTCGGACTCGATGTCCCTGTACGACTGGAGGTCGAGGTCGAAGTCGACGAAGTTCAAGTTGTCGTTCTTCTGGATCCAGGACTTGAACATGTCTCTTGTGTCCTTGGGGATCAACATTTGCAGCTTCATCAGCTTGATGATCAAGTGCAAATACTTGATGTACTCCACGGTCGACTGCAAAATCGTCAACTTGTGCATCATGGTGGAGTTGTCGAAGTTGCCATCATTCAAGCCCGTGAGGATGTTGAGTCTGCACGCCGGCACCAGAAACTTTAACGCCTCGAACTCCCTGTTCATCTTAATTCTGCGTCTTTTCTCGATGATCGAGTGCTGCGTTTTCAGCTCCTTTTTCTTTCTCTCGATCTCCTCCTTGTTGTATGCGGACGATCTTCTTCTCTTTTTCGCTTGTCTGATCGGCGGGTTCGGGTTGAGCTTGTTGTTCCCCGCCGTGCTGTTGTTTGCCGAACTCATGTCGGTGTCGTCGGGCAGCGGCATGTCGGTGTATCGGGTCATCGGGGAGATGGAAGGCGAGTGGCTCAAAAAGTAGTTTCTGTACTCCTCGTTAGAGACGAAGGAGGAGGTCAAGAAGTTGGAGTTCTTGGCAACCGGCTTGGTGATTTCGCCGCCGGTGCCGCCCTGGATCTTGCTGCTGTTTGGGGACTCGAACGACGAGAACGGGGTCGAGACCAGCGTTGACGCCTGGGAGTCGACGGGCGTGGAAGAAGGTGACGGACCGCTGGCGCCTGCTCCGGCGCCGGGCTTCGAGGAGGGAGTTGGCGGGCTGTCCGAGAGGGAGTTCGATCTCTGCATGTGCACGAACCTGGGCTTGAAGATCGGCGGAGGCGGCAAGAACGCCGAAAACGTCTTCCCGTCCTGCTCGGTGGCGCCGGCGGTCGTGGTGGCGGAGGTGTTGTTGTTCATGTGGACACTGGCAACGGCAGCTGGTTCTTGCTTGTTCATGCTTTTCGTCTGGACCCGGGAGAAATACGACGCCTGGGCTTCTGTGCGTGCTGCGAGATGAGCCGTGTGGGTGAGACAAAGACGTACAGCAGCAGAGCAATGCAGAGAGCACAGCAGCAGAGCAAGACAGAGAGCAAGACAGAGAGCAAGACAGAGAGCATGCAAGACCGGACTCTACAGATCGTGTGGCAGGGCGAACAGGCCCTGCGACTCCATTCCCACCCGGGCGTTTCTCATCGCACGTTTCGGCAGACGCCCAATCTGAGCACACGTCTCGAACGTGTCCATGTGTGCCTTTCCGCTGCGTCTTCAACACCTCGTGGCCAACCCCATCTCACGACCGAACGCCCAAACAGGCAACTGCCCCGGGTCCGGGCGGGGCGCTCGCCGCTACTGCAACTACACAATGGTCTGCTGCTGCCGGCACACAAAAGACACTTAGCCCGTGCCCAAACTTAGTCCCCCATGTGTCCCTTCCTGGGGACAATCCGACATGTATGTTACCGGCTCCTCGGAGGAGGCACATGGTCAATAGATAAGGGGGTGCCACGTGCGGCCAGCACCATTTGGGGCAGGCGGCGCGATAAGGGAGGCGGTGCGGGGCGTGGCGGAGCAAGGCGTGGCGGAGCAAGGCGTGGCGGTGCCGTGGCGGTGCCGTGGCGGTGCTTTGTGGCGGTGCAGAGATGTATGTCACGTGACCTTTTTTTTTTTTGAAATTTTTTTTTGCATTTTTTCCTTTTATCGCCTTTTTTATGACTCAATCCGCCCTATCGAGGAGTTTAAGACGCTCGCAGAACATGAGGGCCCTAATAAAACAGTCCTTGTTCCTTTTCTGTCCTGCACAGATGCCCGTTGCGTGCTCTTTCCTGGGCCAGACTATCCCGGAGAGAGAAACAATCCTTTGCTAGCCCGCAGCAACAACCGCACAACATACACTTGCTTACACACAGCGCAGCTGCCGAACACACACACCCCCCACACCCCTACACTCTTACACCCCCGACACCGACACACACCCACCTACACAGCAAAAAATAGGAAAGACACGGAAGCAGCAATGTACTCGGTCGAAGCACACACAAACACAAACGCCATCTCCATACCGGCGTCAAGCACGTCAGGGATGACGCATCTGAACACACAGAGCGAGCACCGGCAGATCGACGCCTGCAACAGTCTGTTGAGGACGTTGCTAATCCTGGACATCGTGATACTAGACAAGCTCCACAGGCGGTCCAACCTCTCGCTCTTGTTGATCCATCTACGATGCGCGTTGGACCGGTTCATCGACACGCAGGCCGACGGCGGCGACACCGCCGAGATCGTGCGACAGTTCAACAGCTCGATGTCGTTGGTGTTTGAGAACGCCCGCTTTTTCAACCTCACCGAACTCCACGAAATCTACAACGCTCTGCTCAAGGAGCTCCACGGCGACGTGGATCCGCAGACGGCAGGCGAGACCGGGCCGAGTCAGGCGCAGCCCCGGAAAGTCTCTCTCTCGGTAGACTTCGACTCATTCGCCAACAGGATTCTCTGCTGCTCGGAATCCTTGGCAGACTACAAGCACTTTGATGCCAAGTTTGACGAGGCTGCCATCATGGACCACGAGCTGGAGAAACTCAAATCCCACTACATCGCCACCTCCTTCAAGTACAAATGCAGACACCAGTCGCCGGCTCCAACAGCTTCCAGTGTGTGCAACGAAAACTTGCAGCTGGTGCAATCGCCTGATTTCATGGAGTTCCATCTGAAAAGATGGAAGGCTTTAAACTTGTTAGACAGGCGTATTTTCAAAAGTTCCTGAATGGCTGTTTGTTTTCCTGCTCTTTTATTTTCTAAACATCTCTATAAAATTCGTGTACCTGCATCTAATCTACTATCCTGTTTGCGCATAAATTTTTTCGTTTTTATGATTATTTTCAAACCTTCTAAATTACAATCGAATATATAGTAACATCTTATACAACAAAATTACTAAACTTCTAACGCCTCGTTAAAATCCACTTCTCCCACCCTTCTTTAAGTCTAATCTTATAATCGTCGCTATCGGCGACTTTTCTTTTCTCAATCGTATCAATATGTTCTATGACGTAATCTACAACACCTGGTATTCCTTGACTTAACGTTTTCACCCTGCTAAACCCTTTGATCAAAGAAATCGGGATGAACCCCTCCTCATCCATTTGCCTTCTCAAATACATGTCCTTACATAAATTTTCAACAGAGAAGTAGTATCGTATCTGGTGTATCAATTGATTAAGTCTCTCATCTTCCATTATATGACGTATTGGTGAGTACATGTTCGGAGAAGGCACATTGCTTTTGTTCGACCCATATTGCTGATTATATACTTGGAGTTGTGGGGAAATCGGAATAGGTACACCATTAGGTACGACCATCGGCATAGGGACTCGCATCTCATGAGCATTGGTTTCGTTCATCTGTTGACCATAGTAAACTCTTGATGGTAACGGCATTTGCTGCATTCCTAAATGATCTACCATTGGAGGATAAAATCCATTGCGCATGTAAGGATAATACTGTGGATTGGGCAACATAGCCGGATCGTATTGCGGCATAGACATCCGTCTGTTATTCAAAAACGTACTATTGCTGTTCCCATTGCTGTTAGGGGAGGCAGGACTACTAGTATCGCTGCCGTGGTTGTTCTGATACAGTCCAGGATAAAATGGTTGGCCAAATCCCATCGGTGGCGGCATCGGTGCCATGCTAGGTGGATAGTTACGATGGCTAGAAGAGAAACTGTGTCTTGTCTTGTTCTTGTAAGTAGCATAACCATTAACTCTATTCTCTTGATAATTGCCGTTACTATTGATGTTATGGATTTCAGCATCATTGAAACTCTCATCGCCAGCTTGTTTTGGATTTACTTGTAATGATTGAAAACTGTTGGTAGTTTCTTTGAGTTGAACTTCTGCATTGACTACATCTGATTCTGCATATTTTGAGGTATTTTTCTTATTTCTGTTAGCATGGTGGCGTCTTGGGTTCAAAGTTCCGTTCCCATTCGGATATATCGTCGTCTTATTGTTATTATCAACACCAGCCTTGATTGTTTCGATCCTGGTGTTTACGTTACGTTCTACACCAGTCTTCACACCTTCCTTCCCCTCCTCCTTCAAAACCTCAAACGTAGTTTTTTCCTGCCTGGCTTGCGGGTTCTCAACAATGGCGATCCGAAGCTCATCCTTGCCACTGTTACCAACACCAGAGTTGTCCAATTTCTTGGTACTTGACAACTTCTTAGACGCGTTACACCATGGATTGGCTACTGGAACAGGTGCAGGCTGTAAGTTCTTTGTTACGTCGTGTAGACTCATCAATCCCTCCTCTTTGCCTCTATTCTGGTCTTTTTTAATTTAAAGTATTGCGCTGCTGAGCCTTATTTTCTCCAAAAATCAACAAGATTCGATTCTATTTGATAGGTATCAACCACTAAGTCCCGTCCACCAGTTTTCCACTTCCTGTAACAATGCTCAAATGGTGCAAAGTATATCCACAACTTTCCCACTCGTCCCTAAGAACAAAACGTACGTTGGCGTGCACCTCTTCACTGCACCGATCTTCCGTTTCTTGTTGCCCTCCCTCTCAGCCTCTCTCGGTTGAAAAATATTCGTATCTTAGTTTCAACATTACATCCGAGAAAATGACGCGTCGCGACAGAAACAGTGTCATGCTGTGAACCCTCTTTTGCTTACCTCATTTGGCCTGGTGACATGAATCAAACGTCTGGTTTCGTGTTTCGGAGACAGACATTGTCCAGTAACATCGATAACCCCCTTTTCCGCCGATGAAAGGGGATATATTTGGTAACAAAGTGGATGACATGGTAGGAATCTCTTTCAAATGCCAGAAATCAGATTTTCACACATCTCTGGAAAAGTACAGAAACATTTCATCATTGCACATATCAACTATTGGATTTGCTAACATCTCAAATTGGAAGAGCTGCAACGCCCGCAATGACCAAATCTGTCAGGGAGGCACCTCCTTCATAACTATTGTGATTCACGACAAAGCTATAGTGAACTCCTTGTGTGGACAGTTGAGTTCGAAAAGTCGAAACTTTGGTGTTTATATTTCAGTGTCAAACGATAACAGAATCAAGGACATCCTGGATTTTGGCTTATTGGCCCCTACCGCTGATGAATGCATGTGGTGTATTAGGATACTTAACAACAATCCCGTAAGCGCTTCAGTTGATTCATGTATAGCTCCTTTCCGAATATCCCCAGTATATCCATCGGCTCGGGATTTTGAGTTTTTGATATCCAAAAGACAGCCAGTAATTGCTTCCCCTCTTGTGATCAATGATTCATACAGCCAGTTGCTAGAATCCGCAAGCATGTGTGCTGCTGATTTGCTTGACATCACTCAGTTGGATATAGGAGTAAGACCTATAGACAGCAGCAATTTGACGTTATCTTCAACTTCTCCAGAAAAAGTTTTAAAAACCATAGACCCACTCCAATTTTTAACTGATAAGTACTTCACAACTTTATACAGTGCTTCCACTATGCTTGAGCATTTTGTGAAGTCTTCAATACCTAAAATGAATTTGTTGAGGCGTGATAACCTGAAGTTGGCTAAAGATTGTCTCTCTAGATTACTAATTGAAACACTCTCAGATTTTGACAGAAGATATGATGTTCAAAATGAACATCAAGGTATTTTGAAGCTAGATAACTTCCAAAAGGTTTGGCTTTCTGATGAAAAACTATTAGATGAAATGGAGAGAAGTTTTAGACTGGATCACCTGAAGCAGCAAAACTTTACCCAAAATATGGATTTGGATAAATTGAATGAATTTATGGATAAAATGAAACTTAAAGATTTGAAGCTACAAATCTTATTAGATCTGGAGCTATTAAGGATACTAAAGTATGAGAATGAGTCAGAAAAAAAAGAAGTTCAGGAAAATGATGAGAAAACTGTAGTCGAGTCAAGGAAAGAAAAACGACCTTCTCTGGTTTCAAAACGCTATTCTGGTAGTCTGGTCGGAAAGAAAAAAAGGCTTATTCCTACTTTGTTAGGCACGGTTATTCCAACCAGTATGGATTTTGACGTTGATTTCAGATTTGCTCCAGAAGAAGATAAGAAAAGGTACCTAACAATTGATGCAGTAGAGAAATTAGTAAAAATCTTTTTCGACAAACTATGTGTTTATGATGCAATTATGGGATTGGATTATAAAGATCTGAACTCTTCCTGGGGATTTCTGTCAAACTGTGTTATTCCCTTTTATGGTAAAGATCATCGGCAGTTATTAAAGCTTTTGGCAATCAAATCAAGAGGACCAGCGTTTACTCTGAAGATTAAATCTAGAAGAGAACAGAAGCAACGCCAAGAGAGACGGAAAGAAAAATTGGAAAAAGCTAAAGATGCAAGCTATAAAACTGTAAATACAGAAAGAAAGACCTCCAGTATTGATCTTTCAAAAATAAGGTTGAAACGTTCACACTCGAGTTTCAATAATTCTAAAGCAGATCTCTCACGAAAAACTATTAGTATGGTGAACTCTACCTCAATGGTGTCCTCGGCGGGAGATTTAGGTCCTTCAAACGATTTACTTCATCCCCCAGATTTAGCCTACTCGGCTGATACGAAATTTCCTGTGGAAATTAAAGGATTCATGAAAAGCAAAAAACGAAAACTCCAAGCTCCTAAAAGGAAGCCCCCAAAACTACAGTCTGACAAATCTGATTTCTCGGTGAAAACCGAAACAAACGCTGTGAATAAATTGGATATTCATGAAGTACAAGAGGAAATGTTTCGTCGTAATCAAGTTATTGAAGCGACTCCAAGAAAGAACACTTCTGCCTCGTTGGATTATTTGACCGGAGACTTAGTTTCTATTATCTCCCCTTACCAAGAAAAATCAAGTAGAAAGCAAGACATAGATCCAACAACAACACAGATAACGGAAACGCCTGCTTTTGAAAGGGTTCAGATTCGCCCAGGAGTTTTTGAGATTGGCTCTTCGCCGTTAAAATCAAGTGACTCTCCTCACATAAAAAGTAGCAAAGTAAACGAGCAATGGACGGGAAAAGGACAACAAATATATCCTTCCACCACAAAGCTTTCAGTCTCTACTTCAACAGCACATTCTAAGAAGACTACAAAGAGGAAACTTGACTTTAGTTAAATTCATTCAAAGTTACATGTTCGATTACTATACAGTTTTATCTTTTTATTTCCATCGACGTGGAGTCTTTTCTAAGCATTGATTAATTCGTAATGAAGTACAGGCCGACCTAATTCGTTTCGCCAAAAAAGATACCGTAAAATAAAGCCACAGCATTCTCTTTTTCAAGAATATTCTCTGCAATTAGTTCACCTACTCTCTGAGAAAGTTTATCCTTCATTTCCTGAGTAATTTCATCCTTAGGAGCTGCATTTGAATCAACATCCATGTTGTCTGCATCTTCTTCTTCGTTAGACTCTAGTCTATGCTTTTTATAGTTATTGTTTGTCAGTAGTAACTCACCATCTTTTGCCAAGATCGAAAGACATTCTAGTATTTGGTCCAGTAAAATTTTCCGATTTTCACTATCCTTGGGAAAATTCTCTAGGACTACATTTGACCAGGTCCGCAAGTTTCCCACTAGTACAATCCTAATGACTTCCCCACCTAATGATTTCATACCCATAATTGCACCGTATTGTGTACCGATCGAATTTCTTGTGGTATTACTCAAAAATGCCCTGAGCAATGTTCTTGTGATTCTTGGCTTGAGGGTGTTGTAGGAAGACCCAAAATTTTCAATGATTTTCTGTAAAAGAGAGGCAGCAAGTTTTCTGACTTGAAAATGCCCTTGTTTTTCTTCCTCTGTGGCATTTTGAATTGGACCTATGTTCTTGGCCAACAAGAGGGTCAAGATACAAGGCATCAAAGCATGAACATAAGGATCCAAGAAAATTGATGTATTTGAAATCAAGGAATAGATTAGCATTAGCATAGTAGTTAGCAAGTTCAAGTTTTTTAAGTTATGAGCTATTGTTTCTGCGATGAATTGAACTAAGTACGGAACCAATTGATGTAATCCTGTATCTGATCTTATGGACTCCAAAGCTGCTGTCTTTAAGGCATCATTAGATTCATCCATCAAAACCTCAATAATTTTATTGAAATAAAGTTGCATTTCTTTTGATAGAACGTGCTTGACAAGCGGACGAACTTCAAGTTCCTTCTTATCAGGTTGCTTCGATTCCACAGTGGTGATACCAGTTTTAGGGTTTGTAACTAATACGATTTCATCATTGTTCAAACTGAGCATATTTTCAATTATTCCTCTTTGGGAAATTGGTAGCTGTTTTATATCAGATAGATTTGGGTTCTGAGGTATCGTTGGCTGGACACCTTCAACTGCCAACCAATGTGCAGTGCATGTTGTATATCTTGGCACTTTCGGTAATGGTTGATTGACTAAGGTTTCAAAATCGACCTCATCATCGTCTATATAGTACAAGGTTTGCCCAGGTCCTATCATAGCTTCTTTGAACACCAATGGTTTGGATGTGTCGTATCCATACAACGGTTCTAAGTTTAAAACTTTCATTGCTCTATCGATGTCCTGGGTAGTTAAAGTCTTTCTCTTTCCGTGTCTCATAAACTTCAAAGCTTGTTCTATAATTTCATGAATTCGGTATTCGACATCCATGGCTAGATTCTTCGCCACTTCATCAGAAAATTGCCACGAGATACCTAACGTATCGCTCACATCTCTTACAGTATCATACGGAGACCATAAGGTGTGAGACAATGGCTTTTGTGAAGTCGCTCCACCACCAGCAGTACCAGCGGCTGACTTCAATGAACCTGATTTCTTTGACATGCTTGAATGATGCGTACACTGCCCGCTCGGTATATAGCTATTGGATCTTTCACTAGAGTTCCGTCAAATGAGACAAACACCATGACCGGTAAATCTTCAACACTCTTGCCAGTCTTTTCACTTTCTCATTTCACTTTGCGCGGAGATATGTTTGCAAATAATTCAAGCCTAGTCTATGAGCACTTTAAACAGATTTGTGTACAAGGCTGCAATATATAGATATATATATATATATGTATGTATGTATAGATATAGCCCGAGGGTGTCTATCGACTAATTAGAACGGGAAGGATCAATGAAGAAGACTTCTCCATTTGTCTCTCTTTTATATGTAAGTCTGTCTGCGACAGTTCCCGCATAGATTAGATTATTCAAAGTCCAGTCACCATGGTTGTAGACTATAGGTATCTTCTCACACAAGGCAGGGAATAAAGACTGGTACATAGGCAAGTATTCCGCAATGTCTTCGCTATCTATCTCTGTGCTGTTCTTCACCTTTTCGAACTCATTATAGATAAATTCCGGAAAGATGGATGTGTCAGGAATATCTGTGTAGATATTTTTGTTGGCAATTCTCATTATCCAGAGCAAAACAGCATGGTCTAAAATTCCCTTCTCAATCAGATCATTATATGTCCTTGTTCCAAAAACAAGAAGGAAGGAATTAAAAAATGCCTTGTCTGCCTGCAATGCCTTTTTGAAAGAGAATGGCTTGAATTCTGTCAACAACTGCTTTTCGAATTGCTCAATCTGCTCCAAGTATTTCTGGAATATATCCTTCTGTGATTTTCTGTACAATTTGATGTTTTTGGCATTCACCTCGGAAACATTTTCGGACATGACCACGTCAACCTTTTTGAGAGTTTTCAACTTGGTTTTGATGATAGACCTCAACTGGGTTGAGCCTTCCAATTTCATTCTCACTGTAAACCCTGTCTTTTCACTTCTCAATTTTACCAAATATGCAAAGAAGTTGATCAAGTCTTTAGACAAAGGAGAGTTTTTTCTTAGCTCAAAATTGATAACTTCCTCGGTGGAGTCTTTTGGTATGATGACACCATAATTTTTGGCCCCTTCAATCACTGAAGGGTCTAACTTTAATGTCAATGTTGTGCTTTCATTGTCGTTATTCTTCAAACAAAAGCCATAGTGCAACAAAAAGCTGAGGTTGGATTTATCGCCATAGTTGTTATACAACTCGCAGTTCTTTCGTAGTTTCGACAAATCATCAAGGGTACTGAACACAAATTGGTTGTCTTCTATTGTCCAACGACATTTGCTTTGGTTATCATCTGCAGAATTCAACAAGTCAACAATTGGTAACAAGAATGCCTGGCTCTTATACTGAGATGATTGGTCGAATAGAATGTAAGGGAAGGCTCTTGATGAAACCACGCAGCTTGCCCATAGGTATGCAGTGAAACTAGTCCATGAGACCTCCTTAATGTTAAGTAAATAATCGACTGCGACACCTCCTACCGGACCCATCTTGAATGCTTCATACTCTAACAACTCGTCTTTCAACTGTGGGTGCTCGGCGATGTCCATCTGCAAGACTATTTTCTTCCAATCCTCCAAATCCTTGAGGAAGTCTCTCTTCATGAAAGTGTATGCGTCTGTTCCATCCAGCATCTCTTTTTCTTCCATGGTCCAGAAGTATGGGTTTCCTAAGGCCTTGCCAGTGTCAGGCAGATAGTCAAGATATGGTTTGAATTGTTCGGAAAGATCAACGTTGCTCTCCTGAAAGACCGTTCTGTTGGTCTTGTCGAACTTCAGCTTTGCCAATAGAAAAAGAAGGTTGGAATTGGCATTCTTCGATGTTGAGGTGTTGACACCCTTGAGATACTTGGAGGCAAAAGCATCGGCTAAAATGGGCGTGATGAGTAGCTCTTTTGGAACTTTAATGAGGCCGGTTTTGTCTTGCTCTTCTAGGGGCTGAGCTATTATGCATGAGGTTCCGTGTTCCGCGGTGTCTTTGAACGTCAACTTTTCGTTGACGTATAGGCCGTTGGATCTGGCCCACTCTAGTAGTGCCTGTAGTTTTTCAGTCATCGTGGATGCAATATCTCTGCTGTGTATATTTCCTCAAACAGGGAGATGAGATGTGTGTGCTGATGTTGGGAGGAAAGGAAAAAAAAACGCTCCATCATGTGAAAAGCTGATTGACGGATGGTGAAGATGATGCTTATGATGGATAGTGTTGAAGGTGATGATGGGTGAATCTTTCAGAAAAAAAAAGTCCCAGCGAAACAAAAATATATTTTCAAATGATCGAACCCAGGATCGAACTGGGGACGTTATGCGTGTTAAGCATATGCCATAACCAACTAGACCATCCGACCACTTGTGAAAAACTTAGAGCCCGCTCCACCAAGACGCCTCTCTCCAAACACTCGTGTTTTGCAATTAGCGTCCTCAATTAGGCAAGCCAACCGGTATCCGATATTGTTCGGTGCACGGATGCACCGCTTTCTTCAGACGTGCATGCCATTTCTTGCCGCTAGAATTTTCCTCCCCGGGCAACTCCAAGACCTGTTCCTCGCTGTCGCCTGCCCTTCGCAGCCATCCGCTCCCGCCTGCCACCCACGGCCGGCACCGGCCATCTCCCCACTTGCCAGCCAACTCCGAGACCTTCGAGGCGCCCTGGCCGTCGCCGGCAGCAGCTATACACAGGATATGGCGACTATTCAACCATAGCTGACATGCGTGAGCTGGTTCCGGGGCACGACCGGGACACAAAACAACGCCGGGGCCATCGGGGTGAGTGTATAAATACGAGGGGAAACGTCGTGAAACTTGCTTCTTATGCTGCACTGGATTCCTGCGTGTCCAGCATGTAATCCAGCTTGCAGAGACAGCACACGTGTAAAACAAAAAAAGGTACACAGTATAACAAGACAATGGGATCAGCACCAACACCTGAATTCAACTTGTCGTCTGCTAAGGCGACGCAGTACGAGGAAGAGTACGCTGCACACAACTACCACCCTCTACCAGTGGTGTTCCACAAGGCGCAGGGTGCGCACGTGTGGGATCCAGAGGGCAAGGAGTACCTCGACTTCCTTTCGGCGTACTCGGCAGTCAACCAGGGACATTGCCATCCCAGAATAATCAATGCGCTCATCGACCAAGCACAGAAGTTGACGCTCTCGTCGAGAGCGTTCTCCTGTGACATATTCGGCTCGTACGCCAAGTATGTGACGGAGTTTTTCGGCTACGAAAACGTGTTGCCTATGAACACAGGGGCGGAGGCCGTGGAAACAGCACTTAAGATCGCCAGAAGATGGGGGTACGTGAAGAAGGGTATCAACCCGGACGAGGCCATCATTTTGAGTTGTGAGGACAACTTTCACGGCAGATCGATCGCCATCGTGTCCATGTCCACCGACCCGGACGCCAAGACCAACTTCGGGCCCTACTTGAAGAACGTCGGTCCAATCATTCCAGGCACTGACAACCAGGTCTTGAGATATGGGAAGATCGAGGACGTCGAGCTTGCCTTCAGGAACGCTGGAGACAAGATTGCAGCCATTTTGATTGAGCCAATCCAGGGTGAAGCCGGTATTGTCGTTCCTCCTCGGGACTACTTTGAAAAAATCAAAGCCCTTTGTAAGGCTTACAACGTCCTTTTGATTGCAGACGAGATCCAAACTGGTATTGCCAGAACGGGGAAGATGCTCTGCTGGGAACACTACCTGTCCAGAGAAAACAAGCCAGACATGGTTCTCTTGGGTAAGGCCATTTCTGGCGGTGTCCTGCCTGTCTCTGCCGTCCTCTCATCCAGAGAAATCATGTCGGTTTTGGAGCCTGGCTCCCATGGCTCTACCTACGGTGGTAATGCGTTGGCTTCGAGAGTGGCAATCGAGGCATTGGCCGTCGTGAAGGACGAGAAGTTGGTGGAAAGATCCAAGGAGTACGGACACTTTTTCCAAGAGGAGTTGAAGAAGTTGGCTGCCGAGTCAAACGGCATGATAAAGGAGGTCAGGGGTCTCGGCTTACTATGTGCCATTGTTGTCGACAACACCAAGACCAACGGCAAGTCTGCGTGGGACTTGTGCTTGTTGATGAAGGACCATGGGGTCCTCGCCAAGCCTACCCACGAACACATCATCAGATTGGCCCCTCCTTTGGTGATATCCAAGGAAGACTTGCTCAAGGGTGTCGACAGCATCCGTCAAGCCTTGATTGAGCTTCCAAACTGCAAGGCTGTCGCACACTAAGCAGTACTTAGGTCGTCCTTTTGTTGTATATATACATATAATCACACTACTCGAGTTTTCTTAAACAAAAATAATAATAGATCCAAAAATGAACTTCTCGCTTAATTATGCAGTTGATATACAAGATAAATGAAAAGAAATGAACATAGATTTCAAGTGAAATCGAAAAAGAAAATCAGAAAAAGAAATAAACCATACCCATATACAGTCCATCCTAGGAGATAAAAAAAAGAAGTAAACAGTGAAATCAACCTCTTTCAGAAGTTGAATATCACCTGACTGAGCTGGGAATCATCGATGCTATCGATGAAGTCTTCGTTGCTTGCGTTAATGCTGTTGTCGTCTGTGAAAATGAAACCATATAGGGGGATAAGGAGGGGGAAAAGTATTATTGTTTTAGAACAACAGATCGTTGAAGTCGTAGTCTTCGTCAGCGACATCAACATGATCTACTTTATTGTGAATGTTAGTTATGCGTCTATTTAATTGGTCAAGAGAGTAGTGGATAGAAAGTAACTCACCTTTGTCCTTGCCCTGGTAGATAGCGTTAGGTTGTTTACTTGCCAGCGCATTTGTTAGCAGGATAGGCAACACCACACCACCCATGAACCCGAGGGCCAGAGTTGGGGCCGATATCGAGGTCTGCCTCGTCAAGCTTTGTCTCATAGCGTCAAATAGCATGTTTTCTGTGTTTGTGTTTGTGTTTGTTTAGTGGAATGACCAATTAAGACTGCACAACACCAGCGTGCTCCTCAGCTCAGTTAATCCCCTTACAGTTATCGGCGGCCTTCTAGGATCAAGCGGAAGCTTATATACCCGTACTGGCCGCCGATCCCCAGCCAGACACTTCTGCAACCGTCATGTTATCTTGACAGGTCTCCCCACAAAAATACTCCGCACCACGGGCGGGCAAGGTCACTCGGGCCCGCTTATCGCCCGTCTGTCTCTGCTGCTTTCTCCTACTGCTGTTTCCGACTGATCTTGGGCCGCTGGGGACTGGAGCTGGGTACACGCCTATCATTAACCCCACTGCTGTCGCCGGTGGCAATGCCGTCATCCTCCTTGGAGTCTTCACTGCTACTGCCGTCGCTCGCGGTCAGCAGCACGTACAAAGACCCCACGGCACAGCTAAACGCCAGCACTGCGTAGACAAACCGCTTCGTGTGATGCATCATCAGCAGGATCATGTAGTCGATCAACTTAAACGACGCAGTGTCATTGGGTGGGGATCCCCTCCTGGTAATTTCGTCACTGATGGCCAACTCGAGGGCAAAGGCAGTTGTCAGTTTTGTGTGCTGCAGCATATGCGCATAGTCGATCCGCTCTATCGTGTCCTGTGCAGAATGGATGAACGGGTTGCTCAAGTCGACCTTGCTTTCTAGCACGTATATCGCTGGGTACCCGTACATCAAGGCCGAGATGTGGTCCGAGCATATCTTCCCACACTGTGTGTCTAGATACGGTATGTCGCAATACAGATCGATGATCTTCTTAGTGAACTGCATCAAGGACTGCGAGGTGTAGTCAGTTATTATCCCGAAGTGCTCTTTGTGGCCGGAATCCAGCGACTTCTGGGTGTATCCCGTCATGTCTTGCTGCAGTAAGGCGACGACTTCGTTGTTTCGGCGCCTGTAAGCCTCAAACACCTGTATCGATCCCAGAGAACCAATTTCCTCTGCGGAGTAGAAATGGAATTCCAGCGAATTTCTCATCGCAAGCTGCCCACTTTCGACAAGCCGAACTATCTGCCGGATGGACTGCACTACGGTTACAATGCCTGAGAGATTGTCGTCCACACCGGGTGCGTCGTGGTAGAACTTGAAGTTGATGGAATCGATGTGACAGCCGATAATCACCTTCTTGTCGCTCTGCCAGCTCGTAGAGGTGTCTCTCTTGATCTGAAAAAGAATACTCGGCTGTTTCCACTCGTGTTCAAACTGCTCGACCTCAAACCGCTCTGGATGTGCAGACCCGCTAATCAATCCACGCAAGTAGTCTTTCACATATAGGGCAGCCTTGCGTCCGTTGTCTGACTTGTAGTACCGATCGCCTGGTAAATCGTGCACAAAGCCTTTCAAGTCATTCTCGATACTCTCTGTGTCTATTAGCGCTAGCGCTGGTGTGACAAATTCAGGATGCAGTTTGCTTGGATATACATAGGTGTCTAGCTCGATTTCTTTCAATATCGGTGAATATGACGACGTATAGACGAGCAAAACAAAAGCCAGTGAGAAAAAAACGAGAGAAATTAGAGGTTTGGAAAGAATCATCTCAGCGGCTAGTATGTGCTGGTCCTCCGACTCTACCGTCTGGCGGGTTCTGTATTCAGACGTCATTTCACACTTCCTTCTATCCTTTTTTCCAGATACAGGAAATCTACACCGGTCGTGCACGTGACCCTGGTTCTTGCTACATGCTTTACATTACAGCACTTCATTTTGATCTTTTTTTTGTCTTTATCGTTAACTAGTTTAAACAGTCGGAGAGAGACACGCTCCTAGAAGATCACATCTCCTTCGGTCTCGGTGACCAATTCCGTGGTGTCCACGGTTTTTTCCTCTCCCGCCTCTTTCTCGTCTTCATTGTCTTCTTCGCTCTTGACCACAAGCTTCTCAACGTCTTCTGCCTCGTGCTTCTCCAGCTCGTTCAGCCTTTCAGCCTCCTCTCTCAGCTTCTTGGCTGCCATTTCGGCATCGGCAGCGGCAGTGGCAATCTGTTTCTTCTCCTGGACCTTTTTCAATCTGTAGAACTCTTCTCTGTCTAGCTCGTCCAACTCAGAGTTGATGTATGCGATGGTGTTCTCCGTTCTTGGGATGATTACGTGCTCGATTGCATTGACTCTTCTATTCGTGACCTTGATAACGTCGTCCAAGATGACGAACGCAGTTTGCAAGGAGGCCAAGTCCACCAACGTCTCGACGGCCTTGCTGTACACCTCTCTAGCCTTCTGGACCTGTTGACCACCTCTGCCCAAACCGGTCATTCTGAAATCGTTGATCGATTCGTTGATGTCCGCCTCGAATTGGGGCAAGTACACACCGGAAACGTTCTCCTGTCTGGCCTTGACCTTAAACCTCGCGTTATTACTGATACTTTCCTGGACCTGGAAACCAATGTTACCGCCGGTGGCATACGAGACCTCGGCCAACGAGAAGGCGGCCGTCTGCATCACACGTCCCATCTTTCTCTTTGCGTCGTCGATTCTCTTGGTTATGTCTCTGAACCTCTTGGTCAACGCTTCGGATTTCCTCTTCAACAACGAATGTCCGGTCTGTGCACCCTTTAATTTCCCCTTCATGACACCAAGTGTCATACGCGTTGGGAACACTTGTTCTCTGCAAGACACGAAAAGGATTACAATTGAATCCTCGTTAATGTTAGTACGCAATTCCTCCTGGTTGTCGGCTCCGCATTCAACTCTCCGCTATCGATGACCCTGAAGATGTGCAGCCGGCCAAATCTCCCCTTTTCCACCGCAAAACAAAGGAACAAAAACTTACCTATTAGCAGCACCAGACATTTGGGTTTTCTGTTAGCTTCTGGAATCCTCTCAGCCTGTATTCCCCCGCAACAGGCTGACTTCTCCGTTTGGCAGCCTTACATGTAGCCCCCGATGGTGAAGCAGCCACTTCTTCACTATAGTATCCATTCGGATCTACAAGAAGGTAAAATGCTCACGGTGCACGGGTGTTAAGCGTGGCTTGGAGACGGTCGTCCCAAAAATTGTGAAATAGGTTTCATGAATTTCACACTTTGCCTAATGATGAGTGCCAAGAGACTTATCCACGGGCCAGCACCAAACGGGAAGCTACAGCACGCCACGAAACAGAATGCAGAATGAAGACCCGCTGTTGGAGTGTATTGAGGAGGCAGATATTGGGTTTGAAATGCAACTCTTGAAGGATTTGTCGCCAAATGAAGACCTTTGGAATCAATACATCAATCACAAACGAGAACAAGTGATTGAGAACGCAAAGGATGTGAAGACAAAACAGTCGTTGTTGGCCTTACTTTACAGACGAAGTAGAGTATGGCCGGAGAGCTACGAGCATTGGACACAATTCATTGACTACTATATCAAAACGGTCCAGATAAATGCTCCGCGAGACATGGCGGAGGTCAACAAGATCGTGCAGTGCTTCGAACTGGCATCGAAGACTTTCCAAAAGAAAACAGTTTTCTGGCTCAAGTATCTAGGATTCCTTATCAATTCAGTGAAGGTGGTAGATATCGGGTTTATATTGGAGATGTTCAGCGTGTCGCTGTTGAAGTTGAAACCAAACGAACATCTTCCATTATGGACATTACTTTTCTCCGAACTGCTAGATAAGGTGAAGTTACCCCAAAATATGAAATTTGACATATTTTTTAGCTTTTTCATCTATTTGAAAAACAGCGATAAGTTTGGCATAAGCACTGGAGAAGAACATGAAAATGAAACCCCCAGTTACGACCAAATATTCAGTGTTTTGCTAAGCACCTTATCTAGCTGGCAGCAAGTGACAAAATTTCAGAAGTTTTTCAACGAGATGATCAAACCAGAAACGTTGTTGAAGCTTTCTGATTCCGTACTAGAATTGTACAGGCGATATTTGGAAAAACTTATCAAGCTATCAACTGAAAACGAATTCCCTGAAAAGGTGAAACTGGAAACCAAAATAAGCTCAATGTTCCAAGAGATAGTGAAAAAATTTCCAGATCAGCAAAGTGTATTCACTATAAAATTTGCAAAGTATCTCATGATGAAGGGAGAGTTTGATGCTGCTATGCAAACGTTAGAAGCACGTCTGAACTCATCTCTAACTATCAAAGATTTCTCAGTGATATATGATTCATTGACTGAAATTTTGGAAGAAAAGGTTTCTGAGCTTTCCGAAAAAAGTCAAGACGAAACGGTTTTGAGTGTGTTCCTCAATAAACTAGAATTTTTACTATCCAATCGACTGCTGTTACTGAATGACGTCAAACTACGTCAGAATATCAACAGCCCCTCCACGTGGCTAGAAAGGATTCATCTTTTCGAGGAAGAAGGCGAAGAATCATCTGACAAATTATTTAAATGTTATTCCAAAGCCGTGTTGAGCATCGACCCAAAGAAGATACCTAAAGACGAGAAAATACAATTCCCTCAGCTCTGGTGTGACTACGCCAAAGTCTACCTGGCTGCTGGCGAAATCCAAACAGCAAGGACCCTTTTCGAAACGGCAACTAAGGTTCCATGGACAGAAATGGAGCAGCTAGAGTATGTTTGGATTGAATGGATCAAATCAGAAATAGGACTGAAAAATCTTGAGCATGCGGAGTTTGTTTGCTCCAAAGCTGTCAGCATTCCAGAACAGATTTCCAGCGGTAAGATAGATATTGATGATGAAAATATCAGCGTACAAATGAGGTTATTTAAAAGCACACGGTTGTGGAGTCTTTACCTTGATTTGGCAGAGAATTGTGAAGACTTTGATGATATCTGCAAAGTGTACGAGGACGCGATGGAACTCAAAGTCATCAACGGTGTGATGATCATCAACTATTGTTTATTTCTCGAGGAGAACGGATACATTGAGAAGAGTTTCAGCATCTTTGAACGAGGAATGGGCATGTTCAACGGCGAGTCGAAATCGATTCTTTACTGCATCTATTTGAACAAGATACTTAAATACTGGGATAAGTTGCAATGGGATGTGGAACGTGTCCGAGAAATCTTTGAAGAGGGACTTGGATTTTTTAGTGAAGAACAGAACGGCAAGAGTTTGAAGCAGGTCTATATTCTCTACGCGGAGTGGGAGATGAAGTACGGTTCAAAGATAAGAAGCTTGAAGATTTTGAAGGAAGGTATTTCCCAGATGAAGAGACAGGGTGACAAGCTAGTGATGTACAAGATCTTAATAGTGAACACCATCGAATGCAAAGGGGTTGAGTGGGCTGTCGAAGTTTTTCAAGAGGCCACCGAGAATCTTTCCGTCAGAATCCCAGGCTACATCAGCGACATAATCTGCGGGTTTGTTGAGGTGGAGGTTGCCTTGGGTAACATTGGACGGGGTCGGGAGGTGCTACAATATGCTGCCGAAAACGTGATGGAGTTCTGCAAGTCCCACGAGGACCGGATCTCCATTTGGGAGTTGTTCAAGGCCTTCGAGTTGGAAAATGGAGATGAGAACACCTACAAAGAAATGCTCCGGAGGAAGCGGTATCTGGAAAACGTCTTCGGGCCTACCGAGACGGCCCCTACCTCTGTAACTGACTCTGCAAAGCCGACTGAGGAGAGCGCCAATGCACGGATCCGGAAGGAAATCCAGGATCGAATCGGCTTCGTGGCGTCCTCCGAGGGCCCGAAGAAAACGCAAATCATCATAGAACAGTCTCCACATACGTCTGGCGACAGTAGTGACACTGGTGAAGGCGGCAGAAGGAACAACGACGCCATTGATCTCGACATGAACTTTTAGAGAAACCTACCCGCTCGGGAAACAGTTCTCGCCGGACGCCGTCTCGCATGCGGGGGAGAAAAAGAGAAAAAGGTGGTGAAGAAGTTGCAACGGTGACGGGTAAGGAAGACAAGAAGATGTTTCTCCGCTTTGTTCCTGATTCATCCGCTTCTCCCCCGCTCTTCCGTTTCTCTTTGAGGTGTCCTGCTCAGCTGTTTAAATTGCCGCCTTTCCGTGTGTTTTCAACAGAGCATTGTTCTTTCCTTCTCCGTCGCTGCAAGGGGCTGGACACAAACCAGATATAGATAGTATACATAGACACACAACCACACACAGACGCACAATCGCAGTATAAACACAATGAGTATATGTACATCGATAGTACGAGCCACGCCAAGAGTGAGGCTGCCACTTTTGCCATTCGTTCTGGACGCCGTAAAACACAACGCGTGTCGATCAGCACGATTGTCATCCACCTCGACGACAACGGAATCAGCATCTACCGCTTCGCCTGCTCCGCCAAAGCCAATTACAGAGCAACAACAACACTATTCGCCTTTGGAGCTATATGATAGACGTGTCGTTGAGGGACGATTGAGAAATGATGAATTCCAAAGAGGAATTTTGACGAGCGTGCAGGACTTGTACGAAAAGTTGACCCAATATAAGCCGCCAAAGGTTGCCAAGCCGGACATTTCCAGATCCAGATTGAGCACAAAATCAGAATCCATGTTTGGCATTCCAAAATTTGTGTCCTCCTGGTTTACGACCATAGAGAAAGAAGCCGGTTTGGAGAAAAAGCAAGAAGTTGACATCCCTCATGGGATATATTTATACGGCGATGTCGGATGTGGTAAAACCATGCTAATGGACCTGTTCTATGACACAATTCCTCCGCATTTGACAAAAAAGAGATTGCACTTCCATCAGTTCATGCAGCGTATCCACAAAAGAGCACACCAGTTGAAAGTGCTGCACGGTCACAGAGAGGACATCGACGTGATGCCGTTCTTAGCTTGGGAGTTATCCGAACAAGCAACTGTTTTGTGTTTTGATGAATTCCAGGTTACCGACGTGGCAGATGCAATGTTGCTGCGTAGATTACTTAATCTAGTGTTGAGAAAGGACCACGGTTTGGTTTTATTCGCAACCTCAAATAGAGCTCCAGACGATCTTTATATAAATGGTATTCAAAGAGAATCGTTCATCCCGTGCATACAGTTGATCAAAAAAGTGACTCATGTCATTTACTTGAATTCTCCTACTGATTACAGAAAGATTCCTAGACCAATATCGTCTGCCTTCTACTTCCCCAAGCCTGGTATCTCGTACCTTTCAAAGTCGTGTAAAAAGGAAAGAGAAGATCATGTCAACAACTGGTACAACTTCTTCAGTCAGGGGCACCCTGCTGAGTCAAACATCCCATTACGTGTTTGGGGTAGAGATTTGATAGTTCCAAAGGCGTCTCCACCGTATGTTGGACAATTTACATTCAAAGAATTGTGCGGCGAACCTTTAGCAGCAGGCGATTACTTGACGTTAGCAACCAGTTTTGAATCCATCATAGTCACAGACATACCCTATTTAACCATCGACCAGCGTGATGAGGTCCGGAGATTTATCACCTTTCTTGACGCGGTGTACGATAACCATACACGAATTGCAGTCACTGCAGCTGCTCCGTTCCAGGATATTTTTGTGGAACCAGAAAACTTGGGTACTAGTGTTTTTGCACTGTCGAATAAAACGCCTCAAGAAATTGACGATAAACTTGAAAATGACACTCTGGTCACACAGCATGGATTCGATAAGAAAATCGCCAAAAAAGCGTTTATGTTTGCCCATTTGGATGAGGAAAGGTTTGCCTTTGCAAGGGCATTGAGTAGATTGACCCAAATGAGTACCCAGAGTTGGATTGATGATGTTAGGCCAAGAACGAAGAATTAGAAATCAATTTTGGTCTTCAGCATCTGATTTTCTTCCATAGCTCACCTCTATCCTATTATATTCATAGATATTTTTTTATAAACACTTTTACTTCATTCATGCTGTTTTATTTTACACTGTTCTCTACTATGAAAGTGATAAGAATTGATTGATTTTTTTTGGCAGGCGGCTTTTAGATAAAAAAGCACAAGATTAGATTTAGAAATTAACAAAATAGGGCCTAAATAGAAAAGAAAATGAATGTAAAAATCAAGTAAACGCAAATAGTTTTTTGGCTTATTTCTTCTTGCTCTTGATTTTCTCGACTAATTTGAAAATAGGAGATAATGGGTTAATGCTTTTAACCCTTAAGACGTAATACAAACCAACCATGCAGAAAAAGTTAAACGCAATGTAGGCACAGAAGAAACCAACATTTCTCCAAATGTAAGAGTATGACATGCCAGTATCTTTCAAGAATTCATCACCAACGGAATACTGACAAACTTGGCAATCGGAAGATGCATTAGGATTATTCACATAACCGTCATTAGCAGCAAAGAAGTCACTTAAATAATCACCACATGTTTGGCCTGTAACTGGTTGTAAAACGTTAAATTCCTCTTTTTTACATGTAACTGGGCGATCATGAACCAAAACTGATATCATATTGTTCACAAAATAACTGAATGGTGAAAGTCTCCACATGAATTTCCAGAATCCCGGCATCAGATTAGGTCTTTGAACCACACCACAGAAAGCAATAATAAAACTGAAAATCAAAGCCATCAAAACATTTGCGGATGGTAAGTCTGGGGAAACATAAACAGTTGCAAGTGCTAGAGTGATATAAAACATTTGGAAAAAGAAGCAATAAGTGAACCACCACATACCAGCTCTTGAAGGTTCGTTGTCGAGCTGAATTGGGAAATACCAGCAAACAAAATAAATCGTTGAAAAGATTATACCATATGGAATTTCAACCAAAGCTTGCGCAATGATCATACAAGACCAGTGGAAAGTGTTTGATTTAGATTCTCTGACTTCAAATAACTCTCTTCCTGCAATAGCTTGCTCTTGGATTTGATTGATCAATGGATTGGATAGAACAATGGCAATGAAACAAGCAAAGGTTATATTTTGTAAACCAATAACACTATGCTTAACATTCCAGAAGGTAAAACCATGTAATAAACCAGCTATTACCATCAACATAAATTTTGACATAATGTAAGGCACTTGTCTGAACACTTGAAGTTGAGTTCTTTTGTAAACTGTAGACAGTTGGTAAAAATAGGAAGTAGCATATTTATTTTTTAGCTCTTCGTGAGAGGATGAATCTGCGTTTTTGCTTGAATCAGATATAATTTTATCAATTTCTTCACTTCTTTGAACAAAGTCTTCAGAGTCACACCATATTTTATACCAATCTTTTTCAACGGTTGCGGTTGCACCAGCACCAATAACATTTAAAATATACTCAGCAGGATTTTCGTGCTCACCACATTTTTTAGCACCTTGTCTTTCGAAGTAAGAGATCAAGGTTTCTGAATTTGGACCGATGTCACCAAAATATACTGTCTGACCACCTCTCTTCAATAGAAGCAATTTGTCAAACTGCTCAATTAAAGTTGCAGAAGGTTGATGGATGGTACACAAAATTGCTTGGCCTGCCTTAGCCAACTCTCTCAAAACTTGAATAATGGCCCATGAAGATTGTGAGTCCAAACCAGAAGTTGGTTCATCTAAGAAAAGTAACAATGAAGGCTTAGCAACTAACTCCGTCGCAATTGACAATTTTTTTCTTTGTTCAACATTTAAACCGTAGCCGGTGACACCTGTAATGGAATCTGCGTATTCATTCATGTTCAAGATTTCCATGACTTGATCAACATATTTAATTTTTTCTTCATCTGAAACACTAGCAGGTCTTCTCAGTCTAGCACTGAAGATTAATGATTCTCTGACAGTCAATTCGGCGATATGTAGATCCTGTTGCTGAACATAACCTGTTCGTCTTTCAAATGAAGAATCCAAAGGCTGGCCATTGATTAGCATATCACCAGTGACCACACCAACATCAACACGCCTCGATAAGACATTGAGTAATGTTGTCTTACCAGCCCCTGACTCTCCCATCAGAGCGGTTAAAGTTCCTGGTAAAACATAGCCTTGAACATTATCTAATAATTTCCTTTCTTGGCCATCGTAAGGAACAACATAATCAATATTTTTCCAAGCAAAGATATCACTAGAACCTAATGTTTTACCTTCAGAGTTTGCCAATGATCTTCTAGACTCCAAGACTTCATCCGAAATTTGATCCTCCTTATTTTCGGCGCCAGGAATTTCTTCATCTGTAAACCCAATGGCTTCGAATAAAGAAATTGGAATATTTGCACCATGAGTGAATAGTAGTTGATCGGAAGAAGCAACAATCGGATTATAAATTTCCACGAGGATACAGTTGATAACCAAATAGCCAATGATAAAACAGAACATGATACCAAAATTTCTCCACATATGTCTCCAAATATAGTTGTAGGACAAATCCAAGTAAATCATACCATCAACGTCGTTTGCACCATTGAATTTCTCTTTGGACAGAGCAGCACCGATAAAACCACAAACTTGATTAACCATAGTATCGATGTTTTCATAACCCTCACCTCTTGGAATCAAATCAGAAGGATAGCAAGGCATGCGTGATCCTCTGAACTCCATCAAGATAATCGACTCAAAGGCAAATCTTATTGGATTGCAGTAAGTAAACCATTCGAACCACCAGTACATTGAAGGACTTTGGATCATATATGATGAATATAGGATGCAAGCCATCATGACAACACCGTTGATACCATTAGCAGCTCCTAGAGTGGGCATAATGGATGCTAGCAATGTAAATAGGGAACTAATAGCTTGGACGCAGAGTTGAATGAATAAAAGAAACGTGAAAAAAGCACCTGCATCTGTCTTCAAACCTGACAAAAAATAGATGACAATACCGAAAACCACGATACTAATAGAACGGATAGGTATAGAGACTATCTGTTTGGCAAGTAGTTCTGCGGAAGGATGATACAGCGTATAACCGTACTGTTTGTTCAAAATTGGCTTGTCTTCGAACAAAGTGGCGGTTTCGGCCAAACTCATAATGGAGAAATAGAGAAGGGAGAAGAAAATAACACCTCCTCTTGCAAATGCACCGACAGTCTCCTTAGTGATGTTGTAGTACATGGAACCGATGACAAAAGCTTGGATAGATGCAGCAAAAAAGAGAGTCATGGCATAAGCACGGTTATTCCAAGAATCTTGAGCTCTTCTTTTACAGCAGAGCTTCAACTGTTCAAAATAGTTGACGGTATAGAGAGAGCGTTTGGAGGTGTGTTTTTGTTTCTCAACTTGTAGGACATTATTGAATGTTCCACCAGTCTCTTCGTGGTTCGAATTTTGAATCTTTTTTTCAATTGCTTCACATAAATTGGCAAACTCTGGTGAGTTTTTCCAATACTGCTCAAACTCATCGGCGGTGTTAGGAGCGTCGGTGACCCCTGGTTTCAAGTTTCTGGCAAGTGGGTCGGTGACGGAAGTCAAGAACTCTGAGCTGGTTTCTCTGGGGCTACGGGCATAGCCCATTCTTTCGAAATAGTCGGAGGCCTCGCTGATGGGGCCAAAGTAGACCTGTCTTCCGAGATAGAGGACAGTAACGTAATCAAACAACTGGTATATGTTTTCAGAAGCCTGGTAGATGGTGACGAGGGAAGTGATTTTGGTCATATTGGTTGAGGTTCTCAAGGCTTCTGCGAATTCCAAAGCGGTAGAGGCGTCCAACTCTCTGGTAGCGTTGTCGAATGCGTAGACGGTACCGTTGGTGACCATTGCTTCTGCAATAGAGACTCTCTTTCTCTGACCACCAGAAATGCCTCTGACAAAGTCGTTACCAACCAAGGTCTTCTCGACATGCTTCAAGCCGAAGAGAATTAGGTACAAGTCCTTGATCGCAGCAATGTACTCCTTTCTGGACATGTCGTTGACTCTAATGTCTGGGGTTTTGCAGCCTATGGCGAAGTTCAGCGTCTGCTCGACGGTTAAGTAGGGAAGGTGGACGTCCAACTCCGGGTTGTAGATGAGCTGGTTCTGGAACTCTTTGAACATCTGCTTTGAGTCAATCCCTCCGTACAAGAGCTCTCCCTCGTAGCCGAGATATGTTTTCGTCTGGCCACAGAGGACCTTCAACAAGGTGGAGCAGCCTGCGCCCGGTCTGCCAAGCACCAAGGTCATGGTCCCCGGCTCTGCAAAGCCGGAGGCGTCCTTGACGATTTTCCGTGTCTTGGGGAGCTTCTTGAAGTCGAAGCCGCCGTTTTTCTTCTTGTTCATCTTCGCCTTGATGATCGAGTAGAAGGGCACAAAAATGTCGCTCACGTCCTTCAACACGGACGCCGACGTGTTCTTCCCCGTCACGGTCAGGTTCCGGAACACCACCTCCGCCTTCTTCGTCTTGATTCCGTTTTCCTGGTTCCTGTTGATGAGGAAGTCGAGGATCTTCTGCAAGTCAAAGTTGTTCTGGTCAATGTGGAAGTCCTCCATCTCCTTCGCGGTCATGTGCGACATCTGGTGCGACAACTCCGAGAGCTTCGACATCAAGTCCTGGTTCGTGACCGACCGCTGCAGGTACTGCAACTCTTCTGCAACCTCGTCCTCGTTGGAACTGGGCTGGTAATAGACGATCTCATTGTCGCCGCTCTGCGACGTGTCGTTGTCCTTCTCTTTGCCAAGGGGGACAGATTCGGCGCCGCTGAAGCTGCTCATCTTTTTGTTCTACTGCTTGCTTGCACTTTAGCTGGCTCTAGCTCACTCTAGCTCTCTCTAGCTTGCTACGCTATGCAAGTCACACGTGTTGGCTTCCCGTCACCAATTCTGTGTTTCTCTCAAACTCAGCGTGGCGGACCGACCGCTCTTCTTATATGTGCGTGACGCCATCCGAGACAATGTGCCTCTCTCCAGTGCCCCTGGTCTTCTTTCTACGGGGGTCGGGTCTGTCAACGGGGCCTGTCCACCTTGGTTGGCAGCAACTCCGAGCTTTCGGCCGCCGAGACCCCGGAATCTCGCTCATGTTTCCCGATTGGGAAGTATGCCCGCGTGTCCAGCCCCACGGGGCTCCGCGCTAGCCCCGTAAAGTCAGCGGTCTTAGTAATCGCCCGGCTCGGGCCTGGCTGGATGGAATGCTTCGGGCGTGGAGGATCGGCCGGGGGGCTGGAGGTAAGGGTTATCTCCAGTCGGTCCCACTAAGACACGTATAATGCAGACGGAAAACCGGAGGTCGTGTGGGAGAGAGACAGATGAAGAGAGAGATGGAGGGCAACGCAAAAGACGTTGACGAGGCTAAGGCACTGAGACACTAGGACGTGGCGGAAGCCCGGCGAGTTGCCGGATTGGGTAGGGCTATCTCCGGAGATGGTACGACGGGAAGATGGGCGGATTGTGGACGAAGGATGGGGGATGTGAGGAGTGAAGGGGCAGGAAGGGCAGTAGATGGGTAGACAGCTAGGTAGGTAGATAGGTAGATAGGGTGGAGGTTAGCAAAGAGCGGTAGCGGGCCGGGGCTGGGGCCGGTCAGAGGGTCTCGATGGTGTGTCCGCGGTCATCAAGCTGGCGAACAGTCCAGGCCCAGGTCTCGTCGGCGTAGACGGTGTTGTTGGCGACGGGGCTCGGGGTCATCTCGAGGCCGAAGGTGGTGTAGTACTTGCCGTTGTCGGCCGGGCGGTCGACGCCGTCGCTCAAGGCGCAGCGCACGGACGCGTAGGAGCCCTCCTCGTTGCTCACGCCGAGAAGCCAGTCGAAGATCTGGAAGAAGACCCAGAAGAGCGTGCCGATGAGCGGGAGGTGGGTCAAGTGGCTGAAGAGGTTGGTGTTCAAGACGATGCCCGGGTGCACGGCGACGGCGAGCACGGAGGGGTGGCGGCGGGCCAGGCTCTTGACGAAGTGGATCCCGGCGCACTTGGCCATGCCGTAGCGAAACAAGGTGAAGATGATGTTTGGGAAGTAGTCGAACTGGTAGTCGAGGGAGAAGTGGAACGGCGCAAACCAGTGGCCGACCGAGGAGACGAAGATGATCCGGGGGTCCTTCACGGCCAACCCAAACTCGTTGCGCACGACAATCTCGCTCTGCTCCGACGTGTCTTCCGCCGCCTGGACTTGCTCGTCGCTCTCCACAGAGGTCATCAGCCCGAGCAACCGGTCCGTCAAGAGAAAGTGGGACACGTAGCTCGTCTGGAGCTGCACCTCGAACCGGTCCACCGTAGTGCCATACGGCACCGCCATGATCCCTGCGTTGAGCACAAGAAGGTGCAAGCACTTTTCCTTCTGCCTGAACTCCTTCGCCGCCTGCTCGACAGAGTCTAGCGACAAGAGGTCGATCTGCAAAAGGTGCAAACTGCCCAGAAACCGCTTCCCCAGCTGTGCGTGTGTGTACTTCGTCCGACGGGCCGCCGCCTCCTTCTTGAGCAACTCAATGGCGTTCTGCACACGCTGCTGGCTGCGCCCGGCAAGATACACCACGTACCCATGCAAGTAGAGGTGCAATACCGTGTAGTAGCCCAACCCGCTGTTTCCTCCTGTGATGAGACACACCCGACGCTCCACACTCGGGTTGAAGTATGGCAAGAGATTAGGATCGAACGACGACATCAGTGTGATTGCTTGGTCTCTAGCTCTGTACTTCCAAGTCGGCGTATCCACGTATCCACGTCCCTCTCTCTTTACTCCACTCTCTTCACCTCTTCACCTCTTCAACTCCTCCACCAGAGCCCCCTCCCCTCCTTAACTCCCTCACCTTCGTGCTCTTTTCGGCAACTCCACCGAAGCGCAGCATTTTTGTCTGCTCCTGTGCATGCACGGTTCTCTCTGAGCTGGCCAATCGATCTGGTGCACACGACTTCTTTGCTGACTTGGAAAGGATTACAAGGCATGGAGCTTCAGCCACCCCATCATCGACAGCAACAGAAGCAGCAGGTGCAGATGCAGCAACAGCAACAGCAAATGCCAGGCCCCCAGCAGCCCGAAACACCCACCACTGCTGCACTCCCGAGGCTTCGCTTTTCAAGGGGCGGCAGGAAGAAACCGGCCCCGAAGTTAAACATGAGCATCCCTGTAGAGAGCCCGACGGCCCCACTGAACATCTTTAGCAACAAGAACTTACCCTCCCTGCCTCCCATGCCAAAACAGTTCAAGAACTCACAAACCATTGACGGATCGAAAAATGATAAGCCGACATTGAACCTGGTTGACAGTGGGAACAGCAATGGCAACGGAAATGGAACGAGCAGCAGCATTAATAGCCACCACAGCAGCAACAGCAACAACAGCAACGGCAACAACAGCAGCAATACGCTCAACGAGGTCGGGCTAAACGGCCTGCCCAGCGCTGCCACAACCTTGACGGTGGCGTCCATCTCGACGTTAAACGACGAAAACCTTCCGCTGGACAGATCGCCCTGTCTGATCTCTGCCTTTAGCAACAAGCTTAAAATCAGCGAAAATGAAGATTTGGCCAACACCTCGTCAGACTCGTATCGCACAAATACCCCCACCGAGTCCGACATAATCTTGACTAAGCCTTTGGAGTCCTTGACCGAAGAAGACTGGAAAGTGTTGCACGAGAGAGAGCTGATTGAAACTTTGGAAGTACTTGGGGAAGGTAACGGAGGATCGGTGAAGAAATGCAAAACATTGACAAAGAACCCAGCCATATTTGCACTCAAAATCATAACAACAGACCCGTCTCCGGAGTTCCAGAAGCAGATGGTCAGAGAGTTGAATTACAATAGGAAGTTTGACTCTTCCTACATCGTCAGGTATTATGGAACTTTCTTAGACGAGTCGAGCTCGTCCATACATATTTGCATGGAATACATGGGAGGGAGGTCACTGGACGCTATATACAAGGCGTTCAAAGAACGTGACGGAAGACTCAGTGAAAAACCTCTAGGAATTATAGCCGGAAGTGTATTGAAAGGACTGGCATATTTGAATGAGAAGAAAGTCATGCATAGAGATATAAAGCCACAAAATATATTACTCGACTTGCAAGGAAATGTCAAGCTCTGTGACTTTGGTGTTTCGGGTGATGTGGTAAATTCACTTGCCACGACCTTTACTGGTACGTCTTTCTACATGGCGCCCGAGAGGATCAAAAATGAGCCTTACACGATCAGCTGTGACGTGTGGTCACTCGGACTAACCGTGCTTGAGGGAGCATTGGGCGAATTCCCCTTTGTCAGAGAGAGTTCTCCAGATCTAATGATCAGCCCGTTGGATTTGTTGATGATCATCATAGAGTTCGAGCCGATCTTGGAGGACGAGCCCGATGAGGGGATCAAGTGGTCAAAGGGGTTCAAGGATTTCATAAAAGTGTGTTTGACTAAGCAGGGACGACAGAGGCCTTCTCCGAGACAGATGCTGGAACACCCCTGGCTCGTCAAAATGATGAACAAGCACGTTAGAATGGACAAGTTAGTCGAGTGTTGCTGGGGATAACGGTGGCAATTGTCAGCTTTGTACAGGGTGCAGCCCCAATAAGTTTAGTATAGCAAAGTTCAGTTTCCGAGTCTGCGAGACACAACAGTAGAGTTTGAAGTTGCGACGGCTTGGCATGGGCGTAATGTACTACTCATGCGCAGGCAGGGATACCTGTTTTGTAGCCAATACTTGATTAAATATAGAATCTTCATATGCGTTTTCTCGCTAAAATAGCTCTGCTAGTTATCGCAGGCCAGAATCTACTCGGCTTTACAGCAGCCGGAAATATGTAATAAGGGGATTTTGTGGGAAAGAATTCAGAGGCAATCAAGATGACTGCAGAATTGATGAAGAGGTGATCGATCGCCTGGAACGAAAGTTTCACCAAATCATCTCTTATAACAGGGAGCTAAGCTCAGCCAAAGCAGGAGATTTATTTACAATTCTGTCTCTTCCACTCGAAAGGCGCATTATTGTGAGACATATTCTATGAAGAGAAGATACCTGCCGACGACATGGACCATAGGATCACACTTCACCATCCATCTACTGTAGTATGACATCATTCTCATACCCATCAAGCTTACGTAAACCGTGATGATCATCCCATGGGGTCTTTACAAAGCAAAAAGGCCAGTTAAAAAAGAAGGCTGCTGCTGCCTCCTTCAGCCGTCCATATTCCAAGTATCTGTGGAATGAAGACAAGGGATTCCGCCTTCCCACTATTAGAACTGTAGAGATAAGTACCTGTGTTTCCTGTGCTTTTTGTGCTTCAGGTGGTCGAAGAACCAAAGGCAGTAATCGATAAAGATCATATATACATATGCGTTTGTTTGATAAACTGGTTTCGTTGGCTGTTCTGGCCGGACTCACATCTGCTCTTCGCCTGGATTTTGAAAGTCACATTGAAACCAAAACATATACGAGAAATGTGACTTCCTATAGGGCAATCTTGAATACCACGCAGCTTGCACTCTGCTTAAATGAAGCGGGCACGAGAAGCGTTAAATTTTACACTTTTAACGAGACCAGAAGCGATTATGTGGTGGTCGCCATCGACTGTGATGGGAATCTCATGAATCAATTTGACTGCCTTGAGCAACAGGACTTGTCATTGTTGGGCTTATACCGTGGCGAAGAAATCGAGGGTGCTACACAGCTTTATGACGAGATACTAACCTGGACAGGAGAATTTCACGGTCACCTTGATGACGAAAGTCGTAATGTTGTAATCTAGCTATTCTGTTATGAATATCCATTGTATATTGTTCACTTTTTCTTATGTCTGTTACTTATTTAAAAACAACTTATATAACTCTTAATAACTAATGATTCTAAACACAGATAGGAGACAAAACCTCTCCTATTTATACACTCATGACGTCGGCTAATCTTTCCAGTTTTAGATTACTTGATGCCTCATTACAAGGCTCTTTTCTAATGCCTTGTCTTTGATAAGCCTCTTTCTCTAATTTATTGATATTGACTTCGGCATCTTATCTCAACACGTAATCTAATTTGAATATTCATTGTTAGTAGTACCTTTTAACACTATGTTTGTTGCTTACATATATATAACTAATATAACTAACCTACAAGCTAATACTCTCAATCATAAATACAAGGGACAAACCATTTGTATTTATATGCTTTTACCTTCGGTTAAACCTGCCATGATAGAAGCACACGGCGGCTAACTTTCCAGTTGTAGATTACTAAGATGCCTTATCATGATAAGATTCTTATCTCTTATCTCTCGATCCTCATTGGCTTCGGCATCTTATCTCAACAACGAACCTGTATAATTATACTGTTTGGAGCACCCGACTTAAAGCATTCTTCGTTGGTAAACCAGGCCAGATATAGACTCGCCATAAAGTGCTGTAATCTGTTCTCCTAATTCTTGTTCCACATTGGCTTGGGCATCTCATCTAGACAGAAAGTTTATTTGTGATCTTGGATTACTCTCGTGCAGAAAATAAATATAATAATATGATACCGGTTGCCTGATAAACAGTGCTCAGAGTTACTTCACTTCCTTTAAACAGGCATACATGGTCCCTTGGCCCAGTTGGTTAAGGCGTGGTGCTAATAACGCCAAGATCAGCAGTTCGATCCTGTTAGGGACCATATATTTTTGACTTTTTTTTGCCAACTATCCTCTTTTAAAACTCCCCTCTACTCCCCTTTGGAACTAATTCCACCAAACCTTCATCCAAGAACTTATCCCGGCTGTCAATACATCATGCTTCACTAAAGACCTGCTTATCAATTAGCCCCCTCCCTCCGCCCTTGGCCTCTTCACTCAGTTTGCGCAGCCTGCGATTTTACACTCTGGCAAAACGAAAAGGAAACCGAGCGAGATTACACTGCAGGACCTGATGTTGCTGTTCGATTATGCTAGATCTGTGTGTTTGAAGAGAAGGGAAGGCTTGTAGAGGTAAAAGAAAACGATTAGCAGACACCGCCACGGAAAGCCACGCACAACAGCATGCCGAGATTGGAACAATGGGAGATCAAGAAGTACTGGGAAATCTTCAGGGGGTTGAAGCCTGAGAAGAACAAGCTCAATGGAGAGAAGTTGGCACCAGTGTTCAAGAACTCGCATCTGGCACAGGAGCAATTGACCAAAATATGGGACCTGGCCGACATTGACGTCGACGGACAACTTGACTTTGAGGAGTTCTGCATTGCCATGAGGTTGATCTTCGACCTGGTCAACGGCAACACGAGCAACGTTCCACATAAGTTACCTGAGTGGCTCATTCCCGGGTCGAAACGTCACTTGGTGGAGGCGGACCAGGCTGTTGTGTCCAAGACGAACAGCATGGGCAGCGAGAGTGACACTGACGATGAGTACACTCTTAGCTCAGACTTCGACTGGTACATTTCCCCCACCGACAAGAACTCCTACGAGGATGTTTACAACGCATCCTGCGACAACTACGGGAGGATCACCTACGACTCATTGAACGGCCTATACAAGACGCTCACGAAGGTGCCGCCAACAGACATCACTTACGCATGGAACATAGTCAACCCAAAGCAGTCGGAGACCATAGACAAGGACCAATGTCTGGTGTTTCTACACATCTTGAACCAGAGATCTAACGGGAAAAGAGTGCCAAGGTCCGTGCCACCTTCCCTGAGAGCTACATTTTCAAAGGAGATTCCAGAGTACGACATTTCTTCGCATCAGGGCGACCTGAACATTCCTCCGGCTGCTCCATCGGAGACAGTCCAGAAGAACAAGCAGTCTTTTGCTTCAGACTATCTCAGCAAGCTGGGTACATCGAGTAGCTCGATCGTGTCGAACGGAACCGATTTCTCTGAAATCAAGGGCACTGACTGGGAGGAGGTGAAGCTTCGGAGAGAATTGGAGGATCTCGAAAAGTTGCTAAAGAAGGCGGAGGCCGAGAAGAACAACAAGGGTAAGGACAGCAAAGTGAGTCTGCGCAAATACGAGTTTGAGCAGCTTCTCAAATACAAGGAGGAACAGGTTAAGCAGGTGAAGAGCAGTGCCGGCGGTGCAAGCGACTTGAACTCTGTGATCAGCAACATTGAATCGATAGAGGTGCAGGTGAGCCAACTCGAGTCCTTCCTCCAGTCGAAAAAGGATGAGTTCAGCGAGCTAAACAGGCAGATAGAATCTTTGAGATAGGAGGGTTGTCGCCATCCTTCGGTTCATCGTTTACCAAAGAAAAAGTAGATACGTACAATCTGTATTTGTTTGTTAATTATGTGACAAGACTTGCTATAGAGCAGGAGAAGTAAGTTAAGAAAAGTATGAAGTAACGTAAGAGAATGTATTTGGGGTGGTGCTGCTTAGTGGTCCAAGGCTCTCAATTCATGTCCTTGTTCAAGAAGTTCCGGGTCATGGTGGGCAATGCCACCCGGACCCCGTCCAACTCCTTCGTCATGTGAACCTGGCAGCCCAACCGGGATGTCTCCGTCAACCCAAACGCCAAGTCCAACATGTCGTTCTCGTCATCGTCCGGTTCTGGGATCTTGTCATAGTAAGCCGGGTCGACAATGACGTGGCATGTCGAACATGCACACGATCCGCCACAGGCACCCTCCATATCCAAATGGTTGGCCTGCGCAATGTCCAACAAGTTGTCGCCCTCGGCAACCTCAAATGTTTTCTGGTCTCCCTCCTTCGTTATGAATGTAATATGGAGCTCCTCTCCTGGGTTTGGCTTCTTCAAATGGCCATGCAACACTGCTGCTGACATTTGGAAAAACCTTTGCTGATTCTGCAGCTGGATCTGCGCAGAAGCATTCTTGGCCGTTATAGCAAGCCTCTGGCCGCTTCTCAGACTTCTTCCTAGCGTTAAAACGTTTCTGAGCATAGTGATGTTTCCCTTCCGGACCGTCCTATTGTCTCCACAGCGTGTCTGACCTGCAAGGCTCAAGCCAGGTCGACCCGGTCGATCAACGGACTGCAGATTGCCAGCTTATGCTGAAAACATCTTCACAGCGTCTGGCTCGCCAAAAAGTTCGCTGCCCGGTTGGAGACGCTTATAACTTCGGCTTTCTGCACATTTTGGGTGGTTCACGGACGGACCAGAAGAAGGCTTGGAGGCGGAAGAAGGGATGAGAGACAGTAGTAATTGGCAGCACTGAGCATCAAACGGAAGAGGCTTAGATAACATGTCGGAGCTTTTTAGCGGATACGAGGCAGACTTCAACCTTGCATATTCTGATGCGCAGGGGAAATTGCAGCAGATATATGGCTCGGAGGATGTGGATCGGCGTATCGAGATCATGAAACAGGTCGAGTCGGCCATTGACGACTGCCACGACCTCTTGGACTCGATGAACCTCGAGGTGCAGCAGATTGCCACGCACCAGCGTTCGTCGTACAATGCCAAGGTCCGGACCTACCGCAACGACTTGGAGAAGGTTAAGAACGACTTGAAGAGCCTCATGGACGACAAGGACAGGCGCCAGTTGTTTGGCAGCGGAGGCGATGACGGTGAGGATTTCAACCAGAGACAGAAGTTGTTGAACACCAACGCATCCATTGAACGGTCTTCACAGAGGATTCAGGAGGCTACGAGAACGGCGCTCGAGTCGGAAACAGTGGGCAGCTCGATCCTTAACAACCTGCGGTCCCAACGAGATCAAATCTTGAACGCCAGAGACACGCTTGGCGAGGCCGACACCTACGTCGATCGCTCGTTGAGAACCTTGAAGTCGATGACTAGAAGAATGGCGACCAACAAACTCATCACGTACGGAATCATTGCCGTGTTGATTATGTTGATTTTCCTAGTGCTCTACAGCAAATTCAGTGGCTGACTGAGTACTACAACTTTCACTTTTACTTTTAACTTAACTTTCCTTTCTACCTCCTTTCCGCTTACGCCGCTTAATCATTCTCTTGTTTTACACTGCCCTTTCAGTTAATTTTTTTGTATTTGGAATTATATATCTTAAGATAAATATACGTCAACTGGCTCAGCATATACATATCGGTCTTGCAAAATAAGGTGAAAAAAGAAAATACAGTACGTTCTGCTGAAATGGTGGGAAAGGAAACGCCATGACAAAGCCGAAAATGAAAGAGTAAAAAGAAGCTGAAAAGAAAATCATTTGGCTTCGTACTCTTCGGAGTTCACATTCACTTCGTCCGAGATCTTGTAATTGGCCATGGCCTCTTTGACGAGCCTCAGGAAGTCCTCATTGGCAGACTGGTCTGAGGCATTCGTCTTAGTGGATGAGCGTCTACTCAAACCTGGAAGCTGTGCTACCGCCTCGTCGGTGTCAAGTTCCAATCTTTGGGCTGCCAAGTTCAACAGTGATTTCCCTGACTTTCTACGACCCAGAAGTGGATATGCCCCGGTACCTGGCTCGTAGTTTTGGATCTGATCCTGGTCATAGAAGGACTTACTCCTGATAGGGGTATGAGGCTGTCTGCAGACAACACCGACATCTTGAATCATCCGGGCAACTAGTGCAGTCCAACCGCATTGCCACTTTGCACCCAGACCCCTACCAGTGTCCCCGTCAAAGTATTCGTAGAAGTTAACGAGGTCCTTGAAGTTTTCATCCTTGTTTAATGTCTTCAAGGTCTCGTTATACTCTTGCTGGTCCTCTGTCAATTCAATAGCATCGTCATCATCTGTTGTTGTAAATGGTGGTCCCAAATACGCACGGAACCCATCCTTATCGGGCATAAAAATATGAATCAACCTCTGTTGAATCTCCTCGGCAGCCTGCCCCAAATTCAAATACTCACCACTTCCAACTGGAACCTCAACTTTCAATGAGGAGCCGTAATATAAATAGAACCTTAAAAGCGATTCAATCAACAAAAAGTTCATTGGAAACCAGATCGGCCCTCTCCAGTTTGAATTACCACCAAACATCCCTGAGTCCGACTCGCCAGGCAAATAAGAAACACCATAGTCTTGGCCGTTGATGTTCATATGAACAGGGTGCTCTTCGTGATACTTGGAAAGCGACCTGATACCATAGTCTGATAAAAACTCACTTTCATCAAACAACTTTTGAAGAATAGCAATTAATCTGTCCTTGTTAACCAAGGAGAGCAGTAACCTATCACCATCACCCTTGGTTTCCATTGAGGCAATGTGTCTCTTGAATAAATAGTTTTTGTTTTGAATCAACCATTTTAGCCTTTTCTTGAAAGAGGGGAATCTGTCTAAAACTTCGGCTTCTAAAGTAGTGGTAGCAAAAAGAGGAATTAATCCCACCAAAGATCTGACCTTGACGGAACTCTTCTTGTCATCACCCCACTGAATCTTATCATAGAAGAATTGTTCTTCGTCGTCCCAAAGAGAGTCATCGGTTGGTCTAAAATTCTTCTCGGATTTGTTCAAAAATGTCATTGCGTCCGCAATCAACAAGTAGTGCTCAAAGAACTTACTTGCAATGTCTTCGTACACAGGATTATCCCTGGCCAATTCTAATGCAATATTCATCATTGTCAATGCATACCAAGCAATCCAACCAGATGCATCTGATTGCAACAATTGAATTCCAGACGGCGGTTCTGATCTGTTGAAAATACTGATATTATCAAGTCCCAAAAAACCTCCTTCAAAAATACCATTACCATCGACATCTTTCCTGTTAACCCACCAGGTGAAGTTGATCATCAATTTTTGAAACACTCTTTCCAAAAAAGGTCTATCTGCGGTACCCCAGTTCTTCTTTTCAATTTTGTATGTTCTATAGGCTGCCCATGCTTGCACCGGTGGATTTGTGTCTGAAAAGTTCCACTCGTAGGCAGGGATCTGCCCGTGTGGTGACATATACCACTCTCTTGTCAACAGATCCAACTGAGATTTGGCAAATTCAGGGTCAATCATGGCCAACGGAATTGTGTGGAAGGCTGTGTCCCAAGAACAGTAGAAGGGGTATTCAAAGTTGTCAGGCATGGATAGAATGTTTTCATTATACAAGTTTTTCCAATCCTTGTTTCTCTCATTGGCTCTGCCCACGGTTGGAGGCAAGTCAGAATCGGGGTCACCCCTATACCAATAGTCATGAATGAAATGGTAGAATTGCTTGGTCCACAAAAGTCCCGAATAAGCCTGTCTTTGAACATTTCTCAAGTGTTGAGGAATTGGGAGAGGCGAGACGTTCCAATAGAACTCATCCGCTTCGTTGATTCTTGCGGAAATAATGTCATCGAGAAGCTCTTCATCAAGGTCCAAGCTCTCATCAGACAGATCTTTAGTCAGTTTGTAACGTATGGTGACGTAGTCCCCTGGAGGGATACCTCCATTTTCATCGAATACAAACCAAGCACACGCCTTGGTACCGTTTTGTTCCGGGTTGACACTAGTTTTGATCTCGTCGACAATATAATCGTGGAAACCATCTTTGCAGTACTCGGACTTGTTTTCAACGTTGTACAACTTCTGGAAGTTTGTCTCGTTATCACAGAACAACAACTTTGGCTCAACATCGTTCTCAGACCCTTCGTAACCAGGAGCAGGTGCAAACACAATCCTTCTCTCACCTAACTTGTAGTGGTTGATTCTTATAACATTGTCATGCTCCTGGTACATTGTTGGCTTCTCTCTGTCTTTCTCAGAATCCAAATTCCAAGCCCAGGTGTTTCTGAAGAAAAGTTGTGGAATTAGGTGGAGTGGGGCAGCGGCGTTCGACCTGTTATAAGCAGTGATTCTGAAATACAGTTCCTCCGGGTCCTCATCGTCTTTCGCCATTTCAAAAAACACATCAAAATAGTTGTTATCTTTGAAGACACCGGTATCTGTGATCTCGTATTCGGTGTCGTGTTTGTTTCTCTTAGAATTCTCCTCGTACAGCTCCTCGTACGGAAACTTCGAGATAGGATATTTGTAGAGAAATTTGGCGTAGGAATGCGTAGGCGTGTTGTCCAAGTAGTAATACATCTCCTTGACATCTTCACCATGAACACCGCTCTTCCCTGAGGCCCCACCTGGTAATCCAAAAAGGGTCTCCTTCAAAATCCCATCGTTTTCGTTCCACATCGCCATGGTCAAATTGATCAGCTGGTGGGTGTCGCAAACACCCGCCATTCCCTGTTCGTTCCACCTGAACACCCTGCTCTTTGCAGTTTCAAAGTCAAACTGCCACGCGTCTCCCTCATCCGTGTAGTCTTCTCGTGGAACACCCCAGCATCTTTCTGATAGGTACGTCCCCCATTTCTTCCAGTATTTGGTTCTCTTTTTGTCTTCTGCTAATCGCTTTTCTTCCTTGCTTGGCTTATCTGAAAGAGGCATCTTCAGTCAATTACCTAAAGCAGAACTCACTGATCCCGATTGTATCTTCTTAAGTAGCCAGCAAACCCTCTTCTACCTTCAAGATGCTCCTATGAGCCCTGTGATCTGCCCATCACGAGGCCCGGCCCCAGTTTCAACTCCTGTCAAATCGATGCAACCACCACGCCCTTCGATAAGAACGATTTGCGCGATGGCTTTTCCCCCCAGAAAAATGAGGCCTAGATTTTCCGGGGAACACCTGAAACTTTAACGTTTCCGTTCATTTGCAGTATGTCTACGTGTTACTACCTATCCGTGTGTATGCTTATATATGCGTGTAAATATGTTGTTTGTATGCGTGCGGTTCCGAGTACTACTGAAAAAACTGGGCCAGCAGTTCTTCATCATGCAGTATCGTCTTCATGAGTCTGTACACTAGAAGTAACATGCGGGGGAACTTGCCTGAAAAGTACCAGTAGAAACCGTCGGGCAAAGACCCGATCTCCATCGCTAAGTCCTTTGGAAGGTCCTGGTAGTGGTGGTACTTGTTCCGGATAGCCCGCAGCAGATCCATAAGCTTATGTGTATTGTACTTGCGGTACTTGCCGAGATTATCAATGAACTTAGCATCAAACTTGTCAAACCAGCCCTTGGGACCTAGTACGTCAGAAGCAATAGATTCGAGCTTCAGCAGGAGGTCTGACGGAGGATCCCTTCTCTCTACCTCGAAACGGTCCGAGACTTTTAAGAGGAACTCTAACTTCTTTTCGACACTCCAGAAGTACGGGTGCTTCATGACAACACTGATATCTGGTCTCGCCATGGGGTTTTTATGGATCATCGAGCTGATCAGGTCTTTGATGGTGTATGCGTCAGGCAACGTGTTCAACTTGGAAAGATCGTACTCGCCCTTGATGATGTTGCCTTCTCTAATGTACCGGTCTCCAAACGGATGGTACCCGCCAGTCAGTACATAGAAGAAGACACATCCAGCAGAAAAAACGTCGACGGACCGAGTTAAACGGACCCGATTCGCCAGGCTGGAATCCACGTACGCCGGTGATGTGTCTAGCAACAGCTCCGGCGCACGCCAGCCAGACGTACCTGCCGCATTGGCCGTGGTGCCCTTGAAGGACGACTGATCGGCGTCCAGCTTCTTACACAATCCGAAGTCCGAAATGAGGAAGCGGACTGGGTTTTTGTTCTTGTTATTTTTTGATAGCGCAACCAAGATATTTTGCGGTTTAATGTCTCTATGCACAATCTTCAGGGAGTGCAAGTGGTTCACCCCGTTGGCAATCTGGTATAGAATTTCGCTCGTCTCCACCGTGACATCCAAATTCTCTTTCTTCTTCTCCACTAAGTCCTCCAACGATGATGAACACAACTCCAAAGCAATGTACAAAAACTTGTTCTTTTCCTGGGAGCAGAAGTACCTGATGACGTTTGAATGGTCATCGCTTTCTTGTAATAGGTTGATTTCGTGGGAAGCCACATCATAGAAATCGAGTAACATTCTTTTGACAGCTACAGGTCTGTTTTCAAAAAACCCCTTGAAAACTATAGTACCATGAGAACCGAACCCCAGGATATGCTCCGTAATAGATAAACTATTGCTTATATTGGTAATTTTGGATAGAGACTCATCCATAGCCTCCAGAGTTTTGACACTCGCAATACCAGCTCCGCTATCATCATCATCAGTAGAACTAGACGTGATTGCGGTGGAAACACCTGTATTGTCAATTGACTCCTTTTTTCTGTTCTTTTTGCCGCCTCGGCACCCTCTTTTACGTTTTCTCCGGGCAGACTCTTCTGTTTCATCTTTATCTTCATTATTTTCCTTTTCGTTGTTTTCAGTGTTCCTTATGGTGTCGTCACTGTCCTCTTTCGAGACGATTCTACGGAGATCAGAAGATTCCAACGTCGTCGTTTCCTTCTTCTCAAATTTTCCCTTTTGATCAACGGTGGGATCCGTTTCAATTGTAACCATTTTCACCGGTCTGCTCGAGTCCTTGGCCTTGCTGTTATTTATGAATGCCTTTAGCAAGCCAAATTTGGACATGACGTAAAAGATCCCAAGACATATCATTGCGACAAAAACATTTTCAACGGCTCTGTATACCAACTTTGAAATAGAACTGCTTTTGAATGTTAGGGTTGGCGCTCTCAGCACATTTTCATCAAAAATGTCCTCGTCTATTTCATGATTTCTGTTGGAGCGTGTCACTTTTTTCGATTGGCCTGGGCTATAGGTCAAACCGTTGTTTTTTTCGGGAATGCTCATTGCTGTTGCAGACTGATAAACGGCCAAGTGTTTGTTGATATTTCTTTGCGAATCGTCCTTCAAGTGTCTTCTTAAGGAGTTGTCGTGCACTCCGGAAATGGAAATTTCCAACAAATCATCGTTTTGGAAAATCGGAGGGAGCCTCCATCTCTCATTCGTAATGTATTTGGCTATGGGAGCAGATCTAACCAAGGATGGGTAGTGCCTTTCGCTCAAAGCATACCAAGAACCTTCCTTTGTTCGATCGAGATATGTCGATTCCTCCTTATCCTTGGGCATCGAGGAGGATCCGTAATCGAGGGGATGAGGTAAGACAACGTAGTCATTGTCAACGAGCGAGTTAGCAAAGACATCAAAGATATTAACAGTGACATAGGGTAAGTTTGACACCCACTTGATAGATTTGGAGCTAACGTCTAAGGCTAGCAAAGAACTGTCGTGGAATGGCTGAATGTATGTATCATCTGCCGAGTTTGTGTTCTGGGTCACTAGGTTAGCATGTAAGTTATTTGGCCCCCACTGCACATAAGTTATGTTCCAGGATGTGTTATTTTTGGAGTGTATTGTCAAGTCATATATCGTTTTCCCTAGTTTGATGAATGGTCCCGCCTCGTTATCTTCCGAGTCGTGGCTATGCGATCCAAAATAGTCTGTTTGCTTCTCAAAGTTGTATGATATATCATCACCATCACCATAATCATTGTCATCATAGTTGTATTGGGTATTTAAATTGCCAGGTGCATCGTCTAGATCGGTGGATGGGCATGTACCTACACCGTCCAAACCATACGACTCCACAATTGCTCCCGTTCGTGCGTTTATTTTGACAATGCCCGATATCCTGCTCCCCGTGTAGACGAACTGGTCATCAATGGAAAACGGCGAGTTAAGCACAAACTGCTTAATCGATATTGGTAGCTTCTCGAGACCCTCATCTCCCATGAAATGATAAACAGTCCCCTCTCCATATGGCTCCACCAGCCATGTAACATCTTGCTTCTTGTGGTTTTGTGTATGCCTTCGGCTGTCATAGCCAGAAGATTTCGTGTGTGAAGATTCAAACATATCGGCGTTGCTATATCGGCGGTACTCCCTTGTGCTGGTATCTGTGGGGTGGCTGGAAGAAGCGACAGGGGTGGTATGTCCTGCGTCTGAAGTGTCTGCGTCGGATCTGATGCTCACCAATGGCTGGCCACCAACAAGGGACCACAAAAGTTCGCCGGTTTTACGGTTCACAGCGTTCAAGTTTCCCTCGATGTCTGACGCCAGCACCAGGTTCGTGATCTGGAAGTCGTCCATGCGAGCCATCCCGTTCTGCGTGATGAAGTTGTCGATCTGCTCATACACGGTCTCTGCAACAGGGTATTCCGGCTTCACAATAAGTTCTTTGTTATTGTTGCTGTTTTCAGGGATGTAGTAGTTGTCTGAAATGCTGAAGCCTTCCGTTTTTTCTGATCTCACCCTCTGGGGTATAATGTAGAAAGCGACCAGGGTGACAAAAAGTATCCACCATACACGGACATGCCGTTTCTGCCGCTGTCCTACTCTCATTCTGGGACACTGTGATGTGCTGTTTTTCTGGCCTGGATGCCTTTTTGCTAAAACTGATCACACTTTGTATCTTTGCATCTGGTTCCAGCAGAAGAGCCTCTCCACAAGACTGCTGACCATTGTTCATAGTGAAAACTCCAAAAGGTCAGCCAGTCGAGGGAGGCCAAAAAATGAAAAATCTGAGGTTCGTAAAGGAGCGCCACCTTCTAGCCAGGAGGATCGCCCGACCGTGTGTCTCTACCAAAGGCTTATGGCAATCGGAGCTGCCGTTAATCATTGTAGAGAGAAGGGTTAGAAACAAAATGCGTCGGACTCAGTAGTCTGAACACTGTAGTTCTGGGTTGTAGAAAAAGAGAAAGGAGAAAATCAGACTAGAACGAGTTTTCTACAGGTCGACCAAAGCAGAACTACTCATCTACTACACAAAAGAGAAAACATGTCTCAGTTGGTATTGGAGTTTCTAGACTGGTTCATCCAGGCCATTATTGATATTTTTTTCAGAGAGGTTTCCGTGAGGGGCACGTTCAATTTCCCGGCGTCCGGACCAACGATTGTGGTTGTGGCACCACACGCCAACCAGTACTTGGATGCAGCTATCACGATCCACGCTGCACACGTTGTGGCAAAGAGACAAGTGTTTATGATCGAAGCGGCCTCTTCCTACCGTAGCAAATGGATGGGTATTTGGAGCAGATGGTCCGGTGCCATTCCCGTCGAGAGGCCCCAGGACTTGCTGGCTCTTAAGGAAGGAACAATCAAGTATGCGAACTATGCCGAGGATGAACTATCCATTGTAGGAAAAGGCACCCATTTCCTCAGAGACTGTGGGCCTAAAAGCCTGTTGGGTATGCCGAACAGCGGCGGCAATGCGAAGATCGCCGAAGTGATTAGTGACACAGAGCTCAGATTGGCTGCTCCCATGAAGAAGCAGTCTGGTATTGATGCGTTGAAGAGAGGAACCAAGTTTTTGGTTGCTCCGAGGATCGACAACCACCAGCTTTTCAACAGTGTCTTTGATGCGCTGGAAGCGGGTACCTGTATTGGGATTGCGCCCGAAGGAGGGTCTCATGATAGACCGGAGTTGATGGAGTTCAAACCCGGTGTCGCTATCATGGCTCTCGGTGCTGTTGCCAAGAACCCTCACATCAATGTTACAATAGTTCCTTGTGGTTTGAACTACTTCCATCCGCACAAGTTCAGATCTAGAGCCGTTGTAGAATACGGAACTCCTATCGTGATTACCAAGGAGAGAGCTATGGAGTACAAGGAAGATGCAAGAAAGGCTGTCAACAAGTTGATGACCGAGATTACCGATGCCATGGATATTGTTACGACGCAGGCACCAGATTACCAGACCTTGCAGGTCATCCAGGCTGTGAGGAGATTGTACTCTTACGGCCGGTTCAAGCGTCCTCCTTTACCTGTTGTGGTGGAGATGAACAGGAACTTGCTGACTGGTTACAACAAATTCAAGAACGACGAGAGAATTGTTCATTTGGAAAAATCGGTGCTTGCCTACAACAAAAAGTTGAGGACTTTTGGATTGAGAGATCATCAATTAGAGACAGCCAATGAAAACAAGTTTGAGATCCTCCTGTTGTTGATCCATCGGATCTTCTCACTAATTTTTTTCACAATTTTGAGTCTGCCAGGTACAATTTTGTTTTCTCCGATTTTCATTGCATGTTCTTTAATTTCGAAAAAGAAACAAAAGTTGGCCCTGGTGAAATCTTCTGTCAAGATCAGAGCCACCGACGTCCTAGCCTCATGGAAGGTTTTGATTGCCCTTTTCTTTGCTCCTGTATGTTATTTCCTTTACTCAACATTGGGCGTGTACATAGTGTACCACTATGAGTTATTTCCAAGTATTGGTGGATCCCTTTTTGGAGTATTGACAATGTTCTGCACTTGCTGGGCTATTTTGGTGGGCACCACCTATTCTGCATTTAGGATGGGAGAAGTGGGGATGGATATCTACAAGTCTATATCCCCGTTAGTACTAGCATTAACTTCTTCATCCGAGCAGCTGAGCGAACTGAAGGAAGAACGGAAAAGACTTTCGATTGAAGTGACCGAAGTTATCAACGAATTGGGCCCTAAGGTCTTCAAAAAGTTCAATGAGGGCTACTTGCAAAAGTTACAAGACCAGGTAGAACTGGAACAGGAGATAATGGACTCGAGGTCAAGGTCAAGATCCAGATCCCGTTCAGGATCCAGATCTAGGTCAAGGTCCCAAGCAGATTCGGGGTCAAAAACTCCTGCTTTGAGTCGAACAAACTCAAACTTCTCTGGGTTCTCCAGTTTCGATGGTGAAAACGATGCTGGAAAGCTACCGAACTTGTCTCACGTCTCTGTTTTCCCAGACCACCTGCAGTTTTCTGACAGTGATCCTCAATCGGTTTCTTCCAGCATGGAGAACTTGCGTACATCTGGACAAAATACTGCGTCCGGCGTGTCTTCGAGCATCTTGAGTGACAAGATCAGACAAGCCGTTATCCAACGAAACATCGAGAAAGAGCTCGATGGCGAAGACAAGGATTAGGTTTTTTTTTACCGTTTGTGCACTGATATCCACAAAAACCACGCCACATTATCACTTAAAACTTTATAAATACTTTAATAAACCAACTTTCATGATAAACTTCTTTTCTGGTCAAATCACAAGTGTAACACGTTTGGACCCCCCACACGAAATGAAGTTAAGTCCGCTTACGTAACACGATCTTTTTTTGGGTTAGATTTGGTTTCATGTTTGCTGATAACAAAACAGACACAATTTCCAAAGCATTCCTTTTCTCTTTCTAACATTGAGCTGGCTTCTACTAAAAATTTGTTTACAAGGGATTGGATTGGCTACCCGAAAATGAAGTCCTTTCTGATTATGGTGGGAGTAATGCTTTTTGCAGTTCCCATATACATACGGCTTTTGTATCATGTTCCCTACATTATCGCTGGATCTCTGATACCGGTGATCACACTAGCTATTGCAGGAACATATCTATCGCTGCAAGGTTTTGATAGAAAAAAGTATGCAGAATCTAGAACAGCAAGATTTGCATTTCACAAGACAAAAAATTGGATGAGCAACATGCAGGACTTGAAAGATGAATTGAGCTCGAACATTGACAAACAAATATACCCGGAAAACTTCATCATAAATGATACGTTAAATAACATAGTGAGTTTGATCCTACGTGATTTTGTTGAGTCTTGGTTTGCCAAAATCTCTTCGAATAAAATCTTTGTTGCTTCTTTGAGACACGAGTTCACCTACATAATTCAAATGTTACACAACCGACTGAAGGATGTGGATTTTTCCGATTTAGTAGTGCACAATCTAACCCCAATTTTGGCTGATCATGTCGATAAGTTTTTGACAGCACAAGAGATCACCAAAAACAAAAAAGTGGCGAAGACAACTGAAAAAGTGACAGATGTCAATGATGACACAGTGCTTGCATCTAATTACAACAGGGGCCTTCTTCATGCGGGGATAAAGCTGAATTCAGAAACGCCAGACACAGATATTAGCACTTACATTAGTGGCGTCGTAGACCGAATACTTCCCTATTTACTAGAAGAAGATGAAATCAACTCTGCTCCCGTTAGAATATTGATCAGGGAGCTACTTTCTTGCTGTGTACTGAATCCCGTGTGCTCAATGCTCACCGATCCAGACTTCTACAACCAAATAGTTGTTTCCAATTTGTCGAAGCAGATGAAAGATCGAAATAATGTGAAAAAGTTCAGAAACGTTTTGCGTCGGCATTCAATGTCGTTTAACAACATGGCATCACCAGCCTCTGAGGTGAACGATATCTTACAGTTCAAAGTGTCAATTGATACTCCGAAGCACGATTTTGAAAAAATACTGCTGATGGTCGAGCGATCAACCGATAAGCAGAGCTTGCTCAGGTACAAGTATTACATTCTCCTCAGAAATGAAAAGCTGCTGAGATTGAATCCCACTCTTCAGATTGAAGAGTCCAAAACTATGCAAAAATATGCTAAACGCTGCAATACTTTGTTGGATGCGATCAATTATAAAATTAGAGAGATTACCGAAGGAGAAGATAAGAGGAAAGCTGACACTGAAAACATTGCTACTACTGATCATCTAGAATTTTTACCACAAAACTCACTAGTAAAAGACCTCTCGTTGCACGAAATATTGTCTTCTCCAACGAGATTGAAATATTTCACGTCATATATGCAACTCAGAGGAGATCGTCAAATATTGCTTGATTTTTGGCTTTCTGCAGAAAACTTAAGAAATCCGCTAGAGTACAACAGTGTCCAAGCCAAACCATCTTTGGCTCATGTTAACAACAGTGAAGAAGATGATGAAAGTAGCGACGACGAAGCCACAACCTTTGTTGATAACGAATTGACTCAAGCTAAGGATATCAAAAACATTTTTACCACATACTTCAATGTACCTGTGATGAAAATACCTCCTAAAATATTTTACAAAGTGAGTGAGTTCATTGAGGGAAACTGCACAAGCACGTTAGCATACTACAGAGCCCGAAAGAGCATACTAAAACTACAAGATTTTGAGTATATCCGAATGAAGAAGAGTGATTTTGTTGCTTTTAAGGCTTCTGATACTTGGTTGAAACTTCTAGTAGATGAAGCTGTTAGTATTGACCATAAGGGCATGAAGGAAAGTAGCAGCACCCATATTCTAGCTGCTAGTGCTGATTTTGAGAAACACATACCGGAAAAGGTTTACACAGGGCTGAAAAATACTGACAAAATTTTAGGCGATCCGTTAGCCAAATACTCAGAGAAAGAGAATGATGGTAATTATGTGGATGTTAATATGACAGGGAAGGTCAGCGATAAAGTGGTTAGGGCCGTCGAGGATGCTCTAAATGAAATAATGAAAGATAGCAACAAATCTGATGTTGATTTATCTGTGACTAATGATAAAAGAAACTCAAGACTTGTTAGTGATGATGTTGCTCGTGATTTATTTGGTAATGGCGAGAAGAGTTTGTTTGGGGATGAACAAGAAGAAGAAGAAGAGGATGAGGAAGAGGAAGGAAAAGTTCTGAAGGGACAAGGCAATAAAAACTTAGCTGGTGCTAATATCCAATCGAGTACAGAGTTAGATGGTGATACTGCTGTTAGTTTGAGTCAAGATAATTCATCATTGGCAAGCAACTCATCAGAACCTGAAAATCCAATGGAGAAAAGTGATTTGAAAGTGGTGGCACCAAGTGTCTTAAATCTATACAATGAAATCGAAAGATTAGACGTCGAAATTGATCGGTTGCAAAAGCAGAGATTGATTTTAAAGGCACTGCTGCAAAAAGCTGAAGTTATTAACAATGTTCCCGAGTTAAGAATTTTGAAAAAGTCACTTATAAGTTTGGAAAAGGAGCTAAAGTTCAAATCCATGCAGAAAGAACAATACATTGTACAAGAGGGAGAAAACAGCCTATACGGACGGTCTAAAGTTACTATTCCAAGTTATATAACTGCAAAGGACAAAAATGGTAAAAGTTTCATAATGTATGTCATCAAAGTGACAACACTATCACGTTCAGACGCTAATCAAATAACTGCTAATTGGATGGTCACCCGACGATTCAGCCAATTTTACGAACTACACAATTACCTAAAATCCAAGTACCCCGTAGTTTCAACCATGGAGTTCCCAAAAAAGAAGATGGTGGTAAAATTCATTCAAGGATCTCTTATCGAAGAACGTCAGAAGAAATTGAAAAGTTATCTGCAAGCTTTAGTGAGAAATAAAGATGTTTGTTCCGATAAAATATTTCGTGACTTCTTGTCAAGTGAAACTTTTGATGCCACTCTCGACGATACATTGCAGCATGTAAACGAAAAAATCAAGAAAAACACAGATGGTTCGGGAACGAGATTGTACAACATTATTTCGAGCCAGGCTTTTTATCCACTTTTTTCTCTTGCCAACTATAAAGGTCTTAATGATCAAATGGAGGAGAAGAACAGGCATGAGAAGGATAGCGAGACATCACCTTCAGTTTCAGTTGAGAGCGATGCGGGTATCGATGATACTTTTAACATGGATGATGAGAATATTACAACTCCAGAAAGCCGAGCAAAGGATATCTCATTCATGAAGCCGATTTGTGATCTTATAGTTTCCATATTCCAGTTAAACAACTCAACCAGCTGGTTCAGAGGTCGAGCATTGATACTGCTTTTCCAGCAGTTATTTGGGTCGACTGTTGAAAAAGTATTGCGGGCCAATATTGATGGGAAAATCAAACAAGAGGAAACGATATCGAAAGTTCTAACAGGTTTGCAGTATACATTATGGCCTGACGGTGAGTTTAAGAAGAAACGGATACCAAGAACAGATGTTGAAAAAGAAAGAACCAAACAACAAACAAGAATGCTACTAAATGCGTTTTTGACAGACACCAGTTCCAAGATTTTCGGCCAAACTGCTGCTAATAGGGCCTCTGATACGTTGTACTTTGTATTTCAAAATGATATACTCAACCGTCATTTACTCTTGTCTATACTGGATGAATGCTTTGCTGCAATTTTTCCTGAAATTGGTAAATAGAAAAAGAATCAAGACCAAAACATAATAATCAAAGCTAGAACTACTGATTTTACAGAACTTCACTATATATCGCTTTCTGTCGAATAATTCCTCTCTTTTAACCTTTTATGTTTCGTATAATACAAACCCAAGTTCAGGAAGCTATCTAGATTGTAGCTTATGTTGTTTTTCTGCTTTCTGGCGAATTTAGCATATTGCGTAGGTTTGGCATTCTTCAAATGGACCTTACTTTTGCAAATTAGATTTTTTAAAATCTTGTCTCTGCGTATTTTTGTTGCTGTGTAGAGTTCGTTCTCAATAGGGTAGCTATTCACGGGCCCATTGATGGTATCCTTATCGAGTTTCAAGTTAAAGAGCTTCAATAATAACATTTTCGAGTGCTTATCCTTGTCATCCAAGCACGATAATACTGAAAACCAATCCAAACCATATGTTACCGCACTTGCTCGCTTCGGAGTTTTACCGTTGGTTCCTAATCTACGACTTATCTTCTGTGTCTTCACTATTGAGTTAGTGTGATAGTCTGTTAGCTTGTCAATGATCGAATCGAGTTTGGTGATGATTTTCTCTTTCAAAAGTGGACTCAAATGGATATCTTCTGGAGTGCGCCGCTGATAGGTGCATCTGCTTGGGAACCCTTTTTTCGTTACCTTGTGGTCCTGCGAATACTTTTTGATTTGCGAGTTAATCTTCCGTTCATAAATTGCATCTAGGGCCTCGTCTAGCTCAGCTAGAGGGTTTATCTTCGGATGCCAGAATTCCAACATATGAGCCGAGGGTTTGATAAGCTTTGAATTATCGTCGTAGTTCACATATGTATACTTTGTTTCTTCAAGCATTCTGGCGGTGTCATTGGCGTGAGATCCTAGAGACTCAAAGTCTGTTGTTCGGAGGAACGACCTCGGTGTGATAAGCTCATGTGCAGGTAGCGGCCATAGAGTGAACTTTGCTGGGGGGAGTTCTCTGTTTCTCGTTGTCAGGAGGTATATATTGTACAAATGCAGCGGTAGGTCTGTGGCAAAGTCTATGTTGGCGTCGTTCAAGATGTTGCAGAATTTTTTCGTCTCTGCCGGCAGGTCCAAAAGCGGGAACGTCGGTTGGATCTTGTTCGGTTTGTAGGTTGCAAAGAAATCATCAGCGATGTGGGCGATGACTTTACGTCCATCGATCATCTCTTCCTCATCCATGCTGCTGTCCCCGTACTCAATGTACTCTTCGTTCACCACGGGTCGCTCTCCGCCATGCTGTGCAGTATAGACATCGTCGGTAATGATCCTCCTTTCCGGCAAGGCTCCCACTATTTCGGGCGAAAACGTCTCCCTTGTAGTTTCGTCCTCTCCGTTCGGCATGCTTGTCTCCCCCATGTCATCATCGTCATAATCTTCATCATCTTCGTTGTAATCTTCTTCGTCCTCCTCATTCTCGTCGTAGTTCTGGTACACTTTCGCTCTCCTCTGCCGTAGACGGTTCGGAAATGGCACATCTGTCTCATAGACCTCTTCGTCCGACGAGTCGGCAACGTTCACCACCTCGGGCGACGGCCGCTTTTCCAGTTCAGACAATTTTTCTGTCATAGCGGTCTAGACGGAGCTCTTCCAAGGGCCTTTCACCGCTGAACTGTTTTCTTCTTTCGTCATTCCATTATTCCATTCTTCCTTCCTAGCTAGGAGAAAAGGCCAAAAACATGCTTGGCCGACCGTCTTTTTTCGTCAAAAGCCGCGCAAATCTGGAAAATCGAATCCGCCGTTTCGTGGACGGAGAGACCGACATCTACATGTTGAGAAGGAGGAAGAGCAAGAAGACGAGAGGACTTGGAAAGACAAGGATAAAAGAGGGAGAAGAGCCCAGGACTGGAAACAGCGGTACAGCACATCACATAAATGCCTACGTTGGAAGAGATAGAAGACATCGAGGACATCGATAACCTCGACATGGACTTGGCGGAGTTCGACCCGGATCTTGTGACACCGGTGGCTCCAGCTAAGCCTAAGCCACAGGTTGTGCGGTCGCAAGACGCAGATCCAGCAGGACAGCTACCGATGGCAGACATGTTCAAAGGCATGGGTTTGGGAGCCAGCGGGCTGGACACGGCGCAACGGCCTGCACCAAAAAAGCCGGCAAACATGAAAGTGTACGACAGTATGTCGCCCGAGGAGAAGCGGGAGTTCAAGATGATGCAGATTGTGTATCCGTGCTATTTTGACCAGAACAGAAGTGTACAGGAGGGCAGAAGGCTGCCTGTGGCCCGGTGTGTGGAGAACCCGTTGGCGAAGACGATTTTGGACGCGTGCAAGGTGTTGAGGATCCCAGCGGTGTTCGAGCCGGAGAAGTCCCACCCTCAAGACTGGGGTAACCCTGGCCGGGTGAGGCTTGGGTTGAAGTACGAGCACGAGCCGACTCACCCGGTGTTGAAGTCGAAGAAACAGGCGCTTGTTGCGATCGCAGAGTACATGAAGAGCCATCCGACGACGCTCAAAAACGTGAAGGACCTTCCTGGGCCTCCCGAGCTCATGGAGGGCAGCTGGGAAGCCAGCGAGATCCCCAAAGTGAAGGGCTTCCGCATGAACACGGTTGTTCCTATGCACTCGACGTTGACGATGAAGAACCCGGAGACCGCCGGCGCATACATCAGGACGCCTGCGGAGCAGCAGGAAAAGGCCTCCGAGCCAAAGAGGATCAAGCAGAAGATCCAAAGAATCAGAGCATAACCAGGTCCTCTGACTCATCTCGTTTTCCCGTACTTATATAGTTCACTTTACTTTAATACTACTGTTACTATAGTTCTCTACACGTGCGTCTGCCGCTTCAGATGGTTGGGATGTACTTTTTTCTGTACTCGTCGATGCTGGCCATCTGCTCGGTGGTAAACTTGGACTGCAACACTTTGACGATATCGTTGAAGGAGACGATTGAAATGACCGGTACGCCGTATCTCTTGGACACGATCTTGGTGGCACACTCATTGGAGTCCTTGGTAGTCTCCATTCTGTCGACGGCGATGATGCAGGCGACGGTGTTCCCTTGCTCCTCCTTGATAATGCCGAAAGCCTCGTTGATGGCTGTACCGGCCGTCATGACGTCGTCGATAATGAGGACTTTTTTCCCCTTCAACACTGATCCGACAATGGAGCCACCTTCACCGTGGTCTTTCTTCTCCTTTCTGTTAAAAGCGTAGCCGATGCTGGCGTACTTGTCACCGCCAATCTCGTAGAGCTTAGTGACGGTGATGGCTGCCAAGGGGATTCCCTTGTAGGCTGGACCAAACAAGACGTCAAACTCTATTCCGGAGTCAATGATGGCATGGGCATACGACTCAGCCAACACGTTTAAGGTCTTGGCCGTGCTGAACAAACCCATGTTGAAGAAGTATGGAGAGATTCTGCCGCTCTTCAAAGTGAAGGTGCCGAATTTGAGAGCCTCTGCGTCCAAGGCTGCCTGGAGGAAGTTCTGCTTGTAGGACATGCTGTGTGTATAGATGTGTATGATGATGGCCTTTGCTGTGTTGTGAAAGAGTAGCTTCAGCTACTGGTGATGTAGACATTTTCGACAAGATACGATAACTTTTTTTTTTCTCTTTCTCGGTTCTGCATCTATCAATTTGTCAATTTCCTCATCGACATGAATAGAGGTTTAGTGAGCATCATTAAAACAGCACACTTTATACATAACACAACACGGTATATTACAGGGTCACAAACATGCAGAGCTCCAACAATGCAGAGCATTCTCTCAGTGGATCGCCAGCCCCGACGGCGCAGGCCATTCTGAACATACTGCAACAAATCTCCATTTCTCCGCCTGATTCTTCCGGAGGAACAGGCATCTCGATTCCGATGACAGGAACTTCGACGGCGATAGCGTCGACGACAGGAACAACACCGAGGTCAAGCGGCAGGTCGACGTTGCAACATCTACATTCGTTCCCCAAGTCATTGATTCCGAAGCGGAGATTGTCCTCGTCGTCGTCCTTCGACGGCATCTCTGTTGCCGGAACGGGCGACAAGTCCAACAAGAGACAGCTGCTGTACATGCGGAGCCAGAAACTGCAGGGCGTGCGGTCGCTGGCGTCGCCGCTGTCGAGGTCTCACTTCATCAGGCGGTTGAACACGTTTTCGGTCTTGAACTGGACGGTATCCAGCTCGAAGCTGTCGCCGCTCGTGTGTGCTGCACAGGGATGGAAGTGCCACCCCGTGCGCAAAAACGAGCTCCACTGCACGTCATGCCACTCGGGGATCATGGTGAAGCTCCCGGAGGACCCTGGACTGGACACCGGGCTGGCGTCGGCGTCCAGTGCGTCGGCGTCCTCGTCGTCGCCGGCTGCGGCGTCTCTGAGCAAGGTGTTCAACAACCTGCACCACACAGACGACTACAACCAGGTTTTGAACAACACGGATCGGTACGAGCTGCCGTTCCAGTTTCAGATGCTCGACGACGAGTTCGACGAGGACGACGATATCCACGTGTACGAAACGCTAGTGAACTCGTACGTGAGCAGGCTCTCGTCGGATCACTACCCGACGTGCACGTTTCTGCCGCTGCTGCCCATCTCCCCGAAGGAGCAGAACTACTACATCACGCCGAAGGACATTCCGAGAGAGGTGTACAAGTTCTGGCACCGGCTGGCGACGATGAAGCGGAACAAGGACCGGCTGATCGGCAAGAACTTTCGACGGTCCTTCCTCAGCCACGACGAGGCGCTCTTTCTACTGGAGTACTTGCGAGAGACGTCCAGAGACGACGCCAGCATCGACATCGACATCGACATCGGCGCCGACGCTGACGTCAACAGCGCCTACAGCACAGATCTCGCCGTGAACCCGTCCTTGGACGTGATCCTGCCCGCCCTGCTCGGCTGGGAGTTGAAGATCCAGAAGTTTCACCAGGAGAAGTTCCTGCTCTTGAACTGCGAGTGCTGCACCCGTCGCATCCTGCTCTCCACGTCGAACATCGACACCGTCCAGGACGTGGAGGAGCTCAGCGCCTGTCCCCATCGGGCAGAGATCCCTGTTCGAGAGCAGCCGACTGAGTTCGACGGCAGCATCCGGCCCTCCTACGGCGCCGGCGGCTTCGCTCTCGGCGACGAAGACGACGACGAGGAGGAAGACATGATCGACCTCGAACAGGAGCACGACACCTGGTGCTGCATGCGCCAGGGCTGGCGGGTGGTTCTCGAGGGCCTCCGCAGCTCTTCCGACGTCGACATGAACCGTGTCTGCTCCAAGCCGTCGTCCGCGTCGTCGCCAGCACCGTCCCCGGCCTCTTCCGCCTCCTCAGCCGCCACCGACCTCTACAATACCAGCATGCGGCATCTCCGTGCTCTCTGACGAGAGTCATGCTTCCCAACCCACAATGTTAAGCAGTCAAACAGCCAAAACTACACAAAACAGCTGACCGCCAAAGCTCACGTGTTTTCTGTGTTTTCTTTTTCTCCTTTTTTTTCGCTCCGTTCTGTTTGTTTTCCTCCTTTTTTTTGCACGCCTCGTTCCGCTACATGTGAAAGAGTAGGAGGCTCTTCTTCTTGAATTGTTGCCTCCGGTTGTTTCTCGTGAAGGGCAAAAGCTACAGCGGCGATCGAAATAGCAATCGAAACAGACACAGCAGCAGCAAATAGGATGGCACTTCCACTACTTTCGAGAAAGGCAATCGAGGCGCACAACACAGAGACGTCGTGTTGGGTGACGCTCTACCACCGGAAGGTGTACGACATCAGTGGGTTCCTCGAGGAGCACCCTGCCGGGCCCGAGGTGATCATGGAGTACGCAGGGAAGGACGTGACGGAGATTCTGGCCGACCCGGAGTCGCACGTGCACTCGGAGAGCGCCTACGAGATGCTCGACGACGGCATGCTTGTGGGCTACTTGGCGACCGAGGAGGAGGAGCGGGAGTTGCTTGCGAAGCACGCAGACATGGAGGTGGTTCCCGACGTGGGTGTTGGGGAGGACGGGATGCGGATTGCGGACTTGACCGAGTTCGGCGACATCCCAGACGACTTGCTGCACGTGAAGACCGACCACTCGGAGGACTACAAGAAGCACAAGTTCTTGGACTTGGACAAACCGTTGATCATGCAGGTGTTGCGGTCGAACTGGACGAGGGAGTTCTACATCGACCAGATCCACCGGCCGAGACACTACGGAAAGGGCTCGGCGCAGTTGTTCGGCAACTTCCTCGAGCCGCTCTCGCTCACCCCCTGGTGGGTCGTCCCCTCCGTGTGGTTGCCCGTGGACTTCTACATCCTCTACGTGGCCGCCACGCACTTGAGCCCCATCGTGACGCTCACCTTCTGGGCCATCGGCCTTTTTGTGTGGACCTTGATCGAGTACTGCATGCACCGCTTCTTGTTCCACTTGGACGACAACTTGCCTGACAACAGCGTCGCCTTCACCTTCCATTTCCTCATGCACGGCGTGCATCACTACCTCCCTATGGACAAGATGCGGTTGGTTATGCCTCCTACGCTCTTCTGCGTCTTGGCGTTCCCCTTCTACAAGGTCATCTTTGGCATCTTCCCCTTCTACATTGCGTGTGCAGGCTGGGCCGGCGGGTTTCTCGGTTACATCATGTACGACGTGACCCACTACTTCTTGCACCACGTGAAGTTGCCTGCGTACATCCAGAAGTTGAAGAAGTACCACTTGGAGCACCACTACAAGAACTACCGGTTGGGTTTCGGCGTCACCTCCATGTTCTGGGACAGGGTCTTCCACACGTACTTGAACCCTGATGATGTCTACGAAAAGCAAAACTGATGCACTAATGGAAGTGTGCGCAAAATACCATGAACTTTTCTTCCCTCCCTCCCCCACCTATCCTTACGCTCGGAGAATACTTTTCTATGAATTTGTTACCAAGATACATCGAGATTCTATACATGAATATACTATATAAAGAAAACTAACCATAATAAAGATACAGATAAACTACCGACACCGATGTTCTTTATGCTATGTACATTACTCGGGCCCTAGCTCTAGAACCATCCTCTGCTTCTGGACGTGGTGTTGTCCTTCTTTTCTGCGGACGCAGACGCCGTCTTGCCCAAGCCATATCTGGCCAACATGCCTCTGATATCGCCAAAAGCCTCTCTGTCACCCTGTACGACAATGGTGGGCTCGCTGCCCGTAAAGATCTTCTCTGCCATGACAATGAGGTCGTCGCGTGTGACCTGGTTGATCTTGGCGCACATCTCCAACACGTCGACACGTTTGCCGTAGATCTGCACCTGTCTGCCCATGTCTTCCAACTGGACCATCTTACTCTCCAAGTTCATCATGAGACTACTCTTGAGCTGGTTCTTTGCTCTGGATACCTCATGCTCGGAGATGCCGCCCTTGCCGATGTCGCGGGACATGAGGAGGTTGAGCTCATAGCCGATCAACTCGGCCATGACGCGGTCGGCTTGCGGCACGCACGAGAGCGAGAGGCCAAACAAGCCGCTGTCGGTGAAGTTGTGGATGAAGCTCTTGCAGCTCTCGACAAAGCCGTACTGGTTGAGCACGCGTGTGTAAGCTCTGGAGTACATGCCCTTGCCCGGTCCGCCGGCGCTGAAGGAGCCGCCTCCGCCAATGAGCATCTGCAGCACCGCGAGCTTGTAGACGTCCTCGGAGGAGATGTCGACGCCTTCGAAGCCAACGTATATGTGGTGGAACTCCTCGCCGCGGTACTCGATGCCCTCTGGAACGGGCAGGGAGAACTCGCCCCCGGTGTACCTGGCGGGTTCCTTGATTAGCTGGGAGGGGGAGGCGGAGGAGCCGCTGTAGGGGAGGTACTTGGCGACAAGCTGGTCGGCGGTCTTCTCGTCGACGCCGGAGAAGGCCACGACGATGTTTTCAGGTCTGTAGAAGGTGTCTCTGTACTTGAGGAGCTGTGCTCGGTTGAGGGAGGACAGCTTGTCCTGCGGGCACAAGAGCGGGCAGCCGAGGTTGGCGTTGCTGTACGCCACCTGCTGGAAGAGCTCGGGCAGGATCAAGTCGCTCTGCAGCCAGATCTCGTTGAGCTCGTATTCGGCGCTGATGAGCTGCTCGCTGATCTCCTCGTCCGAGAGGCGAGGCTCGCTCACCGTCTGCGCCAAGAGCTCGAACATGTGTTCCACGTCCGGGTTGAACACGCTGGCCTGGTAGAGCATCGCCTCGCGCGAGGAGGCGCACATGTAGTTGCCGCCGAGCCGGTTGAGGGCGTCTGCCATCGCCTTGGCCGAGTGGTTGGCCGTGGACTTGAACGAGAGCTTGTCCAGGATGTGCGAGCACCCCGTCAGCCCGTACGTGCCTTCGTACCTGCTGCCGGCCGTCACGTAGACGCCCAGAGCGGAGAAGTACGAGGGCGTCGGGTCGATGGCCACCTGCACGCCGCTCCCAAGCGTCTTGATCACCGTTGGCGTCGACACGCTGGCCGGCGCCTGCGCCGAGGCCAAGCCTCTGGCGCCAAGGCCTCTGGCCCCGATCCTTCTTGCCGAGCGCATGTGCGATAGCATTCTGTGTCTGTGTCTGTGTCTGTGCTGCTACCGGACGCTGTCTGCACCACGGACGCCCTCTCTGCCGGCTCCTGTGCCGCCCTCCTGCTCCTCCTCTTCCTCTTGGCCCTCGTTGCCTGCCCCTTCATCCACCAGGGCCAGTTCCCGCTGCAGTCTCTCGGCCCGCGCCTGCACCCTGCTGCTGACGTCAGCACCGACGCGACGCAGCGCGTCCACTCCGTCCAGGTCCTCGCGGAGACGGCACCGGATGGCTTCAAAGACCTTCTGCTCCTGACGCTCTGTGTCCAGGGCGACAAGGGCGAAGCGGACGGCGGCGGCATGGGACGACGACGGGCCGCCGTTGAGACGACGCACCCACGAGTGGGTGGCGGTGTGACGGGACGGGGTGGAATTGTGTGTAGACGCCATCCTGTTTGAAGGCGTGGAGGCAAGGGCAAGAAGAAGCGGTGTACGCGGCGGCAGCTGAGCCGAACTGGGCAGGGGGGCGAGAGGCCGCTCTATTTATGCGCGGGCGCGGGGCTTGGGTGTTTGTTGTCTGTCTCGTTTTTACACAGGTAGGTAGGTAAGAAGGTAGGGAGGTAGATAGAGGTGCTAGACGTCCCGGGCCTGCTGGTGGCGGAAGCGCAGCAGCAGCTTGCGGAGCTGGCCCGGACTGAGCTGGAAGGGGTTGAGCTTGTTGTCCCAGCGCATGCGTTCGTAGTCGTCGCCGTAGAGGGCGATCAGGCGGCGGCAGCGGGCGGTGTCGAGCTCGTTCATGCGACGCACCTCCTTGCGCTTGGGCAGGCTGGCAAGGGCCTCGAGCTCGCCGATCACCTGGTGCGCGGTGGTGGCGTCGTCGGAGTCGGAGTCGGGGTCGGCGTTGGCGTCGGCGGCGGCGTCTGCAGACCGCTGCGGTGCGGCAGGCGTGTCGGCGAGCTTCTTGGTTCCGTAGACGATCTGCACGACGTTGCCGGCGGCGTCCCTGACCATCTTGGCGGTGCCCTCGAGGATGTTGGCGGGGTCGTACGGGTCGAGCTCTGGGGCGGCGGCGGGGTCGTCGTCGTCTGCGTCGTCAAAGAGACTCTCCTCCATGTTGCCGTGCTGGATGGGCCTCACGCGGAGACGCTGCTCCTCACCGCCGCTTGCTGCCGACAGCCGGAATGCAAGGCCGAGCCTCTTGTAGTTCTGCTTCGCTGTGAGTGCCGGGTCCCAGTGCTTGGCGATGACCGGGTTGGAGCGGGGGTTGTACTTGGTCTTGCTGTTGTTGTTGTTGCGGCGGGTGTTCTTCGCCACGCCGGAGCGGCTCATCTTTCTTCTGCGCACCGAGACCATGGTGTGTGGGTGGTGGTGGTGGTGGTGGAGCTGGGGATGGAGGGATGGAGGGATGGAGGGATGGAGGCCTGCTTATCTCTTCTTGTGCAGGGATGCTGTCAGGTGAAAAAAAATTATCTGGGTTTAGCTGGGGGGGGGAAGAAAAGTTTCGGAAGAAAAAAAAAGTCGAGGGGACGATCGGCGCGGGGACGATCGACGCAAAAGGATTCCGCGTCGATCGTCTGCAACGTCGATCGTCGTTTCTAGATTTTTGCGCCGATCGCCCCCACGCAAAAAATCCCGCACCCGCCCCCGCACAGCCGCCCCCGCCCCGTGCACAGCCGCGCCGTGGAAGCCCATCGAAGCTTCTGGAGCCCCCTCGGAGCTCTCGCACTATCGCCCCGGCCGCTGCGCGTCAGATCGCATCACATCACTTTCTTCACCAATGCTTAGGGCCCGCCTGTGTCGCTGCTGCCACACGGGGCCAGATCAATCTGCTCCGCCAACCGGCTCCCCTCTCCCCCGCCGTTGGCCGGGCGTGTGGGCGGGCCGTTGTCTGTCTCCGTGCATAAATACGGTGTCTCCAGACGGGGATCTGTGCACTTAGAGGGCGCAAGAGTAGTAGCAGTAACAGCAGCAGCAGCAGCAGCAGCAGCACACCACCACCTGGGCAGTCTGCGAAACTAAACTTACGATCGGCCACCCCCCCACCGCTCCGTGTGTGTTCCGCCTCACCGCCAGCTGCACCGTGCGTCCCCGTTTTCCTTGCGTGCTGGGTCTTTGTTTCGTCCCGTCAGCACGACGAATGAACCGTCTGCGCACAGGCTGTCCGTCTTCGTTGCGCTTGCCGCCGCCCCGCCAGTGCTCCCCTGCGTGCCCACGTATAGCAGCCCCGCAGTAGGCCGCCGCCAGCCACCGCGTGCAGAGCAGAACCGCAGCGTCGGCTTCCCGCAGCATAGCAGGATAGCAGAACCGTCCAGCCGCCACCCCACCATGTGTCTCTCCAGCTGCCCCGACAGGCCCGAGTCCGACGACTCCTTCGACGTGTTCAAGACGTACCGCAGCAACACGCTGCCGGCGCCGTTCCAGGACACGGGCGACTCGCCGCCGTCCACAGACGCCTCGTCGTCGTCGCTCACGCTCACGCTCAACTCCACGTCCACCGCGTCGTCCTCACACGCCCCCCTCTCCAGCAACAACTCCTCCGTGTCCGTCGACGACCTCCCGGCTCCCGCCGAAACAACCCCATCCACCCCCCACCCCGCCGGCCTCAGACTGGGCCCCCACCAGCCGAAAAACCAGAGAGAAATCGACAGCAGATCCGTCTACGTGTCCAACATCCCCTTCAAAATCTCCCCCTGGAAGCTCAAGGTACTCTTCTGCCAGGGCGCCGACGGAGTCCCCGGCTGCGGCAGCACCTCCGTCAACAGGGTCACCATTGTCTGCGACCGCGTCACCGGCTTGCCCAAGGGCTACGCCTACATCGAGTTCGCCCACGAGTCCGACGCCGCCGCCGCAGTCCGCTTCGACGGCCTCCAGGTCGACGGCAGGGTCATCGGCGTCAAGAGCAAGCGCACAAACGTCCCCGGCGTGCATAGCAACGACCCGGCTCCCGAGACACCACTGCACGCTTCGCCAGACCCGGTCGATACCCCCGCCACCCACACGCACAAGAACTCCGACTTCTACAACAGCGACAGTGCCAAGAACTTCAAAAACCACAGAAACAGCAACTACAACTTCATCAAGAACGCCAACAACCTCTTCGGCCACCGCCGCCATCGTGCTCCGGGAGCAACAAAGGCGCCGGCCACAATCACGGCCTCGGCCTCGGCCTCGGCTGGGCCCAAGAGCCCGGCATACTCCCCGGCCAACACCGCAGAATTGGCCCCGAGCAGCCCGGCCGAAGTCCACAGCACACCCAATGGTTGCAGGAACAACCATCCCAGCCCCCACCCGGGGTCCAGAGGCCGGGGCCACGTCCGGGGCCATTTCCGGGGCCGTCTGCGTGGCGGACCCCAACACACACACAGCAACACACCCAGTAAAAGCAATAGCAACCCCCGCCACCCCCACCACAATGGCAGCGGCACCAGCACCAACACCTCCAGCAGCAATGCCGCCACGTCCAATAGCAAGCTGGTGATCGATAAATACCACTACCTGACCCCGTCCTCCCGCGTGGGTGTCTACAACAGCGATGGCGACGGCGGCACCCACAGCAGCACCACCGTCCATCGTGCCAATGAACTATAGCCCTTTTTCTATAAATCGAATGCATCCCCATCGAACCCCGTTTAGTAAACCTTCGTACTAGCCGTATTATTCTTTCTTATTTCTCCTATCTCGCCATCTATACACTTACACGTCTCCGGCTCCGCTCAGAAGAGCCAGACCCACAGGAAACACCACATCACAACGGCGGCAAAGCCTAGCCACACCTTCCAGCCCACCCCGCTGCGCTCGACAAACCGCCTCATGCGGTTCATGTTGTACCGGATCCGCTCGCTCGACACGCCCATATCCTCGCCGAGCTCCACGAGGTTGCGCTTCGACTTGTTGATCTCCGTGCCCATTGCAACCGACAGCTCCCGCAACGCCCCGATCTTGTCCTTCATCAGCGACACCGTTTCCTCCGACTGCGACTCCAACTGCGCCATCTCGTGGGCGCTCGACGAGTACCCGCCCCGCTGCTTGCTGCCGCCGGACGGCCCGTACGGGCTAGACAGAGCCACCGCCGACGGCGCAGCCGTCTGCCCCGCCTCCATGCTGTTGATTGTTATCGGCATCGGCGTCGGCGTCGCCATCGGCGACGGAGACGGCGACAGGTCTTCTGCCGAAAAAAGCGCCTGGCGGTCCCGCTGATGGGCCTTCGACGAGTATCGGCTCGTGCTCATGCTCGCTGTGCTGCTTGTGGGCCGCCGCTTCTGCCCCTGCCCCCGTCCCTGGCCCCCGTCCTGTCCTCTGTGTCCGAAGATCAACACAAAAAACAGACACGCAACACGCTCGACCACGCCGGAAAGGACGAGCACCTGAAAATGAAAAATGTAACCTGGGGGGTCCCTGCCGTGCATCGAGGCACCGGCACCGACGTAGAAGCAGCTTGCAGCCCGACGGCTGCCACCTGCTGCTGGCCCCGACTGCTCCCCAACACCCTGCACACAGCCACCGGGGCCGTCGACTACCCCCGCAGCAGAAACGGTGGCGCCGGCACCGTCATGTCGTCCGCCCCGTCGCCGCAGCTGGCCGAAGGGGCCCTCGGGGAGCCCACATTTGCGCACACGGTCCGCCGATCCACTCTCCACCCCGCCAAACCGTCCTCCACCCGCCCCCGACACCACCACCAGTCGAAACCCACACACCCTCCACCGCCCTGCCCCCGGCTCCGTCTCCGACCCCCTCTCCGTCTCCTGCACCCTCCACAAACCACCCACACCCAAAAAGGGGCACCCTCCACGCCCGTCTTTGCCGCCCCTCCCACACACAGCCACCACCCCACTGCAAGCGATCCTATCTGCTGCCGCCAACAGCACCACGTCTTCCCTACCAGATGCCCCGCTGGCCCCTCTGGCCCTGTAGTCACCGCACATTGCCCCTTCTTCCCAAAAAGGGGCCTCTTCTCCGCCGCAGACACCCTGCTTCTACCGCCGTCTGCACTCCCCGGCCCGTCCAGCCCGTCCAGCCGTCCACCAGACCCTCTCTGCGGGTGCTGCCAACCTTCTGCTGCCTCCCCTGCTCTCTCCCGTGCTACAGGGCCGCAACCACCGTCTGCTCCCCTCTTTCCCTTCTCCTCTGGCCATCTTCACCTTCTCCGCTGCTTCGGCCCGCGACAAAACCGCTGTCGCGCGGTTTCGCCTCCTCGACCTCGTGAGCCACGTAGACAGACAAGACAGACAAGAGGGTCAGACAGGACGGAAGGAAGAGGGAAAAGGCGGGGAGAGGGCGGGGAGAGGGCGGGGAGAGGACGGGGAGAGGGCGAGAGGGCGAGCAGAAGGCAGTCGACAGAGACACAACAGAGATACGGCAGACAGAATGAACGTCAAGACACTGCGGCTGCAGCTGAACAACGCGCTGACGATGATGATGGTGATCGCTAGTGCCTTTGCGATCTGGAAAGGGCTCTCGGTGGCAACCGGGTCGTCGTCGCCGCTAGTGGTGGTGTTGTCCGGGTCGATGGAGCCGGCGTTCCAGCGGGGAGACATCTTGTTCCTCTGGAACAGAGAGGCACGGGTTGCGGTGGGCGACATCGTGGTGTACAACGCGCCGCAGAGAGACATCCCCATAGTGCACCGGGTTGTGCGTGAACACGTTGTGGCGACACAGGGCGGGGACACGGACCAGTTCCTTCTCACGAAGGGCGACAACAACGAGCGGGACGACCTCCCGCTGTACGGGTACGGCAAGACGTACCTCCACCGCGGCCGGGACATCGTGGGCAGCGTCAAGGGCTACCTGCCGAAGATCGGGTACGTGACGATCCTCATCACGGAGAACGTGTACTTCAAGTACGCCATGTTCGGCTTCCTCGCGGTCTCCGCCCTCTTCTCGCAGGAGTAGACGCTGGCACTAGTGTGCGCTTGTATACATGATGGTATAGAAAAGAAAAGACAAGAAACGAAGGGAACTAGCGGTGCAACACGCCCCGTCACACGTTGTTTGTCCGTAGCATGATCCTCTGCCGCTTCTCTGCAGACGCCTCGGCGGCGTCCGCAGGCGCAGGCCGCTTGGCACCGGCCCCAGCGCCGCCGTGGACCCCTCCGGAGGCACCGGCTTCGCCACGCAGCATGGCGTAGAGCGTCCGCAGGTCGTCCTCGCAGAGACCAGACACCTCCGTCTTGCTGCTGCTCGCCATCAGCTGCACAAACTCGTCCTCGGCCACGTCGCCGATCTTCCTGTTCGAGTTCACCAGCTGCTGCCGCACAAGCTCCCGCCGGCCCGCCAACGCCCCGTACGCCCCGTCTAGCAGGTCCCAGTAGTAGTCGATCGCAGACGACCCGTGGTGGCCCGCCAACTCCGTGAACTCGGCCCGGTCCTTCACCAGCGCCACAAACTCGAACCACCTCGTCCTCGACGTCGGCACAAGCTCCTTACGCTCGATCAGGCCCGCAAGCATCTGCTTGAACGCCGCCCGGGCCCGGCGGTCGGCCCGGTAGTTCTTCCGCCGCTCGGCCTCCACCACCGCCACCTGCTCCCGCTCCCGCTCGGCAATCACCTTCTCGAATATCGAAAGCATCTCACCCTTCGTGAGGTTCTTGTATCGCTCCTCGAGACCAGACACAATCTTGGCAAACTCGCTCGAGATCGTCACGCTGGCAAGGAACTCATCCTCTAGCGACATAGCCTCCTTCACCTTCAACTCCTTCGAGGCAGCCTCTTTCTCCCGGCGCAGCTCCGCAGTGTACTCGTCAAAAAACTCCCGCTTGATCCTCTCACTCAACACCGAGCATAGCTTCTCCTCTTGTAGGCTCCTCGAGCACGTCGTCCATCGCGTGTAGTATTTGACGTTGTGCTTCGCCAACATCCCGTAGAACTCTTGCCGGTACTTCTCCTTCGACGCAGCAAAATCCTCGTCCGCCTTCTTCACCAGATACACCTCAAACAGCCGGCTCCGCTGCACAGGGTTTTGGACACGCCAGTACCGAGGGTCCTTTGAACACTTCCGCACAACGTCTGTGTAAGTGCAATCAGAACCGACGTCACATTCCTTCAGCATTGCGAGAAACGCGTCGTCCGGACTCCTCCCCGACACCTCATTTTCAGCTTCCATCTCCATTTCCACATCTTTGTTCTCCTCCGAGGCAACAAGCTCATCCAATCCGATCAATTGGTTCACTGGCGGAACGCTCTTTCCAACCTCGGTAGACAATTCCGACTCTTCGCCGGCCGTAGGCGATGCCTGATGCACCTCAACCACAGCTTCACCCACAACATCATTTGCAGCAGCTACAGAATCACTACCGTTAGCATTTCCCCCCTCCTTCTCTACAGCCTGGCCAATGTCCACCGATGTTTCTTCCGTAGACTCACCCTTGATTTCGTCTTGGCTCAAATCGCTGCCAAAAAGCCCCTGCAGATGCGCCATTACCGCAGCAGGTACCTCCCATAGACTTTCCCCGGCCGCAGAAAAGAAGTACATCTTCGCCACCCCATTGCTCTCCGTCGTCGCCTTGTCCCAGCCGTGTTCTCTCAACGCTGAGTCGAGCACGTCTTCCGGGAACTCCCACTGTGTCACCTGAGTTTCGTCATTGTAATAGTACGCCCGTCCAGAAGCAGGGTCTGTAACTCTTTGCCATGCCATCTTGCTTGTCTCACTTGCCAACCAACTCTTTTGCCTCTTGATTAGCCTCTTTGCACTTGAAGTTCTCTTCCCCCCGTCCTGTTTCTTCACCTTCTCTCGATTCATGCTCAACCAGAAAGCTCCGCAGCTAAAAAAACGCCCGCGCCTTCTGCAAACAGACACCCTGGTCGGCCTCCAGGAGAATGAAGGCAGACAGGAAGGAAGAGGACAGAGGACGACACGACGGCAAGGCCTCGGTAACGTCACCACAACAAGCAGCAGCAGCAGCAGCAGCAGCACTCCCCACATCCGCCATCCAACCATGTCACAATCTCTCAAGCCATATCTCACGGCGGTCCGCCACTCCCTCAATTCGGCCCTCTGCCTCCAGGACTTCAGCTCGCAGCTCGTTGAACGTCACAACTATCCGGAAATTGAGAACAAGAGGACCCCTGAGATCCTCCTCAACCCATTGCATGTGTGCCGTAACGAGTCCGAACGTGTTCTAATTGAACCGGCAATCAATTCCATCAGGGTTTCCATAAGAATCAAGCAGAGTGACGAGATTGAGGAGATCTTGGTGGACAAGTTCACCCGTTTCTTGACTAAGCGTGCAGAAAACTTCCTTATCTTGAGACGGGTGCCCATCGAGGGCTACGACATCAGCTTTCTCTTGACAAACTATCACCAGGAAGTCATGATGAAACAGAAATTGGTTGACTTCATCATAGAGTTCATGGAGGATGTCGACAAGGAAATCAGCGAAATGAAGTTGTTCTTGAACGCAAGGGCAAGATTCGTCGCCGAGGCATATTTGAACGTTTTCGATTGATCAATTGCTACAGCTGAGCCTTCCCAACTCCTCCCGGGCCTCCCATACATATTTTTCCACTCCCCCCCCTCCCCTTCAACCGGATCTCGCAAACGTCATCAATAGAACTTTTCGACTTATTTATCATGTAATACGTAGTTACATATAGCCAAAGTTGTATATGCACATCTGTATTAATTCAATGCAAAACAAAACAGAAAAAATTATTAAAAGAGAAAAAAAAATACATATCAGTCGGCCTTTTCTTCTGACCTCTTTGATCTACATACCCAGCTGTACATTACCAAGACGCACAGAGCAAAATAAACATGCAAAACACGGATCCCCATATTTCCTAGCCTGCAGATAATCCCGTGTGTGATCATCGTACCAAGAGAATTAATCGCCAAAAGAGAGACGTTTATTCCGTTGATAAATATCCACAGGCAAAGGCTTTTAAAGAACCGCAATCATTTTTTTTGAAAATCACATCATCAGCATACTCATCGATTGCCGTAACATCCATAACGACAACCTTGTCAGAAGATTCGCTATGGTTCCATTCAACCCATTGCATTATAGGATTTTGTCTCAACTCAAAATCTCCAGAAGACACCCGTATACGGAAATTGTTGTTCGAATAGTGCTGTTCAGGTATCACAATGATGCTAGGAGAAGGCTCCCCGCTTTGAAACCTGGCATTGGATATTTCCAAATGGAACGACTTCGACGTCATATCAAACTCGCACATGTTGACATCTCCATTCACCAGTAATGGAATTGGACGTATGATGGCATTGATAGCACGTACACCTCCTGACAAATCAATATTCAGCTGACTCGACCAATCATTTCCACTGCTTTTTCCGTTAGAATCTGTATAGCTATGTGTGATTTCTCTTACAAGTTCTTTATTGATTGATGAATTCGAGTGAGAATATGTTGATTCGGTATCACCTGTAGTGGAAGACTGACCCATACTCTGGGAACTACCAGGTAAAAAATGCTTCCCTTTTATACTATTATTCAGTAGCCATTCGGAGTACGTGTTACCATCTTGCAGTTGCAGACCAGGTAAATCATCCTTGGACCATATTGAGAAATCCTCTAGATTCCACAAATCCCCCCAATCATGGCAGTTGTCAGGGTTGTAACACCAATACGTGAAGTCCAACTGTTCTCTTTCAAGTGCCGAAAGGATTGCATCGTTGGCAGCCTCTTGGGAGGTATAGTTCCCATCCTCATACGATTTTTTGTTATCCATATTGAAAGGCATCCCGGTCTCGGTAAATATCACGGGCACATTATAGCCCACATTCTGGTGACTTTCTGTTGCCATGGATTTCAACTGCTTTTGTATACTTTTACGTATATTGGACTCTCCTAGAACTAACCCAAACACAGGATTCAAATACCTTCCTCTCATGATCCCAAGCGTATCCACATTCAACATTCTGTTCCATTTCTGGAACAACAAAGACATACCGTCGTAGTAGTGCAATGCGACGACCGTTTTGTCATCAAGATATTCCGAATTGTGTTTTATTACAGGTGGAATTTGTAAAACAGGTGGTTGCATGATTATAAACATTTCTTCATCAATTTCCCTCATTCTTTGCTTGAACTTCAACCAGAAATCCAAAAAGGGGCCGTTGATAAACGTTGACTCATCCAAATACTCCCCGGTTTCTGGATGGACCTTGAAATAGTCTGGCATGATCAACTCTCCAGTTATTGTGTCCCACACCCCATGCTGTGCAAATATGCACTCTCCTAATTTCCAGTCTGGGGATCTTTTGAAGCCATAATGCTTGTCCTTATTATCATTTTCAGTCACCCACGCTTTAGTACCTTCAGGATCACACCACCTCCTACCTATTTTCGAAGGCCCAAAGATGCTCACGGAATACATATCGACCTCTTCCGGGAAGCCCATACCCAACCTCAATGACTGAATTGGGGTAGGCGTTTCGTCTAACTTAAGTTCTTGGTGTGGAGGACACTGGTGCAAATCAGCATACCCGTAGAAACCGCTGTTCGGCTCATTCATACTTTCGATACCAAGAAAGCACGTATCAAATACATGTGGGATCTCAGACTTGATCCGGCTAACAAGAAATGCGAATGCTTCTATGAAATGCCTCTGGAGATATGACTGAATGTTCTCCTCATCCAGTTTTGCTTTCGGGGTAAACACAGAACCCGTGAAGAACAGAGTAAACATTACCTCCGAGGCTAGTCTGTTGTAGTTAGTCGCCCAGACCATCTTGGTAAAGTTTTGCGGATCTATGGCCAAATTGTGAAGCTTGGCGGCAACTGTCTTTTCAAAGTTACGGGGTTCTAATCCTGCCGCATAGAGCGTCCAAATGGGAGCCCCACTGCCGCCACTAAACCTCGACCACACGTCCTGGTGAGGATCAATGAATACATACAACCCACCGACTTCATCGATGAGCTTTAGAAAGCCCACCAAGTAGTCAGCGTACTCTAAGTCGTATATTCCAGGACCCTCATGCTCTATGGCCTCCCAGGTCGTCACAAACCTTATCGTGTTGAAACCACACTGCTTGATTCTGGACAAGTGCTGGTACCCTTCGTTTAAGGGGAACGGTTTCCCGACGAACGTTACCGTGTCAGCACGCTCGTAGAAACCGCAGTGCTCCGGGTCCATGTTACTATTCTGACATGGTTCCTCCGGCATCTTCGTATTAGAGGCAAAGTTGACTCCATGCATCCTGAACACTCTCCCCGTGTCTTTTTCTCTGAACTGTCCGTTTCGATCCACCACCAGCGGTTTCGTAGCCAGCGGAGTTGGAAACATTCTCTCTTTGACGCTTGCAACACCCATCCTCAACAGTGCCTTCCCTATCGGTAGCATCCACTGTCGTCCAGGTTTAGTCCGACAGCTTTCAATGCCTCCCGAACATCCCGCAATCCCCTCTGATGAAGGCTCGTAAGGTGTTACAGATACCAATCATGCGACCCTCCTCCCTTTCCGTCTCCGCGGCACTCTCTGTTTCTCTGCGACATGCTTCCGGACTCTCTCTATGTCTTCTTTTCCGAGCTCTCTTACGCAACTGAGCTTGGTTTCCTGGTCCTGGGGTTGTTCGTTGTGGCAGAGGGTCTATTTCTGGCCAGACAGAGAGCACATCATAAAGCCATGTCTCAGATCACCGGAAATATTCCAATAATTTCTTGCGAACAGGTGTACCTGCTTCCAAACCAGCAGCAGTGCCAGTTTGTGCAGGCGCAATGTGCCGACCACCCGGGATTTCTCAACTCCTTCACGATGTACTACTGCATGTCGCAGTCTGACAGCGTCAGGTCATGGGTGGGCATTCCATTGATGGTGCTGCTTCTTCTTGTGTTGTTTGCCTCGATAGGCCTAGTGGCAGGAAATTGCTTAGTGCCGAACTTGAATGCCGTAGCGAGCCACCTTAAGATTCCAGAAAACGTGTCCGGGTTAACCCTCTTGGCGTTTGCCAATGGATCGCCTGATATCATCTCGACATACACGTCTTTTGTGACAGGAAACACGTCTTTGGCGTTTGGTGAGATCATTGGGGCTGCGTATTTCACCAACTCGGTGGTCATCGGAACCATCTTTATTATCAACCCATTTGATTTAGTACCCGGAGTTAGCACAGGACCTAATACATTTATCTCATTGCAGGATAACGCAAACACTGGTAGCAACAGCAATGGCAACAATAACTCTGGAAATAATAAGGATGAGTCAGCTGAACAGCGGCTAATATCTTTGAATGCCAAAGGTACATATTTGAGAGATGTATCGTTTTTCACAGTTTCTGCACTGATATTGCTATACTGTGTTCGAGACGGCGTTCTTACCAGGATAGAGATGCTCACCTTGGTATCCATATACATCACATACGTCCTGCTTATCATCCTCTGGCAGTGGTACTATAAGAAAGAGCTGAACAAAATCAGGCTTGAAAGCCATGCGAGAAGCTTGTACAACCAGAACAGTCTTCCCTTCCCATTTGACGAGAATATTCAAATGCAAGACAGTTATAACTACAACCCACAGATTATTAGGAACCTTGAGTTTGAGACAATTTTGAGAGGGTTGACATCTCGCAGACGTATTGGCTTCTACATCGAACAACCAGGAGGTACATACAGAGACAGCAGCGATGGAAGCAATACCAATGGTGATATTTCTCAAGGAGGCCAGCTACAGGCAGAAATAATTGAACCTCCAAAGAGGTCTCTTCCCGAGAAGATTTTTGACTACGCTGCCCTCCCCTTCGTCAAGCTATTCAGACACACCATCCCCATAATGACCACAAACGATTACGAAGGAGACTACAAACCGGCACTTGCACAGCTTTTCGAGCTACTGACTTCCCTTCTGACCTCACCCTTTATCATTGTATGCACCTTGTTCCCCACTACTTCTGGCCTAACGAAGTTCTTCATGCTCTTCCCCACAATTACCCTCACTTATTTTGCCTACCACAGCCTTGTGCGTTCATCGAACCCTTCCACACCCTTCAAATGCGTGATTTCCATTATGGGTGTAGCTGCATCAATCGCATGGATATCTATCATCGCTTCTGAAATTATTTCGCTGTTGACATTGGTCTCATCGCTCACCCACATTCGCCCGTCGGCCATGGGTATCACTATATTTGCCCTTGGAAACTCCGTTGGAGACCTGATCTCGTGCATCGTCATCACTAGAATGGGTTATCCTCTCATGGCTCTAGCAGCATGCATCGGAGGACCCTTGCTAAATATATTGCTCGGACTTGGTATGAGTGGTTTGCTTGTGGGTGCCGACTACATAGAGATCCCAGCCAGTGCCTCCATTATATTCTGTCTCTTGGGGTTACTTCTTAATCTCATTGTTGTACTTCTCATCTTCATTCCAGTAGGTGGTTGGAGATGCGATAGATACGTTGGCTCGTGCATGATTTTCCTCTGGATGGTTGGAGTTTCTGTCGCCATTTTTTTGGAGATTCTGTTAACGTACTAATTTAATTCTTGAATACCAACTCATAGATCTAGTTGGGTATGGTTTTTGTATATAAGGGTGGATAGAATATAAAATTTTAGAGTTTGGCTTTATGGCTGTGCGGACCTATTTTCCTTTTTTGTTTACATGAAATTTCAGAATTTCTTATTAACGTGTTTCTCTTGTACAAACGCCTTCGGAGTTAGTTCTTGAAGAGGGGCAACCAGCAAACAAGCAAACATGGGGAAAACCGACTTTAAGCTATACAAGAGCAAACCGAAGGAGCCTGTCTATGTTTCCACTGCGCTTGGGACGGGGGCCGGCGTGGCGCCGAGCCTGAAGCGACGGAGAACACAGACTGATCCTTCGGTGCTGTTTCGACCTTTTAGACCGCCAATTTCCCGTCCAGCCACAAGAAACTCGACTACAGGTGCAGGAACGCAAGGAGAGAATGGAAGATTAATGAGAAAGGCTCGGTTACAAGCTCCTAAATCGTATGCCGAGGGTGGTAACTCTTCTTTGAAGGATGACTCTCCGTCAGATATGCTGTGGTTTGATGAAAATAGCTACGGGGCAAATAATACAATGAAGAAGAAAAATGCACTTCATCCCAGAAGGGTCCTTGGTTATGTCGATGAAAATAGGATGATTCTGAGTAGAAAGTTTGTGCCACCTCTCAAATCCAAGACCGACGATTGGTCACTCCAGGCACGCGTGCCACCTCCACTAGGTAACAGGAAAAAGGTTTTCTTTCCTCCGAAACCATTGTATGATCCCTTTGGTGAATTGGCTATAGTGTTATATGATCCTACGGTGGATGTGATAAAGGAAGAGGAGGAAGCAGCAGCAGCAGCAGCAGCAGCAGCGGCAGCAGCAGCAGCAGCAGCAGCAGCAGCAGCGGCAGCAGCAGCGGCAGCAGCAGCAGCAGTTGCAGAGACAGGGAAAGAGAAAACACCAGAGTTCACACAAGGAGCAACACCAGAGCCTGAACAGCGACCTGCTTCTAGATTCAAAATGCACAACAAAAGATCCTTGAATGAGATGCTAGGAATATCCAGTAACTCACAGGACCCAACTGCATCGTTTCCAAACGTCCCCGTTGTTATTGATCCAAAACTTGCCAAAATTTTGAGACCCCATCAACGTGAAGGTGTTATATTTTTATACCGCTGTACCTCAGGACTGGTGGATGCTAGAGCAAAAGGGTGCATTATGGCCGATGAAATGGGTTTGGGAAAGACGCTACAGTGTCTCACTTTGATGTGGACGTTGCTAAAACAGGGTCCAAGAGGTAAAAAAACAATAGAGAAATGCATTGTCGTGTGTCCATCTAGTTTGGTTCGAAATTGGGCAAATGAGATCGATAAGTGGCTTGGAAAGGGCTCCTTGAATTCTCTTGCTATTGATGGTAAATCTGCTAAAGGTTCTAGTATCGGCGAATCGATTCAGAATTGGGCAGACGCACAGGGTAACGGTGTTGTGAGCCCCGTCCTAATAATCAGTTACGAAACGCTACGGCGTAATATTGATAACTTGCAAAATTGTGAGGTTGGGTTAGTCTTGGCAGACGAAGGCCACAGATTGAAAAATGGAGATAGTTTGACCTTCAACGCGTTGAATTCGTTAAACTGCCAACGAAGGGTTATTCTTTCAGGTACTCCAATTCAGAACGATTTATCTGAATATTTCTCTTTATTGAACTTCGCAAATCCTGGTTTATTGGGGAACAGATTAGAATTTAGGAAGAACTATGAGCTTGATATTTTGAGAGGCCGTGATTCTTTGGCAACTGATAAGGAGAAGGAGAAAGGTGATGAGAAGTTGAAAGAGCTAACCGAGTTCGTTCAAAAATTTATCATCAGAAGAACCAATGACATTTTGAGCAAATATTTACCTGTCAAGTACGAATATGTGATTTTTTGTGGTTTATCGGATATGCAGAAAACCCTTTACAATCATTTCATCACATCTCCAGAGATTAAAAAGCTTCTGAAAGGTGAACATTCGCAACCATTGAAAGCCATTGGCTTGTTGAAAAAACTTTGCAACCACCCCAATCTTCTTAACTTGCCTGAGGATATTGATGGATGTGAAGATCTTATACCAGAAGATTACAAAGATGATAGAAATAGCACAGGTAGAAATAGGGAAGTGCAGACATGTCATAGTGGAAAATTTGAAATGTTAGAAAGATTCTTGTTTAAGATTCGCATGGAAACAGATGATAAAATTGTTGTTATTTCAAACTATACACAGACTTTAGATCTTGTGGAGAAACTTTGTAGGCAACACAAATATGGTGCTCTCAGATTGGACGGCACAATGAACATTAACAAACGACAAAAACTTGTTGATCGATTCAACAACCCCGAGGGAAAGGAGTTTGTATTTTTGTTGAGTTCCAAAGCTGGTGGATGTGGAATCAATTTGATCGGTGCCAATAGATTGATATTGATGGATCCTGACTGGAATCCTGCTTCAGATCAACAAGCATTGGCGAGAGTTTGGAGAGATGGCCAAAAGAAAAATTGTTTTATTTACAGATTCATTTCTACAGGAACAATTGAAGAGAAGATTTTCCAAAGACAAAGTGCTAAGCTCCAGCTTTCATCGTGTGTTGTTGATTCTGTAGATGACGTCGAGAGATATTTCAGCAGCGATAACCTAAAACAATTGTTCCAGTTTAACACGAATACTATTTGTGAGACACATGACACCTACAAGTGCAAAAGATGTGATGCTAGCGGGAAACAGAAGATTAAATCCCAAGTCATGTTGTATGGTGATGCGACAACGTGGAACCATATCAATCATAGTATGTTGGACAAAAATGAGGACTTTCTCATCCAAAACGAAAGTCAATTCGAAACGGTGGATTTTGCGTTCCAGTACATATCGCATTGAACTGTATATATAGATAGAAAAAAAGCTATGTAGCATCATAATATAAAACCAGTAAACTTTATCATTTGTTTATCCACGTCGTTGTCCAATATTTCACCTCGTGTTTTTTATCCTGAATGTCGACCCACAATATACCTGTCGAAACTAACTCGTCAATTGCCGAGTGGCATCGTACACTTTTCCATCCAAAGTTGGCTTTGAGGACAGATAAACTCACATATCCAAGGATATCTGCGGCTTCAAGTATTCTGCTCTGGTCGACGTTAATTTCCTGTGGTATGCTCTTGATGTACTCCTTTTTCCCTATTTTCACGAGCTGCAACTCACTCCCCAGTATCTTGAGGTGATCCAATGCTTCCACTATATCGCTCTGCTTGAAGTTCAAATGCAAATCATTGTTCACCCAAGTATCTGAATTGATCATTCCAAGCAAATCCTTTACTGAAATTATTCCACCGTTGATGGGCCTTGTCATAGTGCACAACTCAATCATTTTCAAACACAACTGGTTCGATCTTTCTACATCATTATTTTGCTCTCCTGTTATAGATGACGCCACCACTAGCGGGTCTATTCCAAAAGCAATGCATATTTCTGCAAAGTTCGTTCGTACTTCTTCATTCTGTACGATTTCTGATGCATATTCACTCTTGAACGATATCAATGCTGCTTGGAAAACCTGAAGTTGTGTCAAAAGGTGGTCTCTCTGCGATTGAGAAACTGTCGAGCCTAGACTCTGGTACTTCTCAGTCAAATCCTTTGACCGCAAAGACGAGATGCCTCTTCCGCCAGACATTTTATGCTTTCACCGTTAGCTTCTATTACTTTCAAGCCCTTTTGTTGCTTATCAGTCCAACTTGTCTATCAGGTAGACTTCGGCAGATTCATGCCGCCATCTGCCCCGGCCGGCTTAGCTAAGCATATCGGGAAGCTGGTGTAAGAAAAAGCTGGCAGCGTTCTCGAAAGAGAAGAAGAGAGAGGATGTTGATTTGCCACCCTCAGAGGTGGAAAGGCGGAAGAAGGGGATACATGAGGTAGATAGATTAATTTGTAGGAGCATTGACAGTCAGCAAAAAAGCACGCAAGAGACAATGACCACCGAACAAGAAACAGCACCGGTTGCATCGACAGTCGTGGACCAATTAACTACTTTTTTGGCTCTCATCAGGAGTTCAGCTGTGAAGTTTGATCCTCGTTACATCCTAAAGGTTTTCCGTGAATTGACATCAATAAGAAGAAGCATCAAGGCCGACGACTTGATTAGTTTGATCAACAGTGTGTATCCACCATCTTACCCCACTGTAGAATATTTGATTGGGGCGTTGACGCCCTTCAGCAATGGCACACATGTGATAATTCGGAACAACGATCAGAGCTACAGCGTCAGCAGCAATGGCAACAACAGTGAGATGGATGTTGACACCGACGGCTTAGCCGTTGAAGAGGATAGCGACGAGGTGTTGCCAGAAATCGATATCTTTATACATCTCTTAGTCCAGATATTCTTGCACGATCTGGGAGAGACCAAGGCCTTACATACGTTCAACAGACATGTGATCAAAGCATTAAAGAGCTACAACAAAAGAACTTTGGACTATATACAGGCGAAGGTATGGTACTATGTGTTCAGATCGAGCGAGCTGGCCAACGACTTGATCAACATCAGAGTGGAGTTGATGAACGCGTTGCGGACCGCCACACTCAGACACGACACAGAGACAAGGGCGTCAGTCATCACTCTATTGCTCAGAGACTACATTTTGACGAACGATATAAACCAGGCGTACAATTTGGTGGAGAAGACAGAATTCCCAAACGAGGCCACCAACTCCGTTGTGGCCAGATACTACTACTACTTGGCTAGAATCCAAACGATCCAATTGGATTACTCGTCTGCCAACGAGTGTGTTATCACTGCGATCCGGAAATGCCCACAGACAAAGAATGCACTAGGGTTCTTACAATCTGCTACGAAGCTTCAAATTTTGATTCAGTTGTTGACCGGTGAAATCCCAGAACTATCCAGTTTTGACGATCCCCTTCTCGCAAAATCTCTAAGACCATATTCTACTGTCACGAAGGCTGTTAGATTGGGTGATTTGACAATTTTCAACGACTCTTTGGAAACTTTTGGCGAACACCTTAAGAAGGACAACAATTACAACTTAGTGTTACGTTTGAGACAAAATGTCATCAAGACGGGTATTCGTATCATCTCTTTATCTTACAAGAGAATTTCTTTGAAGGATATTTGTATCAAGCTTCATTTGGATAGTGAGCTCACTGCAGAATACATTGTTGCCAAGGCGATTAAAGACGGAGTTGTTGATGCCACGATCAACCACACTAAGGGCTACATGGAGTCTGACGAGGTCTGCTACGTGTACAGTACCACTAGCCCACAGGAGGAGTTTGACCGCCGTATCAAGTTCTGTATGCAGTTGCACAATGACAGTGTCAAGGCAATGAGGTATCCGATGAACGAGGACCGCCGGGATGTGGATGCCGACACTCAGGCCCGGGAGCGTGAGCAAGAGCTTCTACAGTTTTTGCAGGAGGAAGACTTCTAATGCAGCAGCATCTTCATCATAATCATCTATAGAGCAAACGTCTAAAGCCAAGTGTAGTTGGAAAATTGTGTAATCAGCAAGCCAGTCTAAGCTAGAAGGGAACTCCCAGGTCAAACCCCGGTTTTCTTCCTCCTCGCGTTAGAAAAAAATCAGACAAGGGAAGACATGAAAATACGAAGTGGTCTGTAGCGGTAATGGCGGTTTGATATTGAAGTGTAGTCATCGACCGAAAAAGAATTTGCCAGGATAGACTACGTGCACCATGATTGGAATGATGATGATGAGACGTATATCGGCTGGCCAGTGGAGCTCGGTGAGGAGTCCATTCAAAAGAGATGCCTGCACGTCGCATTTGAGCTTAACAAGGCTGTTCCACACAAGTATATGGGCAAAGTATGAAGTTCCAGGTGCAGGAGCACCTGGACAGACGGAATCGCCAAGGTCAAAGCGTGGAAGCTTGCCAAAGATGTCACTGGCAGAATATCAGCGGTTGAGGGATCAATATCGTGGAGCCAACGACAGATATCAGAGACAAACCACAATCTATTATTCGCTTTCGCTGATGATGGTTTTCCTGGCGTTCTCGTACGCCTCTGTACCGATCTACCGTGCCATCTGTCAGCGGACAGGGTGGGGTGGTACTCCGATCACAGATAGTACCCGGTTTACGAGGGACAAATTGAGCCCTGTTTCCACCGACCGGAAGTTGAGGGTGTCGTTTACTGCCGAGACCAGTGGGGCATTACCATGGAAGTTTGTTCCGCAACAGAGAGAGGTGTGGGTTGTTCCAGGAGAGACTGCGTTGGCGTTTTACAGAGCGAAGAACACAGGTGACCGTGACATCACTGGCATGGCCACCTACAGTGTCACACCGGATCACGTCGCTCCATATTTTAACAAGATCCAATGTTTCTGTTTCGAGGAGCAACGGTTGTCGAAGGGCGAAGAGGTTGACATGCCGTTGTTCTTCTTCATTGATCCTGAGTTTTCTAGAGACCCTGCGATGAGAAATATTGACGATGTGGTGTTGCACTACACGTTCTTCAGAGCCAAACACGATCAGCAGCACGAGCAATTGTTTGGCAACCAGTCGAAGGCTTCAGAAGAAATTTCGACTACCACCGTACCAGCCAACTCTGCATCGACGCAGGCTTAGGACATAGAGAGATCGAAAGCAATCTCTGTAAACAAACGATTCATGTATATAAAAAAAAAGATGACCAGACTTAACTTAAAAGAGATCTATCACTGCTTTTTACTCGGGACCTGAAATCATGATCTTGATACTCTGGCCCTTTTTAGAGAACTCATATGCCTCAATAGCCTCAGAGAACTTGAACCTGTGGGTAACAAGGGGCTTGACGTTGAGTTTCCGTTCTTTAAGGAGTTGAACAGCGTAGTTGTAGTCGTTGACAGAGTAACGGAAGCTTCCCTTCACTGTCAGTTCTTTCTCCATGACTGCAGCAATAGGGAAATTGTCCATGTTGTCTGGCCCCATTCCGACTTGCACGAAACGTCCCTTTTTGGCCAAGGCCCGGATGCACATGTTGGTGCAAGTTTGATTACCCGTTGCGTCGATGCCACATGTTGGCAAACCGTGCTCGCTGTCTTTCCAGATCGACTTGACCTTTTCCATCAAGTCGTCAAATTTCTGGCCCCTGGAGTTGAAAGTGTGGCTAGCTAGTCCGTGCTCGACTGCAAAGGCGAGTTTCTCGTCGATAATGTCGACAAGGAGCACCTTGTCGCAGCCGAACGCCTTGGCAACTCCTGCGCAGAGTAATCCAACAGGACCGGCGCCAAAAACTATAATGGAGTCTCCGAACTTCACATCGATTAGCCTGTTGGCGTGCACTCCGACTGCCAAGGGTTCCACAAGCGCCCCTTCCTCCAAAGAGACGTGATCTGGCAACTTGACGCAGAAGTCCTCCGGCAACAAGTAGTACCTGCACAATGTGCCATCGTAGGGTGGAGTAGCAGCAAACGCCATGTGTGGACATAAGTTGTAGTTGCCTGATTTATACTCCTGGCTGTATCTGGAGGGGATGCCTGGCTCGCAGGCGACCCTGTCGCCGACCTTCAAGGATGTGACGGCACTGCCGACTTCGACAATCTCCCCGGAGGACTCGTGGCCCAAGACCATAGGCTTTTCGACCTTGAAGGACCCACAACATCCTGTCTCGTAGTAGTGGAGGTCCGAGCCACAGAGACCAGTCTGCTTGATGGCTATCTTCACGTAATGAGGGTCGGTGAGCTCAGGTACGGGCCGGTCTTCGTAGGTGATGCTGCCGACTTTTTGCAAGACGACGCAAGGGTTGTTATTAGTGATTGATGGCATGGCTTGGTTGGGTGGATATTGAGAAGAAATTTTGGTGTTGGAGAGGCCGGTAGCGGTGCAATTGGGTTGAGTGTGTGCAACCTTTCGAAAATGCTCTTGCTCTCCTAGAGGTGTGCAATCAGCTGTTTGTCTCGGAGAAAAATGAGAGCCAGCGAAAAATCTGGGGGGAAAGAGGCCCGGGGACAGTTAACCGAGGAACGGCTGGCGGGTTAAGGAGTGTGTGTATTATAACGGATCTATAGAGTAACAAGAGAGAGAGTATAAACAGACAAACGGGTCTTTTTCATCCTCGTGGCGGGGGTGTATGCCAGGCTGGCTACACAGAGTGCGTAGGGGGCCTCAGGCCTTGGCGCCGGCGTCATTGTAGTAGGACTTTCTGAAATAGTCCATGCAGTTGGTGTAGACGACCAACAAGATACCTCCTCCCGGGCCAAGTCTGAGCACCTTTGGCAGGAAGCCCTTGTAGAGCGCGCTGAAGCCCTCTTCCCGGAAGACGATGCCCAGGGAGGGCCACGCCCAGTTGTACTTTCTGGCCTGGCCCTCGACCTTGCTTGCGCTCTGGATCCGGGACTTGACGACGTCGAAGGGCGTGTTCAGGGCGGTACCGACGATACCGCCAAGCATACCGCTGATGAGGTCGTTGAAGGTCTTCTGCTTGTTGTCCTGGGCCTCTGGGAGGAGATCGCGGATCTGGAAGATGACGCCAAAGTAGCCTGCGTTCCAGATGATGTGTCTCCACAGGGTGGCCTCAAGGCCGTTGTACAGCGCGAGGAGGCCCTCGCTCTTGACGGTCTTGACCAGCACGTCCACGGGGCCGTTGTAGACGCTGGCCTTGGACTTGTCCTGCAGCCGGATCTTGATCAACTCGAACGGCACCACGATGAACGATTCCGTGGCTCCTGCGCACGCCCCGTTGAGGATCGCCAGGCTCTGGTTGAGCTTGTCGACGCCAAACGTCTTCTTCCAGAACGCGCCCCACGAGTCGTTGGCGGCGAACTTGGTGGCCCGCTTCGGGGCCTCCATCAAGATGGGAGCCGAGATCCCCCGGTACAGCGTGGCCGGGCCTTCGTTCTTGATGATCTTCGTGAAGCAGTCGACCACTCCGGAGTACTCTGCGGCGGTCCCGGAGCCCACCTGGAGCTGGATTCTTGTTTTCACCACGTCCAACGGGTACATGGTCAGGATCTCCGATATGCCTGCGACGGCGCCGGCGAGGAACTGGTAGTGGAAGGGCAGGGGACGGGTATCGATCGCGGACATTGCGGTGGCGGTGGCGGTGACGGTGACGGAGTGCCGGTTTCCCTGACGAATCCTCCCCAGAGCTGTCCCGCAGCCGCCAATGTCTCAGGAAGAGCAACACACCACGACGTGGAACGGTCTCTTGACCTTCCTCAGAGCAGGGGACACCCCGGCCACGACAGGAGGGTGGAAAAAAAAAAAAAGAGGCAGGCCCAGCCGGCTGCGGGGGAGAAAAAACAACGGCCCGGGGCCGGAGCGGGGGGGCCGCCCCGGCCCTGCCGCCCGGGCTGCGTGTGTGGGTGTCTGCTGCTGCAAAGACACAGCGGCACAGCGACAAACGTGTATCTAGGATTGTCCTGCCACCATTATCTGCTGGCTCTCGTCCATCTGCGGCATCTTTCTACCACACAGTGTCCCTTCTGTGTGGACGTGTCTGCCCCGGCGCTTCCCCTCCTTCGTGTCAGTCATCATCATTGCCCGGTAAGCGGCGTGCCAGAAGCACAAAAGGAGTTCGCGACGCGAAAAAAAAAAAAAAAAACAGCGACGCGTCGCCGACGCGTCGCTGTTTTTGCCGCCCGTGCACCGACGAAGGCTGCCGCGCTGCCCCTCGTGCTGCTGTCCTTCCCCGTTTCTCGGGCTTTCTCCCCAGAAAGGCAGCAGCGGGGCGAGGCCGGCGCGCACTTACGCCTCCTGGGACGGCCGCTGGGGCGTGACGCCCGAAAGAGAAGAGGGGCAGGGAGGGAACATGAAAAGAAAGAAGGCTCTGTGAGTTTTCAGGATTTGGATTGCGATGTTGCCTCTTCCTTCTTATTGGATTTGTTCTCGGTTGGACTGCACTCCACACAGCACACTACACACTCCACTACACTACACATACAATGTATGCTCGCCAGGTGTTTGCACAGAAGATAGTGAAGGGCTCGGGCTCGATGCTCAGAACGCTAGCCAGACGGCCAGCCGTTGGGGCCGCCAACGGCAACGGCGCCTTCGGCGCCGTCGGCAGCACACAGCTGCAGGTCTCGCAGACCCGGCTGTACCACCCGAAGGTGATCGACCACTACCAGAACCCGAGAAACGTCGGGACGATGGACAAGTCGCTGAAGGACGTGGGCACGGGGCTCGTGGGCGCCCCTGCGTGCGGAGACGTGATGCGTCTGCAGATCAAGGTGAACGACAAGACGGGTGTGATCGAGGACGTGAAGTTCAAGACGTTCGGCTGCGGCTCGGCGATCGCCAGCTCGAGCTACGCGACAGAGCTGGTGAAGGGCATGACGCTGGACGAGGCCGCCAGCATCAAGAACACCATGATTGCCAAGGAGTTGAGCTTGCCCCCAGTCAAGCTCCACTGCTCGATGCTTGCCGAGGACGCCATCAAGTCCGCCATCAAGGACTACAGAGCCAAGAGAGGCAGAGTGACCCTCGGCCCCGACGCAGGCAACTGATGGGCCCGCCGCCCCTCCCTACTACCACATTCTCGTTACTCTCTATATAATCTATATACATAGGCTTTTTTTTTGCAAAATTTGGAATAGCCAAGTCGACACTTGTTTTCTTTCAGCTTTCGCCTGGGGCTTTTGTCCCGCCTCGCTGTTAAGGGCACCCGGGCTCTCTTCGGCCGTACTGTGTTTTTTATGTCCGGGGTCCCCGTCTGCCCGCCTTCCCGCCCGACTCGTCCTTGCTTCACCCACAGCGCTGGCTACTGGTCCATCTGCCAGGCCGGACATCTCGGCCTGCAACAGTGCTAGCTATGCCCCCGGTCCATCTGCCGGGCCACCCTCCCGCGTGATTCACATCCGCCCGGATGATTCACCTTCCCCGCGTCCGACGCCGCACCTTCTCCGACTCGCATATCGTCCTTAGTGGCTATCTACCGCTATACAGCTTCTACTTACGCTAACTACGCCAACTCCCGCCGGTCAGGTCTCGAGCTGCTTCTCAACAAGACTCAGAATACCGACCTTATCTGAGAACCGGGCCCACGTCTGCTCGACAGCTCCAGAACGGGCGCTCTCAACCCTGTCCACGTTGCCAGCGAAGTCAAAGCGCTCCTTGATCCAGTCTTCAAAGCCAAGGCCATGCTCCTCGTGCGGCCGGCAGCCCCAGATCGCCCGGAAACACCCGCCAAGCGCACACGCATCGCCAATCTCCACCCGGTAGCCGCCCTTGCGGGCGCCAAAGATGTCGTTGAACACACGCACAATGGACTCATTCTTTGAACTCCCGCCCACGTAGTAGACGCTTTTCGGACGCTTCATGAACTCGTCTGTACTGTACGAAACGTGGTCCACCGTCACCTCCTGGCCAACAATCTTCTCCAAAGCCTCTAGCGCCTTCTCCACCTCAAAACTTTTCGTGTCTCTGCCGCCTCCGAGCATCGGACACACCCTCAGACGACACGACAATGCTTGCGACTCGATGATCAGTGCTGCCTCCTGCTCTACGGCCACGTCCTCCTTGGACAACTCAACCAAGCCTGTCTTCTCGCTGTATGTGAACCGCCTCTTGCATGGCTTGGCATTAGGAATGATCTCGCCAAGCGGGAAGTAGATGCCAACTCTCTCATCAGCGGCCTTCTCAGGCTGCTTGACCTCTTCGTCCTTCGCAAACTCACTTTCCAAGATCTCATCGAACTTGTCCCACCCGTTCGTGCTGTACTTCTCGTTGACCTCGTCTCTCAGCTGCTCTCTCGCCAACGCACCATTGCAGTAGCAGAGCATACCCATATAGATTCCGCGACACACAGGGTGGCGGAACATGTGGTAGTTGACACTAGGGATGTATTTTTCGGTCAAAAGCAAAACAGTGGTGCTCGTGCCCATCGACACCAACAAGTCGTCCTTGTTGAGCGGCAAAGACATGATCGTCGCCAGGTTGTCTCCGGTGATTGGCCAGATCACACATTGCTCGTCAAACCCGTATCTCCCAACAAGATACTTGGCAATATGTTTGCAGTCGTCAGGCTGCACGACGGGTCCGAGCATCTCACGTGCCTGCTTCGCAGCTTCTGCCTCTTCCTCCTTTGAAACGTGGTCCACCCTTGAATTTTTCATCAGAATCAACGATAGCAACTCGTCATTCCAGTCGCCACTCTTAATATCAAGCAGGTTAGTGCCGCATGCTTCTCCGATCTCAACGCCACGCAATTGTCCCGTTAAAAACGTGTCGAGGAAGCTTGCCACAAGCCCCAAATGAGACGTGTTTCTCCATTCCTTGCTGTCGCCCCTAGCTCGACGGCGGATTTGGGGGCCGGAGAACCTGAAATGAGCCTTGCTACCCGTGGCTCGGCATAGCTCTTCGGCACTGCCGAGAGCCTTCTCGAAATCTTCAAGCTCCTTTTCCGTGGAGCGGTCCTGCCAGTTCGATGCGTTCGGGAACGAAAACGAATCTGCCAGATCGGCGTACCACTTATCGGAGTCGCCATCGAGCGACGCTAGCGAGTCGGAGATCCCGGACGTGTAGTACACCGTTCCATGCTGCTGGCACGATCCTGAAATACCCTTCACGCGTCCGAAGGGGAAGTTCTCCTTCTTCATGCGGTCCAGAAGCGTCTGGATGGCTTCGAGGAAAAGCGACACCGGGGAAACCACCTCTCCTGTGTCTTCATTGGCAATCACACCCTTCCGGGTGCCGTACTTGTCGCTGAACTCATCGAAGTTGATGGCGTACTTCGAGTGGGTGGAGAGGTCCTCGTTGCACGCGACGATTTTCAATTGCTGAGTGGACAGGTCGAACCCCAAGTAGAGAGACATTGTATTTGCTGTTGTTGTTTTTATTCTTTTTATTCTTTTCTATTCTTTTCTACTTCCTATAACACCGATACAAAGCCTGCTCTAATCTAGCTCAATTTTGATTTTCTGTGGTGCTGGTCTTTTCAAAAACGTCACCGGCTTCGTGTTGTACTGCGAGTATGCTGGAACAGTCACGAGTGCAGCAAGTAGAGCAAACACACCAAACGGATAAACAAAGAGGGTAATGTTCTGAAGCGCAAAGGCAAATAGCAACGAGATAAACGTTCCAAGAGAGATAATGCCAATCAAAAACTTTTCTGCCAACTCCTGGCCTTTGAAATCAATAGGAAACTCGATGTATTGTTCGAGCTGGGAGGTGTCCATCGGAAAGCACACACACACAATTCGCTGAGTCTACTTTATTTTGAAGAATACGTTTATATACCAAGAGGGGAACACTACAAACGATAAAAACGCCCACCTTCTTCAGGTCCTGCCTGTGCAAAGGCTCCATCCGACAAGCTGACCTCGTGTCTTCTCCTCCCCGTCTCCTTTCGTTACGGCATTCCCTACGCGAATTTGACCAAATCCGCAGCACGTGACCCTGGCTTGGTGTCTCTTTGTAACCGTCAGTCTCTGTTGCAGTCCCGAAGTTGTCCTCTCCGCTGGCAAGAAGTCACGTTGTCGCCGTCAGGACGTCATCACTACATCGTCACGTCATGGAGTCGTCCCCGACCGCTCCAAAACCGCCTCACCCTGTTGTTCGAGTCACGGCGTCTCCCGGCCGGCTCCGCGGGCGGTCAAATCTTATCGCCGGACCGAGAGCCGGCTATCTCCTCGGGGAACGGCCGAGACGGCTTATACTACTCAAACGGCTACCTGTGACCTCGGAGCTGACGATAATATATAAGTGCTTCGTTGCTGGTTACAGGGTGTTGTGTGTGCGATGTGGAGGCAGCACATGTATTTGGTGGTGCGTTGAATGAACAGAGAAACAAACAACCATTGATCCGCAATTCGCAATGTTCCCTCGTGCTACAACAGCTAGATTACTGACGAACGCTTGCCGCAAAACCACTCCGTCTTTGCAAAGAAGTGCCCTGAGGGCATGCTGCTACTCAACCGCCTCCAGCTCCCAGAGCACTGCCGGAGCACATTCTGCTGACTCGGCAAGAGGCACTTCCCCTCCTCCAGAATTCGAAGACTATCCCTACAGATACGGGTACGGCGGCTGGGGCCGTGGCTGGGGCCGTGGCTGGGGCTACGGCTACCCAGGGCCACACAGACACAGACGTGGCAGGTTCTTCTTTTTCCTTATCTCCTTTGCCGGCGGTATGTTTGCATACAAGCTCCTGAGTGGCAACTGCGGAGACGAGCGCTGGGAAAGACGCCATGCCAGAATGCACGACAGCGGCAGCTACCCCCAGGACGCATACCCAGGATTCAGTTCTGCTGCTGCTTCCAAATTGGACGTTCAGACACTTCCTATCGTCGCCGCCTTAAGATCTAATCCGGACTTCGAAGAGGCGCATCTGCTCAGCAGCCAGGTGGTCACCCCGACCACCAACTCGTCGTTTGAAGACTCCATCATGCTGCCTTCCAAGCCAGTAGAGTTTGCCAGCAGTTCGACAGGTGAAAGGGTAGCCGTCGTCACATTGCCAGAAATTGCTGGCAGACATAGAGAATGGTACGGGTTTGGAAGACGGAGCGGCCACAGACGCGGCGGCCAAAGCGACAGACTTGTCATGCTCATGGATGAGTACTTGAAGCGGGACGCAGCCCTCCTCTTGAACGTCCCTCCTTCCTCTATCTACACCACGGCCCTCGACGTCGACTTCCGGTCCCGCATGACCCCGCACGACAAAATCATCATCGTCAAGGCCACGGTGGACGAAAATGCGGCCAAAGATGGCAGGTCCGTAGCCATCTCCGGTTCAATCATGAGCACCGATGGACAGCTGATTTCCAAGCTCCATGGCTCCTTTACCGCCGACTCCACTAAAGCTCCCCCAACTGGCCAAGACGTCTACCACTTTAGAAAGTGGATGTGGTCTGATTGACTACTAACCTGATCTGCCGATCGGAAGAACCACGTACCTTGTATCTACCTATTAAGCCCCTCTAAGGCGTGCCTTATTTACTTTTCTCTGTTTTGCTTTATCATTAGTTTTCTCATCTGTATAAACTGTTCAAGCGCTTTCAAACTCGGTGGAAAGACCCACCAGTCGTGCAGAGCATGCCAGAAAATACCGTTCCCCACAGTTCTTCTCCTCCTCCGCCCCCGCACTTTTGGCTCCCTCGGAGTTTTTCCCCGTGGCTATCCCCTATTGTGGTCATCTGGCCGACAAAATGGGGCACGCTTTCTGACCTCGGGACAATACCTGGCCTCTGTCTTGACTCTGTCTTGAGGGCTGTACTCATATAAAGTGTTCAGGCTTTCCTCAGGTAAAGTTAAGTTTAGCGGTGTGAAACGGCGGATATTCTTTCTTTTTCTTTGTTATTTGTTAACGAGAGAACCAAATTTAAAACATGAAACTTACTACACTACCGAAGACCGTGGAGCCAGATCCACAGCAGCTTATCTGGTCTGAGCGTTTAAGAACAGACTTCCCACTCAATGAGATGCACGCATTTATTGAAGGCTCCACTGATGCCTCAGTTCATACACTTCGTTTGATGCAGCAAATCGAGAGAGATCCTGTGCTTCAGGTCAAACCGGACTACTATGAGCTGTCTCGTGAGGAACACCGGGAACTCACTGCCCAAAAGATAGCACGCTTGGCCAAGTACATGGAGCAGGACGCTCCAGATTTCCAAACTTTCCAGGACAGGCTAAACTTAGTTGCACTCATTGACCCGCAGTTGGGCACAAGAATAGGTGTCCATTTGGGGTTGTTTTTGAGTGCCATCAGGGGAAACGGTACCGAGGAGCAATTCAACTATTGGGCGTTTGAAAGAGGCGCCGTTTATATGAAAGATATATATGGGTGTTTCAGTATGACAGAAATTGCACACGGGTCCAACGTTGCTGCCTTGCAAACGTTGGCAGAATATGACGTTGAGAATGACGCTTTCATCATAACCACGCCTCACATTGGTGCTACTAAGTGGTGGATCGGAGGGGCTGCACACAGTGCCACACACACAGTTGTATTTGCCCGTTTGGTCGTCAAGGGCAAAGATTATGGGGTCAAAACCTTTGTTGTCCCAATCAGAGACTCAAATCACGACCTTTATCCCGGTGTTGCAATTGGTGACATCGGGGAGAAGATGGGTCGGGACGGAATTGACAACGGTTGGATTCAGTTCACCGGCGTCAGGATTCCAAGAGAGTACATGTTGAGCAAGTTCACCAAGGTTGACCGTGAGGGTAACGTCGAAGAGCCACCATTAGAGCAGCTTGCGTATGGCGCATTACTCGGTGGTAGAGTCACGATGGTGACTGACAGTTGGAGAACAGGAGAACGGTTTGTTGCCATAGCCATAAGATATGCTGTTGGACGGAGACAGTTCACCGTTAAGGGTGAGACTGTCGAGAACCAGTTGATCAACTACCCACTACACCAAAAGCGGTTGTTACCGTATTTGGCATGGGTTTATGGGATGAGTGTTGCGTCAAACCAAATCCAAAAGGATTACAAGGATGTGTTGCAAAAATTGGACGACGGTGTGAAAAGTGGGGACTTTGGACTTTTGAACAAGTCAATTGAAGGTCTCAAGGGGTTGTTTGCCGACTCTGCAAGCTTGAAGAGCACATGCACATGGCTCACGGCCGATTTGATTGACGAATGCCGTCAAAGCTGTGGTGGACATGGGTACTCAGCCTACGCTGGTTTTGGCAAGGGCTATGCGGACCACGTAGTTCAGTGCACATGGGAGGGTGACAATAACATTTTAGCTCAGAACAGCGGAAGAATCACCATCCAGAAGGTTATGGCTTTTGAAAAGAGCGGCAAGGTATTCGGGTCTTCGGGATACGCATTCTTGAAAGACGCCAAGCGGGAGGGCGCCATTCTTTCTAGCGAGTCTGATTTGAAGGACTTGCAAACGTTGAATTTGGCACTAAAGTCGATTATTTACAGAGTTGCCTTGAAATGCATTGGAGCATTGCAGGAGAATGGAAAGAACTGGGATGTTATTGCCAACGAAAAGCTATCCTTGTCCAAGCTCTACGCAGCCGAGTATATTTTGGACAAGTGGATAGCTAAGATCAGTGAGACCCGGGACGCAGGGGTAAGAAAACAGCTAGAAAACCTTGCCCGTCTCTTTGCGATCTCAAACATCGACCGATTCGGCGTCTACTTTTTGCAGCAAAACGTCATTTCGCAGAATTGCTACGACATTATGGAGCGCTACACTTACCAGGTGTTGCTAGAGGTCCGGCAAGAGGTGATCGGCTTGACCGATTCGTTCAAACTGAGCGATTTCTTTATCAACTCTGTTTTGGGCAATTACAACGGGGACATCTATCACAACTACTTGAGCGTCGTCAAGAGCCTTGACACCACTGCCGCCACAGCTAAGGCGCCCTACGCCGGCGAGTTTTTGGCCATGTTGAACAGAACTTCCGTTGAATCACGTGAAAAGCATCAAAGAAGCGAAGACGTTCTCTCCAAACTCCGCAGCGACTAACCGGCCCGGTCTGTTCCATAGCCCTGTGTAACGACGTATAACAGCAGTAGCGGTAATACTGTGACTAAAAAACCATGCGATAGTGAGTAGCACTCATCCGCCATTGGCCGAACTGACGTAGCTTAGCCTGCTCCCGTCGCCAAGCAGCCCCTCATCTCCATGCTGAAAATAAGCCTGGTGTTGTCATTTACACCGTTTTCGGCCCAGCCCCAGCGAACGTCCAAGGGCCTGGTTGCCTATTTGGGTCTTCTTCCTCTTTGGGCATAATTGGGTCTAATTGCTGCTAGCCTCCTCGGCGTTCCCCAGTGACGGCCGTTGCGCGCCCCGCAACGGTGTTTGGGTTTTCCCTTAGTGGGTCTAATGGGCCCAGCACGCTCTGTGAAGCGCCCAGCACCGCAAACAGGGGTCTGGTGGGAGGTTATTTTTGGTAGTCGGGGGCTGTCATAAGGATTGTCGGAGGCTGGCAGAGAGTTGTTCCTGGCCTAAGAGGCATTTCAGGTCCAACAAACCTTCCAGGGATGGGAACTGGTATAAAACGGGTGGTGGTTCCTCTCCAATAGGGTAGAGTATCTGAACCATTCCAGTTTTGATCCTAGATTATTTTACTTCTTCTCTTTCAGCATCAAAGAACAACCACATCTTCTTTACATAAGCAGCTTACAGCTCTACACACATCTACACACACACACACCACCCTAAAAATGAGATCTTCCACCTTATCCCTTGCTTCCTTGGCCTTAGTTGCCCAATCCTTAGCTGCCTACGTTCCATCAGAACCATGGTCCACCCTGACCCCAAAGGAGACCTTAGCTAGTGCCACCACCAACTACCCATCCACTTTTGCTATCTCCATCGACCCAATCCCAACCTCTTCTACCACCGCCAGCGCCAGCCACAACAAGAGAGACAACGTCACCCAAATCGGCGACGGTCAAATCCAAGCTACCACCCAAACCACCACTGCTCCAACTGCTCCAGTTGTTACCCAAATTGGTGACGGTCAAATCCAAGCTACCACCCAAACCACTACTCCACCACCAGCTAAGACCACTGCTCCAGTCGTTACCCAAATCGGTGACGGTCAAATCCAAGCTACTACTCAAACCACTGCTCCAGTTGTGACTCAAATCGGTGACGGTCAAATCCAAGCTACTACTCAAACCACTGCTCCAGTTGTCACTCAAATCGGTGACGGTCAAATCCAAGCCACCACCCAAACTACTGCTCCAGTTGTCACTCAAATCGGTGACGGCCAAATCCAAGCTACCACCCAAACCGCTCCAGTTGTTACACAAATCGGCGACGGTCAAATCCAAGCTACCACCAAGACCACTGCCACTGCTGCTACCCAAATCGGTGACGGTCAAGTCCAAGCTACCACTGACAAAAAGGCTCCAACCTCTACTCCTTCCTCCCCAGCCACTCCATCCGACTACACTCACCCAGTCTCCTGTAAAACTAACAACACTCTGTCCATGACTTTGAAGGATTCCATTCTGACTGATATCAAGGGTAGAGTTGGTTCTATTGTTGCCAACAGACAATTCCAATTCGACGGTCCACCACCACAAGCCGGTGCTATCTACGCTGCTGGCTGGAGTATCTCCAACGATGGTAACTTAGCCATCGGTAACACCACTGTCTTCTACCAATGTTTGTCTGGTAACTTCTACAACTTGTACGATGAAGTCATCGGTAACCAATGTGAACCAGTCTACTTAAAGGTTGTTGACCTGGTCGACTGTTAAGCGATTGATTGATTGCTAAACTACTGAATTCAGAGTTAGCTCTCAAGCATCACATTTGCATTACCATTCTCATTGTATATTAGTTTAATTTCTTCTAACGTTCTTTTTAACATAGCATCCTCACATAATTTATAGTCATAGTTATAGTCATATTTAGTTTTTCATTGTCAAAAACAACATTATCAAAAGTTTGAGAAACCTTTTCCTTGAACCTTTTCGAATCTGGAAATGTGCTCAGTATTACAGGGAATTAAAAAACGCTTTTACATACACAATCTATCCCTTCTCCCTATTTTGAAGGAGTACTTTCAAGTTGAACCGTTGAACTGTAGACATGTGATAGAATGGTTTGTAAGTAGCTAAATTGCAGAAATGAAAAAGGAGCGGGATAAGAAATCGACGCGTCGATTACAAAAAATCACGAGAAAAGAAAATTAAAGTCTTCTCAAACTGGACGCTTCCATTTTTTCACCGCTTCACTCACAACGACACCCTATAGCAGAAGAAAGTAATATGGACCGAAGACCACGTACAATCCGCTGTCAGAAGTATCTTTGGACACAACCCAGAGGGAGTTAGCAGTCAGACTACACACATGTTAGGAAGAACTGCTCTAGAGAACAGCACCTTGTCTGTGAAGACTGCAGGTCTGCAGGTCTCGCAAGTGCGTTACAGAAGAACCCTTGCATATCCATTCTACTCCAAGGCAGGTAACATTCCTCCAACAAGAAAGGGACGCAAACAGACGGTCTTCAAGCGTCTCATGGATCAATTTCTTGGACCTAAGAACTACAAAGGTGACTACTACCTCAACAAATACGCATATCCGAAAACAAACCACACAACAAACTATATCGACCCGAGAAACGAAAGAGGTAATGCTCTCCTTGAACCGCTCAGTGAATTTGACGTCTCCAGCGACGACGTAGCCGAGTCTGGTAGAGGAAGAAACAGACACACCTTGCAGCCGTTTCCTCTCAACTCGAACTGTTTTACGAATCTGCAAGTGAGTAACGAAACCAAGGTTCAAATTGTCAACGACATTCTTTTGAACAAGGTGCCTTCTCAACAAGTTGCCTTGAAATATGGATTGAAGATTCAAAGAATCGAAGCCATTTTGAAACTCCGTGAAGTCGAAGAAGATTGGGAACAGAAAGGCTTGATAAAGGGTGATCTCAAGAGACTTTCAAACACCATGTACAAAATGTTCCCTCTGTACAACCCTGAAAAGAACGCCGAGAATTTGACAGAAATTCCTATTCCTAGAGAAACCATGCAATCCCGGTTTTTGACCATCGCCGAATCTGAACCGTTCGGTCCTGTTGATGCCGCCAAGGAGTTCAACTTGGAGCCTGCTGCTGTGACATTAGAAAGGCTTTCTGAAGGTGGTGAGCACTCCTCCCACCAGGACGCTGCCAAAATGAAGAAGAGAGACGGTTCTTTTATTGCAACCATGCACGAAGGTGACAAGTATGCCTTCAAATTCACTCCTGTCAAGGTTGGCAAGGTTGGATACAGATACGGTAAGGTGTTTAGAGATAATAGAAAAGACAGAAAAATCGCTTATGATGCTGCCGGTAATAAATACTACCCTCTCGAATAGATAATAGGCTCTTTTTCTCTTGGCAATATCTTCAGACATCTGTACATAGTCACTTCTCCCCATATTTATATATAACTTATTATAGTAGTAATTACAAATGTAACGAAACATGAACTGAAAGGTGCTTAAGTAAGGCTCAATGCAGCCCCTTACGTAAGAAGCGTGGGAAGCTAAAAGCTTAAATGCGGAGAGAAACTTTCTCTCTTTTTGCTCTGCCTGTTCTCTCTCGGCCATCCCCATCAGACGACCAGTTTTTTTGTGGCACCTGGACTAACTTAGGGCCTTCATGAATCCAATTTTCACGAGAAAAAAACAGTACTGAAACCAATTCAAAGTCCCAAGACAGCTGATGTCCTTTTCTCGCAAGAATGAACGTTTCATCGACTAAAAAAAAGGAGACGTGTCCTAACCCCTCCAACCCGGTGTCATTGGTGCACATCAAACCAAAGGTCATCGCAACAGCAACGACAAATGTGCAGATATCGGGCTCATCCAATGCCACATCCTCTTTCTCTGATGCTGAGCAGGAGTTCAAAAACCTCTCTCCTTCCAGAACCTCACAAAGTTCTGATAACTCAATAATTACTCAAGATTCTGACCTCAAAAAAATTGAACAGTCGCCTTACTTCTTGACTAGAAATAACGATTTATCCCAGGCAAAAAAGTTGCCAGAGTCAGGCTCACACTCGAAATTATCAGACCTGGCACACAAGATGTCTGATTTCCTGTTCTCTACCCGTCGAAGTATAGACACTAGCTGTCAAAATCTTGCAGCTGATCAGGGATCTTTACGTAATAATGACTCTTCGAACCCTTCCCCTGTCCAATCTAGAGAAAGTTCCTTCGTTTCATTGAGTAGTCTAGCAAGAAGTGGAGCTAGACCAGTCCCTTCGAAAAGAAGAAGCTTTTTATTTCGTCCCAACCTTAGTCCACCCAGAAGCAGTGCCAACAGTACTATCAACAATGTTGATCATCACAATGCCTCAAACAATAAAATTAACCCTGATTCATGCTTTACGTTGAATCCAAACTCCTCGAATGCGTCATTGGATTCCAATACAATCAAAAACTCGCCATGCAACTTTTCTTGCAGCGTTAATACCAACACTGTGAACACCAATTCTTCAAAAGTGAAAGAAACACACTATGTACATGTTGAGTACGATCCTGTTACACGGAAACGTATCTTAAATACATACGAAATACTTAAGGATATTGGAGCAGGGCAGCACGGGAGAGTGAAATTAGCCAAAGATTTGGCTACCGGCACCAGAGTAGCAATAAAAATTGTCGATAGAACCGGCAAGCCTGCCCTTATGCTAAGCCGGTTATCTCGTGGCAAGACACAAACACAGGAAGATAAAATTCGAAAAGAAGTTGCAATCATGAAAAAATGTGATCATCCGCATGTGGTCAAGCTAATCGAAGTTTTAGATGCAGAAAATTCTAGAAAGATTTACCTGGTGTTAGAATATCTTGAAAAGGGTGAGATCAAGTGGCAAATATCTCCAGAAGAAGTATTGTCGATGGTAAAATCCAAATCTGATAAAGTTAGTCTCAGTGGTGAGATTACAATAAAAGACTGTATTTTTGAGCCACTTTTATCATTAGAGCAAACGAAAAAGATCTTTAGGGATGTTTTGGGTGGTCTTGAGTATTTACACTACCAAGGTATTATACATAGGGATATTAAACCATCTAATCTATTGGTGAGTCATGACGACAACGTCAAAATTTCTGATTTTGGTGTATCTTTTGCTGACAACCTTGACGGAGAAACTCAGGATGATGTTGAGTTAGCCAAGACAGCAGGCACACCTGCATTTTTGGCTCCTGAGTTGTGTGGCACGGAAGGCAAAAGTATGAAAGTCACATATAAGATAGATATATGGGCACTTGGAGTAACCTTATACTGCTTCATATTTGGTTGTCTACCTTTCTATGCGGATTCAGAATACCAGTTGTTTCAGAATATTTGCCATGATGATATCAAGTTTCCAGATATGACGCGCTGGCGTGTGGCGACCCCATTGGATGATCATGAATTTCAGATGGCAAAAGATTTGATAGTGAAGTTACTTGATAAGAACCCGGAGACTCGGTTGGAAATTGAAGAAATCAAAAAGCACCCATTTGTGCTTGACGGACTGGATGGTCAGAAATGGCAAGATGACGATAAGTATTTAGATAAAAATACTAAAATCAAAGTCAGCAGTGAAGAAGTAGATGATGCAGTTGTCGGGATTGGAAGTAGAATCAAGAAAAGAATATCTGATGCGTTCAAAAGAAGGAAAACTCTTGTTGACTTTGAAAAAAGCTTGAATGGCCAGAAGGATAAGGAGAAGCAAACAATTGATTCAGATCTGTTGTTGGGAAATACTCCCTTGTCGGGACTGAAGGATGACTGTGGCTACATTCTGTCTGAAAAAAATACCCTTAACGATGATAGCATCAACGCCAAATCTCAGTTATCTCTGAATCTGCTGAATGATCACTCCGAATGCAGCTATAATCCTTCAAGCTCAACCACCTGTTTATGTGTCGCCAACGCTCGAGGCAGGTCCGAGAGCTCAGAAGCTACCAAAGAAGGTAGCCCGGTTGAGAAAAATAATGACCAACACGCCACTAATGCACTCGGTAGAGAGGAACACGATGAGTCTCCTCTCTGTACAAGTAGTCCGGGAGCTAAAAATTACAGCGTCGAAAATTACGATGCAAGTGATGGATCTGATGCTGAATCGTATGACTACCGCAAAGATTTGAAGTGTGATGACAATGAAGGTCAAGTAGAATCAGTCCAGCTAACTGTTAATCCAAGTTTTGCTTCTCTTGATAGTTTTTACGATGACTCGTATTCCAAATTCATTAATCCTGCTACTACAGTTGGCTCAAGTACCTACACCGGTTTTGGAAGTTTCTCTGGAAGAAATAATATCCCTAATGCAACAAGAATGCCTTCCCTTCACAGCAACAGGCCGTCTCTTAACTCAGCAGCTGCAAGTGCTGAAAGTACGCATAGTTCTGAATCTCGAGAAAGCATAGCAATGGTCCGCAACAATTCACGGAGTCCTTCGGGTGCACCATTCAAGCTTCCGGGATCAATTCAAACAAATTTCAACAATCTGAGGGGTCGACCTCCAAGGACTAAAGCTTCTCCTGCTACAGATGGGCCTATTCTAAGCTCTGCCAGAATTTCGAGAAATGCTCCAAAGGGTATGCTTCCTACCAATTCGATACTTAATGCGGCGTCCTCGATAGTAAAAAATCTACCATCAGAAAGTCATAAAAATACCGCTTTCAAGGGAATAGTGGAGTCAGATTCCTCAAGCGAAGATGAAGAAAAACCCATAGAGTTTAAGGGAAGAAGGGATTCCGATAAGAGTGCGTCTGATATTCGAGATAACGTACCTAAACCGATGACGAATAGTAAAGTAGCCACGAGAAAAGCTTATTTTACTAGCGGTGATGACGAAAAAGATGATGAGGACAGTAGCAACAATGATATTTCAGGCGTTTCCAATTCACTATTTTATAAAAAGGAATCAATCACTGGAACGAACAAAAACATGAGAAACGCTGAAGAAACACTCACAAAGAATAGTCAGGCATTGTTGCCAACGAAGAGCTCAATATATGGTACAAAATTAAGATTGGTTCATCAAAGTTTTGATCAAACAGAGAATGGTAGTGATAGTGACGATAGCGACGATAACGATGCGGAACTCTTTTTGAGTTTTGGCAAACCTAAAGTTGTCTCAAATATTCTCAACTCGCCAGGTAATAGTATCTCGAGTCAAGGTGCTCAAACCAGTACGGGAAAGAGCGAAAGCGAGAGAAATAGCAGCAGGGGTGACAGCAAAGAAGTTATTGCAAGTTACGTCTCAGCGGAAAATATCTTATCCTTGTCTAAACCGACTATTGTTGATGTGCCAGATAATCTCTTTGAATCTGAAAAAAGCTCTTTGGACGGTAAAAACAGAAACATTAACAATAACCCAAATCGAAGTTTTGTGTTTTCTGAGAATGGAGCTATTGAGGATGAGCTGGCAGTTTTGAGCATAAATCAGGATGACGTATTTTGTGATCAGTAGTTCGGCATCTATAGAGTGGTATTGGGAGTTTATTTATGGGAAGTGTATTTTGTACTATATTACATGCCTAACTGGTATATCGATTATATGTATTCTCGCAACTATATTTGAAATTCAACTTATAGCAAACCTATTGATAACACTGTTCTTATTGTCAAACGTCTGTTTAAGGCGGTCTAACACATGGGGCATATTCAATTGTTCATTATCTTCCCAAGGATCTTGTTTGACCAACTTCACTAAAACTTCTTTTCCTGGTTCAAGCAGGTCTTCGAGATTTCCTTCAACAAGAATTTTGCTACGCTGTGGCCGTGAAGAATCTTCAAAATAGAATTGGAATTGAAAAGAAGAATCGGTGATTATGCTGTAATATAGAAAGTTAATTGTGAGTAATTCTCTCCATATTCGAGTAAAATTTCTCCATGACTCAACGAGCTGCTTGACAAAATCTACCGTTTTCGATTGATTTACGGATTTTTGCTGTCTGGCAATAAATCCAGTCAACAATGATGAAAACGGGGCAAATGAGTCGATGTCATTCACGCTTAGCTCAACTTCATACATATCATCACCTCTTTTGATGAATACAGCTTTGAGTTTATCTAAAAGAAGCAAAGTTATAGAAGCACCAGGTAACAACTTGATTGACTTCAACGCTTCAAGAGAGTTCAGCTGAGACATTAAAGTTTTCAAATCAGTTTTGGTAGGAACAGTCGAGCTTGAAACTTGCTTTCTCAAGGATTCAACTTCTCTAAGGAGCCTCTCTTTTCTCAACTTTTTATCTGAAACATTCTTAGTTTTGTGACTAACCAATTTAGACAGGTCTGATATGCTTTGCTTGATATTTGTCTTCTTGTCTCCATGAAGCCTAAGACTTTCATTTGCCTGTTTTATTTTTTCAATGTTAATTGAGTTCCAATTGTCCCTCAAAGTATCCAATTTTTGAATATACTGATTTAGCTTCACCTTTTTTTCTATCATCTTTTGCCTATTTACCAAAATTCCCCTTCGCCACTCTAAAGCCTTACTCAATTCAGATTCCAGAAATTGGTTTGCACGCTCATAAGAAGAAATCAATTGCTCTAACAATCCCGATAAAAATCTCAAATTCTGACATTTGGCTTGTTTTCGGGTAAATGTGGCAATAGCCTGATAATTGATACACAGGTCTACTTTCACTTCTTCCGTCTGCTGATAATATTCACGGATTGCGGTAGGATTAGATTCCAAAACGTCATTCGAAAAGGTATTTACCATTGTAGATATTGATTGAATTGATGATTGATACTGGTTTATTAAGTGGACAATGTAGTGATAGTATGGTATATTGGTACAGGCGTCAATGTACTCTATCAGGTTAGCACGCTTTGTCGTTGAGAGTGAAGAGGGTGTAGAAGTCGAAGTGGCAGATGAGCTTGCTGGAGAGATTTCCGAAAATGGAGAGGACCTCAGATCAGAATTGAAAATTAAGGTTTGGTTGATCTCATTATCTGAAGGGCCTATATTATCATAAAACTGAACATTAACATTATCAAGGAAAATATCAAGAGATACGTTAACATGATTATCATCAACTAGAGAATTGTCAGAATCGTAATCTTCAACGTTTTCTGTGAAATCTGCGGTGACTTCGGCTAGAGGCACCATTTCGGTTGCTATTAAAGAAGTTTCCATATCACTTGTCATGTCTTTGTTATCAATCAAAGAGCTATCTGCAACCTTTTCGTCATCATCTTCTGATTTTTTTGATTCACGTTCATTTTCATGAACCAATTGAGGCATGTTTTCTCCAGGTGCTATTTGAGAATGTATCAATTGTGTTGGTATTGACATCTCTTTGACCTCCTGATCTATTGCTTCCGGTTGGTCACTGGTTGGGGGTTCAGAAGCTTCAAAAACGACACTGAGCTTCGCTTCCTCCATAAACACATCTTCATCTTCTTTGCCAGATGACATGTATGAAACTGGTTGAGTAAATTCCATAGTTTCATCATTGTCATTGGCCATATCAATTTCGGGAAAAGTAGTTGAAGCCATCATCAGCGCAGGTTCTACCTGAGTTCGCTCTAGGTGTATTGGCTCTTCAGTCATCGTTGATACAGGTTGTGTGAACTCCATTGTGTCATTATCATCATCAGTATTGACAGCTTCATTAGTATTTAGCGTAAATCCGTTAGATGCTGGACAATTTGAGGCTTGAGTTAAGTCCATAGAAATTTCCATCAAATTACTAGAATTGAAGTTTGATGTTCCTTTATTAAAGGTCTCAGTAAGTTCCATGTCAACCTCGTCTGCATAGTTTTCACTCGTTTTATCTGAATTTATCTCTTGCTCTGCTTCTTCAAACACATCTTGTAAACTACTCTGTTTTTTGACTTGATCATCGACAGATTCTTTTCCTGGTTGCAAATGTTGTTCTTTCATACGGCTATGGTTTTTCAAGAGTTCTTGCGTCAGTTCAGCACTCAACTCCATAGTTTGAGTATTACTATCCTCATCGATTATAAACTTGTTGGGTAAATCAGAAGTAAACGCCTGTATTTCATCATTGGTCGCAGGAGGTTGATCTGCTATTTCACTTTTAGTATTATCAACAGCTTGATATGATTTCCAAATATACTGAGACGTGTTTAACTTAGGGACCTGTGATTGAAAGTGCCCATTAAGCGAGTTCCTTTTTTTTAACCTCCTCTCTTCATTGGAACGTGAGTAGTCTATTTTATGTAGGGTGACTTCGGGTGCAAAAGACACACGCCTGCGTTCTTTCAATATTGTGTCTGAAATCAAATTGATTGTATTATTTCCTTCCATGTTCGGTTTGAGAATACTCCTGTTCGGAACTAAAGTATGTCTACGATTTGTTGACAAAGCGCCATTTTCTTTAATGGAGGAGTTGAAAGGAAAAGAAAGTCTTGAAGGCTTCTGTTGGTAGAAACCATCTTTGCTATTTTCATCCATTCTGTTGCTTGATCAAATCTCCAAAGTTCAAGCCAGATCATGGCCTTTGCAGTAGTTTGTGAAGATCGTAGAGTTGTTTACTTTTTAAAACATGATTAAGATATGCCGCGTAAAGCATTTGCTGACGTAAACGTATTTTTTTAATGTATTGTTCATAGGTTCTGCACATGTATATGTTATAAAGGAACATCAATCTAGCCACTTAAGATGTTATTTTTAAGAAAGTTGTCCAGTAAGGTGAAGGAAGCCATCAGATAATATTTTTTCAAAGTACTAAAATGTTGTGCAAAATGATTTTTGATCGTGCCAAATAAAACATTTTGAGAACCAATTTTGATTTAAATCAAGTTTTACAGGGTTGAACTTTATAGAAATTTTAAACACCTTTTGGTGAGCATAGACAACTCATTTTAGAGAACAACATTATGAAGTACAGTTTATCTCAATAGTTAGACTCATGTAACTCCGCCAAGGAACAAGCTTTGTCCACTTCAACGTTGCACTAAATTATGTCGCATGCTTACGCGAACGTAAAACGGTGCCATGATAAGCCAACAGCTTTAAAATGATTAAATTACAGTTCAAAATTACTTAATTTATACAGCTTCTTGTCATGATTAAAAATGTTCAACTTGAAACTTCCAAGTGCCGCTTATCGGATCGTAGCCTATGTATTTAGTATTAGGAATAGCCTTCAATTTGGCGATATGCTTTGCGACAGCCGGATGCTTTGGGTCTGTAATAAGGGTTTTTCTATCTTTGGAGGACGGGTAGCAACCATCTAAAGATATAACCGCAGGCGCATTGAAGCCTTCACCAAGTTTAGGTCTACTCTTGATATCAGGATAAACAACACATTGGTTTCTATCAAAGACAATAAGATCCGCAATATTTGTTAGAGGGATAGAGGTTAAATCAACAGGGTTCAGAAACTCAATAGAACCATAACCTTCTCTACCAACTGTAAACTGTTTGACAGAAATAAGCTTTTCAGGAGGATAGTTTGAAAGTTCTTCTAACGATGGAATGGTGAAATACCCCTCAGGTAACAAGAACTCATCTTCTTTCTTCTGTGAAACATCCGCCAATGGCTTCTTTTCTTGTATCGGATCAACCTCTTGGCTTATAGCATTTTTCCCATCGATTTTCTCGTTGGAAGCAGTCAATGCCTTAATACCATCAAATTTCTCTGAAATGCTCTTTTCAGTAGAAGCATCTGAGGTAGAACTGTCACTGGATAATTCGTTAAGCTGTGAAGGCATATTGGCTTTCAAGTCAATAAATTTGACAGATTTACTAGTCTTGTCTTTCGGAAGTAATTTTGATTCGTTCTTATTCTCTACCATCAATTTAGTCAATTTTTTGGAGCGAGCAAAGAGAGGATTTGAGAGAATTAATTTGTCAGTCTCTGGATTAGACAGTGCATTTGCTTCTGCGGAACCTTCAATGATCTTTGCTACGGCAGAGTCAGCTATTTTCAAAGGAGAGGAGCTTGACACAATTCCAGCAGCTTTACCAATAGTGGCTTCTGTAGGCTTGAAAAGTGGTTTTGGGGTAATTCTATAGGCAGCGACAAGAGTGACCTTTTTCTTCTCTAATTCTTGAATTGGTGTTGCAATTGGCTTTGGGGGTGCTGGAACAACAGGATTCACATTGATATTGGCGGAGTTAAACAATGGACCAGAAGAGTATGGGTTTTGGTTAGCGGCATTGAAACTTTGTTGCTGAGGCTGTGAGCTGAACAAACCACCAGAAGTATTGTTGTTATTAGCTCCTGAATTGTTTCCAAAAAGACCTCCTGATGGTGCACCAAAAGTTGCAGTGTTATTGCCAAATAGACCCCCGGACGGAGCGGCAGGTTTATTTCCAAACAGACCACCTCCACTAGTGCCCGATGAAGTACCAGAACTGCCAAACAAGCCTCCAGAAGGAGCTGCAGGCTTGTTACCAAACAGACCGCCACTGCTACCCATGTTTGTATTCGCTGAATTATTGCCGAACAGACCACCTGTCGCAGGCTTTGCACCAAAAGCGCCAGTTCCAATGCCATTTCCATTTGATGCTGCATTATTACCAAAAAGCCCGCCTGAAGTAGCCGGCTTGTTGCCAAACAATCCACTACCAGCAGGTGCGTTATTGTTATTATTGGCACCAAAAAATCCACCACTGTTAGACGGGGCCGTATTGCTTTGATTGTTGTTACCAAATAACCCACCTCCTACATTAGATGTGTTGGTGTTGTTATTATTGCCGAACAAACCTCCTGAAGTTGCAGGCTTACTACCAAACAAACCTCCACCTGTTGAAGTGCTGTTATTATTATTATTATTATTATTGGCGCCAAATAAACCTGCACCGGAGGTGGTATTGTTGTTGTTTGATCCGAATAAACCTCCACTGGAGTTGTTCGCACCGAATCCCGTATTTGTCGTTGCATTCGTGCCCCCAAAGCCAAATGCTGGTTTGTTGGGAGTGTTATTACTTCCGAACAAACCACCAGTAGCAGAATTATTGTTGTTGGTACTTCCAAAAAGACCACCACCCGTGGAAGTGTTGTTAGTGTTGGTGTTGCTACCGAACAATCCACCAGCATTGTTGTTGTTTGCGTTGTTGCTGCCAAACAATCCTCCACCAGTAGCAGCAGTATTGCTACTCCCAAATAGACCACCGGAGGTGTTGTTATTATTTTGGCTGAAAGCGTTATTGGTGTTTTGACCAAAAGGAGAGCTACTATTGTTGGCTCTTGCACCAAATAGTCCACCACCAGTATTGTTGCTTGCGCCAAAAGCGTTGGAAGAGTTTGAGCCAAAAACGCTACTACCTGCGTTATTGTTATTTGAGCCAAACAAGCCACCACCGGTGGTACCCGAGTTGGTATTATTCTGGCCAAATGGCGAGTTGTTGTTGGCAGTGTTACCAAAGGACGAGCCAAATCCAGTACTGCCCGCATTGTTATTGTTAGCAGAGCCAAAAAGACCTCCTCCTGTGGTAGTGGTGTTGTTGTTGTTAGTACTGCCAAACAAACCACCGCCACCAGTGGTGGCGTTGTTTGATCCAAATAAACTGTTAGGAGCAGCGTTGTTGTTTGCACCAAAGCCAAAGCCAGAAGTAGTACCTGTACCAGCAGCACCGGTTGCACCAAACCCTGCTGTAGCTCCAGACGCACCATTACCGTATCGTCTATTTTCCATGTAGTCTTGGAGTCTCAACTCTTCAAAAGAAAAATTCCTGTACTCCGGCATGGCGGTAATGGATTCGTAGTACGAAGTGCCCATGGTGGCATCTCTTTCAGAATATGCCTTGAAAGGCTTGAGAGCAGTACCTTTATTCTGCGTGTTCATGCCGAAGCCGGTGCCAGTATTTGCAGCACCGAAAGTCATCGAGTTGTTGGCAGATCCAAAGCCGCTTGGAGCATTGGTGTTCGATGCAGATCCAAAAAGGCCCCCACCGCCTGTAGTGTTATTGTTAGCACCAAAGGGAGAGCTTGTGGTGTTTGCTGCAAAGGGAGAGGAGGTGTTGTTGGAGCCAAATAAGCCACCACCGGCACCGCCTGCCGTGTTGTTGTTTGCAGGAGCACCGAACCCGAAACCTGATGACGCGGTATTCGTGGCATTGTTGTTGGTGTTCGCCTGACCAAACAATCCACCGCCGGTGTTTGCCGCTGTATTGCCTGTGGCTGCGTTGCCGAATATGCTGCCCGTGTTGGCCGTATTCGAGCTGAAGGGAGAGTTGTTGTTGTTGGCGGCACCAAACGCTGACGAGCCATTCGATGCTCCAAAGCCTCCAAAACCAGACGTCCCTGCAGACGGTCTTCCAAACATAATGTCTATAGTGGTGATACAGACGTGGAGAGTGTGATAAGTAACAGGGGTTGGACAGGCTCAGACAGAAGGTGAATGGCTAACATCAAACCCAAATGGTACTCAGATCTGTCCAAGTGCCGTATTTTTGAGAAAAAAAGAGATCGAGCGAGAGGAGAGGCAGTAAAAAAGCTGAAAAGCCAGGATAAGCGTCACGTGCGAACATGTATTGGAAAGTGGATTTATAGACTGCGGAGAAAAGATACAAGAGTAAATAGATCGGAGAGAAAGTATTGTGAGAGAATTCACATGAGAGAGATGAGTAGCCCCGTGGTGACGACAGCGGAGAAGAGGATGGCAAGCTTCTGGTGGCCGATGCCATGAACGATGTTGCCTGCTGCGGGACGCAAAGCACCGTTGGCCAGAGTTGTGGAGATGCTGGAAACAGAAGCGGGGGTGGAAGAGGAGACATCGTCTGTGGCTGTCGCACTCTCAGAGGAGGAGTCGTCGGGCGGAGCCGAGGCGTCTGAAAGGGTCGAGTACTCGGCAGAGGCAAGATCGGCCTGCTGGATCGTGACGAGACCGCCGCCGTCGGTGAACGAGTAGGAGCTGCCTGGCGGTGTGCACGTCGGCGAAGCACCAGACACACTGGGAGCTGTACTTACCCCAGAGGAGCCGCTGGCGCCGCACGCGGTGGGGACCTCCGAGTAGTACAGGGTGTCGCTGGAGCTGTACGTGTGGTAGATGTGCCCGGCAAGCAAGTACCCGCCGGCTCCGCCAAAGGCAACTGGCAAGATAACCCCGCGGGGGTAGTACCTGTTTCCCGCGTACTGGACTGGGTAGCCGTACTGGTAGTTTCTTCCGTTGTAGTAGTAGTGGCCGGGCTGACCGTTGTTGCCGCCGTGGCCACCTTCGTTGCCGCCGCCACGGCCCTTGGGTGCCGATCCGCCGCCACCCTGGCCTTTGGGCGCCGACCCGCCCCCATGCGATCCGCCGTGTCCTCCGCCACCAAACCCATGTCCGCCCTTTTTTTCTTCCCCGTATTGCACTAGGATGCTGGAGACCTCACTGAAAGGAATCGACTGCCCGGGCGTGGGCGTGGGCACAGTCTGCAGCGTAGTGGGCACACTGGCCACATTTAAGTCGTTATTTGCTTGGTACACACTGAGAGACATGTCGTGTTTGCTTGTGTGCTTGCTGTCCAAAGCCCTTCTGTTACCCTCCCTGAAACTCCTGGTCCATCTGCACCTATTCCAGACGAACATGCCTGGGTTTTTATATCTCCCGCGCTTACGTAAAGGCTCCGAGCCCACGCAAGATTGTCACGCCCCAACTGGAGGGCTCAGGCCCCAAGTACGACATCATGGGCACAGTCGGCATCCGGTGTGTCGAATCGGATAATAAAATCAACACGGCTTGTTGCAGAGGCTGCTGGACGACTGCTGACTGGAAGTGTTGTAGCCAGCTATGGAGCAAGCCGTGGGACTACGAGAGGCGCTTCAGCCACGTTGAAGACCATCAGCAGCCGCTGGGCACTGCGAAAAGGTTGCTCTTAATACGGCTGTATCAATTCAAGCCCACACCATGGTCATACTGCTCGTTGCTCAGGAAGCCCATCACCACCTCTAGATTTGACCGAGACGGGGCAAGTATGAGCCTTCCGTCAGGCGAAACGCTGAATGCGGTTGACCGATTGATTATACGTAGAAAAGAAGACGCGAGCGGTACAGGTGACACGAAAAAGTGAAAAATGAAAAGCACTGACAATCATGTAGTTTTCCCATCGAAAGACCAGGGCCATTGTGGAAAGCAAATGACCCAAGAAAGCAGACGGTGATTTGACACAGACACTACACAGAATGGGTATCAAGGGGCTCAATGCACTAGTGAAAGAAAACGCTCCGGGCGCAATCATCGCCTCGGAGATGAAGTCGTTGTTTGGCCGTAAAATCGCAATAGATGCCTCCATGTGTTTGTACCAGTTTATGATTGCTGTGCGTCAGCAGGACGGGAACATGCTCACGAACGAGTCCGGCGAGACAACCTCCCATCTAATGGGCTTCTTCTACAGAACGATCCGAATGGTCGGCAGCGGCATTAAGCCCTGCTACGTTTTCGATGGGAGGCCGCCGGTCTTAAAAGGTGGGGAGTTGGAGAAGAGATTGAAGAGAAGAGAGGAAGCAGAGAAAAAAGCCGAGGAAATGAAAGAAACGGGGACGGTGGAAGAGTTACAGAAGTTTGAAAGAAGAACCGTGAGAGTGACGAGACAACAGAATGAGGAAGCCAAAAAGCTACTCAAACTGATGGGCATACCATTTGTTGAGGCTCCCTGTGAGGCGGAGGCCCAATGTGCCGAGCTTTCCAGGACGGGGAAAGTGTATGGTGCAGCATCGGAAGATATGGACACCTTGTGCTACAGCCCGGCGCATTTCTTAAGGAATGTTACTGCGGCCGAGGCCAGAAAGTTGAAGATTGAGGAATTTGATATCAAGAAAGTTCTTGAAGGGTTTGACCTAGACATACACATGTTCATTGACCTCTGTATCTTACTTGGATGTGACTATTGCGAGACCATCAAGGGAATTGGTCCAGTGACGGCGTTGAAGCTTATCAAAGAGCATAAAAGCATTGAAAACGTCATCACGTCCATTGAGGAGAATCCAAAGTCGAAATATAAGGTTCCTGAGAATTGGCCGTATAAGGAAGCAAGGGAGCTCTTCCTACACCCAGATGTGCTGAAGGGTGACGACGTTGATCTGAAGTGGACAGAGCCAGATGTTGACGGTCTAGTCGAATTCATGGTGAAGGAAAACGGATTCAGCGAGCAAAGAATAAAGGACGGCGCTGCTAAGCTATCGAAGGCCTTGAAAAGTGGCACACAAGGAAGACTAGACGGGTTTTTCAAAGTATCTACGAAAGTGGAAAAAGTTGTTGACAAGAAAAGAACAGCCAAGGCTGATGGAAAGTCCGCTAAGAAGCAAAAGCAGAGGAAATAAAGGCTGTGACCCGGACGTGTAAAATAAGATTCCGTATTATAATTCTGTATTAACTCCCAAAATCTGAATAGTATAAAGAACTTTCATGTATGTACGTACAAATACGTTTCTAGCAAAAAAGGAAAGAGGTTTGTCTTGACTCACCAAGCCGGGTCTACGCTATCCGGTTTCGATGCAAAGATGCCTGTCACTACGGACGCTTTTTCTGAGACATAGGCACTTGAAATCGTGGTTGCCTCTTTTGTCCTGTCAACGAATTTTTTCATACTTGTGTCTATGCCGGAAAAATACCTTAAGACGGCAACGATTGGCCAGGGAGCAGAACGGAATATAGGCAGAAAGTTCCCGTAGAAAGGAATTTTGATCTCTCCACGACAACCATAGACCACCGACTTGAACACTTGTTTTGCAACATCCCGTGGCTCCAGCTCTGGAGCGAAAAGTGTTGACGGTGTTCGGACACCTTCAAACAGGTGTGTCTTTAGCTGTCCGGGGCAAATCAACAACGTCTTGACGCCTGTCGTGTTCAAGGTTGGCGAACCTAGCTCATAGGTCAAGCTCTCGTGCAACGCTATCAAGCCGGACTTTGACGCCCCGTACGCGCTCAACCGTGCTGGCGACATGTACCCTAGGGTGGAAGCGATGGTGACAATGTAACCTCTCTTGATTGCGAGCATGTTTGGAAGGAACGTCTTGATCGTATAGAAGCTGGACAAGAGGTTGACCGCCATGGTCTTCTCAATTTGCTCAAAGCTCAAGTTGAGAATCGTGTCCCCCGTGGTGATTCCCGCGTTGTTGATCAAAATCGTGACAGTACCCACCGTGTGGAACACCTCTTCTGCTTTCTCTCTCACTTGTTGGCGATCGGACACATCGCATGCAAAGTAGTACACGCCTTCCACCAAGTTTTCGGAGTCCTCACTGGGCACGTCCAAGTCAAACACTACTACACGAGCGCCGGCATTGTAAAACAGAAGCACGAGCTCTCTCCCCAAACCGGACGACCCCCCCGTGACGAGCACAATGTCTTTGTCTGCATCAAAAAGCATCCCGACAAAAAGATTGGAGACGTCGAGCATCACCTTATTTGCTCTGTATAGCATCCATGTCATAGGTCCCGTCATTTTTGTTTACTGTGAAGTTTTATGTGTTGCTATTGTCTTCTTCACCAGACTATTCTTCCGGAAGCAACTTTGACCGTCTTCTTCGTCTTGTCTGCACAACATTCTTCCCGAAAAGGCAACTTATGTTTTCCGAGAGGGCTCGATTCATGTTTTCAAAAATTAAAGCGGCTTGGCCGATGGGCGCGGCCGCCTTTTTTCTAGCCTCTCCCTTCCGAGGCCTGATCTGGTAGAGGTGCATGCATATCTGGGGAAGATGGTGGAGCTGGTGACAGATGAGGTGGGTAGATTGCGATCTGGCTCTGGCCTGCTGGTTCGAAGCTCTACAAATAATAACAAGAAACACACAAAGACAATGAGCATCAAAGAACCACCACAGATCTTGCGTGTGAAGCGGAGAAGGACGGAGGATCCGTTGCAGGCTCTCGTGATGGAGACTAATCGTCGTAAGATAAAACGGCCACGGTACGTTTTCAGACTCAAGAGGACGGAAGAGAAGGACATACAGGACTCAACTGCAGTGTTGACAGCAAGCAAGGACAGAAAGAATGACAAACCTGTGTTTAATATTCCGTCGAAGAAAGAAAACGTGGAGAAAGTGGGGGCTTCTGCCGCACGAGAAGGGGAGTCAGGATCGGAAGCTGGATCAGTATCGGGAGCAGGGGTTCAGGATGGTACAGCGACGACAAAGGAGCAGCATACGAAGGAAGGCCCTATGGAGCTCAACTCGGAGCTTCTTGAAATGCTCAATGACTATTTGAAGAACAACGACGAAACAACAATCAACAACCCAGTCAAACCGCCAAAGAGAAGGCAATCCAGCGTATCGCAGGAGCTCAATGCAAACGTTCCTAAGTTCAGCAGAGAGGATATGCTCAAGGGCTGCAACGGCGAGGCGATTGACGAGCGAGATAACGAGGATGACGACGAGGACGAGTACGTGTACGACGTCTACTACCGGGACAAGGCCGTGAGCGACCAGTGGGAGAATGAGCGGATTGGGTACATCAAGTTTGACGACGACGAGCTGGACAAGCTAGAGGATAAGGAGGATGATACGCTTTTGAACACAGACGACGAAGATTCAAACGACGAGAATTTTTATCGGAACGATTACCCAGAAGACGAGGATGGCGGGTACGAGGACGAGAGCGAGCTAGAGTCGATGGGCCTCGACGAGCCAAGCGATGACCAAGACGACGAGTTTATGATCCTCAACAATAAGAGACGGTTCAGTAGAAGCGAATTCCTCAACAGCGAAGGGCTGAAGAGGGCCAGCAGCGACGAGTACCACCGCTTGGCCGAGCAGATAGACGAGCAGCCGATATTGTGGGGACAGCCGGAGGATGGAGCAGACTACACGGATGACATAGAGATGGGTGAGAACGACACCGACGGAGAAATCAACTTCCAAAGGCAGACTTTCTTCCCGACAGACAAGGACGATCCGGCTGCTATCCACAGAGACCGTATTTTTGGGAAGCTCCAGCAGATGATTGAGGAGCAGCAACGACAGTAAGAATCGGGTTACTACCAATGACTTATGTACTATCTGCAGACTTTGATGTGCTGTACTTCTTCGTAGGAGGGCCCCAACTAAATGTAACGATACCTAACTACCAGACCGGAACCGCTCGGAGCTTACGTCAGCGTCTCTATCGCTCCGCGGAAGCTTCCATTCCTTTTTTATGGGGCGGTTGTAGATCATTTGAAAGGCTCACGATTGTTTCCTGACTTTCGGCTTCTGGATTCTCTTAGCTCCGAAGTGCAATTGGCCATTGCAACCATAAGCAAAACACAAATAATAACCAAAAAGGAGACTGCTTAGTTAACACAGATGTCTTTGAGAGGAGTAGGGAAAGCGCTGTACAGGACGCCCCACCAGCTATTCGGACAGAAAACGGCGGAAGATATTTTGTTCAAGCAATGGGAACACGACATCAAGACGGCCCTAGCAGGGTTGGAGTATCTTAAACTTGAGAACCAGAAGTGGAAAAAGTTCTGGATCAGTGTTATTACCAACTTCATACAAGTCATTGAGATTTTCCGGGACTTACATTGCGAGTTGGAACATGCGCATGGAGCCGATGGAGCCGTTGCGGAGAAGCCCATTGACAAGAACGAGGAGTTCACCAGCGTCACCATCCACGAGCTTGAACAGGCAGGCAAATTAGCTTCGATCATTCTTGAAAGAACGACCCGGTTGGCAGAAGACTCGTCTGATTCTTTTTTTGCGAAGTGCAATGAGATGATCCACACGTTGAAGGGTGCTGAAAAGCTCATCACTAAGCGAAGCCACAAGAAGATAGACTATGATATGAAGTCGAACAAGGTGGACTCTACGCTGAAGGGTTCGATAAAGACAGATAAGGACAAGGTGAAGCTGGAGTCCGAGCAGCAGAAGCTTACTGAGTCGGAGGTGATTTACAAAGACTTGAATGATAAGATAAAACTGGTAATGCCCGAGATTTTGGCTAACCTTTCGGAGTTCATAAGTAAACTTACGTACAAACTCTATTTCTCCAACTTGGACATTCTCAATTTTATTCAGCGTAATGTTGAGAAATTTGACAGAATCCATGGTATTGCTTCCGATTCCAAGTTTCTTGTCTATGACGATATCATTGCCGACTTCAACGGTCTTTATTCTCAAGCTCAGAGCAAGCTTGAAAATCTATCGTTGCTTAAGGAGTTCAGGTCATTTAGAAATAAAAATCTGACAGAAAAGACAGTGCAAGGAGTGAACACTGTTGCAGGAACAGTCGTTGACTCTACCGTCAATTTCACCTCAACTATATACACCAAAGCCGCTAAGCCAAGCCAGAAGCTATCAATGTCGCTGACTTCAATTAAAATAGATAACCCAATACATCCATATGATAAGCATGGGATGTTTACAATGGCATTGGATCCACTTGATTTTATAAAGAGCGCAGACTATGCTGCTCAGCTTTCGGAATCTGACCTGAAAAGTATGTCGCCAAACTATGATACCAAAAATAGCCCTTATGCAGCTTATTCTGAGGATAACTTAGAAGATGAAGCTGATGCGGAGAGCAAGACTTCAGAAGAGTCAGGGGTGAGTGAGGAGAAGCTATCAGTTACGGGAACAGAGTGGATGAAACCGTTGAGGAACTCCACGCTGAACAAAATCAGTTCCCCTCCAACCTCATTTTCTCAGGCAGCCACTACTGACGGAGCTTCAGAGAAGGTCACACTCAATTCTTCACTGAATACATCTCATCCAAGTACAGCAACAGATGGCAAGTACGTGGCAAACTCTCGTGTGCAATCCTTATCTTTGAACTCTAAAAGTGAGACTTACAAATATGTTAACGTCACGATGGACAACATAACAAAACGTATCTATCTGGTAGTCTCTACCCCGGAAATAGATTGTGCTCCGGTCAATGTTCCAAAGGGTAAACTTAATACAACAGACTTCGAGCTAAGAGATTATTTCATGGCCAAAAGTAGTATAACGGCTAACGCTTTTGCTGCTTATTCCAACATCTAGCTCGAGTTACTTTCTGAAATCTCTCCGACCTAATATTTAACTTTTTCTATTACCTACTGTGTATAAATTGCGTTAACGAATCCAACTATTTTATGATAATTGATGCATATCCTTTAGATGAAAAAAAAAAACTTCTTACCTGCATAATCAACGCCTATCATTAGGCCTTTTACGATACCTTTTCTTATAGATGTCATCATAATCCTCATCATCATCAAAATTAGAGCTTGTCATATGTGTGAAAGTCATGCTCTGTCTACCCTTTGGAATAGCGGTGCCATTCATCTGCGTGGGCTCTTTTCTGTGTTGTCTCTTGTTACTTCCACTCCCTGCTTGCACCCTCGGCAAACCAAATCTATCAACTGAATCGTAAGTGTTATCAATCAATTCAAAACCCTGCTGAGTCCGCGGAGACATGCTTCGAAGTCTCCGATCGGTAGGCATGATATTCTTGAACCGTTTTCTACCAGGAGTACCTTCTGCTTTCGGCGAATCTTTTGGAACAGGAGAATACGAAGAAGATCTTTTCTCCGCATAGTCTATTGGAGAAGGTGATGTGCTATGAACTCTCCTTTTAGCGCTTTTCAAGTCGGCTGTAAGATCAACGGCGTTTATTGTTCTCTTTGCATCCCTCGATATTATGTCAAAACCTTTTGTCTCAGAAGGATTCAATTCTGATTCCTTTTTCACACCATTCGCAACTTTTTCAGCTACTATCTTGGGCTCTATAATACGATTTGCGTGATGTTTTTCCTCAAAAACAAGCCTTTCCGGTTTCTTCCTGAATATATTCTGACTGATTTCCTTTATATCCGGCTCTTTGTGTTCAACTTTAACCCCAACACTAGATTCCTGCGTGTCGCTACTATGTTTGAAACTAGGTATTGCTTGTTCTCTTTTTTCTCTGAAACTTTCCTCAGGAGAAAGTTTGTGAACAGGTCTGCTGATCTTGATAGGGCTTATGTCAGATAAATTATTACTCTTCTCTGGTGAATTATCAATGCCAGTTTTCTTTGAAATAGCAGCGTCATCATCTATAGGTATAGCATTATGTAAGGCAATACCTTTTCTAAGGTCACGTAATTTAGTGGTAAGACGTAGATTGAACTGCTCATTGTTTCCATGATTTTTTTCAGTAATTTGGATTGCTTCACCTTCAAGCAACTTTGATGTGGACATTTCTTTGTCATCACCTGAGGCCTGAACCAGTTTGGCAGTAAGTTTTCTTCCCTGCTTTCCTTTGCTTTTAATCTTGATTTGGGAATCTGGTTTAACATCATTTTCCAAGTTTATCTGCTTCTTATCGGATCGAGAACTAATCGGTGAAGATGGTGTATTATATCTCGATGTATTTAATTCATCATCAACCAGGTCAATCAACTTCTTAGAGGATGCCTTAGGTCGGGACTCAGAAACTGACACTGGCTGAGATTCGGATTTCAATTCTCTATCTATTTCTGCTCCAATATCGGTATGCTCATAATCACTTTCAAGTAATTTAATAGGCGAATCGTCCACCATACTTTTCCGATATGAATCTTGCGAGAGAATATCAAAAGCTTTAGCGTCTTCCTTATTGAAAGACGAGTCATTAGCCTCTGTTCTAGGTCTTGGGTGTTTCCTTCGAGTCCTGTATGTACGTAAATTTCTCTCTTTTACTGTTTTATCATTGAAGGGCTCATCACCCATTTCTTGTTCAGAGTCGGAGCTCAAATTATTTTTTGATGCTTTCATTTTCATGGATCTTTGTGAACGTCGCTTTTTGATCATAGAACCAGACGAAGGTGGCCTAGCTTTCAAGATTCCAGTGTTTTCATCCATCAAGGAGAAAGCATCAGAGTCATTATCTTCGTATTCTTTGTCGCCTTGATCCTCATTTTTAGTTGATGATTCGCTATGGAAGCCTCTATTTTCATTACTCAAGCCACCTTTAATTTTTACTACAAATTCTTTCTTTTTCCTTCCCCTCCTTACTTGTGGTTTAGGGGATTGAGCTCTTAGATTATGATTAGCAGATTCATTTAAGGGTACCACATGTGAAAGCTCCAGTTCAGGCTGAATAGGTTTTTTATCATTAGCGTGAACGATCACCAAATCGTCGTCATCATCATCATCATCATCATTTTTGAATCCTTCACTCTTTTTTCCATTATCGCTAGTGTCAGCACTGCTTTTGAAGTCGCCGCTGTTACCTTTCTTATTATCTTCATCTCTCGAAATGATGATATTACCATTAATATCACCATTTTCTCTCTTGCCACTTGAGCTGTTTCCACTATCTGAAGAATTTTTCAAATCTAACAATCTCTTTTCTTTAGCTGTGATAACACCAATCTTTGATGCATCTTCTCCGCTTGCAATAACTTGTTTTTTGAGTAAGTTAAGCAAAAGCTCTCGCAAATCTTCACGTAAAGTGAGTCTTTTCTTAGAGTTAAAAATGAGCTCATTTTCTTTTCTTGCCTTGTATATATTTCTACGATTTCTGCTTCGTTTTAGGATCACCTTGGTGAAATTTAATGGATCAGCTAGCATTGTCTCCACATTGAAAACAAGATGTAGCCCACAGTCATTAAAATTCTTTTGCTGTGGGACCAGGCAGACATTTTTGGCTATTTCGGAACTTTTCACAACAAAGTTATATTTGTCTGCAGCGTAGCTTATAATGAAACTTTTCAAATAACCTACAGCTTTCTCATGATTTCTTTTTAAGGAATCTAATATGCAAATATGAGCGACTCCAACAGTTTTCTCTGAAGTTGATTTGGCAGGGCTCACAACGCAATCGTTTTTGGAGTCATCATTATCATCGCTTAATAATGCGCTGAGAAGTGAACTTGTATCTGGGTTGAAATTAGTTTCTTCTGACTGTTTGACTGAGTCAAAAGTCTCTTCTCCTGCTTGTGACTGAGTATCTTCAGTTTCATTCTTTTCGCTATCTTGATATGTGCTTTGAATTTCGGGATTAGAGTCAGGAACAAAGGATCCCTCTTCATGAACACTTTTATCGTTTTCATTTCCTTCACTCTTCAGTGGATCATCATACTTTCCTTCGTTTGAAGGAATTTCGGTTAAATGTTTTCTTTCTTCTTTTTCGGTTATCTGTTTTCCTTCTTCTTTGAGTAATGCCGTAGTATGCTTTCTTTTAAGGGATTTCAAGTCTGTGATGACGACAAAGTACCAGTGTAGATCCTGCATTATTGGGATAATTACAAAGTCTTTATCAAATAAAGTATCGTTCATTTTAAACCACGATTTAACGTTCCGGTAATAATTGTCGTCTTCAATAGGCCTGGATAAACAAGTGAAAAAAAAAGAGTTCAGTATTTCAATGTTATTAGTTTTCGGTATTTTCTTTTCTCTTGCCAATTTGAGGTAGTAGTTTAAGAAAAAATCAACCAGAGTATCATTAATCCAATTTCCATTGTAAAGGCACTTGAAATCATCGTTAGTTATAGTGAAAGTTTTTTTGCTATCAAATTTGTATTTTAAATCTGGCTCTAAAACTAATTGATCATCACTTGGTATATAGTCGTTGATGACAGTTTCACCATTTTCATAAACCATTTGTTCATTCGCTTTTTCTTCTTCTAGGTCTTCGTTTTTATACCTGATTTGTGAACCTACCCGATGCGATCGTCCCCTTCTCTCTGTTTTTTCCAAGCTTGAGAAGTCTGTTTTTAATGATGGTGACGATGCCGATGCGGATTCCGATGCCGATGCGGATGCTAGTGCCAATGCTGATGCCGATGCCGTTGCCGATGCCGATGCCGATGCTAATGTTGCTTTTGATATTGGTTTGGATTCAGTGAAATTTCCTGAGCCATAGAAGCGCTCGGACTTCGTAGGCTCGAAAGACAGCAAATCAAAATATCGGAGCAATTCTTGAGAGTCGAAATGGGAAAAAAGACAGTCTTCACCTATCAAATGCTTGATTTGCTGGACTTGTCTGAAATTAAGCACATTTTTGAAGTAAAGAACTATTTTTTCAACATCGTGGCTTTTACCCTTGACAGTTTGTACACTATCGTTTCTCAATTCCAGCAGAACCAGTACTAGTCTTTTTCCCGAGCTTGGCCTAGGAAGTTTCAACACTTTGATATTGTGGTAGGGTATTTGGAGGTTGAGCGTTGGGTCGTTACTCAATATGTTTAGCTTTCTAGAGCGAAAGAAGATCTCCACAACCGGGTCTGAGATCGTCACTTCTTTGTTGTAAGCATTGATGAGTGTGACTTTTGCCAAATCATAGTTGATGTATTGAGATGCTGATTTGGCGGTTTCGCCAGAACTGCCTGTTTTGCTTCCATTTTTCGCCTCCTCGTCTATGCTGTGAGTGCTCTGACCGTCAGAAACTATCTTTACAGCAACATCACCGTCTTCGTTACCGTTATCACCGTCCTGGATCACTATGGGGGTGTCAGGGGTCGTTGCTCTCGTCGTTCGGGCTTTTCGTCTTGAGTTCGCCAATCGGGAGCCCGATTCAATAGGAATGGGTCGACTCAACGATGGGCGTTTGTTGCTGCACAATAAGTGGATGTCGTTAGTATGATGAAAGCGTGTAAAACAGCTGAAATGTAAATTCGGATACGTACAGGTTATCTCGAGGTGCAGGGCCGGAGGGTTTCAACGACCTCATGAATTTCGTTTCTAAGCCCATGACAATAGCGGGCTCTCCAGTATACGGCTTGATATCGTCGATGTCTGGGGTACTTCGCTTGTCTTGCCTAACAGGCCAATGACAAGAGACGTGTCTTGGACTTGAGCAGGGTCTGCTACTCCACATAGATCCGTCTCTTGCCTCAGTTTTGCGTTTGCGTGGGCCGCCGATCGGCGCGGAATTTGGCTTTTCGGGTTTTTCTTCATCTTCGGCGAGTTGTGAAAAAGTCATGAATTTGTTGAAGAAAGTGTGGAGAGTGGCCATGGCAAAGGTGGAGGTGAATTGCTGAGGTCGGGAAACCTACAAAAAGGAGGAAAAGAGAGCTTCATACACACGCCGCTCCATTACTTGTACATATTGCGCACACAGCAAGCGGTCTCTTGGAAGCTCAGCAGAGACTCTCATCAAAAGCAGAAACAAATCAAGCCGTTATAGATACTCCCAATTGTATATAGAATCTGTCAGCGAAAACAAGAACCTGCATATATAAACAGCATAGAATAATCTAGGATGTACAGACAGATAACCGTCAGAAACTCCTTGATGTTGCTAGGAAGTCGTTCCTTCAGTTCAGCACGCACTGTGCTTGCACCAAAATCTCCAATGCAAGTCTTCATGGACACTTTCAAGAAAGAATGGAAAAAGAGCTCAGAGCTAACCGACCAGATCAAGCAGTTGAAGAGTGCCACCGATGAGCTGGGTGACTCCGAAGCGTTCAAAAGAGCCAAGGAGGCCTACGCCACTGCGCAAAAGGGCTCGGGTAAGTTGAGCCAGGGTGTCCAGAGCACCGCCAAGGTGGTTGGTGATGTTGCATACAAGGCGTGGGAGTCACCGGTTGGTCAGGCTGTGAAAAAAACAGCCGAAACCACAGCAGATGTTGTCGATAAAGTTGTCGAGCCTGTGACCAAAACGAAGGCGTACAAAGACGTTTCTGAAGTTTTCAACGAAGGTTCATCTTCTTACGGTCTCTATGAAACCAAGGAAGAGAGACTAAAGAGAAGAGAGAAGGAGCTGGCCAAGAAGCCAAAAACAGTGAAGAGAAACGAGGAGGCAGGTAGCGCTCTGGTTGCAACCGACATCAAGCCAACCTCGAGTTTCAAGGAGAACCTGAAAATCGAACCAAACTCAGCTATTGGCAAGTTTTTCTTGATTTTGAGAGAAAAATGGGAAGAAGCAGAAAACCCATTGTTGGTTTTGATCAGAACTATTCTGAACAAAATTGGTGGGCTATTTGCTGAGACCGAGGCTGCCAGGGTTGTGAAACAGTTTAGAGACCTAGATCCCAACTTCACTTCCATTGCGTTCCAAAAACAGTTAAGAGAATATATTGTGCCTGAAGTTGTTGAGGCTTACATCCAAGGTGATGAGAAGGTTCTCAAAAGCTGGCTGTCAGAAGCTCCATTCAATATATATGCTGCTAAGCAAAAGCAGTTGAGAGACCAAGGCATTTTCTCTGACGGTAAGATTCTCGACATTAGAGGCGTTGACATTGCCGCATACAAGATTCTTGAGCCTAACAACATCCCAGTCATGGTTATTGGTGCAAGAGTGCAAGAAATCAATCTGTACAGAAAGTTTAAGACCGGGGAGCTTGTTGCAGGTAGTGATGAAGATATATTACTTTCCAGTTACGCCATGGTTGTAACTAGAGTTCCTGAAGAGATGGACAATCCAGAAACCGAAGGATGGAAGGTGCTAGAATTCGTCAGAGGTGGTTCTAGACAATTCACTTGATGCCAGAAACCTACTGGTATCCTATTTTTGACTATTGGATACGTCCATATCCGTAAATAATTACACACACCTTATCTGTTTTATAGTTTCTTAACCTGAATGAAAATATTATGACGAAAAAATAAACCAAGGAAAAAAGTCACGCCCCTCTGCTTGCATGAAAAACTGCACCGTTATCTCTTCTTTTAGTACTACGGTGCCTGGTGTTTTGCATTAAACGGTACATAACTTTTCTCTATAGGTCACACAATGAACCATGAAAGATTGATGATGATACAGTCTGCTGCTCAAGCAGAACCGCAAAGGACTCGTTCTTCGAGGGGCAAAGGCTTTCCAGAGGATGACTCAAATAAACGACGGGAAGATCGCCATAGGCGCCACGGCCACCACGGCCATCATCATCACCACCGCCGACATCACAAAGAGCGAACTAGACAGAAAGAGGAAGGAACGGAAGATCGATTCTGCAGATTTCCTTCTTTGAAGATTGAACTTCCCCCACTCTCCTTCCCTGCATTAGGTGTTTGTGAAGTACAGGAAGCGCCTGATTTTGACACATCATGCGATGAGCTTGCCGATGATGCGAATCCAAATCAGCCACAATCACATGAGCCAAGAAGCGTAGTAGACCGATTACGAGGTGAAGATGGAGGCATAGATTTGGGGCTCAACAGAACAGACTTGGGTAGAGTAGAGACAGAAAGTGATTACCATAACAAGAAAACACGCAAGATGATTAACTATGACCCTTATGGGCAGCAGGGCAAGGAATCGACAACTTCTATTTCCCATGTAGCTTGCGAAACAACAAAGCTTAATCGAAATAATGCAGATGATGTTGATCGCATACCGTTCACGTTTGGCGATCGAGGATCCACGTGGCGAATGATAAAGCTACGAAAGCTTGACTCCGGTCATGCAAGGAGGCCTTCAAAGGCTCAAATCTTTGAACAGTATGCGACGGTGTGGGATTACGATCTTGCTTGTATGGAAAGGGACGAGCTAGAGTCACGGAAGCGCAAGCGGGAAAATGAGTGGGTGTATACGCCGCCGGAGTCGTTCATGAAAAAAAGGAAATACCATATAATGGCAAATAAGAGGGCGATGAAGGACGTTTTGAGGGCAAAGGAGGAGGAAGAGAAGCTAAAACATGACGATTCTGAGAAAGCAAAAGGGGATGATGATCAGGTAGTGTATATGAAGAAACATGGGGATGTCAAGGTGTCGAAGTCTCAAAAGTTGAGGAACGAGTTGAAGCTTGCGCATTTGACGTCTTTGGACCATGCCGAACCGGAATCTTACCTATCATCTATCTCGAGAGAACAGATTGAATCACTTACGAACTCACCATGAGTATCGAAAGGTTGGAAACACAAAAAGGACAAGATAATAGTGTATGATAGTGTAGTATAGTATAGTTTATAAAGGATGAAGTATATATCGATAAGAAAAGAATACATATACCTAAATTTTTTTAAGTTTATTTAGAGACTGTTTATAAGAGAATAATGTAAGCTTCAACATGATGCTATTCGATTATTTTTTTTGTAATTTTTTTTAAGTCTAATTTACAACTCTTTTCGGATTCAGAGATTGCACAATCAATAGAAGTGAAGTCAGTAGCCAACTGACACTTTATGTTTATATAATTTTTTTGTTAATTTCATCATAAGTATCTGTCATGTCATGCCTGAGTTGAGGGGAAATATGTAGTTGTTAAGAAAGGATTCAATAATGAATCACTCGAGGAGATATTTATTTCTTTGCCGCAGCGGGAGAGGTGGAAGAGGAAGTTGAGTGGTGTTCAGTTTCAACAGGCTTGTCATCGTCCAAACTCAGTTTGTCCTTGACCAAGACTTTGTGGTCCTTTTCTTGGACGTTTTCAGACTGGATCAAGTGTTCTTGCTCCTTTAAGACCTTCAACTTCTGCTCAATGGTGGCATTGTCCATGTCAACTTGTAATTCTTGTTCATGGTACACCTCAACTGGCAACGAGCTGAGAACGGCCTTCAGGGCTTCGTGTGTAGAAGGGTAGCTTTCGACATCGCCGTAAGTGTAGGCGTTGACAAAGATCATCAAGGTCGAAGGGATATGTTCGTGGAGACGCATGTCGAGCCACTCGTTAAGGTACTGGCGCATCTGGCCCGGGGTGGCATTGAACATGCGGATACCACGGGATGCACATGCCTGTTGAAGTTCTGGGATGGACAAGGAGTCAACGCCGTCGTCTTCAATCAATCTGTCGTCGGCCTTGATTTTCAGCATTCTGTGACGAATTCTGTAACGCAAGATCTGGTCGGTACCGTAAGGTCTCAAATTGATGTACTTGGCCAAGGCGACCAACATACCGCGGGGGGAGTTGTCTAGGATCAAGTCGTCCTTGAACATCTTGGCGACACGCAAGAGTTGGTCACGCTTGATTTCGGAGGACTTGGAGTTTCTCAACTTGATGAGGAAGTCCTTGAAGTCTGCAATCTGTTCGTCAGACAAGGTGGAGGTGACATTGACCATCTGCTTGGAGTTGGTCAAAACCTGGGCGACCTTGTATCTTGTGTTTCTCAACAGGGCGAGCTTCTTGTCCTTGTCGCCCTGGGACTCGTAGGTGGATGGAAGAAGGTTTGGGAAGAGCTTGAGAGCCACCGGGAGAAGCAACTCGGCAAAGGGGATGACGATGAACATGGCGAAAGGGAAGAGTCTCAACACGTCTGCGGTGGTTCTCTGCAACTGTCTGTACTCTCTTCTGGTGAGCTCGTACCCGGCGGTCATCTTGAGCAAGAGTCTGGAGGAGATTTTTATCTCCAGACCGAGCAACTTCGTGCCCTCCCAGTAGTGGTGGGCTTCGTGCTTGACCTTTTCCCAGATGGTCATTTTCTTGGGGTTGGTGTTGACAGGCACCGGAGCAGCCACCTCTGCAGGGTTCTTTGACTTTGGGTGGGAGTCCGACGAGTTCCAGCGGCGGCTGGCGCCGCTGCTGCTATTGTGTGGGATGATGAACGGGGAAAAGAGCGTTGGTCTGCTCAGGTTGGGGCGTGTCGCCTTGACGGCGTAGGTTGCCACAACCAAAGCCCTGGAGTATCTGGAAAGAGACATTGCGGGGGGTGGAGGTAATCTGGCTTGGCGTAGGAATGGATGAATATACGGAGAAGGTGTGACGTGTGGGGGCTTCTTTCTCGGCTAGATCATACAAATGAAGAGACGTGGAGGCCTGTGGATGTCGGATCGGTCTGTCGTGCAGTGGAGAACGCTGAAAAAAATGCAGAGACAGCGATAGAGTAGACAGGTCGGGCTCGAGAAGGGTTCTGTACGACTGCCTGTGTGAACCTTGACTTGTGTCTTCTGTTCCCTGCTGTAATGTGCTGGGTCCCTGCTGCTCAATCGGCACCACGACCAGACCACACGGGAGACAACACGACACGACACCCCAGTGCACGAGGAGGGGAGACGGGGGATGCCCGAGGAGACACACGGTCCGGACAGAGCAGAGGGAGCAGCGTAGCAGAGCAGAGCGTGCTCGAGGGCACCGCGCGGACCAGCCAGCCACAGGCCTGCCTGGCACGCTGCGACGGCGACTCCGGAGGCCCAGTGCGGGCGACACGTTGCTGCTAATAATAGGGGCGGCCCGGGTTATTTGCCTCGGGAGGCGGAGGGCGGCGAAGACTCCGGCGACGGCGACGGGCCCGCGCTTCTCCGTTGTCGGGGATCGGGCGGAGAGAGACAGAGAGAGAAAAAGAGAAAAAAGCAGAAGTGGTCGATCGACGCCGATTTGAGCCGATCGACGCGGGGCAACGGGGCAACGGGGCAACGGGGCAACGGGGCAAAAAAAGGGGTCGATCGGTGTGGAAGGGATTGGCCGCGACGCTGGAGGCGGACAGAGAAAGAGAGAGAGGATGAGACGGAGAGAAAACGGTGAGAAAAAAAAGGCAAAGAAAAAAAAATGGAAATTCTACTGCTTTATCTTCACAAGCTCAGCTCGTGCCAGTGTTGCAGGTCTTCTGTTTCACGTTCCCGCTGTCTCCTTCTGCTGCTTTTTCTCTAGACCAGCAGCCAGCCACCCGCCCGTCAGCAAGCTTGCATCTCTTTTCCGTCGGAAACACCCTCTTTTCTAATAGTCCGCCTTCCTGCCAAGCACCCCGACACCATGGTCAAGAGACAAAGACGTCGCGATGATGTGGACGGTGCCAATGGCGCCGTGGGCGCCGTGGGCGCCGAAGGCGCCAGCACAGGCACAGACGTGTCTGGCGCCGCCTCCAACGGAAGCGGTGCAGCCAGGAATGAAACTGATGGTGGCAGATCAACAGACACAGCAAAACACGAAAAAGACGAAGACGACGACGAAGACGAAGAAGAAGACGGAGACGAGGACGAAGCCGCCGAACAGGAACAGAAACCACAGCGCACGAAACTCGCCAAGAGACAGAAGCTCTCCGCTCACGACCTCCAGGTCGCAAGGGAAACCGCAGAGCTCTTCAAGTCGAACATCTTCAAGCTCGAGATCGACGAGCTCATCAAGGAGCTCAAGCTCAAAGACTCACACTGCCTCCTCATCGAGAAGATCCTCCACAAGCTTCACAGCATCATCCAGCTTATACCGCAGTCCGACCCGCTCGCCTTCGACGACGCTGTCGCCTACTTCGACTCCTCCAATGTCTCGATACCCTTCCCAGACCCAAAGCCAAACTTCCTCAACTACCCTCTCCAGTACACCGCTCCGGACGACGTCTCCCTCATAGGCTCCTTCGGCCTCAAAACAGGCATCCAGCAGAAAAACGGCATGTCTGTCGACGTCTGCCTCACCATGCAGAAGTCCCTCATACAGCAGAAGGACTACTTGAACTACAGAGTCCTTTACAAACAGGCCTTCTATCTCGCCTACCTCACCCATCATCTCTCCATATTGGCCCCACAACACAACCTGCCCATCAAGCTCACGTATGACTACCACAATGGTAACAAACTCTGTCCGTCCCTGGTTATCTCGAGCGACCCAGAAGCCTCCTCTAGCAAGAAGGACCTTCTTTTCAACAAGACTAACTTTTCCATTAGAATTTTGATCGGCCTTCCCTTTGGAACATTCGAGAGTAAGAAGCTTTTGCCCGACAGAAATTGCATCAGAATCCAAAACTCATCTGTCACCTCCATAGAAGATTTACCGCCAACCCCTCTATACAACGCCTCCATCCTCTCGTCTACAACTTATTCCTACTATTTGAAATATTTATACACAACGAAAAAATCAACAGAAAGTTTTAAAGATGCAGCAGCATTGGGGAAACTCTGGTTGTCCCAGCGTGGGTTTTCTTCTAATGTGAATGAGGGTGGGTTCGGCCATTTTGAATTCAACATGCTCATGGCGGCTTTATTACAAGGTGGTGGTACATCTTCAAATAAAATCTTACTGCACGGTTACTCCTGCTACCAACTTTTCAAAGGTACCATCCGCTATATTGCAACCCAGGACATCTGCGATGACGGTCATCTTTCCTTCAGCTCTCTTATTGGTGACAACAAATCTGTTTACAAAAAATCAGGTTTCAATATCCCAACAGTTTTTGATAAAAACACGAAGATAAATCTCCTCTGGAAAATGTCTAAGTCATCCTATTCCATCTTGAAAAAATATGCAATCGAAACAATGGACTTGTTGAACGATGTGGTCAAGGACCGTTTTAACCAAATTTTTCTTACCAACAACACAAATTCATACTTGAAGTACGATTCTGTTGTCTCCATGCCATACTCCAAACTAATAGAATTAAACGAAGATAAATTTGGATCTTTAGAAAAAATATCCTTTGTCACGTTAGAAAATTACCTCTGTAATAAAATCTACAAAATCTTACTCGAAGCGTTGGATGATCGCGTTTATCAGATTGACGTCCACCTTTCCCAAAATACTCCCTCATGGTCCACTGGTAAAAGGAAGCCCTCAAACAACTTGAATAACTCGTTACATCTGATTATAGGTTTGTTTTTCAATCCAAGCGAATCCGATAAACGTGTAACAAAGGGTCCATTACACACGGAGAAAGAATTGGGTGAGAAATTCGTCTCTTTTTGGGGAGATAAGGCTCAAGTTAGAAGATACAAAGATACCACTGTTCAGTGGAGCTGTCTTTGGGATGTTTCACCAACCGACTCTGTCGTATTAACCATCGTCAAATACGTCTTAGATAGACACATGTCTAATTCCGCCAACGATTCCCATTTACTATCTAATGATATCATTGTGAATTCTTCCAAATTTACATCTTTATTACCTTCTCCTCTGGTTCCACATTCTTCGAATTCTCAACCTCTTATTTTACCACAGCATTTCATTTTGCTTAAAAATTCATTTGATGAATTGGCCAAGGATTTGTTAGCATTGGACCTAACTTTGAAAGTTAGAAGCTTACTACCTACCTCTCCTTCGTTGAGAAACACGTCACCTCTATTACCTGTTCCATTTGCAACAGGGAATCCAGATTTCTACAATGATTGTGTTTTGCAATTTGAATCGTCATCCCGTTGGCCTGATGAGATCAATGCTTTAGAAGATACCAAGACTGCGTTTTTATTGAAAGTTTGCAGTGAACTTTTGGAGAAGAACAGTGACGAATATATTGATGCATACATTGTCAAGGATAAATCTTCAGTTCCATATAACTCAAATATATCTGTGTTAAGAATTTTGAAGAGCGACGGTTATGGATTTGCGATCAGAGTGATTACAGAGAATGACGAGTTTCTTTATTTGCGTGCCATTGAATCAGCATCGAAGGCTACTGGTCCTTCCCAGCTGGCTTCAGTGGAATTATCATACATTAGGTTCATGCAAAAATATATCAATGCAGTTAAACACCATCGTAGTATTTCAATCTTAGCAACCCATTTCCCATACTATTCTGCAACTGTTCGTCTATTCAAGTTATGGTTAGATTCTCAAATGATCTTGAATCACATTCCAGAAGAAGTTGTCGAGTTGATTGTCTTGCAATCTTTTGTTGATCCAGCTCCATACGGTGTTCCTGGAAGTGTCATGGCAGGTTTCTTGAGGGTTCTATCTTTCTTATCTAAATGGAACTGGAGAGAAGAACCTTTGATTCTTGACTTGTCCAGAGAGTTCAATGGTAATTACGAAGTCAACCCAGACAAGGAAAGTTACGTTGATAGAATCAGTGACCGTCTTGATCTCACAACTTTCCAGACTATCAATCAGTCGTTTACCAAGTTGAGAGAGAGTGATCCACAAGGTGTCAAAGTTCCTTACTTCATAGGAACCAAGGAAGACATTTCAGGTAAGGTTTGGACCCGTGGTATCTCTCTGGTTATTGCTTCACGTTTGACATCATTATCTAGAGTGGTCTTAGATGTTCTTTCCAAGAATGGTCAGAATGGAGTGGAGATCAGCGATCAATTCATCAAGTTGATTTTCACTCCAGCGTTGAAAGACTATGACGTTGTCATTAAATTGGATTCTGCTAAGCTGAACTCCAAAAAATTGCGCCGACTTTCTGGTGTCTTGCCAACAAACATCAAATTTAAAAACCTTGTTGAACCACTCACCAGGTACGAAGAGGCTGAGAAATCCTCGGATCCAGCAATAAACTATTACAAGGATTTGATTTCAAGGTTTGGAGAAGTTGTTGTTTGGAGTGTCCGTAAGTACGGTGGCTTGGTTGACGCAAACAGTGATCGTGTAATTACAGGGTTGGTTGTTCCGGGAAACCAATCGAGAAAATTTAGAGTTGGCATCGCCTATCCTATACAGCCTACTGATGGTGGTAAAGACCTTGTGAGATTAGACGTGGAAGATGTCTTGAAGAACTGTGCAGTTTTGGGTGGTGATATGATCCACACCATCGAACAGAAAAACTAAATTGCCATGTTCTTCCTACCACTATATATATATGATACAAAACCTAGATAATCATGTTTAATATGTACATTTTTAGCTGTTTCCTAATATTAATTGTCTACACTTAATCCTCACCGTTTTGAAAAGTAATCTTCGTGAACAAATTTTCTGACGTAATCTAAACGCTGCGCTTTGTGGTGGAGGGACGATCTTTATAGCTTCCTCCCACGACAGGGCATGTTCTCTAATCGTTTAATTCCAGGTCGATGGGGAGCCACAGACTCAAACGCCATTGCAAGTGAACACAGCTTTTTATTGCCAGATGCAAGATATGCTTGTAAAGCCAGGAATTCAGGAGCTACTAAAATACAATGACATGTTATTATACCAGCAACAGGTGAAGATCTTGTCAAGCGAATTCAGTAACGATCTTTCAATCTTACTATATGTCCTGTACTATATTTTATTCATCTATGATGAGTCGGTGCTATGCTTCTTTCTGCGATGTTTTATGCAGTTGGTTTTGTCCTATGTGATGTCTCCCTCGAATGGTAGCGATGAAATGATTCCAGGCCTTAGCCGGCTCAATATTTCCCGGTTATCAGGAGTAACGGGGACAAATTCCACTACTGCTGGAAGCACGGTTGCTAACAACAACGGAAATGAACCTGGCAGGTCCGGCGATGCTAACAATGAACTTAACGTTGATACCATCGCATCCACAGAGAGCTTTGACGATATTGAAGCCTTGTTTTCACGGTGGACTGTGGCGGATAAGGTAAAGTTTGTACAGAAGATCCTACTGTGTCTGGCTGTTGGATGGGGTTTGATGATTGTGTATCAACTTGCTTTTTGTCTGGATGATACTTACGGCGCTATAAGCTATAGCGTTTTTGGTTCTTTAAACAAGAGTATACGGCAAAGTGCTTATTCGAATAAGCATTATGCAAATCTTGATCAATGGTCTTCGGAGAATGCATTCACCACAGGATCTGTGCTGTTGAATATGATTGGGGAAACCAAGCTAAGGTCAAAATTTATGAAATTTTTTACTATCATCATGCTAGACTGCTTTATCATTACGATACAATTGATTGAGGTTTTACTGAATTATATAGTGGGTTTTGGAATAGTAGAAAGGATAACAGAGGGTGCTAATAGCACCAACGATCCACAGAGGGAATATGATGGGCGTCAAGGGAGGACCACTATTCTCAAACTCAATCCATTTGAAGCTTTTGGGAAACTATGAAACTGTAAGCTACTTTTCATATCAGTTTTCTGTAATTCGATGTACATACGCACATGCAGAAGAGACCAAATGAGTATTTGGAGCTTCCTGTATTTTACTTTTCTAATTCTTTTAAATTACAGACGGTACATGAATATATATGCTTTATCCTAACATCAATTGATGTTCCCGATTGGACAGTTTCTCAAATATTCGGCTTTGTTTCTAAGAATTCTGACAGATTTGAAGAATATTTCCTCAGGTGGCATGGCACCAGAACTTTCGACGTTGAAAATAAAGTGGTCCCTTTGTCTACCCAACTTGACTTTTCCGTTGAATTGCTCATGTCTGAGCACCTCTCTTGAAACGGTATCTTTTCTTGCATCCTTCACGTACGCCTCACCCTTTTCGTTTATATCTATAACGCCCGAAGGAAAACAACTCTGGAACTCCAACGCTTCTTTTCCAACAATAGGTTGCTTGATGTCAATTACAGGAAGAAGTCTGTAAGATGCAGTCGAAACGGGAGAGTATTTTGCGTGATCCGAACCTATACCCAAGATACAATGGACTCTGAGGGAAATTTCCTGCCCTGGTCTCAACTTGGCTAATAGAATATTAGGGTCGCATGGAACAACAGGGTTGTTGGCAAAAAGCTCGACTTGACGACCTTGTGGCTCAAACTTCAAGTGCTTGGCATACACTTTGTGGTTTCTGTAAAGGTTGTCAGGGTCCGTGGAGTCGGGGGAAGCGTTTGGGTTCTTGGTGCATACAACATCAAGAGAAAGGACAATGGTATTATCATCTGTAAATTTGTCCTTTTCGTCTGCCTCACTGTTGATCCAGGTGAGCTGGTCCGGGTCCACTTTCAATGGAACCAAGCCGATTCTGTGTGCCAGTACTTCGTCCTGGATAACGGATGTGTTGTTGAAGATATAGACGTACTCTGCGGCCACCGAAGGAACTTCCGCAATCATAATTCTACGGAAAGCATTTGCAATAGACGTATCAAGCCCAACAAGGTCGAAGTTGGCTGTTCTCTCTGAAATGTACGATATGTAGAGGTTGAACGATTTCTTGAACTTCTCAAGGTCCCAATCAGAGCCAGCCGAATCCGCAGAGTAGCCTGGAAAGTCAGTGGATGTGGTGTTTGTCACCCTGTCATGTTCTATCCCAACAATGTTAGACATATTTGGTTGTGTTGTGTCCTATGTTGCGCCAGCTGCTGGCCAGAAGGTGCTTCGGTTATCGTACATTTCCTCTTAACATGATTCTGTAGTAGGAAAAAAATTTCAAAACTTTAGAAAAGATCAAAAAAAAAAGAAAATAGCAAAAATGGAAAAAATCCATAAAAAACAAAAAGTAAGTCGATCGCCCCGAAATTTCTGATTTGGGTTTTGGGTTTGCAACTAACGGAGCATGCATCCTTGAAGCCGGGAACAATGGCCAGAGATAAAGGAAACGTCAATTGGTGATTGAGATTAGAGAAGCACAGCAGACAGCTCTAGAGTTTTCCTAGGATAAAAGCGAGCAACCAATTTTATGAGTGAGCCAAGACAGGGTATGGCCTCGAACGGAGGCGTGGGTGGAGCCCCCCTCGTTCCATTATCAATCACCCCATCGGTCGGTGAAAGTGGTGAACCAGGTTCTGGCAGAGATCGCACAAGAGAGATGCAGGAACAGCTGAAGAGCACGACCTCATCGGTTCCGCCGATTCCACCGAGGGTGTCAACACGTAACGTGAGTGCGCAATTGAGAAACTCCCGTACGGCTTCGTTGATAATACCTGTGATGGCATCGTCGCCGAGCGATGACGGGAACGAAGACGATGAGAAGGACGATATCGTCGACTTGAGAGTCAGGGTTGGGGACGGTCGAAAAGAAGAGGCGGTGCCCGACTCCCCGGCCTTGCCAATGCGTCCGCCACGCACACCAACGAGACCGTCGAACGAGTTCCAGCCAGAGACGTTGGACATGTACGGAATGGATCGGATCAAGGGCTCGGAATTCTCTCCAATCACAGAGAGACGCTCCAGAAAGAGCTTTGCATCGTCGGAGCATGGAAACTCTACAAGCGGTGATGCTGAGGAGCCATTTTTGGTCCTCAAGGAGCGATACCTCATCCAGAGCCGTAAATATCAGGTGGACTACGTCGTGAACATGCTCACCAAATCGAATCTGACCGTGTCCAGCAGCGTCTATTTTAAAAAGCTGCACAGCTCGAACGACTACATTGAAGTGCTGAGCGAGATCCGCACGGGCAGTTTTGATACGGGGAACCTTCCAATCTTGTACTCCTTACTTCTTAACTCGTTGAAGCTGAAGGAAAACTCGTTTCAGGTTAGGCATGACACGTTCGACAATGAAACTGAGGCCAAGTTTGACGCTACGATTGATGGCTTGTCTCCTCTTTTGCGCTCCACGCCACAGCAGAAACAGCAATTCAAGAATGATCTGATGAAGGTGTACTCACTGCTAACGGTTACCAACAAGATGCCTTCCGAGGAGCCCGAAGAAAATAAGGTGCAGCAGACCATTGAACCAAACGCTTTTGTGGCAGCATTTGTTTACAGGTGTGCGTCCCATAACATCTTAGCTCAAGCGGTGATAGTAGCATTGCTGATTGACGAGTTCATTGTGAAACCAAACGAGAGGTCACGCGAGTTCCACTTTCTACTTTTACGTTCCATCGAGGCGGTCGACCAGGAGAAACTCCTTGCAGAGTCGGAGAAAACCAACCCGGTGGCGTATGTCATGAAACTTATAAGTTCGAGCAAGTTCTGGTGTAATTTGGTGTTACTTTTGTTCAAAAATGACATTTCCACGGCCAACCACCCCTTAGGACTAACAAACGTCTTACACAGATTTGTCATCTACGGTGTGAACTCACTCGTGGAAGTGATTGTGAATCTCAGATATGAGCTGGGGATCTTCCAGCCTGCAGATGACTCAGACGCCGCTGATGCTAAGAAGGACAACTGCGATTTGCTGCGCTTCCACAGAGAGTTCCTGATACTCAACGACTCTGCTGCCTCTCAGCTGGTGAGCTACTCACTCGAACATCTTTCTACTAAAAACCAGGAGCTCCAAGCGACCTTGGTAGAAAGACAGAAGGCGTACAACGAACTGCTGCACAACTACAAGCAGCTTAACGAAGAAAAAATATCTGTTGGCGGACAGACAGAGAAGGCCCGTGGCGAGAATGCAACTTTAAGTGCAGAGAAACGTTCCCTCAACGCCCAGGTGGAACAGGCATTGGGCCAGTTCGACGTGATTAGGCAGACTATGGAGAAAAACAAACGTGTCCAGGAACTCAATGACAGCATGTCCAAAGAAATTGACCGCCTTACGAAGGAAAACCAAAGGCTGCGTAAGTAGCTCTGGCACCTTTATATACGTTGTCTAGTAATGTAATAACCATTTCATGATCTTCATCTCCGCCCACCAAAGGCCGCGGAACGCGAGCGAAACGCCACGTTTACTGTCTCCATGTTTTTTCTGATGGTGACACTTTGAAGGCTAATGACCAGATTGTCTTGCTATCGGCTTATGAATGCTAAGTATGATCTGATGGTAACAGATACTTGCGAAGCAATTCAATCAGAACTATGAAGTGTGGCTTGAGTAACTTTGTGTGCTTTTTTGCGGCGCTGATAAGCATATTCTCGATGCCATGTCAGGCCCTCAAAATTGGCAAAGGTTTGGTAAGAATAGATGACCAGAACTTCCATTTGCTCGACGAAAACATTCCTCTAAACATAACCGACACAAAGCTCTCGATTGGCTTCACATTTTCTGATGAAACCGCAGGTGCAGACACTTTTCTCACTCCACAGCAAGCTGTGATTACACTCTCGACTGATAACGTCGAATCTGAAATGTACCTCTATCCTAGCTTGGTTGAGGGAAAAGTTTACGAGGTTAATGTCCCAATTGCCAGAATCTCCAAGCTTCTGTTGTCCCAGGAGAAGATCCATATCACAGTTATAAGCGGGGACCCAATTGACTCTTCGTTGAACGCGATCTTAAAAGCAGGTACTTTGAACCCATCGTCCAAATTGAGAGCTGAAAAATCTGTCGATTTCCCGCCAAGATTTGGCGTGAAGGATGAAATACACCATATTTTCAGACAAGACCCTAAGAACTTACCAGGTTTCATCTCTACCAACTTTGTGTTCTTGTTACTGTTGTCTCTATTTGTTTTGTTCCTTTCATGGAACTACTTCGAGGCTGCAAACATCGATAACAGTAGTAAGTTCAACCCTGTGGTTTACATCTTCTTGGGCTCGGTGTTGGCCTTCGAATATTACTTCTTCGACTACTACTGTGGTACTTCGATCTTCAAATCGCTCAAAAGATTCACCATAACAGGAATCTTTGCTCTTTACTTCGGCACCAAAGCGCTCAAGGACATGTACAGACTAAGATCGCAAAATCTTCGTTAATGTGTGGTGTATATAATCGTATATGTAAGTTTGACAATCAATGTCTCGATATATTTTAGAGTAGAGTGGATGAAAAAATACAATCTCCTTACTCCACCGAACACTCACTGAACGTATTTGCTAGCCATCTATAATATTCTCCTTTGAATCCCATCAAATTGTGCAAATACATCCCAATAATAATCTTCCCGCCAATCAAACCCATTGGCAATACACTATATGTTCGACTATCCACAGAATCGCTTAGATTGTCCCCGGTCACCCACACATGACCATCCGGCACAATGATGAACTGGTCATATGGACTTCGATTATATCCTAATTTACTCATCTTTATCTCCTTGAATCTTGACTTAAACTCAGGGCTGGTACGCTCATCATTGTCACTTTCAAGTTCCAGCTGATCAGAGTATCCTTCTCTTAGGGAATCAACGCTTCCCCGACTCGGATCTATAAGGACAACATCACCGGGCATACCGGTAACTCTCTTGCAAACCCAGCTATCAGGTTGAGTCGGTTTGCGAGCCACTATAATATCACCCATTTCTATGCCATTCCCATTTCTGAATCGTTTGTCCACAACACAAAAGTCACCACGTGTTTGGACGGTAGGTAGCATACTAGCACCTTCGGTTTGTGAGATTTCAAAACATGTCGCCGTGAATAAATGAAGTCCTGCTATCGTTCGCACAGATAGTGATGCTATTCTCTTAACATCTCGTATTACAGTTTTCATCACAAGAAGTATATGCTAATGCTTGCATTAGTTCCCAGCAAATTCGATTCTTTTCATTTATGGTTTCATTGATCAACAGAAGCTATTCAACCATTCATTGAATGCGGAGATTTGTGACTAGCCTCTAGCGGCCGCGCTTGAAGAAAGTTTTTTTCTCATGACAAAATAGATCATTTATTATACATATATTTTGTAGATCAAAAATATAGAACTCGTTAAATTATGCTAAAATGGAAAAAAAAGTATAACATCAAAATGAAAAGGGGAATAAAAATTAAATAAAATAAGTATAAGAAAAGGTAAAGAAGAAAAAAGGGGATTTAATAAATTAGAGGACTTTTCTCTCCTTTGTAACAGACAAGCATTGTGCAAAAGAAATAGTCATAAAAAAATTGACTGAAGAGAACCACGTATTCATAAGTTCAATCTATTCAAAATCTCACTGGCCAAGGATTTGTATAACCAAGTGTTACCACTAACTTTCTTGAATTGAATACCATATAAACCAACCAATGGAACTTTAACAATATGAATTTCAAATTTGAGTGGTGTTTTGGAACTCTTCTCTTTGGCTTTGAGATCGATGTCGTTACCATAACCAGCGTTCATGCTTGGAGATCTACTACCAATATTTTGCTGCTCTACTCTACTGGAAACCAACATATCACTTGCACCATTGGTATCGTCTAAAGTCAAAGATTCAGAACTTTGATCTATACTTCTAGCAGTCATGTTTGCAGCTGCTGGTGTAGTAGGAATATTGTATTCAGTAGCTGGTAACACGTTAGTGGTAGAAACTGTGAGCTTCTCACCTTTCTTTGATCCAAGTAGACCGTTACCTAAGGAAAATTTCCTTCTATGAGCATTCTTTGGCGTTGCCAAGACTGAAGTGTAGTTTGTACCCTTCTCAGACATATCAGGTGTATTGTTAATGTCATTAACCTTAGACCTAGATGTCTGTGATGATGTCTCGCTCAATGTTGGGGTCTTCAATCCATCGACTGTGTCTATGTAATTCTCATCAATATTATCATCAATGTTACTACTCCTTTGGCCAGATCTGGTAGGTGACTTCAGAGGGCTACTCAATGTACTAGAAATCCTCTTCTTTGGAGTATCAACAATTGATGGATAATGAACACAAATAAATCCACCTTTAACTTCGACAAAATGAACCCCTAATTGAGGTAATACAGTAATTATATCATATCTTATGATCGGTAAAGGTTTAGTTGAAGTAGTTTGGACAGAAAAGAAACCTTTGAGAAACAATGTCTTCGGGAATTCAATGGACGGCATACTATTTGCTGGAGCTTTTTCATACTCTTCAATGATTTGCTTCTCCGTTAACTTCTTCTTTGGTTTCACAGATTCATCGGAAAATGTTATACTATCCATTTCATCATCGAAGAATCCATCGTAATCAGTGCCATTTTGACTGAATTGAGGCAAAGGAGGAGCATTTTGATCAACCGTGTAAGTACTTGATTTGTTAATATTGAGAGAATGTTTTCTGGTATGACCAACAGAGTTAGCCCTAGCAGAAGGATGATATTTCCGCATTGAGTTGACAGGTTCTTGGCGAACTGGTTGTGCGTTATCACCATTGAAAATGGTAGCAGTATATGCAGATGTTGCACGTTGGTGCTGTGCCGTTCTCCTTCTTGAAGTATTTGACAATGGTGGCACCTGTGATTGCTGTTTTTCTTTAGATGTAACTTTAACACTTCCAATTCTTCTGACATCATCTTTAGATCTTTCTTTCTGAAGTTCTTCTGGTTTTTGCTTCTTGGTGCTCAACTTTCTCAAGATCGAATTAACATTATTATCTTCCAAAGGAGATTGCTGCTGTTGAGGTGGAGGTGTGAATTGTTGTTGTACAATACTTATTGGCTCTAATGAAGGCTTACCAGAATTGTTAAACGAATGTGGAGATACCTCCGTATGAGGAGATGTATGAGCTGCTTGAGGAAATGGTAAGGTGTAAGCGGCATTTGGTGCCTGCGTCGAGATCGATGGTTGCTGCTGTTGCTGTTGTGAATGCTGTGGAGGCTGATGATGAGTTACCGATGGTTCTTGCTCCGAATGCGATTGTGATTGAGAATGTGATTGTTGCATGCTGTTGTAACGCCTATTTTGATATTCTTGAGGAATTGGTTGAGTGACAATTCTATTATGAGGTTCATGTGGCATATTTGGATGATCTGAAGTTGCATTGAAAACCGGATTTTGTTGGAGTTGAGGGGTTGTGTATTGTTGATTATTCATACCCAAGAGACCAAGCTGCTGTTGGCTACTATTAGGATTGTTGCTTTTGAACTTCTTTCTATCAAGCATTTCGTGGACTAAATGATATATAGATATCAAAGGATGGAAACCCTTTGTCGGGTCCATTAAGGTTGGATCAAATTTATCGGAAGAATTTTTCAAGACCCAATTGGTAACACATTTTGTATAGTAGCTGGAAGACAAAATTTCGGTCAAGTCCATTGTGACCTGTTCTTCACTTATACCAAGATTCAAGTTGACGATTTCTTGAATTATTTCTTGATTCAGTGGTAACTGAATTGGAGCTCTAAATGGAATATAATTTGACGCAATACCATTGTAACCTTTGACCATCCATTTATGAGAGATTACTTCATGAATGCTTGCTCTTCTTGATACATCAACAACCAACATTTTCTTCAATAGATCCACACATTCAATTGACAAATGATCAGGATAATCGATGTGTCCCTTTTTAATTTTTTCATGCAAGTTACTGACACTCTTGTCATCGAAGGGCACTCTACCGCAAACCAACACAAATAAGACAACACCAAAAGACCAGATATCTACTTCTGGACCTCTATATGGATGGGCAGACAATAACTCAGGAGCAGCGAAATACAAAGAACCACAATACGTTTTCAACAAATGATCATGAGAATACATGTTCGACAATCCAAAGTCAATAATTTTTATTTCACCTGCATTATTGATCATTATGTTTTCGATTTTCAAATCTCTATGAACTATATTGTTAGAATGACAATAATCTAAGGCAGATGCAATACCTCGACAGAATTTTCTAGCTTGTGATTCTTTCAATGAGCCATGGGCCACTATATAATCTAGCATTTGACCACCAGAGACATATTCAAACAACATGTAATAATGGTTTGACATGGCGTACATCTCATAAAGTCTACAGATGAAAGGGTGGTAAAGAATTTTACCTAATGCTGCTTCTCTAATGGTTCTTTTGTCCCTTGCAACTTCCTTCTCGTATTCTTTTTTTCTTTGAGCCAACTCATGTGGATCACTTGTTGGAGGGTCATTCAAATGCTGTCTTTGCCAGACTTTAGCTGCTCTTGTGACAACCTTAATTGCACATATTTCATGTGTGATTCTGTGTCTAGCCAATTTCACTTTACCCATTGAACCGGCACCTATAGTTTTAGTGAATTCCCAATCGCCAATAGCTTTCCTGTGAAATTGTTGCTGTTGTTGTTGGGTTGTTGGATCATTGGATTGCTGCTGTGCTTGTTGCTGCTGTATTTGCTGTTGCTGGGGTGGTGCTTGCTGTTGAAGAGGAGGATGGGGGGAGATACTTGCAGTCCGTGTTATTCGATGAGGAGTTGATTGTTGCTGGGGCTTCTGCATCGAGTTTGTGTTCGAATGATTCGACTGATTCGAAGTTCTACTGGAGACTCTCTGCGGAGAGGAGGTAGGGTTGAAATCGACACCCGGTAGCAAGCCGCCAGGCCCAGCTCTGACGCCTTGGGGTTCGCTGCTCATTGAGTTTTGGGTGTGGGTTGACGATTGTCGTTGATGCATGGCGGAGGACAGTCGTTTGGAGGGTGTTCTTGGAGCCACAGGTATATAGTCCGGGTTGATGGTGTACTCATCGGACAAGTTTGATGGGTTCGACGTGTTTCTCAACATTCTGGGAGTTGCTGGCGCAGCGTTGGAGGTCTGGTGTCGGATTTTCGGGATATTCAACTGCGACGTCTGGGAGTACGAGTCGTGGTGGTGATCACTGGGGTTGTGACTGTTGTTGTTGAAGGACATGTTGGCGGACGGGGCACACTCCAGTGGTGGTATGATGCAAAACTTGTTTGTTTGTTGTTTGTTTATCTAGTTTGATGTAGGGGGCCGACGGCGACACACAAGACGCCCGGGCTTCTAGGTGGATGCTTGGACACACGGATTGAAAGACGCAGACACAGTGGGACGTAGTGTTCAGCTCGGGAGGTGTCTCTGTGGGGATGGGGGTAAAAAAATGTCTCAACACTCGATCCCCAGATGGGTGGGTGGCCGGAGTGGGTGGGTTGACGGTGTGTGCGAGAATCACAAGTGGGCGTGAACTGCCAATTGGGACGTACACACTTTCGTTTGCTACTGCACTAGAACCGAGACCTATATCTAAGTCTATATGTACGTGAAAACGGGTGGTTGGGGGGACGGAGCTACAGGGACCGCCATGTGGCATGTGCCGTGGGTGAGCACACTGCTGATGATGATGAACCTCCTTCGTCTAAGTGGGCAATTTTTTTTCCTCCCTCCATAGTTTTTTCTCCTCTCCCTCTTCCTTCCTCTTCCCCCCATGCTCGGCCTATCGATACCACTGGGACCGGGGCGATTACATAATCCTGACCAGCGATCGGCGCAGTCCCGTGGTTGACAGGTAAGCGAGGCGTCGGAAGAAATCTGTCAGACCTGGTCTCGGGGTCGATCGTCGCAACCAATCACGTGCTGCGCCGATCGACCCACCTCCTACACCGCAACCGAGTCGATCGGCTCAAAACGGCCCGCCGGATGGGGGCTCTCTGCGGAAGCTGTAGTGCGCAGCTGGACGCACTCTGTTTTTTTGTTGAGCACCAGCGGACCGCGGGGGAACCCATACTTGCCGCATTCGGCCCAGCGCTGCAGGGGCGGCGAAATGGGCCAAAGGAATGTCTGGGTGAGAGGATGCGGGTCGTGTTCGGGTGGGAGCCCTCCTTCGCTCGCTGTGCACGTCAGCGGCGCCGGATGCTCAGCCCTTTCTGGTAACAGAATGCTCAGCGCATGGACCAAGGGAAAGAAGGCAAAAGCCCCGTCGGCGTGCCCCACGGCCTACGGGTGGCAACGGAGCCTGCTCCGTCCTTTCCCGTGTGCCTCCGCTCCGTATCGCCACGACACTGCCACTCCGGGACCCGGGCACGGCAGCCAGTTCCCTCCCTCTGGCTGCCGGCTCCCCCGCTGCTGGCCGAGTCCGATCCACGGAGAAGACAGGGGGTCCGGCCGCCGCCGCTTCCCTCCCGTTGTCCCGAAGCGGAAAGTGCACCCCGCTGCGCCACCGACCCTCTCCACAGGCGGCCACCCTCCCAGTCGCCCCGTGTGGCGCAGGCGCGCTCACCCTTATCGTCTCGGCGTAAACCAGCCAGCTCGTAACCCATCAACTTTCTCCCCGGTGGAGCGCCCGTCGCCCATTTTCTCGTTTCCTTCAGAGCGAGAGGTGTCAGAGAAAAAGCCAGAGTGGGAAAACGTCTTTCTGTGGAGCTGCAACAACGCGCCAGGATGCGATTACACAATCAGGTCGCCGGTTCCGTGTGTGGTATAATTGTCACTTGCATCTTCTCCAGCTTCTTGACCACGCTTCCGTGCTCGTTACTCCTGTCGTTTGTGTGTTTCTTTGTCTTTTTGCTTCCTTGTTTGTTTCTCTCTCTTTCTTTCCCCTCTGTTCTGCCCCCGCCTGGTTCCCGTTGTTGTTGCCCTTCCTTCTCTTTTTCTTTGCACTTCCAGGAAAAAGGAAACGAGATCAGACAAACCTTTCCGTTGCGACTTTTTGTATCCAGTAGCATACAGGCTAACAAGCAGCTAGACTCTTTTGTCCCCAACAACCCATTTCTTTCAATTCTCAGACCAGATCATCCCGTGTCCCGTCTCTTCTTTTACTACACCGATTTTTCAGTGACTGAAAAAAGATCGAAGCCCTATTACTCATATTATTCAAAAGAATAGCTCATTCCGATTGTACCGCCTATTGTCGAGTTTCAAGCGCCTCTTTAGTCTATCACCATGACCACCACCCATTCTGTTGTTCACGAAGCCAACGGAGTTGTTGCAAGACCAACCCCACAGCCTTTCTTTGAGAAGCAACCAGCTAAGTCTCTGTCCTCCAAGACCGAGTACGAAGCCATGTACAAGCAGTCCATTGAAGATCCAGAGGGCTTCTTTGGGCCAATGGCAAAAAAATTCTTATCTTGGGATAGAGACTTCACCAAAGTCAAGTCTGGTACTTTAGAAAACGGTGACGCCGCCTGGTTCCTTGGCGGTGAGCTCAATGCTTGTTACAACTGTGTCGACAGACACGCCTTCGCCACCCCAGACAAAACCGCCATTATCTTCGAAGCTGACGACGAAAGCGAAAGCAAAGAGATCTCTTTCAGCGAGCTGTTGAAAGAAGTCTCCCAAGTCGCAGGTGTTCTGCAATCCTGGGGTATTCAAAAGGGTGACACCGTTGCCATTTACTTGCCAATGACCCCAGAAGCGATCATCGCCATGCTTGCTTGTGCCAGGTTGGGTGCCGTTCACTCCGTCATCTTTGCTGGTTTCTCTGCAGGCTCCATCAAGGAGAGAGTCACCGACGCCAACTCAAAGGTCTTGATCACCACCGATGAAGGTAAGAGAGGTGGCAAGACAATCAACAACAAGAAGATTGTCGACGAAGCATTGAAGGACTGTCCTTCAATTGAAAAAGTCTTAGTTTACAAGAGAACCGGTAACTCTGCCATTTCCATGCAAGCAGGTAGAGACTTTTACTGGCAAGATGTGGCTGCAGAATTTAGAGGCTACCTTCCACCTGTTTCCGTCAACTCTGAAGACCCTCTCTTCATGTTATACACTTCCGGCTCCACTGGCGCTCCAAAGGGTGTTGTCCACTCCACTGGTGGTTACCTTTTGGGTGCAGCAATGACCACTAGATATGTCTTTGACTTACAACCTGAGGATGTCTTGTTCACTGCAGGTGATGTTGGATGGATTACCGGTCACTCCTACGCTCTTTACGGTCCTTTGGCCTTGGGTGTCTCCACAATCATTTTTGAAGGTACCCCAGCTTATCCAAACTTTGGTAGATTCTGGAGAATCATCGAGAGAAACAAGGCAACCCATTTCTATGTTGCACCAACTGCCTTGAGAATGTTGAAGAAATCTGGTGAAGATGAAATTGCCAAGTACGACCTATCTTCTTTGAGAACATTAGGTTCTGTTGGTGAACCAATTGCATCTGAAATCTGGCAATGGTACGATGAAAAGATTGGACACGGTTGTTGCCATATTTCAGACACATACTGGCAAACAGAGTCGGGTTCACACTTGATTGCTCCATTAGCTGGTGCAGTTCCAACTAAACCAGGTGCCGCCACTTTGCCATTCTTTGGCATTGATGCCGTCATCATCGACCCAACTACTGGTAAGGTTTTGGAAGGCAACGATGTCGAAGGTGTCTTGGCCGTAAAATCTACATGGCCTTCCATGGCAAGAACGGTTTACAAGAACCACAAGAGATTCATGGAAACCTACTTGAAGCCATACCCAGGCTACTACTTCACAGGTGATGGTGCAGGTAGAGACCACGATGGCTACTACTGGATCAGAGGAAGAGTTGATGACGTTGTTAACGTCTCTGGTCACAGATTATCTACTGCTGAAATTGAAGCCGTACTATTGGAAGATTCCGCCAGAGTCAGTGAAGCTGCAGTCGTTGGTATCAACGACGACATCACTGGCCAAGCTGTCATTGCATTTGTTCAATTAAAGGATAACACAGTTGTCAATGACGATGCAACCTTACTCAAATTAAGACAAGACTTGAGATTGAGTATCAGAGCAACTATTGGTCCATTCGCAGCACCAAAAACCATCATCATTGTTGACGACTTGCCAAAGACCAGATCTGGGAAGATTGTTAGAAGAGTCTTGAGAAAGATTGTCAGTGGTGAAGCCAAAGCGCTTGGTGACCAGAGTACATTGGCAGATCCAGAATGCATTCCCCAAATCGTCGAAGCTGTTGAAAAGCAATTTGGTGTCAAGAATTAGATAAATTAGTTGGAGAAAAATATAATTAAAGAAAAAAAGTTAAGTTTTCAATTCTGTAATAGATGATATTTGCCCGATAATTTTTTTAAAAGCTTTTTTAATTAGTTATATTCCACTCCTTCCCTTTTATTACTCCTTTCTAGTTCCTTACTAATTACATCTGGTTTCTTCTTTTGCTTATATAGTCGGTGGTTGCTTCCTTTTTCAGTGATTTTATTATTTCTTTTTTAATTTTTTCAGATACTTTACTTTCCCACTTATTCGTATCCATAATCATTTTCATATCCATATTCCTACCTTTATTTATACTCCTACATATATTTGTATTCAACATATACAATCAATTTAATTTTTCCTGCTATTCATTCATACATGTTGTCAAAAAAAAATAATAAAATTGTTATTGTGTGTCTTGTCCTGTCTCGCGCGTGAGGGAGGGCAAATTGGGAGACTTCGAGAAGTTGATTCCTCAACAGCTTGATTTCATGTCACTAATACTCTTCTATCCGTTAATTACTGGATGGCGAAAGTGGAACACGTAAGATATCATAAACGATTACCGCTCATCACAAAATGTCTTTAGAACAGCTCACTGCAAAACTTACCGAGAATTTCGGCAAGGAAGACTATGAATCCTGTCTCAAGTTGCTCACTCCGATAAAGATACAACTCATTGAACACAACCTTTTTGTCCCCAGTGTACAGAGTAGCGTCAATCCTAATGATTTGTTAATTACAAGATCGATTTTAGAAATAGGAGCCTTAGTGTCCATTAATTTGGTACAGATGCAGGAGTTTTCTAACTACATTGTGCAATTGAAACCATTCTACGACCTCGAACATATCAAGACTGAAAGTAATCAAAAGAATAAGCTATTGAGTTTGTACTTGCTACTTCTTTTGACCCAAGGTGACTTGGCCATGTTCCACATTGAGTTAGAAAATTTCCAGAATCACAAGATGAGCGTCGATGAATTAGAGAAAGATGAATTTTTGTCCATCCCGATCAAGTTTGAGAAATGGATCATCGACGGAGACTTCAATAAAGTATACGAAACGTTGTCTTCAAAACACAAATTTCCATGTAAAGAGTTCAATCTTTTTGAAGACCAATTGTTGAACTCGATTAGATTAAATATAGCCAACGACTTGGAGAAAGTGTATAAGCAACTTCCTATTGAGAACTTAAAACTACTCTTGTTTTTGAAAGAAATAACAGAGACGCAGGAATTTATTGACAACTTTGATTGGAAGTTGTCAAACGGCATTGTCGATTTCCGTAAGAAGGAACAGACCATAGGAGAGCAGGCCAACATCATCGATGAGATCAACGATGAAAAGGCCATCATCAAAAACTCTTTTGTGTATGCGACAGAAATGGAAAGTATTATTTAGCTTTTGGTTCAAAGTATGCTGTCATCTGGAAATTAATAAATAGAAGGATTATATAAAGTCAGCTATTCGTAAATGTTGAATCGTATTTAGTCTATCAAAATAAATTCCAACAAAACGTTTACTAATCATAATTGAACCTCAAACCCGTAGAGCGTAAAAACTCTAATCTGGACTCAATGGCTCTACACAATTTTTCCATTGATACATTTGAGTCTTCCAGATACCTCATCTGAAATGGCTCATCAACAGAGCAGAAATACTTGTTGATTAACTGCCATTGCTTCAATTCAAAATCAAATCCAATATCCGGCTGATCACTGTACATTCTCCACTGGTTACCGTCCGGATCAACTAACTTGTTTTCACCAAACAAGGAGATGGGATCAAGCTTAGGATAATTGCTATGGAAGAACATTGGTCTAGCCTCTGCGTCATTCAAGTAGTTGAAGAAGTCCATTTTGCCATAATGAAAATTGTCGCCCTCTTCATTTATTCTTCTAAGAATCTCATTTTTGTAGTGATCTTCATTGAGTTTATCTATAATCGGATCGTATTGAATCATTCCGACACCTTCGTAATCATCATTGCTCCAATGGCCAACAACACCAACAGGTTTGTTCATCTGATAGACAGGAAGATTATAGAACACACTCGCAGCAATGAAAGTTTCTTTGTCTCCCTCACCGTTACCACCTTGTGAAAACAATGGATAGAAGTGTCTAGGCCCGTAAACATTATAATAGAAACTCAACAACAAAGCCTTAAAATGTGTCTTCTTGTCAACAATGATTTGACCCGATTCCGTTGACAAATCCGGTATTGCACCTTCTCTATCGTGTAGCGGTACTTCTGTATCCGGATCCTCAGCACCGGTCGTGTAAACCTCTGGAGGAGTCACTTTATCCATTAAATTTCGCACTCTTCTCTCGGTTATGTTGAAACCTGCCAAATCGTAAAACATTGGATGAGTGACTCTTCTCCAGAAATCTGGCCATAGAATCATCCCGTGGGAAGTAAAAGGCTCTGAATGGAACAAAACGTCTGGATTCAAAACAGATATGTTGTCTGAATCTAAAAATAGCACCTTTTCAAAAGTTGATGCTAATAGTGACAATGATTTGTATTGGTAACCTGTCAATTTGAAACCAGTGCTGTCCTTCTTCTTTGTTTTCTCAGAAGACATGATGTCAGGGAAAATTTCGTACAATAGAAGACATTTTGCATTCAACCTTGGTAATATTATTTCACACATTTGCGGCTCGTATTCTTCTGGTTGTGGGATCATGACCTCTATTGGCAATTTGGAACCCGCTGATCTCAAGTTTTCAATACTCAACAAAGAGAGCCACGAGAACTTCCCACCGCCAATGAAAACAATGCCTTCGCCCGAGTATGTGTTTGGAGCATAGTGATCAGGTATGTGGGAAACAAAATATTCGTGCGAACGTTTGAGAACCTCGAACATATCTGTTGGTAAATAGAGACAGTCATTTAGGAAGTCTTTCGAAAGAATGGGGAATTTTTCACTTGTGTCGTGAATGGCTATGTTCACAACTCCATTTCTGCCATACGTGCGGGGAAATATTTTAGTGGAAAGCCTGAACTTGCCTCTCCTGCTCCCGATGTCCTTTTCGTTCTGGAGCTGGTAGCCCAATTTCGGAGCACTTTCTGTTATTATCGGAAGCAGTTCTGTGAACATCTTTTTGATAAGATCCAGTCTAGATTCGGGTATAATGGAAGGATCATTATCTTTTCTGATGTCAATGTTGTTGATGTTGAGAGGGTCCATTCGCTTCGCTGTGCCTTCTTCATAGTCCCTATGCTTGATGTCGTGGTCTTCCTCGTATTCGTGGTGCAGCTGCGCCTGCTTCACGTGTCGCTGCTGCTGGGAGTCCATGTCACGGAGAGCCTTCGGGCGGATGGCGCCAGAGTCCTCGTTGACGTTGGAGTCGGCAGCAGCGGCCTTCTTCATCTTCTGTAGCTTCCTCTTGTTGCGCTCGTTGGCGAGGTTGACTCTGTTTTCATAGTTGCGGCCCTTGTGGTTCTTCTTAATGTACATCATGCTGTCTTTGATGATGTCGTTCATCACCTTCAGCTGCAACTCCTCTGCAGAGGAGATCTCGTCCTTGTAATCCTGCATCATTTTTTCGTAGAAGGTGATGGACGATAGATCCTCATCGTCGCCATCATCGTAGGCCACTGGGGCAGCCGTGTCTGGGTGGGTGATCGATTTCGTAAGAAACGTCACGCCGAACACCAGGCAGGCCAGCAGGATGAGTGCCACAACAAGAAACTGGCCTTTTTTGAACCGGTAGAAGCGGTGGAGCCTGGCTCGCAGGTGGATGATTTTCAACGACGGGTCAGACATCGTGTGTGTGTGGACGGGCGGTCGGGTCTTGTGTCTCGGTACGGGGTAGATCGGCTCCAGGCCCTGGATCTCTCGTGTTTATTCTCCACGGTTCCTCGCAACAACAATGGCGGTGGCGGTAGCGGCAATGGATCCCGAGAAGGATACGCACACAGAGTTTCGGACAGCGCTAGCACACAAACAGACAGCACGCAAGCTCAGGCACACTTCTCCCACCTAGACCGTTCGGACAAACAGCACGAATTGAACAGACCCACGTCTGACAGCAGATGCTCTCCTGCAGATGCGTTTCTCTCCCTCTTCCAGCCCAAAACGTTAACCGATCATCCACGGCCACGAGCCAGCCACCCCGCCAACCGTCCTTGCCTCTCCCGCTGCCTCGCCTGAGGCTCACCGAAAACCGAGAAGGCTCTTCCTCCCTCGCTTCTGTTGGCGATAGAAGGCCGCAGCGCTCTTCGCCCGCCTTCCCCGGTGCACGGGCGCCTTTTCCCGGGGCCTCTTTTTTCGCGTTGTTGACCTTTTTGGTCTTTCTGACTTTCCAGGGCAGCGCCGAAGTTTTTCCGGTAGATTACCGCTTTGGGTTCCCGACAATAGAGGGGGCTGGAAAGAAGCGAGCCCGGGTGGCGCAGCTACGCCCGTGCACCAGTTGGATGAGATGATTCTCGGCTTGCACTGACGCCGGCTATTGTGCAACTAGGCCGTTTTGAGCGGTTTTTCGGTGCTCCTTGCGCCTTTTTGCGCTCTTTTGGGCCGATCGGCGCATTTTTAGGGGCGCTCGGATGTCATCTTTTTGTGGTTCCTAGTCGCTGCAAGTTGCCTGCTTGTCTCTCCGTACCCAACCTGTCTCGCTAGGCTCGCTGGCCTTAGCCGTTATAAAAAATATACGATAACACTATATTTACCTCTACGTCTCCTATCCCGGATGTCTGCCTTCGACTTCGGCGCCGCCGGAACTGTCTCTTTCTTTCTGTCTCCAACCCTGCCCTAAGCGCAAGATGACGCCGCCTGCAGCTGCGAAAAAGGACGTCGTTGTTCGGAGAAGACACTCCTCCGTCGGGAAGATTGACCTCGGGGATAACAGTGTGCATGGGATCCACTCTGGAAGAACAAACAAGGACATCACTGCGGCCGAGGCAGAGCAGAAGAGACACCTCAACGAGGTCACCAGCGACATCAACGACACGGTTGTGTTCCAGAAGCTGTACTACTCGGTGAAGATCCTATGCTACAGGTACATCTGGTTGGTTCCGCTGGCCATCATGTTTTCCATGAACCTCGTCTACTTCCTGTCCAACAACTACACCCCGTCGAACCCGCTCCACCGCTTCCTATGTCTCTCGTACCAGATACCGGGCACACACGACCCGGTCAAGTACGATAAGGGTTGGAGGGACTTCTGCTTTGTCGGATACATGATGATCTTTTTCACGTTCCTACGGGAGTTCATGATGCAGGTCGCCTTGAGACCATTGGCGCGATACTTTGGCTTGCAGAGCAAGTCGAAGATCTCCAGGTTCACCGAGCAAACCTACGCCGTCTTCTACTACGGAATAACAAGCCCGTTGGGCTTGTACATCATGAAAAACTCGCCCATGTGGTTTTTCAAAACCTCGGAATTCTACAGACTCTACCCCCACAGGGAGCACGAGTGGCTCTTCAAGTTCTACTACCTCTTCCAGGCGGGCTTCTGGTCCCAGCAGGCCGTCGTGCTCCTGTTGCAGTTGGAGAAGCCCAGAAAAGACTTCAAGGAGTTGGTCTACCACCACGTCGTCACCATCCTATTGATCAGCTTGTCCTACATGTTCAACTACACGTGGATGGGGTTGGCCATCTACATCACCATGGACGTTTCGGACTTCTTCCTCGGAATGTCGAAAACCTTGAACTACGTCAACTCCCCTATTGAGGTGCCATTCTTCGCGTTTTTCATGGTTATCTGGATCTATACCAGACACTGGTTGAACTTGAAGATCCTCTGGTCTGTCATCTTCGAATATTTGCATATCGGCCCGAGCGTCCTAGACTTTAAAACACAGCAATACAAGTGCTGGATTTCCCAGCCGATGGTCTTTACTTTGATTTTGGCATTGCAACTCGTCAACGCGTACTGGCTCTTTTTGATTTTGAGGATCATGATCAGGGCTCTTTTCTACAACATTAAAAAGGACGAGCGGTCTGATTCCGAAAGTGAAGGACAAGGACAAGGGGAAGAATAACAACAACAGCAATCAAAAAATAATAATATTAAACAATAAATACTAGCCACAAGAATAATAACAATACTAATCATAATAATAATAATAATAATAATAATAATAATAATAATAATAATAATAATAATAATAATAATAATAATAATAATGATAGTAGTATTAATCTTGATGTTGATACTGATAATAATGATAATAATGATAAGCCACGTTTTTTTGTAGTACAGAAGTAGATTATTTATTGAATCAGTGTTTGTGCTTTTTTTATGTACAGAGTCTCTATATAACTATAATTAACATCTGATCAAAGATAGACTAAGTTAATCAGATCAGTTTTCGTCCTCAATCTTGTCGATCAAGCCAAAATTCTCATTCGGTTCCATACCTAGAGTTTTCTTGTATTCGGCAACTTTCTGTAATCTTCTCTGTAAACCGGTTTCACCAGCCTTACCAAGAACACCACAGATCAAGTTAGTGGTTCTTCCGGAGCTCGAGTTTGCAGGAATAGGGTATACAACCAAGCTTGGATCGACATTGGAGTCAACTATACCAATGGTTGGGATTCTGGCCTGGTTAGCCTCCTTGATAGCAACAGAGGCAGATTCCGGGTTCAAAATGACAATCAAATCGGGTTTGATTACCTGGTTAGTTTCGTCTGAGTTTAACTCTCTGTTGGTCTTGAAATCCTGCATGTCCACCTCATGTCTGGGCTTTGGGTTCTCAAGCGAGTTTGTAATTGCACCAGGAATCCATTTACGTGCCACATAGTAACCGTTACAGCGCTTGGCGGCTTCCTTGATAGCACGTAATTGTCCAACTTGCAAACCAAGGAATAACACAATACCACCGTTCTCAACGACTCCTTGAACAACCTTACATGCATTTTTCAAATAGGATGTGGTTTTCTCCAAATCAATGATGTGCAGGCCTTTGTATTTCCCGTAAACAAATGGCTGAAAGTTCTGGTTGAAGAGTTGGGTGGAACGACCGAGATGTGCACCTGATGCCATTAATTTTTCAACTGTAACTTGGTTGACCTTCGGAGGGTTGGTGATCAGAGTGTGGGGTTGGTACACTTTCACTATTCTCGATCCTAAGCCACCCATCACAGAGGCATGATGTCTCTGTCTGATTGTCAATTCTGCTGGGGTGTATGGAGAGGTGCTGTCTGATGGAACCAAGTTTGGGAATCTGGCAAGTAAAGAAGAAGAAGATGAGAATTGTTTCTTCAATTTGTCTCTGTTACCATACAGACTGAGCAATTTTTGAAATCTCGAATTAAGAATGTTTTCTCTCTCCAATGTTGGACTAGGTGCTGAATTCACTATTTCATCGAGTTGGGCCTCGGACATCTCAGCCAATTGTTCAAGTGGTCCGTCATATGGTGTATTATGTGCATTCAAAAGTTTGAAATGTGGACTGGTTGTTTCCGTAATCTTCACTGCCTCCGCATTTTTGCTTTCGCTTGAGGCTGGCACCTCTTCCGGTTGCACTGCTGCTGTTGTTGATTCGGCTTTAGTGGAGTTGAATCTGTAAGCAGATTTTTGCAAGAGTCGAAAGTTTCCCCGACGAAGAGGGTAAAGCGTCGACATAACTATTCCCTGTTGTGCTGATTTTTGGTACTTGCGCTTTTCCAACACTTCCGCTGATCTGCTTCCTAGCCTTTTCGTTGCTCTAACAGCTATGTTTCCTGCTCATGTAACTAAAGGTCGACTTTCATCGAGAACTTATTTGCACTCGCCAGATGGCAGCGCTTAATTTTCCCCCATAGTCGCTGAAAAAAAATGTTTCGGAATAGTTTTTCTCCCGTGCACCAGTGAAAATTCGGTGATCCATGTCTAACCGTTTCAGGTTGATGAAGACAATAGAAGGAGACCTCGGAGGGGCAAGGAAGTTTTACCAACTACTCGAGACAGGTTAAACAGTGTCCGCAATCAAGCGTAACACACTTTACGATACAAAATGCTCTTGTTGTGCAGAAGGCCTAGCTCAAAATGGTTGACGCGCAGTTTTACGGTTCCTAGAAGGCCGTATTCGACACCGAAGAAACAAACCGGTGCTAAGACGGAGTTGAAAATCACAGAAGAGTCTGACTTTGCGTTCAGAAAAACTCAGATTTCCGAGCTCGGATTTGCTGAACAAGACCGGCTCTACTACCCCACGCTCGGAGAGTGTCTCTGCGAATTGACGAATGGGGTAGACTCGTTCACGAAAATGAGAGTACCAGAATTCAGGAGCAAGTATTCGCAAGTGGTGACGCCCGAGAACATTGCTGAGTTTGCTGATGGTCCATTGTACGTCCTAGCTGGAAAGGTCAAGAGCATTCGGAGAGCAGGAAAGGGCTCCATCTTTGTGGACGTGGTGCAAGACTACACAAAGGTGCAATTTATTGTTCACCACAAGGTGATGGGTCTGGAGAAAGACGAGTTTCTGCGGCTGCATGGAGGGTTCCGACCAGGGGACCAGGTACTTGGCATCGGGCGTGTTGGAGTGACAAAGGTGGGTGAGTTATCGTTGAAGCTTACCAAGCCGTTGAAGCTTGCGTCGCCGGCGCTCCACCCACTCCCGCCAAAGCTCAACGACACGGGAAAGATCAACCACAACCGAGTCGTCGACTACTTGGTGAACCAAGAGTCGAAGGATGTCATTCTCTTGCGGTGCCGGGTCATCCAGCTTGTGCGGAACTTTCTCGAGGAGCGGGGGTTTCTGAGCATGGAGACCCCGATCCTCTGCAGCGGAAACAGTGGGGCGAACGCCAGGCCGTTTGAGACGTCCTCGCAGCACCTCGACGTTGGCGAAGCGGGCAATTCGACCCTCAACTTGCGGGTTGCGCCCGAGTTGTGGCTCAAGAAGCTAGTCATTGCCGGGTTCGACAAGATCTACGAGATCGGGAAGTCGTTCCGTAACGAGGGTCTGGACTCGACCCACAACCCTGAGTTCACAACCTGTGAGTTCTACCAGACGTTCATCGGGCTCGAGGAGCTGATGCAGCTGAGCGAGAACATGGTGCACGCAATACTCCGTTCGGTGCTTGCCGATTCCCGGTTTGTTGGCTTCCACACCAACTGCCAGGAGCTGACGGATCGCCTTGAGGCAAACGGCGGACGGTTTCGCCGCATCGAGTTTCTAGGAGAGCTTGAGCGCCAGACAGGCGTCAAACTAAACCCAGACTCTCTCCACCGTGATGGTCTCGAGGAGTACTTCCGCGAGGTATGCCGCCGAACGGACGCAGCCGTGCCTGGGGACCTCCCGAACTGCTCCGCGGCAGAGCTCGTCAACAGACTTTCTGAGACTTATGTGGAACCTGTCTGTGCAAGCGGCGACGCGGCTGGAACACCAACGTTTATCTACAACATCCCCGAGGTGGTGTCCCCGCTCTCCAAGGCTGACAGCCGCGGCGTGAGCCGGCGGTTCGAGATGTACATCGACGGACGGGAGTACATGAATGCATACGAGGAAGAGAACAACCCGTTCAAGCAGCGGCACAAGTTCGAGCAGCAGACGCAGAACCGGGAGCTGCATGGCGACGGCGAGAGCCTGGTGCCGGACCACCGCTTCGTGGAGGCGATGGAGTGGGCGATGCCGCCTACCGGCGGCTGGGGGCTGGGGATCGACCGCCTTGTGATGAAGCTCAGCAGCAGCAGACGCATCGAGAACGTGCTCCCCTTTGGCAAGCTCAACGACGTGGTGAAGCAATGACGGGCTTGACCGCTCTTGTATATAGTTATGTCTCGCATATAGCTGCAATAGGGACCAACGAGTCGCCAGCAGAGAGAAAATTCAGAGCGGACGACAAACGGGCGAGCTCGAGGCCGCAAGACGCGTGGCTGTGTCCGGAGTTAACTATTTTCGTCTTGTGCTGAATTGCATATGGCCCTTTTCTTCTTCATTCTCTTGTGGGAAAGACCTCTGTTCTCGATCTCTGCTGTCTCAAATCGCAAAATGACACTGCCCCCCGCCTCTCCTGCGAAGAAGAATGCCGTCGTTCGGAGAAGACACTCCTCCGTCGGGAAGATTGACGTTGGGGATAACAGCGTGCATGGGATCCACTCTGGAAGAACAAACAAGGACATCACTGCGGCCGAGGCAGAGCAGAAGAGACACCTCAACGAGGTCACCAGCGACATCAACGACACGGTTGTGTTCCAGAAGCTGTACTACTCGGTGAAGATCCTATGCTACAGGTACATCTGGTTGGTTCCGCTGGCCATCATGTTTTCCATGAACCTCGTCTACTTCCTGTCCAACAACTACACCCCGTCGAACCCGCTCCATCGCTTCCTATGTCTCTCGTACCAGATACCGGGCACACACGACCCGGTCAAGTACGATAAGGGCTGGATGGACTTCTGCTTTGTCGGATACATGATGATCTTTTTCACGTTCCTACGGGAGTTCATGATGCAGGTCGTTTTGAGGCCGTTGGCGCAATACTTTGGCTTGCAGAGCAAGTCGAAGATCTCCAGGTTCACCGAGCAAACCTACGCCGTCTTCTACTACGGAATAACAAGCCCGTTGGGCTTGTACATCATGAAAAACTCGCCCATGTGGTTTTTCAAAACCTCGGAATTCTACAGACTCTACCCCCACAGGCAGCACGAGTGGCTCTTCAAGTTCTACTACCTCTTCCAGGCGGGCTTCTGGTCCCAGCAGGCCGTCGTGCTCCTGTTGCAGTTGGAGAAGCCCAGAAAAGACTTCAAGGAGTTGGTCTACCACCACATCGTCACCGTGCTGTTGATCAGCTTGTCCTACATGTTCAACTACACGTGGATGGGGTTGGCCATCTACATCACCATGGACGTTTCGGACTTCTTCCTCGGCTTGTCAAAAACCCTAAACTACATCAACTCCCCGGTGGAAATGCCCTTCCTCGCCCTTTTCGTCGTCGTCTGGGTCTACACCAGGCACTGGTTGAACTTGAAGATCCTCTGGTCTGTCATCTTCGAGTACTTGCAAATCGGCCCAAGCGTCCTAGACTTCAAAACACAGCAATACAAGTGCATCATCTCCCAGCCGATGGTCTTCACCTTGATTATGGCCTTGCAACTCGTCAACATGTACTGGCTCTTTTTGATCTGCAGGATCATGGTCAGAGTTCTTTTCTACAATATCAAGAAAGACGAGCGCTCGGATTCTGAAAGCGACCAAGACCAAGAACAGCCGCAGCCACACCACTAGTAACCCACGCCTAGCGGTCCACGTATATAATTAGATTTGTGTATTAAACCTCTGTTTCCTCCCTTCCCCTTAGGGTGCCTGTACCCTGACCCTGGGCCTGACCCCACGCTTGCCCCTGTATACACTAACATACCTACCCTATAGTGACAATGGACCCACCACCAACCCGCAAAGGCGGCAGGCACTGCCGCCGCCGGGCGCCCTCGGCCCGAGCACAATAGGGCGACCCACCGGCCGCGGCTGGCGCCAGCCGGCCCACGGCCGGGCCAAGCACGCCAGAACCCTCGACGATCTGGCCCTCGCCGCCAGCCAGGACCCTCGCAATCGCGCGCCGGCGGCCGGGTGCCGCCGCAAAACGGGGCAAGCGTCCGTCCCGAAGGGGGAACTTACCACAACGGGAAAAGAGATTGTGCGTTGCCCTTTCGCGGGGCTGCTCAGCGGGCTGCGGGTTGCGAATTGCTGAGTTCGGTGGTGGAGCTAGCTGGAATGGGAGCTAGCTGTGGGTGGCTCTGGCTGTGGGTGGCTCTGGCTCTGAGCTGGAGCGTTGGTGGAGCTGGAGTTGTCCATTTTCCTCTCATGCTCAGTTGGTTTTGGCTGTCTTCTTCTTCCCCTCTCTGTGGCTCTGGGTGTGTGTTGCCTCTGGTTTCTCCTTGTTTGGCTAGATCAGAAGACAGGACAGCAGGACAGTCTCCTTCGTCAACTCTCAGCGGTCAATCGCCAGTACCTCGTCCCGCTCCATACCCCCTACCCCTACCTCCTTTCACTCACTTATCTACTCTCAGGCTCGACCAACCAGACTCTTAGGCTCGTTCGTTTGCTGCGGTTACTCCCATATACATATACGCATACATATTCACTTATATATTCCATATCTATATCGGATTGGCGCTGCGTCGGTTTTGGAATTGGCACGACTCCTAAGGACCCAGACTCTTGAGGTACTCACCATCCGAAGGACAGCCTTATTGGAAAGGAAAAGGAAGAAAAAATCGCAAGACACCTCCCCCTTTCTGTCAAGAATAGAAAAATAAAAAAAGGCAGACAGCTACATCGGACGCTTGGCCTTTTCTTTTCTCCATATCGGAACGGCACTGCCCTACGGTTATCTCTTCTCGTTTTCACACATTTTGTTTTGCTTCTTCTCCCATCCCTCCAGTCCCACCTCCTCACTCTCTGATCTGAAGTGAAGAAAGAAAAAGTTCAAAGCGAAAACCAAAAAGCTAAAAGCAGCACAGCTCAAGGCTAAAGGCTACCCCCGCTCTACCAGTCCTTCCACCTCCACCTCCACCTCAAACCCCAACTCCAGCCCACTCGTTTTCATCTTCCCATCCACCCTTTTTCTATATCACCACCATCGTTACTACACCATTGCCACCTCCCCTTCATTTGATCCCCCAGAATCAACACATACTCCTTTCCTAAACTATGACTACGTCCAAAAACTACGGTAGTGAGATGGTCAGAATGGTCGAAAATAGAAACCACCACCTAACAATCTTGGAATATAGAAACGACATCCACAATCATCTTGTCCAACTCGATTTCGAGCTCGAAGAAAGCCTACAGATCAAGCCTCTCCAAGACCAGGTAAAAATCTTGAGAAGCTCTATTCTCAACTCCTTGCTAGATGTTTGTTTCAGACTCAATTGGTCCTCCTCAACTTTCTCCTTGGCTGCCCATCTTTTCGACACCTACACAAGTAAGGTCAACATAGAAATCATTAATTGTAGGCTGATTGGTTTTTGTTGTCTTTGGATCTCCTCCAAGTACAATGAAAACAAACCAAAGGGTAACATTTTGAATGCCTTGATTAAAAGATCCGGATACGAGCAATCTGCCAAACCAACTTTCCTAAATATCGAATTCGACATTTTGAAAGTCATCAATTGGGATCTCTCCTATCCAACTCCAGAGTTATTCTTAGACCTATTCTTGAATACGGGTGAACCGAACAATCTGGAAAGAAGATTAGGCTCGATGTTTTTGTGCGAATTATCTCTATTCAACTTGAATATTGTCTCTCACTATTCTTCGAGCTCAATTGCTGCCTCCTCAATCATGATTACTAATTTTGCAATGTTGAACTTGAGACACAAGCATATTCGTCAGCATAGATTTGATGAATTGGAAAGTTTGATTTTGAATCAAGTTGTTAAGATGGAACCTTCAATCAAGTTGAAGTATTTGGACAGCAGCATCATTTCTCATTCCAACAACAATATGGTCATTCATAATTTGATATACCTCTCTCAATGTTTTGTTAGACAAAAGGAAGAAGAGCAACAACAACTGGAAAAATTGAAACATATGGATTTGAACCCAAATCTTTATTACAATTCAAACGGTTACTTGTCTAACCCTAGTCTGACTGATAATAGGAACCTGTCCTGCTTACCAATTTCTCCAATGGCATCACCAACAAACTTACCTTTCAGTTTAAGTAACAGTGGTGTTACTGGCGGTAATAATTCCTACATGAGAACTTCCTATCACGAAAATGGTAAGAATGGCCACTCTCGTTCATATTCACAGTCAGACGATCATTACATGGATGATCCCGCTGATCAATTGACAAGTGCTTCAGGTAAGCGTTCAAGATCACACTCGTTGACCACTTTGAGAAATATCTTACCTACTCCCGGTACAACCCCAACAGCATCGTTTAACAGAATCAACAGCAACAGTTCTTCTTCCTCTTCAAGTGCAAGTAATAATAACACTACTGATACAACAAATATCGAACTAACACAGCATAATATGAAATTGATGAATAAAACTCCACAAATATTCACACCAGTACAATTAATACCTTCAGCGTTATTATATTCTCACCCCCACTCTCATTCACATTCCCATCTTTTCCATCCTCAACTGCACTCTTTATCTCATCCATATTCTCAAAGATATGATTTTAATAGGTTGGAATCTCCAGAAAACCTAGTTACCAAGCGTGTTAGACAAAAGTACCAAAGAACTTTACCTGTTTTAACACGTTCCAAAGCTAAAGGTTTCGCCTTTGATACTGCGGAAGACGATTTCAGTCAGAAGATGAAAAAGAGAAGATTGTGAATGGCACAAACCGTGTTACTTTTTACTAGATACTATAAACAATCATTTTTTAGACGTTACATTTTTATTTCACTTTCTTCTTCTTCTTCTTCTTCTTCTTTCATTCTTCGTTCACATTTTTACTTTCTTTATTTCTATCATTGTTTATTTTTCTTACTAACCACATTTTCTTCAGCTTTTATGTTTTTTTTCTCTATCTACGTAAACTTGCTTCTTTAGAGATGTCCTATTCTTGCACTTTATATAAGTATTTCCATATAATATTTGTATATAATGATTACAAGCAATATTTATTTTTTCTTCGCGACCACGTCCGGAAGTGGAAGAAAATGGAAAGTCCAGAGCATGATCTAAGTTTCTCTCTCCTACATGACAGATCGACCCATCTATTCATATCCACTAAAACAAATACTCTAACTTGCTGGTATGCCTCCAATATGATATTACAGCAGGTAAGATATTATGCGGCTGTATCAGCAGGGGCCTCCAAAGGATCCAAGAAACTTTTTGGCCGTCCCTCGAACAATCTTACTAGTGGGATTGTTGGTTTAGCCAATGTCGGTAAATCAACCTTTTTTCAAGCTATTACCAAGAGTACACTTGGCAATCCTGCTAATTACCCCTTTGCAACTATTGAGCCAGAGGAGGCCAGGGTGCTTGTGCCAAGTGTAGAATTGGACCGTCTAGCGGAGTTATATTCATCAAAGAAGAAAATACCTGCGATTTTGAAAATCTTTGACATTGCAGGACTTGTACGTGGCGCTTCGGACAATAAAGGTTTAGGAAACGCATTTTTAAACGACATCAGATCGGTTGACGGAATTTTTCAGATAGTTCGGGCGTTCAAAGACTCTGAAATTACACATATCGAAGGAAGCGTTGATCCTGTGCGTGATTTGACAATTGTCCAGGATGAGTTGATTCTAAAAGACATGGAGTTCATTGAAAATTCGATTGAAAAGCTAGAGGTGCAGTTGAAACATAAAGGAAATAAGCCCATGCATGAAATAACTTCCATGGAACAACAATTGGAGGCATTGAATGCTGCCTACGATTTGTTGATGGAGGGCCAAAAGGTGATAAACAAAAGTGACTGGAAAGACGACCACATTGACGCACTTAATGTACATAATTTACTCACTGCTAAGCCAAGTGTGATTCTAGTCAATGTTAATGAAGAAGATTTTCTCAACCAGAGGAACGAATTCTTGAAAGATATCCAGACGTGGGTGGATGAGTTCTCTCCAGGATCGCCAGTCATTCTATTTTCTGCAGACTTTGAAACGAAATTGAACGAGGAGCATCAAAGTAGCATGAAATACAATTCTACTTCAGCATTACCGGCGATTATCCAGGAGATGAGAAAGGTTTTAAACTTGATCAGTTTCTATACCTGTGGCGACATTGAAGCACGTCAATGGACCATCAGGCAGAACGCCACATGTCCGAAGGCTGCCGGTGTGATCCACACGGACTTTGAGAAAACGTTCATCAACGCTGAGTTGATCAAATTTGACGATGTCAAAGGGTTAGAGCCTCCTTTTGATGAAAAATTATTAAAGTCAAAGGGGAAAATTCAACGGGTTGGTAAGAACTACATAGTGGAAGATGGAGATATTTTACATTTTAAAGCCGCTGCAGCAAAGAAAAAATGATGTGTTTATACATACATGAGAATATTTAGATGATAGTAATACTTGTTTATAGATGAGAGAAGCCATTTTCTCTTTCACGCTAACGGCCTTCTCTTCATGCATCGTGCAAAGAATTATAATGCTCTCCCAATCCGAAGGCATGCTGGTAGTAAACTAATTTGAGCTCTGGGTTGGACCCAGCTTCGTTCATGTGTAATGCAGCTCTGCCACTCATCATCACTGATATAGGGGAGTCGAAAACTTTGGATATAGCAAGAATCTCCAGATCTCCGCCCCACATCGCAGTATTTTCGAGCTTGTTGACGTATTCATCAATGTTTTTTAAAGACATGGTTTCCTCATCAAAAAGAAAAGGTGTGAAATCGTCAGGATGTTCCTTGATGTAATCAGCTGCACTTTTACGCAACTGCTTAATACCGACGTCTGTACCTTGGCGAATCTTCAGCTGATCAGCAATCGAAGCAAATAAACAGTGCCCGTCGGGGGTAATATCGTATTGAACCACATGCTGTATATCACATAAGTCCTTTATGTTCTTTAACTCTATGCTTCGTAGATCCGGTTTCTGGCCTTGCTCTTCTCTAGCTTCTTTCTGTATTCGTTTCATCTCTGCTTCTCGTTGCGCCAACTTCTCCTTTCTTCTGTTTCTCTTCTTCTTCTGAGACCCACTTCCTTCTTCGGTGTTAATTTCTTTTTCTGTTATCTCACTCGCTTTCGGTTCACTTTCTTTGTTGCCAAGTTCCAACTGAGCTAATAATTTTTCAGGTGTCAATTCATCTTCATCATCATCACCTTCATCCTTAACGCCTTCATCAACTTGAATTCCTGCAATTTCGCCATGCAGTTCTTTTAGCTCCTGCTCGTGCTTTTGCGCTAGCTCGTCTTCCAACCCTTTGATCTGCTTGAGAATATTCTTACGCGTGTTTTTGTTTGCCTGTTTCTTCATTCCCGTTGTACGTCCGACCAGGTCTTTGACCTCCTTCTTATGCCTGGCTAGCATTACATCCTCCGTTTCAGCACCGCTGCTCATAATAGATCTAGATATCAGTAGCTGGCTATGGCGAGTAGGCTTTTTCTAGCAGGCTACCATCTATATGCCGACTTTCCCACTTCTGCCTATCACGGTGACAGCTTTAGTAAGGGTACCTGGAAAAACTCATTAACCGCTTGAGCGGGCCGAAACAACTGGTGGAAGAAAAAAATTAATTTTGATCTTCTCTGATCACTTATTTCCTGAACTCCATCCATGAGACCGTTGGCTGGGACATTTACCACTTGCTCGTTCCTATTGCAATCCACAGTTGAAAGCAGATACTCACACATATAAAAGTCATGGGTTTTTTTTGGGCATCCACTCCTAGTCCTGCATTTGCCACTGATGCAGCTGCCTCCGCTATCTACAATGTAAGCATTTTCTGACAAAAGTCTGAGCTAGAAATTCACGATTCATTTACTTACTCATTATACTAACAATCTTTCATAGCAGTCACCACCTCCAGCATGTCCTATGCACAACAAAGACTTGCCAGTTGCTTGTCCAGTGAAGAAGACTGGTTTGTCGTCAGACGATGAGAAGTTGAATCCATTGACCAATATGCCATACGATTTATCCACAAAAAAACAACCAGGCCAAAAGATCGATCTGCCAACAGAAAGAACATTATCCACCATTCCAAGGGGTGAGGACCAGGGCCAGGGCGTGTGGGAATACCCTTCCCCTCAGCAAATGTTGAACGCCATGTTAAGAAAGGGTAAAGGTGATGTTCCGGAAGATGCTGTCGAAAGTATGGTTAACATTCATAACTTCTTAAACGAGGGCGCTTGGGAAGAAATTGAACAATGGGAAGAGCCATATACTCAGCAAACACATATTCAGCCAAGATTGTTGAAGTTCACTGGTAGACCGGATGCAATATCTCCTAGGGCAAGATACTACAATTTTATGTCTTACTTTTTCCCAGATAAGTATGGTTCAGAGTTGCCTTTTGACAGACACGACTGGACCGTCCTGAGAAGCGATGGTGCTGGCAATTGGAAAGAAGTCAGATACGTTATTGACTACTATTCTGGAGGTGAAGATCAATTTGGTCTTCCTGCTTTCTATTTGGATGTTAGACCTGGATTGGACAATGTCGACAATGCAGTTCAGAGATTTAACCATTGGAAAGAAATCATGAGGCCAACTTGGGAGAAGGCTATGGGTCATTCCCCTGAGGCTGGAAGTACACTGGTTTCTGCTGCGGAAAAGAAATGATCAAAACTTTGTTATGTTTCATCCTTTCTTCCATTTATCCCTTATTATGAATTGCTTTTTCCTATTTTAACAGTACTGAACGTATTTCATCCTACTTGGTGTTAAATACACTCATTCAACATATCATTCTTCACAAATTTAACGAACTCTTTTATCATATATAGCACCTTGTTTATACTCGTAGTGACTAATTTCATATCCACTACATTAACGTTGAAAAACAAACTCGAAGTTTAGCAATCTAACAAATCAAAAAGGTTTTCGCAAAAGGTATCGTTCCTTAATTATATAGATATTGACCGTAAACAACTATAAAGTTACACATAGCTGATTTTTATCCCCAGTAGCACAAATCGTTGAAATAGTTGCCAATCTTGACATCCCGCTTCCACCAAACTCTTATAAACTCTATAACAAAAGTGCAATCAGATGCACTATACGGGTCCAGTCCCATTTCAAGTATATCGTTTGCATCCAAAATCATTACCGATTTACTACCCGAAGTTCTCTCATTATCAAATCTGTCGACCAATTCGATGACGGCAGTAAAAAGTTTAATTGTTAGCTTTTGAAAATATCCAACCAACGTTATCAATTTTCCAATGTTGTCATTGGAAAGACTATCAAAATACTCAAATTCAATGTTGTACTCTTCATTTACTGACTTAAAAGATTCACCTGCACTTGCCCACCATGCTAATCCATTCCAGATTAACTCTTGTATTGATCTTTTTTCGCTCACTTTTGACGCAATGGGGGAAAGCTCATCAGTTCCATTTAAGTTGGAATATAGAATCTTGAATCTTTCGAAGTCTTTTGGAGTAGAATATTCAACCTTATTTGTAACAGAGTTGGTAATTTCAGGTAAATATACTCCTTTGTTGCAAGAATTCAGGGGCAGTTTTATCGTGTAGTCGTAGAGGTTATCTTTCTCTATAATTATCTGATCTGTAGTGGATGCGAGATAGTTTGAGTCCAATTTTACAAGCTGGTAGATATCGTTGACACAGACATTGTAAATCGGACGATGGAAAAGAAGGCTAGAGATATTTCGGCTAACTGATTTCTTGAGTTTATCTTCAATTTCTTTTGGTATTGCCGATATCAAACAAATACAATAAAGAATCTTAGACATATCTCCAATGCCGTAATTGTTATGCTTCACCTCTTCATTTCCTTCAATACAAACAGCTGACGCAGTATATGGGGAATACATTATAATTGCCTTTCTCAGTAAAGAAATTTTCCAGATCTTGAAAATCAAGGGTCCGAAATCGTTGACAAATGGAATCAAAGAATCAATCATATGATCTGATTTAAAATCCTCGTCCAATAAGGAAGTGGTTGCCGACGGGACTTTGGAAGACGCATTTAAAGTAGGAGACAATTTACCACTTTCTTTTGCAGTGCTACTAATCGACAAGGACGGCGATTTGTTTTTAAAGCAACTATCAGTGAAAAACTTGCTGAACTTATCAAAAAATTCCTCTTCTTGTTGATCATTTGTCAAATTCATAAAATTGCTTAAAAGCTGTGACAATTCCGATCTATAGTTCCATGTTACGGAGTAAACTTTGGGTTTCCAGTTCTTATATTCCTCTATGGAATCCAAATGAGTGGGGTCAATCAAAATACCCAATGAGTAAAGCTTGACCTTACTTCTGTCGACCACCCCATCGTCGGTGAGTTGTTGCAGGTGGCTGTTTTGCTTAAAGATCGATATTCCATAAAGAAATGTTTCCAAGTCACCCTTTGTCTGGACAAAGCAAATCGTATCAGTATTTACGGAATGCAATCCGGAAGGAATTGATTTGAATTCGAGATCTTTACTTGGGTATAACTCGTTGTCTAATGATTTGAACCATTTCAGCTCGTAACCTGTGTGGACATCGAACTTGGTGAGAAACATGGCGCAAATGGGTGGAATCTTCTGCATTTTGGTGTCAGCTAAAACGTCAGCTTGATACTTTCAATTTCAATGGCTGTAACCTGTCAAGAGAATGCAAGAAGCAAATAGTAGTAGAGCTGTTACCATGATTATCTGTTTCGAAGTATCTCAGAATTCGCTGTCTATTGAGAGCGTTTGGCGTAGCATAAATATTTTCCCTCTTGACCCCTGTTACGACAACTTACCCATTTGCATTGTAGAACAGAGTACTAAGTTTAGAGCTAAACACACAAACTCTAATTTGCTTCACTTTCTCCTATAAGTCCTTTTTTTTTCTTGCTAGATATAATTCTTTTGCTACACACATTTTCCCCCATTGAGTTTCCTATGATACGTGATAACTCGTATGCCTTTATTTACGAGGATGACGATGACTGTATTCATGCGCAAAGAGGGGTCAAAAGGGAACACACTTCAGAGTTAATAACTCCACTATCTACATATAATTACACACACAAATTATACAACCATAACGATCAGCTGGATAACGTAGGAAGTAAAAGGAGGAGAATCAACAACACCGCTGATTCTGGATTATGTAGCAGCTTGAAGAAGTCAAAAACGGGTCGACGCATTCCGGAAATTGTCATCAAGCAAGCTCATTTGGAGAAGTCGCAGCTGAAAGATATATTTGAAACCTTTGTTGGATTGGAATACATCCCCCCAAAGTGTGGAAATAAAACAATGCTGGACAAAGAAAGTGCAGACTTTTTCGAAAATCGAATTTCAGTATTGCTTTTCCTGTTTGATTGTTCGAACTTCTCATACCTCAAGTTCTTTGAATTGTTTCCTCAGAAAAATATCAAGGTAATAGGGATAACTCCGGAGTTTGGGCTCTACAATGACCAGTCATACCCTATTGTTCTTGATAAGAATGGCGACATTGCAAAGCAATTAAGTATACGAAATCCCCTAGGTGGTGGCATCTATCCGATTCCGTCCATAATCTTGTTTGACTCTTCTCAGACAGAAATCTTCAGAATCAAATTGGGATATGATTACAATGTTTATTACGATTCATCGGTCGAGAACAATTTGCAAAGCGTTCTAATAGAAGGTGTAAATTATGCGGTCAGCACCTGAACGTCGATGATTCGCAAAGCATAGATAAGTATCCGAAAATTATGTACAACTAAATTACACTAAGATACAAATACAACAACCGTAATATAAGACACAAACAAATACAATTATTTGACTTTAAAACATTACACAATACTGTACCAACTATATAAACAACAAAATATTACATTTCAACCAATGATTTCCTTTCTTTATCCAGCTTTTTAAACTCCTCGGTACTCGTTTTGGTCTTTTCCGCTATATCGTCTATAGCCTTTGCTATTCTATCTAGCTCCTCTCGTTCCCTGGTTTTCAGCTTATCATCTAATAACGTTCCTGGTTGCTTAGTAAGTAATGCAAACATCTTCTCTGTCGGCTCGTTAAACACAATCTCATCATACCTCACACTCTCTACCTTGCCATCCATACTCACCAGACCATTGTATGGATGCATTTTCAAGTGGTGGATTAAGGTAATGTTTTTTTCGCCTCCCTCAGTGTGGAAGAAGATTTTAATTATGATTTCGAACTCACCCCAGCCGGTCTCTGTGACTTCAAATGGAGGCTGCTCGACCGTTCTCGACGAGTTGGGGTATGTATCATGTAGCTTAAAAATGACCTTTTTGATGTACGTTGAGAGGTCGTTTCCCGTAGGGTCTTTTACGAAAACAGTCCACGAATGGGTGTGATCTTTCGGTGCTGCCGGCGGCATCGGGTTTATAGGAGAGAATTTCGTCGCCACATTTCCGTACATGATGGGTTTTGATATGGAAACTTGTTTGATTCGTTTATGCGAACTTGCTGGCGGTGCCATGCTTGTTGTTGAATGCAGTGATAGTTGTTGGTTGAGCCTAAATAATGCAAGAAGGTGAAGTTGTGAACCTGGTGGGGAGAAAAGGCTTCAAAACTGAGAAAAACATGTCGAGCAGTTGCACGGTGCGCATAGAACCAGAGCTAGCCTGGGGGATTATGTTTGAGTTTATCTTTCTTTATATAGATAGTTATAAATAAAAGTCTTCCTTTTGCTTTTACAGGGACGCCGCCTTTATTTTTGTAAAATTAAATAGACCCTGTTTTCGAGCAGGATATTGGCAAATATATGGCGTGAATCGTAGTGGGAGCAGATTCAGACATTTATTCCGAAAAGTTAGCTCCGAGACTTTTCACCAAACCACCTTCCTTAGCTGCCATTTCGTAGTAACTGTAAATGGTAGTAGCAGCCATCAAGATGGAAGTTCCTGAGCCCAAGCAGCCAAACATGTCGCTTACGACGGATAAGGCACCAATGGTGGCACCACCGAAGGCAGCAGCGGTTGGAATGATTTTCTTCAATTCTTTGTACACTGAGGTTTCTCTGTGACCAGCAATGACTAAACCTTGGTCCTTGAATTGTTTGGCAACATCTCTTGGAGCAGTTCCAGATACCTCAATCCAAGTTTTAGAGAAGAAAGCACAGGTGCCCAAGACAAAGAGGACGTAGATGACAGTCTTGATAGGGTCCAAAAGAGCTTCTTGCAAGTTCAAAGGAGGCTGCATGTAGTAGGAGACGCCGGAGATGGCAAACAACTGTTGGCCTCCGCCCTGCTTAGCCTCCCAGGTACCGATAAACTTGATGGCCAAGTTGTTTGGGAATCTTGAGTAGAGCATTTGGGAGATGATGAAGATGTTAGAGGTGAGAGCACTTTGAAGCATGATTGGCATGTTTGAAGTGTAGAACAATCTGATTGGGTAGACGTTGAAAGGACCTCTCTGTCTGGTGGACTTGATTGGTAGGTCGACTCTGAGGCACTGGAGGTAGACGACAAGGGAGAAGACAATGAGGGTGGAGAAGACCTGGGACATGTTTGGAGCGTTGTCTCTGTAGAATGAGTCGACAAGAGCGGCTCTGGTGCTAGATCTGGTGAAGAGCATGTGGATGAAGGCCAAGATGGCGCCCTCGAACTCGGAGCCCCTACCTCTGTTGACCAACGTTGGAGCAAAGCACTTCCAAACAATGGACTCGCAGATCTTGGTGGACATGAACAAGGAGGTACCGGAGCCAAGCCCGTAGCCCTTCTGAAGCAACTCGTCCAAGAGAATGACCATCAAGGCAGCAAACACCAACTGGAGAATCAACAAGAGACACACACCCGAGCCGAGGTCGGACGGTCTGCCGTACATGCCTGTCAAGACGTAGACGGTGGCCTGGCCGAAGGACAAGAGGATGGCAAGAAGCTTCTGCGCCACCTGCAGCAGCTCTCTGTCGTCCTTGCTCTCTGGGTCCATCGACAAGATCTGCGTGCCCTGGAGCAACTGGAAGATCATGCCCGAGGTGACGATGGGCGAGACACCCAACTCCATTAACGTACCTCTGTTGGAGGCCAACATCATTCTCAACCAGAACAACGGGTCACTGGACTCGCTGGAGGTGATTCCGTAGAGCGGGATCTCGCTCATCACAAGGAAGATCAGCAACGTCACACCGGTCCACATCATCTTCTGGTTGAAGGGGACCTTTCTCTCAGGAGCAAGGACCTCTGGGAGGTAGGGCTGGAAGGGCTTGACAAGGTCGAGAACACGGAAGCCACTCATGGTTGTGCGATGGAATGGGCTGGATGTGTCGTGCTTTGCGTAGCGGTGCAATTCTCAATTGTTCCTCTTGCACCTGGACGGGAACAACACAACAGTCTGCTGAAAAGTGATCAACAGGTCCTCTGCCAACACGAAAACGCTCCACCGGGAAAAAAAGTCGCAGCGGCCATTTCTGTACGTGTCCTCTTTCGCTTTTTTCGCAGCGTGCAGAGAGGGAAAAAGTCGGGGGGAAGCGTCATTACGTAATCTAGCTGGTCCTATTTGATAGGTTTGGGATGGATACTTGGGATACTTACTTTATACACTGCGGAGCAGGTTACTTTTTGATGAAGGTCAACAACTTCTCGACCTCGTCCTTGGAGCCGAGCCAGATGCCGCTTCTCTCGTGAATCTTCTTTGGAGTCAGGTCCAAGATGCGCTCACCCTTGTCGTTGACAGCCATGCCGCCGGCCTGCTCGAGCAAGAGGGCCATTGGAAAACACTCGTACAAGACACGCAACTTGCCGGTCTTGGACTTGGAGTCGGCCGGGTAGCCGAAGATGCCACCGTACAACAACGTTCTGTGGACGTCGGCCACCATGGAGCCGATGTATCTGGCGCTGTAGGGCTTGTCGTGGTTGTCGGCCTGGGGCTGCTTCAAGGAGGCAATGTACTCCTTGATGTCGTCGCTCCAGTAGTGCGAGTTCCCCTCGTTGACGGAGTAGATCTTCTTGTGGCTGCTGTCGTCGAGCTTCAAGTGCGGGTGGGTCAAGATGAACTCGCCCAAGTTCGTGTCTAGGGTGAAGCCGTTGAGGCCGGAGCCGGTGGTGAGCATCAAGTGCGCGGACGCACCGTACATGGTGTAGCCGGCGGCCACCATCTCGTTGCCGGAGCGCAACACGTCCTTGATGGAGCCCGTGGAGCCCGGCTGGAGCTTGTACACGCCGAAGATCGTTCCGACGGACACCCCGGCGTCCAAGTTCGACGACCCGTCGATCGGGTCGCAGCAGACGGCGTAGTTGCCCGAGTTGCCCTCGAAGATGATCAAGTCCTCCTGCTCCTCGCTCACCAACACCTTCACGTTCCCGGAGCCCTTCATCGCGTTGATGAAGATCTCGTCGCCGATCACGTCCAACTTCTTCTGGTCGTCCCCGGTCGAGTTGGTCTGTCCGTAGAGACCAATCAAGTTCACCAACTCCGCTCTTCTGATTGTGTGCGCGATGAACTTGAACGCATACTGCAACGCGTTGAGCAAGAGCGACAGCTCCCCTGTCGCCTCGGGCGCCAGCCTCTGCTGCTCCTCGATGATGAAGCGGGTCAACGTGATCAAGTCGGTGTCAATTGGGGTCTTGGAGTCGGACATTCTTGTGTGTGCGCGTGCGGGTGTATACGTGGATGTCTATGTCTTTCTAGCGGTCTGTCTATCTAACCTAATGCAGATACAAGTCTATAGCGGTAGTCTTGCGGGTAGCGGCGTGGCAGGCGATGTCAGGAAGAACACACACACACACCACAGAAGAACAACACCACTGCCAAGAGGAAGAACCCAAACAAGGCCACCAGCCCAGTAGGTCAGTAGCCCAACAGGCGCAGCCCAATCCACAGCACGTCCTCCTGCCTTCCCTCCCGGAATCATCATGTGTTCCGCATCCATCCCGCTGTCTCCTCCCGCCCCGACCCCACAACAAACCATCGCCGGCCCTCCCCCGCCGCAACGGCCGTCCGCGCCGGGGCTCGCCGCCGGGCACGTCCCGGGCAAAACCCCCGGGGCGGCCCGCAACAAAAAGCTCCGGGACGGGGAGAAACACCGCCCGGCCGCCGGCCAAGGTCACGGCGCGGGCCCACGCCACGGGCGACGGGCGGTCGAGGCTCAGAACGGACTCAGGCACGGCCGGGGGTCGGGGAGCAGGGAGCAGGGAGCAGGGATCGCCGTCGCGTCGGTCCGGCATGGTCAGAGATTGTTGATGCGGATATACACCTCGAGCTTCCACAGGGTCTTCATCTCAAAGCCGTCGATGAAGGTGGCGCCCTGGGCCAGGGTGTGGCCACCGGCGAGGTCCGAAGCAGGGTCGTAATCGTGTGTAAAGAAGCCGTTGTTTGCCGTGAGGAAGTCGGCAACAAGATCGGCGTCGGTAGGAAGACGGTTGGCGATCTTGTTGAGCGAAACCTTGCTCCCCCGCTTGGGCTTGAGGCGGCTGGTGTTCGGGTAGTTCCAGCGCTTGAAGAACTGGCCCTTCTGGAGCGCAAAAGACTTGACGGGCAGCTCGTCCATGACGCCGGCTTCCTTCATGGCCAGCAGCTTGGTGTATTTGTCATGGAGCGAGAGCGGGCCGTCGTCGTCGAGAAGCGGGCCGATGCGCAGCGGGCCGAGGTGGTTCTGGTAGTAGGAGTTGCGGCAGCGGAAGAAGCAGGCGGTGCGGATCAAGTAGATGGCGACGAGCTGGAGGTCCGGGCTCTGCACGAGGCGGAACACGCGGATGAGGTTGGCGGGGTCGTCGAACTCGAAAAGCTCCCAGGACGTGCCGACGAAGCTGTTGACGGCGATGGCCTGGATGCAGGGCAGGGTCGCGTTGAGCACATGCGCCGTGGCGTAGTAGAAGAGGTAGGTGAGGACGGTCTGCTCCTGGCCACGCAGGTGCTCGTCGAAGGACGGGTTTAGGTTGGAGAAGTGCGCCGGCAAAATCGAGGCGTACGAGTTGAGCAGGCGCACAATGTACCCGTTGTTGAACCCTAGCAGCGAGTGTTCGTGCACGTTTGCCCGCAGCAGGCGGGCGTGCTCCTCGTAGAAAAGCCGGAGGTTCTCGTAGTCGACGTTGTTGATGAACGTGTTCCCAAGCTTGTCGAGCGCCTTCTTCATCTCCTCAAACACATCCACGCTGTTGTTGCGGATGAGCATCTTCTTGAAATGCGACGTCAAGTGCGACGAGATGATGTTCGAGCCTGTGATCGTGAGGTCCACCCGGGTCCTCTCCATCACGATGCTGTAGAACCCTGTCGAGAAAATCCCAAGAAGCTTGATTGCGTTGTTCCCTTCCTCGTAGTTCAGGTCGTACTTGAGTCCGTTCTTGAAGTGGTACACCAGGCACTCGTTCAACACCCAGAAACACCCGGCAAAGAGGTTCACCCCAGCCAACGAAAAGTCCCGGAAAAACGGAATGTACTCGCACTTGATGATGTTCGTGATGTCGTCGATAAACACCACAGACTCGTTCTCGCACTTGCACGAGATCGACAGCTTCACCTTGTAGTTCACTGCGGGGAGAAGGCTTTGTTTCAAAAGAACGTTCTTGTAGTAGTCCATCGCAAGTAAAATCATTGACTTCCTCAACAATCTCTTGAAGATTTGCACCACAGACAGAATCCAGATCGTGTCTGTTTGGAGGTAGCTGTCAATGCTCTTGCCCTTCAAGAGCCGTCGAATCCCTTCAAAATCTTGCTTGTGCAAAAGCTTGTTCACTGCCAATGATTGCTCCGCATACTCCTCCAACGCGTCCACCACAGCAGGTGACCTCAATGGGAAAATCCGCTTCGATATTCGGAAGTTTGAATATAGCGGCTTTGGCTTTGTCACATCGCCACTGCTTCCTCCGCCACCAGCTACCAGCTCATGCTTCGCCTGCTGGTACTTCGTCCGCAATGGCACGTACTGGTTGGTCTCAAACGTGTCGTATATTAACTGACTCCCCATCGAAGTCGGTAACATCACTCCTTCGATCTTGTACGCGTGATATACCGCACTGTTGATCGGAGACCCATCGTTCCCCAAGCTTATCTCTCTGATGGGCTGGTACTGGAATCCGACCGGCGGTGGGTCCGGCGTCGGCTCTCTGCTATCCTCCGACAGGGATGAAGGTGTGGGTTGCCGCAATACATCGCCTTCCTCAAAAAATGCACTATCGTCTCCATCTATGCTATCGGTGCTGTCTTCTGCTATGAGATGGGTTTTCTTGTTTGAAGTTTGAGAGCATACGATTTTGTGAATCTGAAACGGGGTCATTGTCAGATAGGAACACTGGATGTTTCGCTTCTTGCAGAACGTGCAGATTGGAAGCTTTTCATCGCATTTAATCTTTCGTTGCTTGCAGTTGGCACATCCGCTCTTTGAATTCTTGTGTTTCCGTCTGAACTTCTTGAAGCCCAACTCACCCTCAGCACGAGAACTTTTGTTTCTGTTGCTACCACTACTTTGAGATCCTTCGTCATCCTCCTCTTCCTCTTCCTCTTCCTCTTCCTCTTCCTCTTCCTCTTCCTCTTCCTCTTCCTCTTCTTCTTCCTCTTCTTCTTCTTCCTCTTCTTCTTCTTCTTCTTCTTCTTCTTCTTCTTCTTCTTCTTCTTCTTCTTCTTCTTCCTCATCTGCTTCTTCTTCATCCTCCTCCTCGTAATCTTCTTCCTTCTTCTTCATGCTTTTAGTCCCTTCCCCTTCCTCCTTACTCCTATCTTCAGCTTCGGCTAGCACTGCAATTTCTCTTCGGAATTCATCGGACGATACATGTTGGGATTCTGTTTCCTGCACTTCTATACGCACCAAGTGCGCTTTCAGTTCTGAGTCCAGTTCTGAACACATTCCAGAGCTCGGAAATTCAATCAAAGTTCAGCAGCTGATTGGTATAGCTTGTGGTTAGTAAGATGCGGTGTTATATTAGCTTTTTCTCGTGTCACAAGACTGATGACAATGTGTGCAACTGTTTTTTTCAGTCCAGAAGGGCCTTTTTCTACCTTTAACACCGTTTTCTTGACCAAGCTCGAAGAGCATAACTTCGTAGGATACGGCCTGCAAAATCGGTTAATTCTAGGTTCCACCTGTAAGTAGATTCGTGTTTCCTCCGAACGTGCTTCCGTAGCTTCGCCTTCTCGTATCTTGACAATGTCCTAGAACAACCAGGGTTGCACTTTCCCATCGGTATATAGCATCGCAGCGCTGCCGCCGTCCCGCCCTGGAAAAATTACACGTGCAGCGAGGGACTGGAATCAGACCGATAAGTGCTAAAAAAGTAAACAGGGAGATAGATAAATCGATCGACAGATTGATGGATAGATACATGGGGGAAACAGATATGAACAGAAGGTTTTTAGCAAACAGCGTCGACAATGCTCTGGGAGGCGATGGCCTGAACAGATTTGATTAAGGGCTTTTCGGCGCCAGCGTAGCTCTCAAACAACAACTGGGTTACAAGCGGCTCCTTGACAGTGCCAAGCACGACTGGCTGGCCTCTCTCACTTGTGCCGGCCTTCTTAATAGCTTCGACAGTCACTCTGATGTGCTGGTTCTCGTCGATCTCCATGAATACTAGGGAGTTCTTCTTGGCTGACATCTTGGCAGTGTTGAACGTGTCTCTGAGGTCCTCCAAACCCTTGGTAATCCTCTCGCCTACTGTCTCATCCTCGGACTTCATCAGCTTGCCGTAGTTCGGGTTGTTCTTGATGGTTCTGATGAAGCCGTCCCTCAAGTGACTCAAGTCGGTGTTTCTGACGGCGCAAATTCTCGCAGTAAACCTGACGCCGCTGGTGAGCAGGTTTCTGATGAGGATGTTAGACACACTGGGGTCGTTCAGTGCACGAGAGAGGTTTTCCTTGTGTTCTTCGGGCGTTGTGGCGTGCTGAATGTCTTCGTAGAAGCTTTCGATGAACTTCGAGTTGAGAATTTGCTTGACGAGTTTTAGGTCGTCCTCAGCAATGTACAAGCCCAAGGCATAAACCTGGAACTTCAAAAACGAAACCTCCCGGATACCGTACCCGATTAAGTCGTAGGTGGTGGACAATGGTGCCGTGAGCTTGGTCGGAAGCGGGTCCACCGAGCTTACCACGGAAACGGTGTCTACACCGGCGTCTGAGCGGATGTTTTGACTAGAGAAGGTGGAGTAGACACCTGCCGTCACAGCAACGGTTGTCAATGCACCCACTAGTCCAAACCCAAACGTCTTGCCGCCAATGACACTGCCGTGTGCGTGGATGCTGCTCTGGCTGAAGTGCCTTCTACCGGCTGCGGAAGATGATCCAAATGATGCGGCCACCCGTGCGAGGGGGGAACGCTGCAATCTCAAGCTGGTTCTTGTGGTCTTTGCAATCCAGGACATGATTTTCTGGCTTAGTTACTGTAATAAAGGGTGGTACGCCAACGGGTTATGATTAATCTCGAAACCACCTGATTAGTGTCCTATATGAAAGGCCAGTCTCATTGACAAGAGAGGAGAGCAGAAAAATGCGAAAACAGTCACGTGTTACTCCATAATAAAAACACGTGATTTTTGCGGCTTAATTAGTTTCGCTTATGTTTGCCCGATTGGGAAACTTATAGAGAGAGGCGGGAGACGGAGAAATGAAAGAGATAGATCTGTCCCAGGATCTCGACAGAAAAGAGTTCTCTCGGTGCTTTTCTTCCTTCTGCCTGTTCTTCTCTTCTTTAATTGTCAATTGGATCATTCCAAAACCAAACAAGCCAGTTTATCAAATAGTATGGGCAGATTCGAGACAAAGGATACAGTTGCCGTGTGTGGAGGCAAGCTCCTCAAGCTTTCTCACGCTTCGGAATACACAAAGACCTCGATGGACGTGAACGTCTATCTTCCACCGCAGTACGAGGCTTCGGGGGCGAAGAAGCTGCCTGTTCTGTTGTATCTTTCCGGGTTGACGTGTACACCTCAAAACGTTTCCGAGAAGTCGTTTTTACCATACTTCGCCAGCAAGCACGGGTTTGCGCTTGTCTTCCCAGATACGTCCCCAAGAGGTGCCGGTATCAACGGCGAAGACGAGAGTTGGGACTTTGGTACCGGGGCCGGGTTCTACGTAGACTCCATCAGAGAGCCATGGAAGAAGAACTACAACATGTACTCGTACGTGCTCAAGGAGTTGTTGCCGCTGGTCAGCGAAGAGTTTGGCCAGCTGGACGTTCTCGAGAACTGCTCCATCACGGGCCATTCGATGGGTGGGTACGGCGCCCTCATGATGTACATGCGTAACCCGGGGCGGTTCAAGTCGTGCAGTGCGTTTGCACCTATTGCTAACCCGAGTGTCGTTCCGTGGGGGGAGAAGTGCTTCGGGAACTACTTGGGCGAGGACAAGGCGGAGTGGTACAAGTACGACCCATGCCATTTGGTCAAGGCGTACGCAGGCAACCCGCAGGTGGCCGACGAGAAGATCTTGATCCACGTCGGCACGAAGGATGTCTTCAACTACAGAGACCACCAGTTGAGATGCGAGAACTTGGTCGAGGCAGCCAAGGGCACCAAGTTGGCAGGCTCGATCGACTTGAACGTCGTTGACGGCTACGACCACAGCTACTACTTCATCTCCTCGTTTGTTCCGGAACACGTGGAATTCCACTTGAAGTACCTCACTAAATGACTATCCAAACTGTAGTTTTCCCCTGTCTTCTTTTTCGTCGTTCGGAAAAGCTTATTGCGAGAGTATATGTATCTACATACACAGACAGATGTAAATAATGGACTAAGGAGAAAATGAAAGGGAAATGAAAGCATAAACAATGAGGAGACTCGGCTCCCGTGCATCGTAGGGTCGGCAGCACCTTCACTGCGCGTCGTCTCGGGCATGCCGTCGTGCGGCATCGTCACTGTATGGTCGTGGTTGTACTTCTCGACTCCACAGCCTTCCAAATAAAACCCGCCTGTATGAGGACAACCACCAATATGTAGACGGAGAAGTGCAGAGCATTAATTAGCCTAGTGTTTTTTACTCTTCTCCCTGCCGTCTGGGTGCCCTCGCTGTCGCATTCCTGTTTGTACGGTGGGGCCGGACCCAAAGACTCGATGTCACCAATTGCCTCGAAGTATTTAGGCAACATGGCCTCCTGCTTACGATCCCCGGTCGCACCGTGAGTATTGCACACTTTCTCGTAAACGGGGACAGCACGATAATCCTTGGGGGCGTACTGGGACATATTGTTGGGGTCGATGGCGGGATCGTAGCGCACCGGTTCCGGAGTCAAGTATTTGTGAGCAGACATTGATAGTTCGGTATGTGTATGTGGTATGGGAAGGAGAAGTGTCTGTTTTGAACATCTGCGCAGTGGTGGGACATACTCCTGATATGGGTTTGCCTTGTATCCGTCTCCTATCAGCATCTCCCACTGCGGTGCGATACGGCAGGGTGCGCGATCGCCGCGGGTTGTTGATTTTCCAGGCCGGGCGGGAGCATCGGTCGGGCTGATTGACACACGGATGAAGGCCAGCCTGGCTGGAGGCTGAATGGAGCCAGGATGGGGGCAAAGGAGGAGAGAAGAGGAGCAAAGGCATCGGCAGGTGTTTGTTGCTGCTTGTGTACCAGCGGAATAGCCCTATAGCGATAGTGTCTACGAGAACGGCACGGAGAGACAGCGCATGAGTGGACCAGACTACGTGTACGCCAACGGGAACGGGAACGGGAACGGCAGCGCCAATGGCGGCGGCAGCGGCGGCAACAGACGCCGCAGCTCGCACAATGCAAACGGCCTCAGTGGAGGGGGACTTGACAGCGTGTACCAGCCGGTGAATCTGTTCAACGGCGTGGAGATCCAGAACATCCTGCACAACAACTTCGAGCGGTACCGCTCGAAGGCCGCCGTCTACACGGAGAGTGTGGGCCGGGCTTCTGCCGGCGGCGGCGAAGCCGCTCGCCCCAGTGAGGAGCATGAGTTCACGATGGTGAGCTCCTCGAACAGCGGCGCCAACGCCAACACCGCCGCCACCGCCACCGCCACCGCCAACAGCTATGGCGGCGAGCGGTACGGCTACGACCGGGCCGGCTACGGCGGCCGCAAGGGAAAGGACCTGTTGAGCGAGTTGAGCAAGAGCATGATGCACATGCACCCCCACACGCACAAGAACAGCGCCAGCAGCGCCAGCAGCGCCAGCGCCAGCCACTACCACTACCACCACCACTACCAGCAGCAGCAGCAGCAGTAGTTGACGACCGCCAACCGTTGTTCTCGTCCATGTCCTACGTAGCTTGTGTCGTCTTTGTACTCAACATGTATGTAGCATCTGTTATCGGCCTCGGTACGTCACTCTGGTGTGCGCTTACGTCAGCACGCGACTCCTCTCCGGGGCACGCGCCCTGTCCGAAAGGGGAAACGCCGGCGGCTTTGTTCGTGAGCAAAGCGAGCGGGCAGGAACGAAGGGCCGTCTGGCCCAGAGGGGCCGGCAGAGGGGAGGAAGAGCCTGTGCAGAGTTTTCTTCTGGCAGACGTGTATCAAACAGGCATTTGACGGGGAGTATTGTTGAGGGGGGCGGTCGGAGGAGCAGCACAGAGCAGAGAGACAAGTGCCGGACCCAGACGACCGAGACAGACCAGGGATAGCTGCAGGGAAGCCTTCGAGACGTGTTTTAGCTCCATCGCTTCTTGCCACACGCCTGCACCACACGTTACCACGGTTCGCCACCATAACACCACCCGAGCTCGCCAGCACACCGCCCAGCGGAGCACACACAGCAGCACACTCTAGATACCACTAGCAACGACGCAGACGCCGCCGTAGAGTTGCCGCAGAAGAACCGCATCTCCCTCTCTGCCCATTCCAGCACCCCGCCGCCGGCTGCACGCTCGTTAGACACGCACACACACAAGTACAGACTCAATCGATACGCTCATTTAAACACACCACAGTCGCTCCTTTTCGTTCCTCCTTTCCTTTTTCCTTCCCTCCCTTGCCAGGACCATGTCACTCATTTCAGATGCACACACAAAACCCTCTCCTCCACCTCCGCAGGAGCCGTCGATGTCGCTTGCTGACCCGATCAGCATGACGCTCCAGCCGCCAACCGTGAAACGGGGCCACCGACACCGCCGCTCGGCAGCTATCTCGGGCGACTTCGACTCCAACTCGTTCCTGCAGCCGCCTCCAACAAGCGCAAACAGCAGCAACGCCCTGAACCTATCCAAGTCGCTGCCCTGCTCGCCAGTGAAGTCCAGCGTAATCAGCAGCATCCTCGGCAACGGCAGCGGTGGCACGACCTTGCATCCGAAGGAGTCTATGGCACGCTTGGATTGCACGGCGCCCACGCTGACGCCGGCGCCAACCACCGGCTTCAACAGCTCGCTCCAGAACTCATCCTACTCCAACAGCACGGGCAACAACAACAGTGGCAGCACCAGTAATTACTACTACGCTTCCACTTCAAACACGACCACAACCCCAACCCCAAACTCAAACTTGTCCACTCCTATCAAGTTCTATTTGACGGATGAAACAAAGTTCACAAACTCAAACTCAAATATCCCTGATGCCTTGATCGACTTGGATGACATCAACAACAACTCAACGTTCTCCTCCTCCTTACCAAATAACTTCAACTTGAGTCTCAACTTGAACCCAGCTTCAAAGTTTGGGAAGAAGCAATTTTCCTTCCATGACTTTGAAGGTCACACAAATCACTTGCCGAAACACTCCCTTTTGTGCTCCCCGAAAAAAACTGACGTCATGATTGTCGAAGAAATCACCGAAGAGAACAATACTTTCGATCTGGAAAACGATGCTGACGAAAACGTCTACAACCTTGAAAATACTGGTAAATACAATAATAATAACAGTAATAACAACCATATTAGTAATAATAATAACAGTTCTGGTGTCGAAGAGGAGGATGAAGAAGATGACAGCTATGATAACATCATACCTTCTTCCACGTTTTCAAATAACCAGTTCGAGTTGAATTCTCTCCTAATGTCCAAGCAGCTAAACAACTCGTTGACCTCCTTGCCAACGAAGAATTCAAACAACTCTTCTTCAAACTCTATCAATTCAAATCCAAATCCTTTCTCAACGTTGAATACTTCTTCAATTTCGAGTTTGAAAGGAAAAGTTAGATACCAATCATATTACAGCCTGGCTCCGTCAACGCCCAAAAATAGTCACCACCATAATTTCAACAGCATCGGTACCACAACCAGTAACACTACCACTAGTAACGGCCTCAGCAGCGCCAATGGTAACTACCATAGGTTGTCAAACTCGATGTCGATGTCTCCTATCAAACCAACTGTCAAGTCACCTTTCCAATACCAATCTTTGCAATACGACTTGCCAGATGGCTTCCATCAGAAAAATAACGTTCTTGAAGATCTAGAAAATGAGCAATTGGATGAAGATATAACTAATGATGTTGTCGGTGTAGATCATCAGAAGGCTGCTGCTAATCCAAAAAGCATAAAAAACACTTCTGACTCAACCTTCCTGGTAGACAACAAGAGTAAGGTGTCACTTAAGGACATGTCCAGTTCATCTTCAACTATTTCAAACAAATCCAACGTCAAACTGAACGTTCCTCCCTCCAAATCAAAGCATGAACGTTCATCATCTTTGTTCTCTATACTTTCCAAAAAAATCTCACATCACAGAAGAAGGTCTTCCGCGATGAGTGCCTATTCCAAAAAGTCAACTTCGATAATAGAGCAAACAAACGATGAATTGCTGGGCTTAAACATCAATGTGAACAATAACGATTCAACATTAAATGAAGATTTCACGTTGACCCAGGATTGTTTGGGTGAACCGGGTCCCATGATCGAAATAGGAGAAAATGATATCAATCAGTTAACTGAAAATGGAGCCAAATTGAATAGAACTGCTAACAAAAAGAAGATGAGTCACAGTAATAATCATCACGGTAGCTCTGGTAATTCCAACTCGATTTCAGTTTCGAGTACTTCAAATAAAAAGGGTTTATTCAGTTGGATCGTCAAGTCGAAAAAGAATCGGGTCAGTTCAACATAGTTTACTTTTTTGTTGCTTTTTCTTTCTCCAAAATCTTTTAATTCCTGAGTTTTACTTCTTTCGTTACTATTATTACCCAATCATTTTCTCTATTTCTTTTCCAGGTTTCTTGATCGTTTTCTTTTCGTTTTGTTTTTGAATTTTATTATGTTTCTCCGACTATTGGTCTTCTCATTCAATCCATACAAACACAAACACAAATTCATACTCTGCGTTTATTTACATTTTTGGACAACTAGATCTATGTTCCAGTCAGTTTGCATTTCAATTATTACTAATTCGGATCAAGTTCCTTACTGTCGTTATTTAAATTGTGATAATTTTACTTTACCTTCAGTTGTCTTCTTTTCTATACTTTTGACAAATGCATCCCTTCCTTTCTTTAATTACTTTATATTTCTAATATTTACAACATTACAAACAAGTACCAAGAGTACTGCTTTATCGATCTTCACCTAACTCGCCTTCTTTTTCTCTGTTATTGTGACCGTGTTGCCTGAGTTTATAACTTTTTGAGGTATCTCTAGGTCTATATTGATTTTCCAATTGTGATCCCCTGATTTCACAAGTATGGGAAACTTGGTACTTCCAAGAGCATTGAGACATCTCAGCACAATATCGATGGGTATATTAAGTTTGGTGGCAATGTCTGTATCAACCAGGCCATTCTCTGAGCCATCATCGTCAAAAAGAGTCAATATCATGCCTTGGTACATATTGCAGTTTATGTGGCATACAATTCCGTTCGGAGGTGTATAGTCAATTGTCATTCTTGAATAATGATAGTTGGGTTGGATAATTAGCTTCCCCTCTGAATACCTTCTCGAACGCCTCAACTCGTTCTTATAAAACCTCTTGAACTCTTTCATCATTTGACCCATTTCTAGAGGTAGGACCATGTTGTTAAACTGTATCTCTGTGAATGGCGTTGACAAATTCAACACCTCAGGTAGCCCCACCATGTCAATTTCATCAATTCCCGAATGGTTTAAATCATTTTCAGATAGATATTTTCCAAATTCTTTGTACCTCTTATACGATTCCTGGACCAGTTGATATGCTTCCAGCATTGGCTCACCGTAATGATATCCTTTACAAACATCGTCCAATACCGTGCACATTTCAAGTTCACAATCACTAATATTGGTATAAAGTGTAAAATCGGCATTCAATAGTGAACCTAGCATTCTTTGTACAAACTGTGTTACGTACATTCTCTTGAATTTGACCTTACTATTTGTATTCATAAGGCCAAGAATTGTCTTGAGTCCAACTTGCATTTTCTCTAGCTCGTTTTCTAACTTATTTCTATCTTTACTTTTCGAAACCAGTTTTAGCTTGTAATCTAAGCAAAATGCATAATGTCCGGCGAAATCTCGTTTGAACTTGCTCCAATAAGTTTTGAGTTCTTCTTGAAAAAGGTCTTTGACATAAGCAAAAGACGATATTCTTGAAAACATGTCAATTCTACTCGCTATTTCCGTCAATGACGTAAAAAGTTTTACCATTTCCTTTAATTTGTCCTCATTGACGATTTCTAATGATTGATAAAGCCCGGAAACAAATTTTAATGCACCAATCGTCCAGTCGGTTTCATCAAACCCATGAGCCTCATAAAATTTCTTCACTGCTCCTAACTGATTTCTAACCTTTTCATTATCAAGATTGTTGAAAAACTTGAGAAATAAAGTACTTATCGTTGAACTGAGGAATTCTCTATCCTGCGCAAACAAGATTTTAAACTCGTCACCATTGAATACTGTTAATAATGGGTCATTAAGTGCCAATGAAAGCGTGGTCGTGAAAGAATGCTCAAAATTTTTAATGTATTCAAGTTTCTCAAATATAGTATCGTAGTATACGTCTGTGTATATCAAACGCTTAATCGTCTTCAATGTGTGAAAATAGCTTTTTTGAAAAATTGGTAAAAGAACTTCCTGATTATTGTTATTTCTTTCAAGCATATTAAGAAATAAATAAAACTGAACAACTTTATTTGATTCCTTCAACGCATCTTTTGTACTTAATTCTTTCAGTAGCAAAGCTTTCAGGCTTTTGCATAATCTTGAAACCGATGCATCCAACGCCCCATCAAATTCTTGCATTCCGTATAGTTTATCACCATTTGCGTGAACGAACTTGTCGATAAAAATTTGACAAACCAAAATTTGTATTTCCGTGACTGGGTAGCTGATTGAGTTAAGAGCGATTATATTGTTAGGCTTGGAGACCTTTACCCTATTATGTACAGATCTATTCAGCCCATGACAGATTGGATACAAGGCACTTTCCGCAAACTTAAAATGATTCCACACTTCCTGATAAAACTTGCAAATGGGGAAAATAGTCAGAAGTTCTTTTCCATCATAATTGAAATCTCTATACGATTTTTCCAATAACGAAGGAATATACCTTTTGGTGTTCTCTAGTATTTCATTCCCGTGATCATAAACTGACTGAGAAGAGCTCCATTTATATATTCTTCGAGCAGCCTTGTGGACTCTCAAGAGATCATTATCAATGTCATCCAAGCTGCTAGTAATATGTTTCTGATCATTAGCCAGGATGGAATTAACATTTGCTTTTCCGTCATCAAACAAAGCTGGCGTCTTTGTATGTTCAAGGTTTTCAAGCCCAGGGCTTGATTTGAATTTTTTGAAGTGTCTCTCACTTTCTGCTTCTGTATATGTGGGAAGCTTTCTGATATTTGCAATAAACTCCATTGTTGCTATAACAATGATTGTTTAAAAAGCCAATTTTCATTCTCTTGTTATCGTGAAGAAGTGCCAGACCTAAAATCCTGATAAAACATAAAAGCGAAACTCACGATTGCAAATATTTTATCAATGCGAGCATTAATAAACTGATATGCTTTTATGCAGGGACTCAATCCTTGATCAGATAAGTTTAGGCTCCTCAGCATATATCAACATTGAGGCTATTTGGCATTAATGTATCTTCTAGTGAATCCTTGCAATGGTAAGAAGAAACCAACCCAATATTTTCAGCTCGAATATAGTGGCTCCTCTTTTTCTCAACCCTTGGAATTTAAAATGATCACGCCCAAAAAGAAACGAAAAGGATTTGATTCGAGTAGAAAGGAAAATATCGGTGATACTGTTAATTCTCAAAGATGCAGTTCAGCAGCTGACAATATACTTGCAACAAATGAAATTGTTCCAATGTTTTCAAAATTTGTCGAGTACTGTGATTTGAAAAACGACGCAAAGTCCATACAAAGTTTTGTAAACTTCTCACAATTTGAAGAAGTATGCGTCCATTCATCAATCAATACAAAAGAAGTCTCTCAAATCACAAAATTGCTAGACGCTTGGATGCAAGAGAGCATTGCGCTACTTTTAGGCCCGCAAAGAGTGGCAGACTTGCTAAATAAGTTTGCGATAAACATGAAGCTAATTTTTACTTACTGCTGGATTGTTGACACGTTTCCTGACAAATCTCATACATTGCATAAGGGTGGTTTAACAAGTGCCATCAAGCCATGGCTTTTGGTACTTTTAGGGGACTCTCTATTTATTGATACATTGCAGTCACGTTACAATCTGCTTGTAAAAGCTATTCTCGACCATAAGTCATGCGCAATTGATTCAACTCTCGTTTTCCTTGATTCAATTCATACTCTAAAATACGTTGCAAATATGCTGAAGTTGGATCAGCAAGCAATGAGTTTGAATTTAAGACTGCATTTTTCAATTCCCAACATGAGCGAACTTGTGACTAAAATCAGCGAAATACAGAGCATTGTCAAAGATCAAGTTACAGCAGATCGAACAAGTAACGAGCGTTGTGCGTCTAAACTTCAGTGCGATATATTTGATGGAATATTTTGTAGTAAACAGTTTTATGAAAACATACTCTGTGGCAGAATTACAACTAAATCATTTCTTAAATTTTTTTCTGTCAAGAGGGCTGAAATCCAGTATGATTCAAGAAGAGTTGATCCTCGAGTTTTGGAGTCAATAAGAAAGGAAATCATGGATGTAAGTTTATCAGAGAACTACAGTAAGTCCAAAACAATTCATGAATTTATGGTTGAAGTTCTACAAGTTCAATCTAGTGAGCTCTTTTTCGATGCCAGCTCTTTTGGACTTTATTGGGAGTTTGTTGTCCGCATTATCTCAAATAACTGCAATATATCTCTTGAAGACCATTTCCGATCTTTTGCAATTTTAATGTCTTATTCAACTACCCAAGGTTTAATGAGTTTTATTTTTGATAAAATACGAAAATTTCTACATGAAAGGATTACATTGTTGATCAACTCAGAACTGGATTCTATCAGAAAGCTTTTGAAATTTGCCCATCTAGTTGATGATTTGTTTTCATTTGAACAAAAATTCGCTTTAAACACTTATGAAAGAGACATAAAGGAATTGTTTGAGACACCTCACGTCCATTCGTTTGTTGAGGTCAAAACACTGCATTACGAAAGTTTCAGAGACTTGCCGCTTTTAAAAAGTAGAAAGGTTAATTTGCCTCAAAATGTTACCCAAAGCATCAGAGACATTCTACATGAAATGAAGCCAGAGAACAAAAAAATACGTCTCAACACTAGCTACAATACGGTAGAGATTGACATCAATTATGGCTCTAAAATATGTCAGTTGACATGTTCAGCTTTCATCGCAGTAGTCCTACTTGCATTTGAAGAAGTCGATGAGTTAAGCTATGAAGAGATAAAACAGAAAACCGGAATCAGCGATTCTATATTGAAATCGAGTATTGCTTCATTAAAACGTGCTGGGCTTGTGCATAATTCACAAGGGCTAATAAAGTTCATAACCAACCCAGGCTCTCTAGGGCCTTCTTTGCTAATAACGTAGAAATATATAAAAGTTTTGAAACTGCTAACACTGGTTGTTTGCAGCAAAGAAAAGACGTCAGCTTTCTGCAAACAATAAACAACAGGTCGAAGAAAAAGACGTAAATCTGCAGTGTTATTCCCTATCGTGGAATAACGATACACAACCAGCGTCAAAACTGAAAAATTCACGCCTCGTGAATTTTCTCGACATGATCCGGCCAGCACTTCCTGGGAAGTTCACAGGAATGAATGGACCACGAGAGTTGATGCATGTAGCTGTAATCATTATTCAAAACTTCTTTTCTGGCACGTGATGCACATCAATAATGGTTGATAAGGTACTTCGAGCAACTCTAAGAGCTCATAGCTCTCCTATTACATGTATTGTGCCGTTCTATATACCCTCTACATTAACATATACCTTCTCCGAAGATGAAACAAGAGATTATCCGTTACTAAATCCGAGTCTGATGACAGCTGACGAGTCAGGATTGGTTATTTGGTGGAATATTTTAACACGTCGCCCATTAGGATTGTGGAAAGCACATTCTGGCTCAATTTTAACCATTGAGCAGCTAGGTATTGACTGGGAATCAAATGGCTCGCATGATTTCAGCATACCGAAAATCACAGAGTCTTATGGCCAGTTACTCACCCACTCTAAAGACGGAAGCATAAAAATATGGAACATGATCAACTTGGTTGAAGGTTCTACTGCTAAATCGGGATTCACCTACTCATGTCTGTTGAAAAAGAAAATCAGCTTAGCCGATTCTGAAATACCCGTCCCTACTCCACCACTGCTTTATGAGATACCTGTCAATGCCATGAATTTTACCAATGTGGACATGAATTTGAATGGATACTTATTAACACCAGCTACTACAGATTCTGAAGGATGGGATCTTTATAAAATCAATTTGAAAGAAATAGAGGAATATAAAAAGTTGAAACGGTTGATTCAAAACCATCAGCCAAACCTACACTCAACCGAAAAAATGGTGGAGATTGGAGAAGATGATCAGGAGGCAATGGGTTTCACAAAACGGGGTAGACTGGGAGTGATAATGAAAACTGCTTGGATCGGTCTAAATCGCTTTCTTGTTGGTTACGAAAGTGGAGTCGTTGTAGGTTACGAAGTTTATCAAGAAGTTAATGAAAATGATGGAAACTTGTCCACTCAGACAAAAAACTTTTTATATAACAATGATCTCGAAGGGAACCCTATAACTGCAATGTGCATTGACAAAGCCAATAGGAAAATTCTTTGTTCGTCGGCAGGTAGTAAAGTTTCTATTATGGATCTGAAATCTAAGGACTATTGTTCGAAAATATTCGAAACCAAGCACAAAGGAATCAGCAGCATAGACTGTGATTCATTTAGCAATGCTGTTGGTCTTATAACCTGGGATGGATATACAAGATTTTACAACTATGATGAGAAATTAGTGCTCAAGTTTTCTTCAAAAATGCGTCGGCAACTACCTGCGATCTCCAATTCAAAGGAAGTGATTGATGATCAAAATAGTGAGGTTACGTTAGTCAATAGTTTACAGACCCAACGAGCAAGCGTCATCAAATTCACAAGAAAACAACTTGATCCACGAGAGGCGAAACTTGCCGGTATGAATATGCTGTACAATAACGGTAGAAGCAAGAATATTGTTAAAAGAAACAAAGAGGAGGTCTTTGGCGAAAGGTGGTTGTTTGTCGGCTACCAAGATGGCAAAGTGGCAATGTATTCCATTAAATAATTAACTAACTCGTAAATATTTGTTTTATGAGAAACAGAATATCACATTGCCGTGTCACCGTCCGCGTCGGTCTTGTTATAGTGACAATACCTTTGAGCAATTATATCATCTGTTAGTCCTGTATTAGCACGCTCTTTGATAGTTATCGGCTCGCAAGAGTATCCACGTGAAGTGCTTGGGATCCTAATTGAGAGCTGTCGTGCTCTTAGGCTTACCATATCATCAAAAGAAGCTTCTTTTTCCAACCTTTGAACTTCTATGTTCTCTGTTTGAGAAAAGTTTTGAAGCCAAGGATGACTGATTGCTTGCTGGACAGTCAATCTCTGGTCTGGCTTGGCCACTAACAACCTGCTGATAAGATCCAATGATATATCCTCTATTTTATCCCAGTATGGTGAATAAAAAGCAAACCTTGCCTCCAGAATTTGCTGCCTCATGGATGGAGGACCTAATTCTTCGCTGAAGGGGGGGAATCCGCATAGGCAAACATACAATAAGACCCCAACTGACCACATATCCACTGATTTATTGTATTTTCTGTGCTGTGAATTGGCCAATACCTCAGGCGCAACATATGCTGGTGTTCCACACAAAGTCGTCGTGAACTGGGACTTCCCAATGAGCTTGGCAAGCCCAAAGTCTGCAATCTTCACTTGGACAGACGCTTCCCCATTATCCCAGGGCTGATTATGAGACTGGCCTGCCTCGGTCGGCACTATACTCAAGAGGATGTTCTCAGGTTTCAAATCTCGGTGGACGATGTCCATTGAATGTAGATACTGCAATCCATCTAGTAATTGCTTGCATATTTCCTTCGTTTCGTCTTGGCCGAGTTTGCCTTTTTTCACTATCCTATTGAAAAGCTCACCCCCATTCACCTTTTCCAATACCAAGAATGTAGTCAAAGACGTCATGCTCACAGGTTCTAGAAACGTATTGTAAAAGCCGACAATGTTAGGATGGTTTAAGTTGACCAAAATCTCCAATTCTCTATTCAATTGGGTGGCTTGGCCACCCTGGCTTGTAGGATTGAATATCTTCACTGCACAGATTCGCCCAGACTCTCTGTCAATTGCCTCCTTCACTTGTGCATAGTGGCCCGTACCTAGCGGTTTTTCAGTCAAAATATATTTGTCGAAAAATGAGGCTCGGTCAGATTTGTATTTCAAGTCGTATCTGACGATGTAGTGAAGAGTCGAGGCAAATGACAATCGGTCACCGTCCCTTAGCAGTGCCGAGTTGTTTTTCCCAACCAATACATCATTGACAAAGGTCCCGTTTGAGCTCAAGTCCTTTATGGTGATCAAGTTGTAGTGGTTGAAGCTCTTCCCCATTTGCAGCTCGCAGTGGACGGACGAACAGTCGTTGTTCGAGATGATTATGTCGTTATTTTTCGTGCCAGATCGCCCTATGCGTACAATTTCCTTGAAGGGAATTGATATGTTCTCGTACTTCAGAGTATCCAGGCTGCTTAGCACGGCAAAAATGCCGTACTCTTTCTCCTTGGTTGCGACCTTCGGGCGCTTGAACTGTTGGACAGGGTCGATATTCGGACTTTTCCCAAAAGACACGTTTAACTCCCTTTTCCTACTGTTCACTTCCTCCACGGGTATTTCCATATTTGTCTTGCTGTGCTAGGCGACTTCAGTTTTGGTGAACTGCTACGATAGTTCAATAACTCCTAGTTCAATGATTGTATCATAGAACCCTTCACGTCAACATGATGATGGATCACTTTTCAAATTGTCAACATACCGCGTTTGTGCCGCGTTGAGCATACATTAATTAGTTATAGAATTACAAGAGTACCTTTTTTCGAAGGAGGCCTTTACTATTTGGTGCAACCCTCCACTGCTAGTCTGTCTGCCATGTCATTTCCATGGTTACCCGAATGGCCCTTAACCTTGACGAACTCGACGGAGCCCGAGTTTGCCTCAATCTCATTCACTAACCTCCGACAGCTTTTAATGAGGTCCTGGTTGGCTACGTCGGCGCCCGAGCTCGTCTTGTAGCCGTTGGTCTCCCACTTCTTGGACCACTTCTGGATGGAGTCCATCGAGTATTGTGAGTCCGTGTGAATGACGGTGAGCTGAGGGTTCCCGTGTTTGGCCTCCCTGGCGGAGTTTTGCAACGCGTGTTGGATGGCCTCCAGCTCGCCTCTCGAGTTAGTTTGTTCGCCAGTAACACGGCCGCTGAAGTTCCTGCTGTCGTTCGGGCCGTAGTAGACGCCTAGGCCTGCCTTCGACAGGCCCTGCTTCCGGGCCTGGTTGTTTTTGGAGGCGCCGTCCGTGTACACTTCGACTCTTTCCAGAGCAGTTGGCGGGGGAGGGGGCACATACGCAACCGGGAGTGAAGGCTTGATGTGTGTACATGATGGCGGCTTCGGGTACGGGTGGTAGGAGGTGGAGTGGCGAGACGAAGAGGAGCGGGACGGCAGAGACCCGCTCGGCCTCGTGTTCCCGGAGACCCTGCCACGGACAGGTCCTGCAGTTCTCCCGCTGGAGACCGCCCCACCCTTCACGTACGCCTCTGCTGCCTCCCTTGAGGCAAAAGACTTGTACTGGTTCCCGGCGAAGCCCTTGACCTGGCTCTCGCAGTCGGACCAGGTGTTGTACACCCCGGAGGCCCGTCCGTTTCTCACTGCATAGTACTTCATGCTTTTCCCAATGGAGATGAGGTACCGTCTAGCGAGAGGCTTGGGCATCCATCGGTCCTGGTTTCTAGCGATCTAGCAGTAGTCTGCCATGGTCCGCTGGGAGAAGGCGGCCAACAAAGTGGCAACCTAAGACATGTGTTTGCGACAACTACGCTCTCACCGAGGGCGGCCGCGTCTGTGGAGGATGGGGCCTTTCTATTGAAGAGACGGACGGAGGGGGGAGGAAGCAGGAGCAAGGCAGTCGGCAGGGGGCTACAACGGCGCTGCAGCACAGCACAACACAGTACAACACAGCACCGCAATGGCAGTGAAAGGTTTAGGCAAAGTGGACCAGCAGTACGACGGCAAGGACGTGAAGGTGGGGATCTTGCACGCGAGATGGAACAACAAGGTCATCGATGCGCTCGTGGCGGGCGCCATCCAGAAGCTGAAGGAGTTCAACGTGCGGGAGGAGAACATCGTTGTCGAGAGCGTGCCGGGGGCGTACGAGTTGCCGTACGGAACAAAGAAGATGTTTGAGAAGCACGGCGTTGACGTGGTGATCCCCATCGGCTGCTTGATCAAGGGCTCGACGATGCACTTCGAGTATATCTGCGAGGCCGTGTCGACGCAGTTGATGCAGCTGCAGTTCCAGCTTGACAAGCCCGTCATCTTCGGGCTTTTGACGTGCTTGACCGAGGAGCAAGCTTTGCTCAGAGCGGGCGTGCTGCCAGGCATGCATAACCACGGCGAGGACTGGGGCGCCTGCGCTGTCGAGATGGTGCTCAAATGGAAGTAGAGTTGCCCATTGTGTAAGCAGGGCTCTTCACTGGCCCCTAACGACAGGAACAACCACAAACAGCACAGAACAGTACACAAGGTATGTAGCTTCGAAGTAATAGTCGATGTCACGTGACACACAGTGCCTTTTTTTGATAATCTTTTTTTTTCTCTCTATTTCTATTTTTTTTCCACCGAAGACGATATAGATCTACTTCTACCGCAGAAAAGTTGTTCTCCAAAGCCAGGTGTTGACGCATAGAAGGTTCTCGAGACGTTAGCAAAGGATATAATAGCGATGGCTGGAAAACGCGGTGGGAGAAGGGCCAGCGAGAGCGAAGACGACTTCCATTCTTCCGAAGACGAATCGTCTGGAAAGTTCACTGTGAAAAACACAAAAAAGTCTTTCGACATCTACGGGGAGACAGGGGACGAATCGGACGAGTCGGACGATCTGCAGGAAAACGATGGCGGCGATGACGAAGACAATGACGAAGACGCAGGTAAACCGGCGCAGAGAAAGTCGACAAAGTCGTTCATAGAGAAAGCTCAAGATGGCAGTGACTCGGACAACGAAACGGGCGACGATGTTGATGAGGACGACGAAGACCAGTACTACGGGTTTGTCGGTGACGAGGAGGAGGATGTGGAGGCTGAGAAGGCGGAAGCAAAGACGAGCGTGGAGAAGACAGTCGAGGTTCTTGAGGGCCAACTGCTGGGAGAGGCCAGCGCCAAGTCGAAAAAGGTGAAAAGACTTACGCCGAAGCAGCTTGAAAACGAGGAAAAGCGAGTCAAGAGAACAGGCGTGGTATATCTGTCTTCCCTGCCGCCTTACATGAAGCCGCAGAAGTTGAGGCAGGTGATGACGCGGTTCGGAGAGGTCGGACGTATATTCTTGAAGCCCGAAGACCCGAAGGTGTACAAGTCGAGAATCAAGTCGGGGGGTAACAAGAAGAAGAAGTTCGATGAGGGCTGGGTGGAGTTTGTAAGCAAAAATGACGCGAAGCTTGCGGCAAGCACGTTGAATGGCAACGTTTTGGGCGGGAAGAAACGGAGCTTCTACCACGACGACGTGATGAACGTCAAGTATTTGAAGGGCTTCAAATGGTTCGACTTGACGAACGCCTTGAACAGAGAGGTTGAGGTGCGTGACAGCAAGAAGCAGGCCGAGTTGTCGCAAGCCAACAAGCTCAACAAGGCCTACGTCAGAAACGTGGAGACCAGCAAGACTATCAACAGAATCAAGGAGAGTAAGAAACGGAAGCTCCCAGACGGCGCAGAGGCGGAGGCTCCGCACATACGAAGAGAATTCAAGCAGAGACATGTCGCCACCAACCGAGCGGGAGCCGACGACTCAATCAAAAACAAGGACACCAACTCCGGCTTGGACAGTGTGCTAAACAAGATCTTCTAGACACTTTTTATATAAAATTTCATGCTCCGTATTACGTAATATTTTTCTGGACAGTAACTAAAATGTATGAAAATTTTGAAGACATGATTTTTTCCATCCGATACGGTTCGGCTACATGCACAGGAATAGGAATTAACCTGGTCTTGCGGAATAAGACAAAGAAACAAACTGGTGCAAAGTGAAAATGCTTAGTAGACGTGCTTTTCTGAGGACCCGTCTGGTTACCAAACTGATACGCATACCAGTTTTTGCACCATGCACGCATTTTTCCACGTCCTCACCTAGTTTAAGAGGCCCTACAAAATATAAGTCAAAAAGGAACAAAATAGACCTCGATCGTCGGATTCAAACTCCAGAAGAGTTGTTTCAACAGGCTTCAAATGTGGACGTTGAAAACTTGAGGAAAGATGTCAAGGAAAGAACTGAAATTAGATACATCAAGCCTAATAAATTCTGGATATCTAGAGTATTTCCTGACTTGACAATTCCGCCATCATTTAGTTACTACGATGACCATTCGAACAGAAACTACATAAAGTATCAGCTTGTCAAAAAGTTCGGTGATATCAACAAGAAGTTTTCTTGGAAAGACCTCCAGTATACCGAAGTTGATGTCGGTGATGTTGTCGATCTATCAGGGAATTTTGAAAAAGGAGACTTGGCAGTTGTCATCGAGCTACCTTCCTCTCCAGACGATCCTAGGTATACTTTGGTCAACTCTTACGGAGAAATACAGTTTGTCTCCAGATCGAAGATGGGGCTAAGGATCCCGAAGGTTTTCCCAAAAGAATGGCTTGAAAACAGCGTTTTTGAGGAAGATTTGTTCTGGAAAGATTTGGACACAGAAGAAATTGTTCCCGTAGGGAAACCTAAGTACAAGCTGGAAGATGTTGTGGACAGAAATAAAATCTTTGAAAGTGCTGTGTCTAGATCTATTTCTGGCGAGAATGCGGTGAAAACATATATCTTGCCATCGATCCTATCGGGAATAATTTCCGAAAGCTTGACCGAAATGGTGACAAAAGCCTGGCAATTTTTGCCGGATGCTAATATCAAACTGGAAGTCTTGCATAACGTCTTGCAGAGTAATGAAGCACCTATTCAACTTTCTTTATATCAACTATTCAATGCGGTAGAACTGACAGATTTGCAGGTTCTGATCAAAGACTTCAAGTCGCAAAAACCAGAAGATATCAACAAAGGTTATAAAAAGCTCTTCAGATCCGTTGCTTCTACGCTTTCGATTGGTAACCAATATGACTCGATCACTTTAGGCAAAGAAATTACCGGTAATGTGAATTTGGGACTAAAGGTTGACTCAACTAGATTCTACGCCTTCATTTTGAGTTTAAGAAAAAACAACCAGTTGTACTCTCATGATGCTTTCAGTAAGGCAAGTCCTTACGCCCTGGTATTACCTTTGAACCGGATTGTCAAATTCAACAAATTAGTACAAAGCTTCAAGCAAGATGAAAAGCTTCATGAACAACTTGCAGGATACATAACGTCAAAGCTAGATCCTAACATGAAAGAAAAGGCTAAATCAAAAGAGATTGTGTCTCATTATGAGGTCTTTATTGAGCTACTCAAACTTTATTGTGCTGGTTCAGTCCAAAATAGTGTGTTGGAATCGTTCGTTATAAAGATCATGAGAATGCTAGCCAACTATAAAGACTTGGATATTACCAGTTCGAGTGTTTATGACCTCTTGTTGAATACAAAGGAAATCACCAATACAGAAGGGCCAACAAAATGGTGGGATAATGCGATGATTCCATATAGTGGTGTCTCGGTGAAATGTGACTATGAGCAGACGTATTATGACTCGATAAGCAAGGATAATTTGAATGACTATATTGATTTGAATTTTGACAATCATACCAAGGAAAGGGCGCAATTCGATGACGTTATTTACTGTATTGATTCGGAAAATCCACTTGAGATTGACGATGGAGTTTCCATCAAAAAGGCAAACGAAGACGAGTATTTGGTAAGTACTTTTATTGCAGATCCAGCTTCCTTTTTGGATCCTTCATCTCTGGTTGCAAAAATTGCTTTCGAAAGAGGTTTGACTTTATACTTACCTGATCTTGCTGGCATTAATGCTGTCAGTTTGTTGCCAACTGAGTTTGGGCAAGCCATACAATTGGGGGATTACGATAAAGATACCAGAGTATTGAAGATCACATTCAAATATAACATCAGATCAAAGCAAGTGATAGAGTTGGAAGACAAAGAAGCTGTTACTTTTGGTTCAGCAAAAAAGTTTGTCAAGATAGATTACGCATCTGTTAATAAAATCCTGGCTGATGATAAAGACTCTTCTGCCATTTTAGAATCCAAATCACAAGAAGGCGTATCTGCCCAAAAAATTAAGCAAGACTTGAAAGATCTGAGTGTTGTATCCAATCACTTGAATAGATCAGCAGCTGAAGGTGGTCGTGTGTCTTTGTTTGACCAAATCAATGTGAAAAAGGAAATTGAAAACATTTCCGAAAACGAAAACAAACAGATTCTGTTGACTTTTAAAGATGTTTATAATGATGATACGACTGCTAACGTTATTGGAAGAGGTGCTAAGTCTGAGCAGTTGGTGTCAGAAATCATGGTTATGGCTAACCATTTAGCAGGAAATTTCTGCGAAAAGAACAACATACCTGCTATTTTCAAGGTCCAGTTGCCGCTAGTGATGTCGCCAGAAGTGACCAGATTTTCCAACGAGATCACTGCCAAGGCAGATTCCAGCTTCAAAGAGTTAACTTTATACCAAGAATATTTGACAAAATCCACCATCGCTCCTTTTGCTGCCAAACACGAATTTTTGAATATTGATAATTATGCTACAGTTACCTCACCTTTGAGAAGATTCTGGGATCTTGTGAACCACTGGCAGCTACATTCGTATATATGTACAGGGAGGCCAAGATTCAATGAAGAGCAAATGAACTACATCGCATTACAGTTGAAGTATAAGGATGAGTTAAATAGCAAAATCTCTAACAAAGTTCTTGGATTCTACACTTTCAAGGCGCTCAAGTTTTTGCAAGGACAACACACTGAGCAAGGGAAACTAAAATTCAAAGTCATAGTTACGAAAAAGCCTAGTGAATCAGGTCTCATTGAAGTTATAATGCTGGATTACGGTGTGAGGTGTATTTTAGAGACTAGTTGGTACGCATTAAGTGACACCAAAACGGAAATTGAAAAGAACAAGGTGCTGGCCAAAAACATAGAGATAGGGGATACAATTGATGATGCCACGATAAAAGATATCGATTTATTGGATGGGTCGATCGTTTTAAGCAGCAATTCTGTTTGAATTGTTAACCTACATGTAAATATAGATGCATGTTTCCGTGTATACTTTTCATTAACCTCTTGTACATATATAGAAGTATACAAATCAAGCTACGTCAGTCATACTCCATTCGATAATCCACTTTCAGCCATATTACGTTATCTTGAGCTTTGTGACAAGCTCTATGTTGTGCCACATCTTGTATCGAAGTGTTCGGTACTTTCATTATGGCGTATTGATTATTTCCGAATGATAGGTGTTCTTTGCTGAAGCGGTCAAAAGATATTATTACTTAGTCTCATTACTAGTTACAATCATTGAAGGTTTCAATATTGTTCAATGGAAAAATATTAGAATACTGGTTACAGCCAGAATAACTTGGAAATAAAGTTTGCCAAAAAAATACTCATCTCTCTGATGTGCTGTGACATAAACTGGCGCTTTACAATGCTAGTACATACAGCATGAGTGTCTTGTGGTGAATCATGCCTACTATGCAGAAATAGGTACAGTTTTTTGTATGCGAAACGTGCAGGAAAGATAAGACGACTTGCCATTTTAGTAAACGATTCGCTAAAATGTGTTGCTTATCTTTTCTGTGATCTTCTTATCTTTATCGTCAATCATCGTTTCCGTAAGCATCTCCTGTAACTGCTTTGGCCTGATTTCTTCCAGTTTGCTCTATACTGTCAGCCAAACAATGTTGAACAAAATGTTACCTATAATTGACATTACAGACTTGTCACTCGAAAATTCGAAGAAATTAGTTGATGCAGCAACAAAATACGGCTTTTTGTTACTAAAAAACCATCCTCTGGATAAGGAAAACAGTGTAGACAAACTCTTTGACTTATCCAAGCAATTCTTTGATTTACCTGCTGAGGTCAAAGCAAAAAATCCAATAAGCACCGCTAATGACGGCTATATTGGTCCGATGGTGGAAGATTTGCAACAAGATGGAAGCGACAAGGGGGACCCGAAAGAGGCATTCAACATAACGCATTTTGACCTGTCTAACTTCAGGCCTGTACAGAACCTACCAGAAGTATTTGAAAAGGATCTTTCTTTCATTTCATCGTGTTTGAAGAGATACTACTCGGTTCTTCATTCTGTCTGCAGAATGTTAGCCATTGGATTGGACGTTAGAGATAGCGAAGGTAACCCTAACCCAGAGTTTTTTGTAGACGCCCATGCGCTAGACTTGAAGGCACGTTCCACATTGAGACTAATCCACTATCCAAAACCAGCAAAAGGCATGGAAGACACAAATCAAGCCGGTGCACATACAGATTATGGTTCGTTGACTTTTGTTTTCCAGAGACCTCATCGGGGATTACAAATCTACGATGGATTTGAGTGGATTGATGTCGAAATTCCAGAGATGGAAGGTGAAGAGCTTCTAATTGTTAACATGGCAGACATGTTAAGTTTCTGGACAAACGGATACTTGAAAAGCACGTTGCACAGGGTCCGGACTACTGAGGAGAGATACTCCGTCGTCTTTTTCTGTCAACCTGCAGATGTTGTCAAGCTTGAACCAGTAAACTCCGAACTCATACGGAACCACCCTGGAAACTACTTCTCTCTCAAGAAGGACGGCAAGCCATTGTCGTCACTTGAGCATCTCATGCTGCGACTAGACCAGGGGTATAAGCGCAAGTCAACTACCACTACTATGTAGAGATATACGTAAGGCAAGCAGGTGTTTTTCTCCCGATATCTTCGATTTTCGCATTCCGTGAGGGACAAAAAATGGCAGCTGCTGTCAGACGAGGATGGCACACATCGCCACCGTATCTGACTATGCCTAAACAGAAACAAAGAGGCGCTTTTGTTCTATTTGACAAGTAAAAGTTACTGTATTTAGAGATAACCACAATGGCTAAGAAAGGAAAGAAAGGAAATGCAGAACCAGTTCAACAACCGGACTCTGATTCCGACTGGGATGACGGAGCAAAGAAACCTTCCAAGAAGCAACTTGAAAAGGAGGCCAAGAAGCAAGAACAACTAGATAAGAAGAAGGAGCGTGAAGCTCTACTTGAAATGGAAGCCTCTTCAATTAAAGCTAAGAAAGGTGGTAAGAGTAAAAGTCACAAGAAAGAAGGTGGCCTTGACGATGCATTGAATCAATTCGGTCCAAAGGCCACGATTAGTGCAGAAGGTCTAGATGACTCTTTAGCTGCTCTGACGTTATTGAAAAAAGATGCAGTATCAAACAAAGATATCGATAGACATCCGGAGAGAAGATTCAAGGCTGCACTAGCAGCATACACTGAAAGAAGACTTCCTGAAGTGAAAAGTGAAAATCCTGGTTTGAGAAAGCAGCAGTTGGAGCAGTTGATATTCAAGGAGTTCCAAAAAAGCGATGAAAATCCTTTTAACCAAGAAACCACTGTCAGTCACAATGCTACTATGGATGAGATCTCTGCTAAAAAGAAGGATATCCGTGAAAAGAGATCCAAAAAGTTCGAGCATTAAAAATATCTTTTTATCGTCAAACATTTCCATAACATGAGATATAGTTCTTTTTTTTAATAATAAGTACACAGATGTAATATTAAAATACAATCAGAAAAAGAACACTTTTCCAAACTATTTTTGAGAAAGATTCTTAGTATACATAATTAGAATAATCCATCATCACCCTCATCTTCTCCAGCATCAGCTTTGACTGGCTGATGATCTTCAACTTTCTTTTGCGTACCAGCACCAGCACCAGCACTGGTCTCGTCATCGTCCTCCTCATCATCTATGATAACGCCCTTTTTTCTATCGAACTTTTCTGCTACATTATCTTTGGCATCCTCTCCACCGCTAAACTCTGCTTCTTCTTCTTCTTCTTCTTCATTATCAAGTGGCGGTTCTTCTTCTTCGCTGTACTCTGCTTCATCGTCACTATTATCAATAAATTCACTGGAAAGTTTGCTACTCCTTTGAGGCGTTTTTTTGGTTTTTGCTTTCTTGCTAGCTGGTACATCATTCTCGTCATCATCATCTTCCTTCTTTGCCTTCTTTCTTCCTCTTTTCTTCTTCTCTTTCTCCACTGGAGGCTTATCTACTATATCTTGCTCATCTTTAGCTTCCTCTATTCTGAGAAGATTCCATTCTTGTTGCTGCTGCTCTAGTTCCCTTCTCTCTGCTAAAAGCTTTTCCTCGACCTTTTGACGTTCTTCCTCTTCCTTTTGTTTAGCTTCAAGTTTCCTTTTTTCTTCTTCTTCCTTTAATTTCTTGGCACCCAAAAGTCTAGCCTCAAAACCTTTATCATGTTCTTTTTGATCTTCAAGTGCCTTTTCGAGCTGTTTTAGAAGTGTATTACCCATACTCACTCTTAATCTCAAGTCATCCGCAGGATATGGAGGATGTATTGTGCTATCTTCTGCCATTGAATTCAAAACGACAATTGCATCTTCTAGTCCCTTGATAGATCTTTCAAGATCATCCATTGTTCTTTTCGATGGTGGCAATTTTCTGACAAAATCAGCAAGTTGATATTCAATGTAAGTGATATTGAACTGGTAGGCAGGGCTTGGGTTTATTTCATAAGATTTGCTAACATATTCAAACGCAGTATTGAAACACTCTAAATTCTTCTCATACATTCCTCTCAACAACCATGCCCTTGCAAAATAGTTCAATAGTCTAGCATCTTTTCCGTCAGTGAATCTAGTGAGTGCTAATTGGTAACTTTCAATCGCTTTAGCAAATTGCTTCACCTCAAGCAAACAATGCCCCATATTCAAATAGACTGTTATATCATTCAATGAATCTCTCACTTTTCTAAAAATTTCTAAAGCTAAACCAGTTTGTTTCTTTTCAGCAAAAATTATCGCAATACCTTGTGCTGCATAAGCATTCTTTGGATCCAAGTTTAACACTTTTTGATATAATTGTGCTGCACGCACATAATATTGATCCTTCTTCAATTGCTCCTTGTTCTCTCTGGCAAGAACACAATACACCCTTGCCATTGAAATCAATGCATAACAGTCATGCGAAGTATACTTGGTTAGTGTTTCTCTATGATGTTCACTTTCAAGATCTTTCGATTTATCTTCGACGAGACCATGCTTGGAGCCAAACTTTTTGATATACCAACCGTAGAACGATCTGACTTCCAAGTCATCAGACTCTTCTGTTAACAATTTTTGGACTTCTTCTTTGATGTTTTTGTCTTCTGATAAACAAGCAATAGTAAGCCATCTTATCTTGGCACTTGTGTAACGTGGACATTTTTCAAGGATCTCGTTGTAAAGTTTCATCGCATTTTGGATTTTATGAGGGTTATTTGTAGATTCCTCGGCTCTTGCAGTGTTGTATGTGAGTGTAATTTCAAGTGCTTTCTCTGTTTCAGGGTCGGTAGCATATTGAGCCTTCACGTTTTTCAGTGCTTGATTGAAATATTCTTCTGCTTTATCTACATGGTTTTCTAACAATGAAAAAACACCAAGATTGTTGAACATTATACCGGAAATCTCTTCATCAGTTTTCCCAGCAAGGGACTCCTCTTCCTTTGCCTTTAATAAATACTGCAAAGACTTGGATATATCGTTGTCTTCATGAAGCTTAGCTAAAGTGAGTAATGCCGAAACAGAAACAGACTCACCTTGGTCGTCTGCAATTTTGACATACTTTTCTAACACAGTGATTGCTTTCTCCCGAAATTTGTCAATCTTGGAGTAAAGCATTCCCAATGCATAGGTGACTTCGAGAATTTTGGAGTTCAATTCTTGTACCTTTTCAAAAGTTCTAATTGCATCGTTGATTTCTCCTCTGATAACTAAGCACTGTGCATATCCAACTCTGGCCAACGTGTTACTTTCATTGAGCTTGATAGAGTCTGAAAACATCTTTTGAGCTTGCAAAACATCGCCAGAAGTTAGTTTGCATCTTGCTAACCAAAACAAAGATTCACTCTTTATAAAGTGTGTAGCATTTGGGTCGTTGTATATTTTGTCGCAAATCTTCTGTACGATTTCAATTTCACCCTTTGAAAAATAATAGGAAGCAAGGATAATTTGAATAACTTGGTTGGACGGATCTTCGTGATACGATGCTTTAGCAAAACTCATTGCCTCAATATATTTAGCCTTGAAATCTTCATCAGAAACTGAATTTAAGAAACAGTCATCAAATTTAGCAATGGAAATCAAAATCTTCGCCTCTAAATTTTTATCAGGATTGACCTGAATAGAGTTTTGCCATGCTTGATTTGCCAAGTCCTTTCTTTCAAGAAACCAGTAGCATAAACCTATGCCTATTCTAGGATCTGGTCTCAACAAAGGATTAAGCTGCAAAACCTTTTGGAAAACTTTCAAAGCTCCAAGATAGTTTTGCCTATAGAAGAATAGTTTACCCTTGCCCATCAAAGCATAACAATTCTTTGGATTCTTTTGCAAAACAACATCAAAGTTTCTTGATTCTTTTTCAAACTTGGTTCTTTTACCCTTGTTCTGTTTGGAAGTTAAACTTAATGCAGCTTCAGCCAAAAGGTTATATTCACTGCTGATGCTTGATGACGAGTATGCAGCCTTTAATTCAGCGCTCGCATTATCTAGAGCCTGAGAGTCGTGGAATGTATTTGCTTTTAAAATATTTAGCCAGGCTGCAAAGTTGTTCAACTCAGAGTAACTTTCAGGTGATGACTTTGTAGCAAATGGACTTTTCAAGGCTTGGTCTATAACTGTCAAAGCCTCGTCAATTTTCCCTTGGTTGGCATATGCTTTGGCAACCAATATCCAATATTCGGCCGGACATTCCTCGTTTGTTAATAGCATGCACAACTCATTAGAATCGTCAGGCAAATCATTTATGGCATCAATCACAACTTCTTCACTCTCTTCTTTAAGAGGAATGGTAATGGTGTTGGAAATAAATTTTTCCTTTACAACAGGATCTGAGATGTAATCAATGTAGAACTCGGCATTGAGTGGTACCTCTTCGTCAATCCCCGAAACGGCACTGGCCTCTGTCTTCTGCGAAGTCATATTGATACTCCAACTTTTATATCGTTGATGCCGATTACCAAATGTTATTTACCGGTTACTTCAAGCTCTGCTCCTTTGAGTTGCCAGCATCAGCAACTCTTCGAACGGACTCTTCACCAAAAACGTTGTCAAACTGGTAAAGAGCTCAAACAAGAAACAGCCGATCGACGCAAAATGGATGAAAAAAAGGGATTTCTTATCAGAAAACCGTGCACCGAACGGTTTTCCATTTTGGGAAATTTTTTCATGCTTTTTTTCTGGACTACTTGAGATATTGGAGAAGGGGGTTGAAGAGAACAAATGTCGAACACTGTTGACAAGTAAATTGATTATATTACTATTACATAGTACTACTAGTCATGACCGAGAAAAACAGTATGGAAAAAGTCCAGAGAAGGAAGCTTCACATTGGAGGATTATCTAAAGAATTGACGGAAAACATCACCGAGCTTGAACAGAGATTTAGCAAGATCGGGCAGATTGTGGAGCCAATCGAAATACATGAAAAGCCAGTTTTGGAATATAACTTTGCATATGTAACAATGGAACTTAATGATTCTCAGTTCAAAGAGTTGAAGAAGCTTTGGAATGACGTGAGATATAAGGGCTCCAAGTTAACAATTGGTATTGCCAAAGAAAACTATTTGCAACGTTGGGAGAAGGATTCCAGACGCCAGGACCCTAAGATTCTCAGTCGAGAAAGAAGAAGTAAGGTCCCAGAGAGTAGATTAGCCAGAATTGCACAAAGAGATGAAAACCCATTCAAATTAGCACTAGTCACAAAGGGTAGATTCAGAGCAACTCCAAGAACCACCGATTTAAAAAACCTAACGCTCAGGATATCCATCAATGGAAGACTCAAGGTGATAAAATGTAAGAAGACCAAACTTTGGGGAATGGATAAAAATAAGGCAATTCGTGATTTGACGTCGAGATTTGTGGCTGGCGAATGGAGAGATGGCAACGATCATGTTATTGACAGATTGGCCCGCAAAATAGTTATCTTCGATGATGGTAAAATTTTAGTCAAAGATACTACAGTGCCGACCGCTGACGACATCAAAGAAGAACTGGAAGAGGAGCAACATAAAACGAACAAAATTCTTGAAGACATGCTCAACAAGTACAATTTTGAAAAGCCTGTGGAACTCGAAGATGATAATAAGAATGACAACAACTCAGATTTTGACTACGAGTTGGAAAATAGAGTTGCCGAGAACAACTTTAATGATGATGAGCATGAGAACAGCAATAGCGAAGAGCTAACTTTAACTTACAATGTTCCCGAGAAAAAATGTTTAAAGCCTTCTCCAGAGTCAGTGATCCAGGATTACAAGTCATACGGAAGTCAGATCAGCAAAGAAGAACAAGTAGAAGAAGATGACGACGAAGAATTTTTTAACAATCTCAAGCCAATATCTGACTATGCGGAACAACTAGAAGGAGATGGTGAGGATCCGGTTGACGAACACAAGAAACACCCATCTGAGTCAATAACTAAGACGCAGTCTATGCCAAGCACAGCACAGATAAAGGAAAGTAACGACGATGAAGTTAATGCCGAAAATATTGGCGAGATTGACAATGAATTTATTCCAACTTTTGGCTCAGCTAAAACAGATGGTGAAATTGATGACGAGTTCATTCCAACTTTTGGCTCAAGCAAAAGTGATGACGCAACGAAGACTCCAGCCACAAACACCACAGAAAAATTGAGAGCACTATTGAGTGCCGGCTCATCAACTTCAGCTACGGAAAAAACAGAAGAGGATAGTAATATCGATGACTCCAGGGTTGAAGTTGTGCTTCCAAACTTAAAGAAAACGAAAAATGTTGGGCTTTTCTTTTCACATTTTGATTCCCCTTTCTTGGTTGCCCAATCTCAAATCAATAAATTAAGAGAACTGAAGGTTAACGAAGAGCTGAAATACGATGAGTGGTTTTGGAGCAATAGAGGTGAATTAAATAGGGAGTTCAGAAGACTTCGGAGAGATGTTCTACGTCGTAACAAAAAGAAATTTAAAAGCTCAATTTTTATTTGAGGGTGTAAGGTCTGGCCGGTGCTATTGAGATAGCCGAAGGAATTCTACTTAATTGCATACCTGAAATTTAGTATATTATTGAATGTCAAAAACAACCGATTTAAAAGTATATAAGTATCAGCATATACAAAGTTTAGACTAAGACAAAGAGTGGCCTGCGTAAATTATTCCTGAATATTGGAACCATAGACTATGGAAACAATGCCTTAGTGTAAAAAATAAAGATTAAACGCTAAACGGTGGGGAATCAAGAAAAAATGTATAAAAAATATATCAAAAGACTAGATCATGGAGTAAGTTAGAGCTTGGATATGGATTATAATGATTTAGAGTGAAAGTTATATTTGGAAGAACCAACACTTTGCTTAGTTGGATTTTTCATGTTGAGTAGAAACTCTCTTCATGGTAGCAACGAAATCTTCGAAAGTTCTGTTGTTGTGTGGTTTCTTAATAGACTTACCGTTCATTAATCTGTCAAATTTCTCGGACTCGGACATTGCATAGTAGGCACCGCCCAAGACACAGAAAGTACCAAAAGACCAAATCCAAACTCTGACAACGGTGACAATGTCATTCCAATTCTGGGACCACCAACCGAACAAAGTGAAACAGGTTGCAATGATATCAACGATGAAGACAGCACCGGATAATTGCCATGAGGGAATCGAAGACCAGAATGGACCAACAGCTCTAGTAATGAAGATCAACCAGTTTTCAGTCAAGGAAATTTGCAAGAAAATGACACCGTCAATAGAACCAAAGTTCTGGATAATACCACCCCTTGGCAAGAACATGGTAGTCAAGGTAATCCAGGTACCAATAGCTAAGAAAATACCAAGGATAATGGACATACCCCATAATCTTGGCAAGTTCCACTTGACTGGTCTTTGAGCGAAAGGAGCATTATCGTAAGCAATAGCCAAGGTAGCAACGTCGGCAAAAATGGCAATGAAGACAACCAAGTCAATATTCAATGATTCATCCAAGATAGCAATCCATAAACCAAGGAAGATTTCCAAATGTAAAGACAATGCAATACGGTAAACAACGTAGGAGTACATTCTGTGGAAAATTTGTCTGGAAGTCTTCAAGGCATCAATGATGGCAGACAAACCAGGAGCAAGGAAAACAATGTCTGCTGCAGATCTTGCGGCATCAGAAGCACCTTCAACTGCAATACCAGTATCAGCTTTCTTCAAAGAAGGAGCGTCGTTGACACCATCACCAGTCATTGCAACCAAATAACCTCTGTTCTGTAAAATTTCAACAACATTGTACTTATGTTGAGGGAAAACCTCAGCAAAACCATCTGCATTCTCAACAAAATCGGCCAATTCTGAACCAGCCATGTCTGTAGAGCCTCCGCCAAGACCTAATCTTTCAGCATCGAAGATTTGATCACCAAGACCCAATTGTCTACAAGTTTCCTTCGCAATACCAACAGCATCACCGGTCAACATTTTGACCTTCAACCCTAATCTTCTTGCTTCAGCAACAGTAGAAGCTGTATCATCTCTTGGGGGATCCATACATGGCATGATACCCAAGATTTCCCAGTGGCCTTCACCTCTCTTTCTAGCAACACCCAAGGATCTGAAACCTCTAGAGGCAAATTCTTCAACCTTGTTCTGGTAGGCTTCTAGAACATCTTCTGGAATAGGGTGGTCTTCAGCGACAGTCTTCAAAACGAACAATGGGGCACCCTTAACACAAATAATCTTTTCACCTTCTGGAGATTCAACGATGGCAGTGACCTTCTTGGAAACAGGGTCAAAAGGCTGGAATTCCAAGGTCTTGTATTCCTTCATTGCAGCTCTAGCCTTTGGATAGTTGATTAAGGACTTCAAGAAAGACTTGTCAATGGCATCTAAACCTTTTCTCTTTCTGGAAGCAGCCAAACAAGCTGTCAACATCAAGTCATCTGGCTCAACGCCGGCAACCGTGTATGGCTCATGCAAAGACAACTTGTTCTTGGTCAAGGTACCAGTCTTATCGGAACACAAAATTTCGACACCAGCCAAAGATTCGATAGCAGACAACTTCTGGACAATGGCTTGCTTCTTAGCCAAGTAGGCAGCTCCGACAGCCATGGTGGTGGTGACCACGGCTGGCAAACCGACCGGGACACCAACGATGGTGATAGCCAAAGAGTACCTCAAGATTCTGACGATCGGGTCAGATCTGTAGAAACAAGCACACCAGACTAACAACAAGGTGATAATGACGAAAACCAACAATAAAGTACCGATACCGTTCAAGACTTCTGTGAAATGGCCCTGGCCACCAGAGGCCTTGTTGACCAAGGCGGCAGCCCTACCAACAAAGGTGTTGTCACCGGTAGCGGTGACAATCATCAGGCCCTCCCCTCTCTTGACAGTGGAGGAAGAGAAGGTTGGGTCAGTAAAATGCTTGTCGACAGCCAAAGACTCACCTGTGATGGCCGACTGATCGACTTGAAGAAAACACTCTTCCGAGACCAGCTTACCATCTGCTGGGATGACTGTACCATCTTCCAACCTCAAGATGTCTCCCGGCACAACTTCGTTGGCAGGAACTTCGGTTGGCAGGCCGTCTCTGATGACAGTGGCGGTATTGGCCAAGGTTTTCTTCAACTCGTCGACAATGGAACCGGCCTGGTACTCCTGGATGAATCCGACAGAAGCGTTAAGCATCAACAAACCACAAATCACACCGAAATCGACCCAGTCCTCCAAACCACAGGCCAATATGGCTGCGGCTTCCATGACGAATTGGATAGGACCGATAAAGAACATGCAAAACTTTAGCACGAGGTTCTCCTTCTCCTCGGCCATCTGGTTCAGCCCAAACTTCTTTTTTCTCTTGGACGCGTCGGAGGCCGTCAACCCGACGGCCGGGTCGGTGTGCAAGTACTCGTCCGGAACTTCTTTGTACGACGAGGAATGTTTTTCGTCATCTTCCTCGTCCGAGTCGCCTTCTTCGCCGTCCTCGTCGCCGCCCTAGTTGTGATGGGACTGCAACTCCATCACCAACTGGTCGATGTCTTCGTCGTCGTCACTCTCGTCGCCACCGGCGCCTGCTGCACCACTACCTGGGACCACACCGTCTTTCTTTTCGTCCACGACGGCCGATTGCGGAGGAGCTAGCTCCTCTGGTCTCTGTTCGACTGCACCAGACATCTCGAATCGATCTGTTATCAAACTGTCTACCTTGCTACCTAACTACCGCAGTGAAAAATCGCTGTTGTGCGTGTGGTGATTGCAAGGTCTGTTTTAGTGGAAAAGAGCTGGTTTAATTAGAGCCAAGAGAGGCAATGCGAAACTACACTGACCGGGTCCGGGCAGAAAACAAGAGAGCAAACCAGAGAGAGAGTTAGTAGAGAAAGAGTGCCCTTGCCGCAACAGATTCTCTCGACAGTACAAAGTCTTCCGACACAACTGAGGCCCAAGAAAACCTGCCATCATCAGAGACGACGAAAACAGGAAATAGGAAACAAAAGTATGGCGCAGACAGAAACTGTCTCCATCGGATAACGCCGCCGCTCGGAAGCAGAAAACGGAGCACGGAGCCAGCGTTTGACTGGCCGGAGAAGCTATGCTGCTGCTACGTCAACACGCAGCCGCGCCCAAAACGGCAGTTTCTAAGCGCGGCTGCGTGTTGACGTCTGGACGCTTCGGTCTCTGCTGCCGCTTCGGGCAGAAATGACGGCTGCGGCCGGCTCTCTCGGCTTTTTTCCCGTCTTCAGCGCTGACGTAATTGATAAGAGTCTGCTGTGGCGGTGCAAGGATATTGCGTATGGCGGTGCAAAGGACGATCGGCGCAAAAACTATATTCTCAGAAGAGAGCGTTTTGAGTCGATCGACGAATTTTTCAGTCAGCACCACCTTTTTGCCCAGTCAGGGAACCAGATCATCATGAATCAGAGACGATGAAGACGACGGAAATGACGGAACAAAGCAGCGGACACAAGGGAAGCAAGGGAGAAAAAACCCTAAGAATACACATTACACGTTTGTCATGCCCGTTGAGTTCAGCCGCCCCTGGGTGGGCGTTGCCATTCCATGCGTGCTTATCTTGTATCTGCAGATCTCGACCTCCGCCATCATGTACGGGGATCCGACGTACACGACGTCGTCCTTCGTCTACTTCCAGCTTTCGAACTTCATGCTCTGGTTCTCGTACTTCCTTGCGGTGACTGTGCCGGCTGGGTCGCCGCCGGCACACTACAAGCTGCCGCCGGACGAGTTCAAACAGCCGCAGTCGATGTGGAGAAAGTACTGCATAAAGTGCAAGAACTACAAGCCCGAGCGTGCCCACCACTGCAGAAAGTGCGGCACGTGCGTGTTGCGGATGGACCATCACTGTCCCTGGACAAACAACTGCATAGGATACTACAATCTCTCGTACTTCCTCCGGTTTGTCTTCTGGATCCTCGTTCCGATCGCGTTTGGGTTTGTCTACTACACGCAAAAGCTGTGGTGGGTCTTCAGAATAAGGAATTTTCCGTCTTACTTCATTTCGCCCGCTAAACTCTCTCTCTACATTGTCAACATGCTTTTGGTTTCGTTTGTGCTCTTGACCATTTCAATCCTCTTTATACGAGCAGTGTCAGCAGCCATGTACAACCAGACAATGATCGAGTCCTGGGAGTGGGACAGAATCCAGGATAACTTCTTCACGGAAAACTTTTGGATCAAGATACGCATGAACTACAAGATGTTTTACCCTGACATGCCCGACCCAATCCCAAATTTGAAGTCGTGGAAGGTCAACTATCGGATCTTGAAAAAAGATACCCAAATACCTCTCAACTTCACGTTTGAAGACTTGGTCTTCCCTTACGATCTGGGTTCTGCGTACCAAAACTTAGTAGACTCTCTCGGACCCATATATACTTGGCTTTACCCATTCGGGGCTCCTTCTGGCGACGGTATGACCTACATCAAGGATAAACTTGAGGAGGACCAGTTGGGTCTACCCTTCCCACCAGATGGCGTTAATGTTGATGAAGAAGGCTCATCGACAGGTAATGATGATGATAATGAATATGTGATGAAAAACTGGTCCAACTATATGGGCGAGACTTTAGATGATTTTGGTGTTGACATGGATACAGAGGATTATGAAATGAACAAGAAAAAACTGTGAGTTAAACATCACCAGCCAGCAAACAACAAAATAGGCTTATTCTTTTAGTGTATAGATTACAGAAATTTTGGTAAATAAAAAGCAAATTATAAATAGTTGCATATAAAATCAAATAAAACTATCAAACACAGATACATGAAAAAAAAAGATTTTCATGTATAACTTTAGTACAACATGGTGAGTAAAAATATAATATAAAATAATATGAAAGAGAAAGGCTGGGAATAAATAATCTCATTCTCCATTGTAGATCCAAAAATAAACTCCATTCTCAAATGTCAACTTTTTCAACAGTTTCGTCTTGTTGTATTGTTGAGTCACCTTCCAGAATGGTAACTTCGGTAGCAGCAGTTTCTCTGCTTTGAGGATTGGTAATACTGCTTTTGTCAGAACCTTCCTCCACCTTTTCGCCATTCTTCTCCTTGGTTTCCTTTGATTCTTCTTCAGTCGTCTCTTCCTTTTGACCGTTTGGTTCTCCCTGCTTCTCGGTGCTAATAGCAGTAGCTTCAGATCCTACTTCTTCTTTACCTTCATTGTTCTTTTTCACCTGTTCAGCCTGGGGTGCCATGCTGAACTTGAGATACTTCTCTGGGCCTTCTGCCTTCAAAATTTCGAGTTTCTCGTTGGCACGCTTCAAACCGTCTTCTTTCAAGTCTGCAGCAATTCCATAATCACCATTCACAACATCAACCAATTTATCAAGTCTGATTTGCCGGTTTTTTTTACTAGTTGGTTTTTTCGAATATAGAGAGTTTCTAATGAACAAGTCATAAGATTCTGGCTCAAATCTCATTCTGTAAGTATCCATATCGATCTTCACCGATAGCTTGGAATCTGCTACTCCCTCGATTTCATTTTCGTCCTCTTGTTCATTTTCTAGCTGGCTCTTCAAAAATGGTAAACGAATTTTAGTACTGTCTAAACCTTCCGTCGGATGAGACATCGAGTAGCTTGTCAAATAATAATTCCATTTACCTTCTTTATCCTGAGATTCATCCTTAATAGTCAAATCTTCTAGAGCTAGGAAAGTGATGGTGGTTGCTGACAAGGCCTTGTTGTAAGTGATTTTGAACATATTTTCATCTAAATTCATGTAATTCCGAACTTGAATTCTGTAAAGGATTTGGTCTTTTGTACTTGTTTTTGGTTGATTGCGGTCCTTTTCCATCAACAGCAGAATCTCACTACATTTGGAATCAGAAACTATCGTGTGGCAGTGTTTCATCAAACTTTGAATTACCCGATCAATTGTGAACAATTTGAAAGCTTTATTTCTGAACCCATTACGAAGAGCTTCTTCAAAGGTACTTTGCTCGAGTTTGTTGTCGATCAATTTAACACACAATTCAAGGGCTTCAGAATAAGAATCGCTTCCTTTGATAGACACACCTAAATCTTCCAAATGGTGATCAATTAAGCCAAGATCAGATGCAAACTTGGTTGGTAGTCTGGATTTGATTTCCTTATTGACAGAAGGAGCAATCTTCTTTATTTCTAACAATCTCTTATAAAGTGTGTCCAAGTGCCTGTAAAAGACGTAGATTTGAGTATTGGCGAACATGTTATACTCCTCTCTGGCCTTGTTGTCCGTTGAATTGAAAGTCTCATTTGAAATCCAGTTAGATTGAACCTTTTGTATTTCATCAGGAACTTGCTCATCTTCACCGGTCTCTTGATCATTTGTGGAGTTGCTTTGCTGTTGACCTTGTAATTCGTTCTTTCTTCTCTTATTCTTCCGTAAAACGTCTCTCAATAAATCATATTCTCTAGGTCTCTTCTTTGTTTGAGAAAGAGTTGGAATCGACTTGGTATTGATTTCCTCCTTATTAGAATCTTCTGCAGTGTCATTATCTTCATTAACTGAGACAATTCCACGCTTCGTTAACTGATCCTCAATGTATTGTGGGTCCATGAAGAAAAATTTAACCATGAAAGATCTCATGAAAGTCTCCATTCTTTCTTTATCATTCTGAGAATAGACTTGGTTATGTTTTAAGTTGGTATTCACAAGTTTCAGAATATCCATAAAAATGCTGAAATCTTCATACATGGTAATCAATTCAGACTTTGGTCTAGTCATCAGGGGGTGAAGTTTTTTGTTGACTTGTTCTTGCTTGATTGTCGATATTTCACTCACAAGTTGCTTGTTAGTCAATAATTTTTTATCGATGTTCTTGAAAGATAAACCCAAATGGTCTAGGGACTTGATCATCAATTTTTGCTCCGCTTCTCTCCAAACTTTGTTCCATTCTCTATGCGCTCTCTTCCATTCTTCATCTTTCTGCTTCAATCTTTTCAAAACAATTAAAACAGTAACTGTAGGATTTTCGTGCAATGCATCGATTACCTCCCATCCTCTATCTTTATCATAGATCTTTCTGATGACCTTGACGTAAATCGTACTAGATGTATGTCCCAAACCAATTGGCAACTTGAATCTAGCCTTTTCCTCAGGTGTCATGTTGGCTATTCTATTGGCAATAGTCTCTAGGGTTTGAATGGTTCTTAAGTTGGCTTCCATATAGTAGTCATATTCGTGTCTTTCATCTTCTATCCTGAAAAGCATTTCTTCGTATTGATTTTTACGGTGAGCAATAAATCCAGATTCCTCGGAAGCCCAAACAGGATGACCGACCCATTCATCATTGAAAACCGACCAACACAAATCATCTCTACCGGAGCATGGCATTTTAGTCTGTGACTTAGGCAATTGTCTGTACGATGGGCCAGCAGCTTTGCACATCATTAAATCTAGTTGTTGCTTTTTTATTGCAATATTTTCAATTCTCAAAGGTTTTTCTTCCCAACCAATGAAGTTCTTGAACCATTCAAAAAGCTCCGGGAACCCACCAATCATAGTACGTGCTTTATCATGCAAAGTCGACTTATCAATAACATCACTTGAATATAATTTTAGTAACTTCAAAAACTCATTGTAAGTTTGCTTATTACCAATAGCCTTCTTCACTTTATCAAAAAATGCTAATTCATTGGATAGATCTGTATCCAAAGTTTTAGGATAAACAGGTTCGAGAACACCTGAAATAAGAGCAGGCTTTTCATGCAGCTGTTGTATTTGATGTTGTTCAAGTGGTGCACCTCTCAAGTTAGAAACGGGGAATTCATCGCTCGGTTGTAATTGACCCTGCTTTTGAACTGTTTGAATCTGACTTACACCAGACACTGAACCCTTTTTCTTTCTATCCTTAGCTGCCAAATGTGCATCCTGTTGGAATTGTGGTGGTTGCTGCTGCGACTGCAGCTGTTGTTGTTGCTGTTGAAGTGGTTGCTGCTGCTGCTGAAGTGGTTGAGAAGGATATTGTTGAGGTTGAAATTGTTGTTGGGCATATTGCGGGTACTGTTCAGCTGCAGCTTGGGCATCTGGTCCTTGATTCATCAACTGGTCTTGCTGTGTGGACTGGGCAGGGTGTTGTTGCATTGGGTATTGCTGTTGGTTCAAAATCATTTGGGATGGATTATGAATATTGTTCATGTCATGTTGGCCATTAGGATAAGGAGCCGATTGGAAATTTCCAACTGGTGGTAATTGCACTGTTTGCGGATAGTACTGAGGATAAGGATATTCGGACTGCTGGACATCTTTGACGATGGTGTTATCAGGCATGAATAATTTGAAGTCTTCCAACAAGTCAGGAGCATCTCTGAAGAGAACAGAAATCTCTCTATAAACTTCATTTATTGGTTTGAGGCCCTTTTGGTACATTTGTAAGTTTTCCAAGAACAACTTGTAAATGTCTGGTTGGGAAGCGTACCTTTGTTTGATCTTGTTTACATAGTTGATAGCCTGATCAAATTCGGCTGGGGTACTCTGCTTCGACTCTGCTTGTTGATCTGCTGCCGGGGCAGCCTGTTGCTCTGGTGCATTGAATGGCGGCTGCTGCTGGACAATGGTGTTAGTGTTGTCAGTAGTGTTGCCGTTGGTGTTGCCATCTGTGTTGCCGTTGACATTGCCGTTGTTATTCTCCATGTACGGATACTGGGAGGGCACACCTCTTTGCTGTGGAAACCCGTCTGGATAATGGTTTGCAGACGCTCCAGAGGCAGGCATCTGTGTAGAGATATCGCTTTTCGTGACATCATTATTCTTGTCATCTTGACTTGCCAAGTGCTGGTCGGCCGCACTATTGGTTGCAGCTGACAATGGCTGGGCTTCGGACGCGCTCGGAAGGGACGTCGCAGAGTTTCTCCTGATGGAGGTTCCCAATGGAGTCGTGACAATAATGGTGTTGACATCAGAAGTTGAGCACTCAATGGAAAAGCCTTGGGGAAGGAAGGTGTTGAACCCGTCTATCAACTTTGGGTGTCCTTTGAATAAGGACGAAACTCTTTCAATAACACCTGGTGTGTCGATACTGTAGAAAAGGGAGAAATTTATGTTAGTATTCAGTTATCTTTGTTATCTTGATAGTCTTGTTATCGTGCTCATGAAAAATTCGCACTGCCTTGGAAACTAGCCGTCTCTATTTCCATCACGTTTGCGTCTGCTCTGTTTCCCCAAAACAGCAAATTCTGAAAGCCGAAATCTCTCAAATCTCAAATCTTGAGGCGCGGTGCCGGGAAAAGAGAAGGGGAAGAGGCTGACTGAGCAGACAGGCTGTTAGAACAGGGGGGAGGCCCAGGTTGCAGTCTATGTGACAAGGGGAAAAAGGTAGACGGAGGGGAGATAGGTTGGTGCAGATAGGCCTGCAGTGGGTGTCGGGTGTGAAATACTTACTTTTGGCTCTTGAAGTCCTTCATGATGTCGAGGAAGTTGTTGTAGACGTCGGTCTGATTCCGGAATTGTAGCTTCACCTGGTCCAAGTAGTACAACGCATCTTTTACGTTGAGCGGCTTGTAGTTCGGGTTGCCCTTCTGATCATCAACTGCGGCAGCAGCAGCGGCAGCAGCAGCGGCGTCGGAGACGCTTGGGAGCCTTGAACCCGCCTGTTCCCTGACGGGTGACTGGGAGGCGGCGATGCTGCCGTTGTCGAGGTGGTTAGGGAGGTGTTCTGCCGAGGACTGACCGTTTGGAGAATTGAGCAACTGGTTGGCTGGTGGCAAAGTGATGTTGGCTTGGAGGTTGTTGCCGACGCTGTTCACGCCCTTGCTGATGCTGTTGAAGGAAGGAAGCTGGGTCTGGCCGAGGCCAGGGTTGCTGTTGCCCGGGATGTTGTATCTTGGCAGGTTGTTCAGGTTGGATAACGGCGGGAACTGGTACATATGGGATTGGCCTGCTGGAGGTGGAAAGGGAAAAGTGGGGGGAGCGGGTGTGGTTAGTATTCGTGTTTGTCCGGGGACGGAAGAGGGGCAAGAAAAGAAGCGGGACATACCGTTTCCAATGGCGGAGGGCGGCGGTAACACGGGCGCCTGCTGGTGGGAAAAGGCCTGTGTTTGGACAGACGGCTGGCCCGAGGTGCCTGGCGACGCCGACGAGGCTCCGGCAACCGGAGGGGCAGCTGACGCCGCCGGTGGCACAGGCAGAGCCACGGTGGGCTCTGTCTGGCCTGCATCGGCGTGCGATTGCGGTTTCCACGAGGACATGCTGTGGTGGCGGTCTGTGTGTGCTGGCTGGAATGGGTGCTGGTTTCAGATCACTGGTTGTGCAGGTCGTGCTGGTGTTAGGGACAAAGGTTCGATTTCGGTGTTCCCAGCGTAGAAGTACAGGTGTTGTGTGCGTGTAGCAGACAGCGAGCCAGACTCAACGACGATGCGGCTCTGCGGCGGCTGGCAGGGGGTTTGATGGGAAAAACAAGCAACGGACCGTGGCTGACGATCTGGTGCTGTGATACAAAGTCTGCAAGGGAAATCTGTCGGGAAGGGTGGAAACTTTCCTCTGCGCTTGCTGTCGGTGCTCCCCTGAAATGTGCGGTGCTTTTTCCAGAAGATGGGCTGCTGATTCTGGTCACTGGTGCTGCTGCTGACGCTAGGATCGACAACACCGCATGGGGGCACCCCGTCTTGGCTCTGCACTGGGTCCAGAAACGGGAAGCAAATCTGAATCTGAACCTCCTCCCTCTCTCGCTGCCTCCCTCCTCTCCCTCACGCTCAGCTTTCTCCCGCACTGCCAATCTCTCCGTGCCGCTCGCTGCTTCTCCCAGGGAAGAATAGCTCCCTCCTGCTTACGTCAGCGCTTTCTGCCCGGGGTTCTTTTTGGTTGATTTTCGCATTTTTGGCGCTTTTTGCCGCGATTAGTGACACGTTTCCACAAAATGGCAGACGGCCAGCGGCCGATCGGCGGACCGGGGCTGGAACGCAGGGCTTCCGCCCGTGCTGGCAACATGAACGAACACCATGGTGAAGAGGAGGAGGCGAAGACGGAGCTAGAAAGGGGCAAGAGGGAGGGGGCAAAGAGAGCAAAGAGGGCTTCAGACAGCACATAACACACAGTCATACACGATGAACGCACCAGACCGTTTCGAGCTCTTTATTCTCCCCGATGGAGTGCCTAAGTACGTATTCCACGATCTACCGCTCTCAAGATGCACGAACAGACATACTAACACGACCGGCATCGCCAGCAGGCGTTGCGCTTCCGCAGGATCCAGATAACACCCGACTCGCGTGTCCCGAACTGTCTTCTAATAAAGTTTGAGAGAGAAGACCACACGTTGGGAAACTTGCTCAGAGACGAGCTCATCAACGACCCAAAGGTGCTGTTCGCCGCATACAAGATCGAGCACCCGCTCTTTGCCAACTTCATGATGAGGCTCCAGACGGAGGAAGGCTACAACCCAAGAACGGCGTTGAAAAACGCGTGCAACAGGTTGATACAGAGACTGGGTCTTTTGAACGAGAAATTCAAGAGGGAGTGGGAGTTGAAGGCCTTGTTGTCTGCCACCGAAAACGACGATGTCCTCTGAGTCCTTCTCAGCGCTACCCCTCCTTTCTAAACTACGTGCCGCAGGTGCACCCAACGCACACTCTTTTACATACTATACATAGCATACTGTAATTTTCTGTATAATAGTCGCTAATACTATATTTTTCGACAAAATCAACGACACAGCAACCAGAGGATTATTGTCGCAGAGGCGGTTCGATTCGATGAAATGAAGGTAAAATTAAAGTGGCGTTTATACGAATGGTAAAAGAGGGTGGGAAGAAGAAACGAAAGCACTGGAGGTGCCAAGTCGAATATGTGAGAAAATTAGGCAAGGGAAAATTACAAAAGAGGACGTGCCTCTGCAAAACCAGTAAAGCTGAGAAAAGTAAACCAGAAATTAACATGCTTTTGTGCTGCGAATGAAAAGCCCTTAGTCTCAAGTGGTTGAAAGCACCAGATTTTTGCTGTGTTTTTTTTTTTTTTTGCTTTCAAAGCCGTCCCACCATTATAGTGCTGATAAGACAAAGCATCCGAACATGAAACAAAAAGCGTAATAGAGAAAGTGAGAGGACAATAGCTCAACAGGTATCAAACCGTGATGATAAAGCATACAAAACAAATAACCCAAGAAAGATTTCAAGAAACGAAAACAAGTAAAGCAGATTAGAAGAATAAAACATTTGGCTGAAGGGTTTCCAAAAGGTTTAAATTGACAGCTTTTCCCTGAGCGCATGCTTCATGAAGTTGTATTTCACTGTGAAGTAGTCATCTGCTGTTTCATAAAAGTTACCATTTTCTAAAACATAGTCTAAAGGCAATGTCTCAATTTCTTTATTTGGTGTGATGTGCGTAATATAATGGCCATAATCGGAAATGACAATCTTATGATGATCCTTAAAATTGAATTGGTAACTACCATTGCTTAACTCGAACATTATACCATTGTCATCACGGGTATACCTTCTCAAAAAGATACCTGCGTTTTGAATGCTGGTAGTATCACTAGAAACATCAGACAAATGGGCAGTCATGTATTTATCGAAAAATTCAATAACCTGCATCTCGTTGGTTAACGATTTTGGCATCTCCTCAGGAGCAAAGTGGTCAACTTTCCATCCACATTCTTCATCAGGCAGAATCAAGTAAATGTCATCTCTGTTTTGGAACTTCAGTACGGTGTGTCCTTCAGTGAATAAAACCCCAATGGAATTGTTGGAAAGTTGATAGGCAAAGCCATGCTTGTTAGAATAATCGACCCATTTACTGACTAGTTGGGGTCTTTGCAGTAATTCTGGATTTGGCTGTAGTTGTCCGGATTCAATGTCTTTTATATTTTTCAAAGTAGTTGATAGTGATTCGCTCAACATCAAAACCATTTTGTTATCATACTTAGCCTTTGACAATTGGTTAGAGATCTTAGACTTATAAGGTTTGATGTTTACAGGTGAAACCTCTTTGTATTTGTTTTTGTTATTATCAGGCGATAATGAATGCGGAAGTAAAGTTTTTGGGCGTTCGCTTTCTAGGTCTGTTCTCAAGATCTCCACTGGATGTTTTGGCACATCATTGATACCGACCATTTGTTTACAATTTGCAAGGTTGATCATTGATTCTTCTTTTGTAATGAATGCAAGATGTTTTGGCTTCTGCTTCAATGATTCTACTGTTACATGGGATGGGAATGCTCCACATTTGAACCAATCATAGTTAAGAATCTGATCTAATGAAGGTCTTTGGTAAGGGTCAGTTGAAAGCATATCTCTAATTAGCTGTCTGGCTTCTAAGGACACGGTTGAATCTGGTGGGAATTTATAATCATTAGTTTTGATCCGTTCATAGATAACCTGGACATCTTTAGCTTGGAAAGGCGGCTTACCAAAAAGCATGGCATATAGCATGATACCAATGGCCCAAATGTCTACTTCAAAGCCATGTCCGACTTCCTTACCACCTAAAACCTCAGGTGCAATATAGTTTGGTGTACCGCAAATGGTGTATCTCTTTGGATGTGCAGAATTTATAATGGTTGCAAGTCCAAAATCACCAATTTTTAAGTTCATTTGCGGATCGAAAAAGATGTTACCCAATTTCAAATCTCTGTGAACAACTTTTCTTCTGTGTAGGTATTTGACAGCACCAATAATTTGGACCATGAAATATCTCGCTTCAGCTTCAGTTAAAATCTTTCTGGTTTTCAAAAGGTCCATCAAGGATTGATTGGGACATATTTCTAACAAGATGTAAACGTTAACATCGTCTTCAAAGCAGTCTATAAACTCGACGATGTTTGGATGTGACATACTTTTATGGATTTTGATTTCGCTCAAAAGCTTAGTTTTGGTTTTCTCATTTTTAATTGATGCTTTCGCAACAGTCTTTGCTGCAAATGTTCTGCCAGTATCATCTTTCATTTGGAAACAACGAGCGAAGCCACCTTCACCGAGGAAGTGTCCTCTTCTATAGCCTCTACCATGTCTATTTTTGACTATACTTGGAGGAGTCTTGCACAAGGAGCTAAGCTTCTCTCTCTTCTTCTTCTTGCCTGCTTCCGGTTTTGTGACAGACCCTTTGATGGGTGTTTTTGCAGTTAAAGGAGGAACATTTGCCTTATTCAGGTGGACGTCATTGAGAGGTTGCAGGGGTCTTTTAGAACTCATGTCGGTGGATGGCTGAATGGCGAGATGGCTGAGTCAAAAAATGGAGTGGTGCAGCTAGAGTTCTCGTAGTATAGCCGGAGGTAATATTATAGAAGCGGTATCAGTGACAAATGGAATTGTCAATTGGGCTAAAACTTACGAAAAGATGTGCTGGAATCGTTAGTGTAGGAAATGGAGTGTTATTTCACTAACCTTTTTCTCTCTCTATTCCCCTTGGCTACTGGATTCAGAAAAACCGAGGATTGAATTGCTCAACATAAACGTCCAGAAGAAGAGATCAAAGGAAAAGGGCGGAAGAAGCAGATCAGAAACAACGGGATTATCGATAGGAATTGAGAAGCAACCCCAAAAGTAAAAAGGAACTAGTATATATAGAGTCGATAGAGAAAGGCAGACGAAGACCGTAAAACTGATCAATCAAGCTCCCAGATCAAGGTCCACAATTTGTGTTTTGCTTTTCCCTGAAACTCGACATTAGTTTCCCCAAACGGTTGTTTACCTTTGATTTTTCCCATTTGCACACTATTGACATAACATTTTCACGCGAAAGCCTCTACGGCTGTTTATTTCTAACCGCATCGGGCAATTCACAGCAGCATCTCGTTGTTGATGACTTGCTGGAAACAGTAATTTTCCCTTTTCGTACCCGTTTACACGGGTCTACTAATCGAAGCTATATATACCAGCACTGCTCGCATCGGCCATTTGAAACGTTTACTTTGATGTTTGCTATCCGTCACGACTTGCCCCGCACAGAGCCCTCGGAGAGCACCGAATACTTAACGCTGCCACCTCGCTCTACGGGCGGGCAGCAAGTAACGCTGCTGTGTGTTGCTGCGCCCTAGCTGCTTCTCTGCCCAACCTACACCCCACAGAGCGCTACGTATGTATACATCTGTAGTGTATACACATACAGCCTGTTGGCGGTTGGCGGAATGCGCCAGCTCAACTAGAACGGGTAAAAAATATCGGTGCGACACAGGAATGCCTTGCCCGACAGAAAGGAAAATGCAGGGGCACTTGCATACGATCGTCTGTTTGCTCGGCAAAGGCACGGCAGTCGCCGACGGGTGGCCCTGAACTACACGGTTAGGCACTTTGTACAACTGTAAGGATGTAGATCCCAAAGACAAACTCTTTTATTCCGACTGCTTCGGCAGACCTGTGCCCCTTCTCTGAATGGACACCATACGCCGATCGGCCCATCTCTTCTTTTTCCGCCTCTTTGCACGGCAACTCTTCCTTCGGGACAGGGCACAGACGTTGTCTGTACGCCGCCGGGGGCAGCAGAACAGAGGGGGGGCACTCGGCAGGCGCTCGGGCATACGCCGGGCTGGCCACTGGGGGCGTGCGGGATGCCCTCCCAGCCGGCCTCCCAGGCCTTGAACCTTGCTCGGCGTATTGCGACCGAAATTTCTGTTTCTCACACTTTTTTTTCTCTACCCTAAATTTTAGTCGTACGCGAGAACAAGGAATTTCATTTGAGTCGCATTATTGTGTTGATGATGATGAATACTTTTTTAGAATTATTTTGTTGGCCATAGTTAACACAGCTTTTTTGACGTTTTTTCTGGCTTGCAGTAGGGGTACTGCTTTGTCTTTTGTGTAGAGTGGCATACTACATTCTGCCGAAAACAGTTCACACACACGCTCATTTGGAGAATGTCGCAATCGATAGTGAAGAAGGAGATTGTGGTTGGTGATCTGAAAGCCCCAAAAAGAAAACTAAAGACCGAGGCAAAGGAACCCTCAACAAAAAAGGTCAAGACCGAAAGCACCTCTACGAAGGTGCAGAAGGCAAACGCGAAGAAGGGAACGAAGGCGGTCAAGAAGGAAACCGTAAAGGTGACCAAAAAGGAGGTTGAAAAGGAGGTCAAAAAGGACTCGCAGAACACCGATGACAATGCCGAAGACGAAGATACCTTCAAGTGGTGGGAAAACCCAGACGACTTGAACGGCGAAATCAAATGGGAAACTTTGGAGCACAATGGTGTCATGTTCCCCCCACCGTATGAGCCGCTACCAAAGAGTGTCAAGCTGTACTACGACGGCAAGCCTGTCAGCCTTCCGCTTGAAGCAGAGGAAGTTACTGGATTTTTCGGGGCCCTGTTGGAATCGGAACATGCGAAGAACCCTGTATTTCAAAAGAACTTTTTCAACGATTTCAGAAAAGTGCTGGCGGAGACCAGCGGTTGTCCGGACGCTGACATCACCTCTTTCGACAAGTGTGATTTCTCCAAAATATATCAGTACTATGATAAGAAGCGAGAAGAGAAGAAGGCACTACCTTCGGCAGCGAAGAAGAAGGCAAAGGAGGAGCGAGAGAAAACCGAGGAGATGTACAAGTACTGTATCATAGATGGCAGGAAGGAACAGGTTGGTAATTTCCATATCGAACCTCCAGGACTCTTCAGGGGACGTGGTGCTCATCCAAAAACAGGCGCCTTGAAACGCAGGGTTCAACCGGAAGACATCACTTTGAACTTGGGAAAGGAATCACCAACACCAACTGCCCCTGAGGGCCACAAATGGGGCGAGATCCGTCATGACAACACTGTTGGGTGGTTGGCAATGTGGAAGGAAAATATCATGGGCAATATAAAGTACGTGAGACTTTCCCAGAACTCTTCTTTCAAAGGTATAAGTGACTTGAAGAAGTTCGAGAAGGCAAGAGAGTTGAAGCAGCATGTTGATAAGATCAGAACCGACTATACCAAAAAGCTCAAAAGTAGTATGATGATCGACAGGCAAATTGCAACGGCCACCTATCTGATTGACGTGTTTGCCTTGAGAGCTGGTGGGGAGAAACGTGATGACGAGGCAGACACCGTGGGCTGTTGTTCCTTGCGGTTTGAGCACATTTTCCTGAAGCCTCCTAACACTGTCATCTTTGATTTCCTTGGTAAAGATTCGATCAGATTCTATCAAGAGGTTCAGGTCGATTCCCAAGTATTCAAGAATATGAAAATTTTCAAAAAAGAGCCTAAGAAACCTGGAGATGATTTGTTTGATCGTCTGGATCCGTCAATCTTAAACAAGTATTTCCAAGGATTTATGACGGGGCTTACGGCGAAAGTTTTCAGAACCTACAATGCCTCTAAGACCATGCAAGATCAGTTGGATTTGATTCCCAACGTCGGTACTGTCAAGGAGAAAGTTGTTGCCTTCAATGCTGCTAATAGAGAGGTTGCAATTCTATGTAACCATCAGCGTACAATTCCAAAGGCGCATCAAGCAGGTGTCCAAAAGCTGAACGAAAAGATAGAAGAAATGATTTGGCAGAAGATCAAGCTGAAGAGAATAATGTTGCAGCTGGACAAAACCATGAAAAAGAAGGATCTCGAATACTTTGAGGAAATCGAAGATTTGACAAAGGAAAAGGAGTCGGAGATTGTCTCGCGTTGGTCAAAGAACGAACTTGAAAAACTTCAGAAAAGGTTTGATAGGGAGAAAGAGAAGCTAAAGTACCAGAAGAAGGAGATGTCTGCCGACGAATACAAGCAGAAAATGGCAGAGCTGAAAGAAGAGAACAAGAAAAAGGCCGAAAAAGCAAAAGAGACCATCAAGCAGTTTAAGTCCGAGGCAAAGTCCCAGAAGTACGAAGAGAAGAGTAGTTATACAGCTGAAAAATTGAAGTTGCAAATCGATAAGCTTGAAGAAAGAATCAAGAACACGAGTCTACAACTGAAGGATAAAGAGGAAAACTCCGCTGTTTCTTTGGACACTTCGAAGATGAACTATATCGACCCGCGTTTGACGGTCATGTTCTCTAAGAAATACGATGTTCCTATCGAGAAGTTATTCACCAAGACGTTACGAGAAAAGTTTGCATGGGCAATTGAATCTGCTGGCGCCGATTGGAAATTCTGAATACCGGGCTTCTTCCAAGTTGTCTGTTTATGTATTGAACATGATTATAGGTATATATACGATTATGAGTATAAGCGTGAACATGGTTTCTATATATATATAAATTTAGAGCCCGCAAGGGAGATCAAAACAAAAGGAAAAAAAAGAAAAATACTCTGAAAATGAGAAAATAACAAAACGAAAGGAACGTAAACGCGGTGCGAAGAAGCAAACAGAGAAACGCGTTTTGATTGTTATTGTTTTAGATAGGTTGTAAAGATAGCCCACAGGTTTTTGAATGCATAATATTTTCAGGGGTTTGGTTGACGGGTGTATGTCCTGTTTGCAAACCGTCATGGCTTCGTGTAAAGAAAGTGTAGGAGAAACTCTTTTTCCTTCTTTCTTTCTATTCAATACCAACTTACGTGTTATTCTCTTCTTTTCTTTTCTTTTTCTTCACTAGTCTGCTCTGTTACATAATAAAATCACTTTATTCATTCTGTTCTGATATACTCTACCATACTTGAGAAGCCTCTTTCCAGAGAAAACTTTACTGCAACTTCAGAGTACAAACTCGGCCACATTCGTTTACCCACAATTCGTGCTTTCAATCACCCAAAGAAAGTTTAGCAGATAGAGACCTCTCGAAATCAGAATATACCACACCATAATGGCCTCTTCAAAGCGTACTGTAACCACCACCACACATAGCAGCTTAAGCAGTTTGAGCACGCATTCAAGTGCTAGCGCATCGGCAACATTTACTCCTGTTATATCTCACGAATACAATCCATTCGTTTACCATTACGACGATAAGAATGGCACGGTTTTCATTGCTGTTGGCACCATTATCGTCACACTTTTTGTGCTTTTATTGAGTGCCAGATTTTGGTACTGGTTGAAGAATCGAAAGGCAGCACAAGATGCCACTAGGTTTGACGATTATTACGGAGGCGGTAATGTTTCTTACTACGATGACGACAAGAGTGACCTCAGTTTCCTGACTTACGATCCTACTAGCTTTATGGAAAAGAAGAATAGCTACCGAAATGAGAATGCTACGCCAAACTCTGACTCTTCCGGTTTCACACACAACTCCACTGCATCTTCGTCCTCGTTTGGCTCTATGAATGATAACCAATCGAGGGTTGATTTATCGAATCTGACTTCTCAACCAGGTCATAATTTGCGTTCTGCACTGGCACAATCATACATTCCGCCAAAAAATAGACACTCCTTTATTTCACCAATCAATCAACTAATTCAAGAGCAGAACCCGTCTATGCAAAGTGTCATCACCGATAGTGGTGGCAGCAAAAGGTTGTCATCTAACCAATTGTTGGACGCGTTCAACATACCGTCACCTGTGGATCCTTCTGTCAACATCTCTTCACCACCCACCAGTGCAACATCCAAAGATTCGAGAAGGAGAAAGACACAATCGATCAGTCTTCTGATTAATTCGTCCTCTCCTAACATGAACAGTAAATCCAACTTGCCGGTGAGTAACAACCACAGCACCAATACTCTGGGTGGTGCACATTCGAGAAGTACCTCGCTGGACTTGCGTGAACTTGAGAAAATGATCCACAGAAGTTTGGCAGAGAACAAGTCCAAGGATTCCGTCGAATCGGCGTCTCCTGCTTCTGTTTCCTCTCCTATGCCAAGCTCCAATAGAGAAGAGAACAAGAAGAGGACGAGACCACCTTCTTTAGTTTTGGATATGCTTGTCCAAAACGAGATGAACCTGTAGATACGATGGATCTGATAGATCGTTTGGCTGTCGGACCACCTTTGCTAGTTGTACAAATCACTCTCTTCTGTAGATGAGTTTATACCAAAAAAATTAGAACTTTAAACGACACGTAGGCTCGACATTACTCTTTTCTAAGATAATTAAGACTTTATACAGGAGGGAAAGATTGGGCAAGTTGAAAAATAACACCGAAAGAATAACACAGTAGAATCAAACATAATGCTCCTGAAGCACAAATAGGCAATTATTTTGTCCTAGAACATGTGTACTAACTTGTTCAGAACACGTGCACCTATGATAAAAATGTTAAAAGGAAATAGAATAAAAAGACTGAAGAGACAGAAACTCCTATATAATGGAATAAAGTGAAAGTGTTGTATTATTTTTTATACGTGTTGTTGATAATTGATTTTGCTGCCACAGGAAAGCTGTGTTCGGCTTCCCTGGGTGGATTTTTTCAAAACGGCAGCGATTAGTACTGCTTAGCAGCAGCCTGGCATGCCTTCAACTGCTGCAAGTAGAAGTCGCAAGCCTGGTAGTTGCCGTTAGAGTCTTCGATACATCTGGTGAAGTTTCTTGCGTCAACGTCACATGGGGCGGACTGCTGGCTGTTGTAGCCCTGGGATTGGACGGCTGGAGCCTGTTGCATCTGTTGTTCAGCTGGGGCGTCGTTGGAGCTCGAGCCGGAAAACATGGAGGTCAGACCGGCACCCAGAGTGTGGCCGACGGCGGAACCGACGGCGACACCGGCAGCGGTGGTGGCCATCTGTGCGAACATACCAGGCTGCTGTGGAGCAGCGGCGGCTGGAGAGGTGACTGGGTGTGCAGCAGAGGCCTGTGTTGGAGGACGGTATGCAGCCGCTGGGGCAGCCATCGTGGAGGCCGATCTCGACTGGGAGCTTCCGCCAAAGAGGGAACGGGAGGATGATCCGTGGGAGGCTGGAGCTGGTCTTCTGGAGGATGATCTTGGCATTTCTGTTGGTTGTGTTGTGTGGGGTCGGGAGGTGTGTCTTGTTCACAGGTCAGTCTCAAACCCAGAGAAACAAAGAGAGAGGAAAAAAGTAAGCAAGCAGTGCTGAAAACGAAAGCTCAGAGCGTATGCTAGAACCGTTGTGCCCTCGAAGGCAAACTTATAAGGCGCTACGCAGTCCGCACCGGCCGCACAAAAAGAGAAGCCGAAAGCGCACGTTCTTTATATAGCGGCGGCGGCTGGTGATGGTACACACCGAGCCGTTCTGCGGGCCGCTGCAGCGTCACGCTGAACCCGCCGCCACCGGCCCCGTTACGCACAGGCAAGCAGCCACTGGGTCGGCCAGCGGTCATCGCTGGCAACCCGCCCCGGTGCCAGGATTTGTCGACACGCTAACTCCGCCGCAAGCCCCAGACGGGCGGCCCTGGAACCTTCTTTGCCCGTAGAAAAATTGCCACCCCTTCTGCCCATCCTTTTCGCTTATGTAAGCCGGAGCCTCTTTTCCTTTTCCACAAGAGATTTCACCGACGCGTCGCCTGATGCTTGCACCTGTGCACCGGGCGGTTTTGCACGTGATGCTGTCATTGCGTTTAACGTGTCAGGAAGCAAAGAGGGGAAAAGCGAATCAAGAAAAAGTGCCCGAAATTGTGAAAATGCGGAAAAATCCTGGCAGGCCCATGCTGCTTACATACTCGCATTCTCTCTGAGGGGAAAAACGCTGTGCGCCTGTAGGGAGAGAGAGGGGTGAGGGTGAGAGGAGAGGAGGAAAGCACTGAACGCAACACAGACGCTTTGGTAGCCCTGTTTATGGGCTATCCGTCAGCCACAGAGACCGTTGCAGAACACGTACACCGCACACGACGTTCCAAAGGCACTTCCGACACGCACAGCTCCGTTTGTTCCGCCCCTCCACACCCGATCAGGTTGCATTGTCAAAACACAGTCTGCTTCCGACACAAGAGAAACGACAGTTAGCACAGCAAGTCTAGACATAGGTACCGCCGTTTGAAAGCTATAGGTATCGTTGCACTGTCCCCACGCACACACACACGCAGCCACATACACATATACATACACATAGATATTATCTGTACCATACCTCCCATCACAGCACTTCCAACACCCCCACATAACCCCATAGGCAAGGAAACAGCTCTGTACACACAATGCTCTCTGCTACTCTAAGATCCAGCTTCAAGCAAGCTTCACACGTGTCCAGACTCGCACAATTCAACAGAAGATGTCTTTCCTCCACATCCCTTGTGAAAGAGATGCCAAAGCTCCACAAGATCGAGCAAGAGGCCAGAGATAACGATTTCTACATCATCAAGAAGAGAGGTGACAAGGGCGGCGAATCTGCCGTCGAAGGTGAGGATGGTTTCACTTCCACTGTCAACATGGAAATCAACTCTGCAATGGGTTCTTACTCAGACTTCGTTAACGACGCCAAGGACTGGGAAACATGGACTTTGGAGAACGAGGACTCTCCAGATCACACGGTCAAGAAGTCCAAGATCAGGCATTTCACCTTGAACTTTGGTCCTCAGCATCCAGCTGCGCACGGTGTCTTGAGACTTATTTTGGAGTTACACGGTGAAGAAATCATCAGGTCCGACCCCCATGTCGGCTTGTTACACAGAGGTACCGAAAAGTTGATTGAATCAAAGACCTACATGCAAGCCCTTCCTTACTTCGACAGATTGGATTACGTCTCCATGATGACCAACGAACAGGTTTTTGCTGTCGCTGTTGAAAAATTGCTGAACATTGAGGTCCCAATCAGAGCCAAGTACATCAGAACCTTGTTTGGTGAAATAACCAGAATCTTGAACCACTTGATGTCGGTCTTGTCCCATGCGATGGATGTTGGTGCCTTGACCCCTTTCTTGTGGGGTTTCGAAGAAAGAGAGAAGTTGATGGAATTCTACGAAAGAGTTTCTGGTGCTAGATTGCACTCGGCCTACGTCAGGCCAGGTGGTGTCTCCCAAGATATTCCTTTCGGTCTCTTGGACGATATCTACATGTGGGCCACCCAATTCGGTGACAGAATCGACGAAACCGAAGAATTGTTGACCGATAACCGTATTTGGAAACAGAGAACTATCGATGTCGGTATAGTTACCGCCGAAGACGCGTTAGCTTACGGTTTATCCGGTGTCATGTTGAGAGGTTCTGGTATCCCTTACGATATCAGAAAGGCCCAACCTTATGATGCTTATGATTTGGTCGACTTCGATGTCGCCGTCGGTACTAAGGGTGATTGTTACGACAGATACTTGATTAGAATGGCCGAGTTCAGACAATCATTAAGAATCATAGAACAATGTCTGAATGACATGCCTGCTGGACCTGTCAAGGTTGAAGATTTCAAGATTTCCCCACCTTCCAAGGAGTTGATGAAAAACGATATGGAAACTTTGATTCACCATTTCTTGCTTTTTACTAAAGGTTATCAAGTTCCTCAAGGTGAAACCTATACCGCCATCGAAGCACCAAAGGGTGAAATGGGAGTTTATGTCGTTTCCGATGGTTCTGAAAGACCATACAGATGTAAGATCAGAACCCCAGGTTTCGCTCACTTGGGTGCTTTTGACCACATTTCGAGAGGTCACTTGTTGCCTGATGCTGTTGCCATCATTGGTACTATGGATTTGGTTTTCGGTGAAGTGGATAGATAATCTTGTCAATCTGTTCCGATTAAGTTTAAAAAATTAATATCACACTGCATTATTAACAATATTCCCCACCTCTGACCAACAGCATATGCTACGATCAACATTATCCTTACCATCATCATCATCATGTCAACAAAGAAGCTGATAATTCTCTTTCCTCCTATCATATATCTTAACTTTTCAACCATTCATTCTTACTTTATATAATCTCTGTCTAATCCAGACAATTTTGATACTTTTATACAAATAAATATTTATCCCTATTTATTTCTTATTTATTTTCTGTTTTGTTTATTTATAACACTTTAAATCCTATTTATTCAAAAAAATAAAATGTAGAAGCTGGTAGCTAAAATAGTTTAGTTGGCATTGATTGACAAAAATCGAGTTTTTCTATAAAATTTTGGGATAGATTAAAGTACAAAAAGAGAAGGAAAGAAAAATATCTAGTACAGCAAGTAAAAGCACGAAACAAATTTGGAAGATCAAAATAGAATTCTTGATAAAATCTATTCGATATCCATGTTTGCAACTTCCTCCACTGTTGGACAGGTGCACATCAAGTTCATATCACCATATGTATCATCGACTCTGGCAACTGTTGGCCAAGTCTTGAAGTTCTTCAAGTGAGGTAAAGGATAAGCGGCTTGTTCTCTACTGTATCCTCTCTTAGACCATTCCTCTTCGCTGGTTTCCAATAAATCGGTTAATGGATGTGGAGAATTTTTCAAAATTGCACCATCGCTTCTACCTTCTTCAACTGCACGGATTTCCTCTCTAATTGCCAACATCGAGTCAACAAATCTGTCTAATTCAGCTTTGTCTTCAGATTCAGTTGGTTCAACCATCAAAGTACCTGGGATTGGGAAAGACATTGTTGGGGCATGAAAGCCATAATCTTGCAATCTCTTGGCAATATCGATGGCTTCAATATGAACGGTCTTGAATGGTCTCAAATCAATGATAAATTCATGAGCACAATATTTGATCTCATCGCTACCGGACTGAGATTTTTCACCCAAAAACAAAATTTTATAAGCATCCTTCAACTTGTACATCATGTAGTTTGCGTTCAAGATGGCAGTAGCAGAAGAGAATGGAATGTTGTCACCACCCATGGCCTTAATGTAAGCATATGGAATTGGTAACACAGATGCAGAACCGAATGGAGCAGAAGAAACTGGTAGGATTGCATTTTCTATGTTTGCATTCGTAGTGGCCCCAAGTGGATGCTTTGGTAACAAATCTGCTAGATGCTCGGCAACACAAATTGGACCAACACCTGGACCACCACCACCGTGAGGAATTGCAAATGTCTTGTGCAAGTTCAAGTGACAAACGTCTGCACCCAAATCACCAGGAGAGGTTAAACCGACTTGGGCGTTCATGTTTGCACCATCAAGGTAGACTTGGCCACCATGCTGGTGAATAATTTTACATGCATCCCTAATCGTTGGTTCAAATAAACCATATGTGGATGGATATGTGACCATGATAGCGGCCAAATTGTCTGAGTATTTTTCAGCTTGTTTTCTCAGATCTACAAGGTCCAAGTTTCCGTTGCTCAAACACTTAATTGGAATAACCTTTAAGCCGGCCATAGTTGCAGATGCAGGATTGGTACCGTGAGCCGAGACAGGAATCAAGACGATGTTTCTGTTAGTCTCACCTTTGATAACGTGCAAGTATTGCTTAATGACAGATAAACCCGTGTACTCACCCTGTGCACCTGAATTTGGCATTAAAGTGGTCTTGGCAAACCCTGTGATATCTGCTAAGTCAGCTTCCAATTCAGTAATGAGTTCCATGTAACCCTTAGCTTGGTCTCTTGGAATGAAGGGATGTAAGGATGCAAACTCAGGCCATGTTATTGGTGCCATTTCAACTGTTGCATTCAATTTCATGGTACATGAACCAAGAGAAATCATCGATGAAGCTAAAGATATATCTTTCTGTTGCAAAGAATACAAGTATCTGAGCATTGCGGTTTCAGAGTGGTACTTTTTGAAAACAGGATTGGTGAAAATGACGTCTTTTCTTGTCCATTCTTCGGGGAAAATAGGCAACTCTAGACTGTCGACGGTGATAGCCTTACCAGTAAAAAGAGAAATCAAATCAATCAAGTCTTTTTCTGAAACAGTTTCATCAAGCGACAGCTGAATATTTGATTCGCCGACTTTGAAAACGTTGATTCCATAATCATTGACTGCTTTCTCCATGAATTCAGCAGAGGTAGTGCCATTCAATTTGATACTCAAAGTATCAAACCAAGAGTCATTGACAATGTCGTGTGGAGAGTTATCTTTGATTTGGTTAGCCAAGAGGGTGGTGAAACCATATATCTTAGAAGAAATGTTTCTCAAGCCATCTAGACCATGGTACACAGCGTAATTGGCGGCAATGTTAGCCAATAGGGCTTGGGCAGTGCAGATATTGGAAGTTGCCTTCTCTCTTTTAATATGTTGTTCTCTAGTTTGCAAGGCCAATCTCAAAGCTGGCTTATCCATTCTATCCTTGGTAATACCAATCAATCTACCTGGCATTTTTCTTTGTAAGGCTTTTGTGACTGCGAAGAAGGCAGCATGAGGACCACCAAAGCCCATTGGAACACCGAATCTTTGGGAGGAACCAAAAACGATATCAGCACCGAAGGTGGAAGGTGGATGGAGCAGAGTCAAAGCAAGTAAATCTGAGGCGACAGAGAGTAAACCTCTGTTGGAGTGGACCAAGCCGGATATTTCTTGTAGAATTTTAATCGATGGTATAGAACCATTGCTTTGAGGGTATGAGACTAATGCACCGCAAGTCTGTCCGATATTCTCCTTCAATTCGTCTAAACCTTCCTTAGAAAACAAGTCAGCGACTCTAATGTCGAGGTTAAGAGTATTAGCTCTACTGGCAATGACACTGTAGGTCTGTTCGTGTATGTTAGAGTCAATATAGTAGATGTTCTTCTTACCTCTTGACAAGTTGTATGAAAGGATCATTGCCTCTGCTGCTGCGGTACCTTCGTCTAACAAGGACGCATTAGCGACCGGCATACCGGTTAAGTCGGACACCACGGTTTGGTAGTTGAGCAAGCTCTCCAATCTGCCTTGAGAGACTTCTGCTTGGTAAGGGGTGTATGAAGTGTACCACGCAGGGTTTTCCATCAAATTTCTTTGAATGACGAGAGGTAACTTGGTACCATAGTAACCCTTACCGATGTAGGAACGCAGAACCTGGTTTTTTTGTGCTAACTCCTTCAGTCTGTTCAACATTTCTGTTTCGGAGTAGCCCTTTGCAGGCTGCACCTTCAAGCGTCTTCCGACAAAGACGCTTTCTGGAATGACTGAGTTGATGAATTCCTGTAAATTGCCAGAATTTACCTCATTCAACATACTCTCGACGTCTTCCGGCTGTGGGCCTAAATGTCTTCTGGCAAAAGTATCCAAGTCCGCGTACTTGTCGGTGACGCTGTACAAGCTAGCGTACTTTTCGGTCGACACATCGACCTTGGTCGATTGGAATCTTTGCACAGAAACCCGAGGGGCTCTTAACGCCAAACGCGATACTCTGATTGTATTTCTGAGCATGTCGAGTCTATGTCATGAAATCAACAAAGGGGGAAGGGGGAATAGAATATTTAAGAGATCCGAGTTAGTACCACTGAAACAGATTGATGGCTGGCATTAGAGACCTGCAAGGAAACTGCCGCTTTCCTCTCTCGCACACATACACTTATGTTGTCGAACTTCTTCAGATAAATCCGTTTGGTTTTCGGAGTAGCGATGTATTTCGGACAGAACGGTCTGATTCAGCTGGGGAAGAGCCACAAAAAAGGAAAGGAGCCAACAGGAAAACAAACAGAACGGTCAAGAGGAATGAAGGCCAGATTAAATCAACGCCAGACCAGCTTCCGTTCTGGAGAGATAAAGCATGTACCAAAAAACAAGCATGTGTTAAATATAAATCTTGCGTGCCTGTTCGTACATAGGTATCAGATTGCAGCCGGGGGGAGCAGAGCCAGGGGAGGCCAATTAGGTTAGAGGCTAGCCGGAGTCAGCTCTGTAGGATGCCGAGTCAGCTAGAGTGCCGTTGGAAAGTGACCAGAGTCGCGACTGAGTCGCGGGAAGTCAGTGCAGCGACAGGGAGAGGGGAGCAGTCGGAAGGAGAAGTCAGAAAGACTTCGGTACAAAGACTTGGGACCAGACTCGTTCCTCTTTCCCCGTGTCCTCTGGTTTCCTACGCGCCAGCGGGCGCCGAGCCTTCTCAAATCGTTCTCGTTCTTGGCTCGCACCCAAACGCGTGTAAGAAGGTTGCGAAATGGGGTATAATTGGCAAATTGAATTATATTATAGAAATGTATATAAGTGTCACAAAAACGTGTTGGTATCAAAAGATCCTTTACCGAGGAACCGCTCGTAATGGACTGGTATAAATAGGACGAAGGGAATTGTAGATAGCGGAAAGATAGAAGAAAAAGCGAGAGAAGAGAAAAAATGAGAGAATTGTAGGTTGAACGAAAGACTTTTTTCGTTAACTAGAAGAAGAAAATCGTTGACAAAATGACAACGAAACTCAACCAGCCGTTACCGACGGAAAGCTTTGGAGAGGCGTTGAAGTAGCTGACAGTTGCACTGCTAGTTTGGCCGGTGCCGGACGAAGTTCCTCTGGAGCCATTGTACGTGGCAGAACCTGAAGTACTCGGGTTTCTGGTAGAAGTTTTCATCGTAGTGGCATTTGCATTCCTGGCAGTTGAAGCCTCAACCGTTCCTACGCTAGTAGGTGCTGTTACCAAAGTAGTGCCAGATGTAATGGCGCTTTCTTGAGTTGTGGAGCTGGATTCCGTTCTCAAAGTGCTAGATTTTGAAGGTATTGTTACCTCAAAAGTGCCAGCTGTTGGCGCTGCTGTATGAGTAGATGGCAAGGACGAGGAAACTGGTGTGGCAGAAATAGCTGTCAAGGGAGTCAATGGGGTTGCTGTAGTCATTGTACTGAAATTTCCATATGGACCAGAGAAAATACTCTCAGGAGTTGCTTGGGTGGATGATAAAATGGTTAATGATGATTTAAGTGGTTTGATGGTTGGTGGAGCAGATGAGCCAGACACAGTATCTCTGGTCTCAGAAGTCGACGAGCCAGAAACAGTACCGGTGGCCGACGAAGTAGAGCCTGATGCGGTGGAGCCTGGAATTCTGGTCTCAGAAGTCGACGAGCCAGAAACAGTACCGGTGGCCGACGAAGTAGAGCCTGATGCGGTGGAGCCTGGAATTCTGGTCTCAGAAGTCGACGAGCCAGAAACAGTACCGGTAGCCGACGAAGTAGAGTCTGATGTGGTGGAGCCTGGAATTCTGGTCTCAGAAGTCGACGAGCCAGAAATGGCACCGGTGGCCAACGAAGTAGAGCCTGATGCGGTGGAGCCTGGAATTCTGGTCTCAGAAGTTGATGGTGCGATCGATGATAAAGTCATAGTAGACTCTGATGGTTTAATAGTTGGTGAAGCAGAGGAACCGGAAGTAGTAGCTGGTTTACTTAATGAGAAACCAGAGGTAACAATCGATATAGAACCGGAAAGCAAAGTGGATGATGAACCAGATGGAACAGCCGATGATTTAGCGGATGATAAACCAGATGGAGCAGCCGATGACATAGCGGATGATGAACCAGATGGAGCAGTGGAGGACTTCCCAGATGGAGCTACCGATGACATAGCGGACGATGAACCAGATGGAACAGCCGATGATTTAGCGGATGATGAACCAGATGGAGCAGTCGATGATTTAGCGGATGATGAACCAGATGAAACAGCCGATGAAATAGCGGATGATGAACCAGATGGAGCAGTCGAGGACTTACCAGATAAAGCAATCGATGACATAGCGGATGATGAACCAGATGGAACAGCCGATGATTTAGCGGATGATGAACCAGATGAAACAGCCGATGATTTAGCGGATGATGAACCAGATGGAGCAGTGGAGGACTTACCAGATGGAGCAGTCGAGGACTTACCAGATGGAGCTACCGATGACATAGCGGATGATGAACCAGATGGAACAGCCGATGATTTAGCGGATGATGAACCAGATGGAGCAACCGATGACTTACCAGATGGAGCAACCGATGACTTACCGGATGATGAACCAGATGGAGCAATGGAGGACTTACCAGATGGAGCTACCGATGACATAGCGCATGATGAACCAGATGGAACAGCCGATGATTTAGCGGATGATGAACCAGATGGAGCAACCGATGATTCAGATGTAGTCGATAGAGAACTCGTCGAAGGTGATATTGTTCCTTGAACACATTGAGAGTAGTATGGGTTGGCAGAACTGCATGAGTAACCCTCACAACAGACTCCGCTCACACAGTTACCATATTGTGGAACACAAGAGCTGGCTGTCGTCGTTGGTGTCGTCGTTGATGAGCTAGTCGTTGATGAGCTCGTCTTTGACTTAGTAGTTTTCGTGGTTGGGGTCGTTGATGTACTTGATGAAGAGCTGGTCGAAGGTGGTGTTGTTCCCTGCACACATTGTGAGTAGTATGGGTTGGCAGAACTGCATGAGTAACCCTCACAACAGACTCCGCTCACACAGTTACCATATTGTGGAACACAAGAGCTGGCCGTAGTCGTTGGTGTCGCCGATGTTTTCGTGGTTGGGGTCGTTGATGTACTCGATGAAGAGGTGGTCGTAGGTGATGTTGTTCCCTGCACACATTGAGAGTAGTATGGGTTGGCAGAACTGCATGAGTAACCCTCACAACAGACTCCGCTCACACAGTTACCATATTGTGGAACACAATTGCTGGCGGTAGTCGTTGGTTGATTTGGAGTAGTTGTCGTGGTTGGTTTATTTGGAGATGTTGTAGTAGTTGGGGTGTTTGTGGGTGGGTTTCCACAATTCGCGCTCCAACACATTTCAGGCAAATCAAATTGACCTCCTGAGCCGCAACCGAAGGAGTAGTCAAAAGAGTTCTTACCATCAGCAAAGTCATACTGAATCTGCATACCGTCCTTCATACATTGTTGGCCAGAAGCATCCTGTCTCGAAGTGAATGTGAATTTTGCACTCCAAGAACAACCATTGATTGATTTACCTCCATTGGAAGGTTGTTGTAAGAGTAGACAACCACTGTCGCAGCACCACCATCAATCTTGATTTCATTGGTGTTATCAAACTGAGAACAGTCTTTACCTTGAAAGTTCATTGTACCCTCATAAATACCATTTCCTAGATCAGTGACAGTGTTTCCCCAAGAAACGGAAGCTGCGGGGTAACCATGATTATATGGTGTAAGAGAACATGATGAAACCTGTGTAGAACAACTATTACGTTTTTCTAATTCGTTATCGGTGTCTGCATTCGAGATTCCAATGTTAGAAATCAGCGTAGTAACCAGCAGACCGATATTACTAAGTCTCATAATGTAATGATATAGAAAATTGCTTACTCTGCGAAACTTATTTTCTGGAATGATGAGGAAAAGGTTATGAAAAGCTTTGAGGAAAATGTGCCAAAAGAGAAGGAAACGTAAAGGTTTATATCTGTTACGACAGCTGCTAAGTACCTGCTCATTCCACTCTTAGCTGAAGTCATGTTGTATATTTATCAGCGAACAAAGTCAGTGGTGTAGCGATATTTAATTAATCGATAGCTAGTTAGACATTCTGCATTACTATATCAGACAGCTTTATCGAGCTATGTCTGAAACTAGAAAAACGCTCATCGATTTTGGCCAGTCTATAGAGTGACCCTGGTTGCTCCTGCTGAAGAAAAATGTTTTCTGCATAATTTTATTCAACTTTAATACATTCGACATCTGCATTGCATATTATCTTTCTTCCATGTGAGCCATGACTATCAAGATGCATACAAATAACCACAAAACCGCACCATTGCAGACGTTGCACTCTATATCTTTATATATCTGTGCGCGAACACTGCAGGCAAAAATTGTTTGGAAAATTTCTCTGCATGTATAAATGCGGCATCGACCGGTAAGAAACCGTCTGATTAGAAATTCATAATGTGAAAGGGCTGCTTGGGGAAGAGGGCATGGAGGCACAGTACTAGAGGGACACGCTTATCCATCTGGGTATATGTCTGTCTAGCCTTTTGGGAACACTGCAATGGAAGGTGACTGAATGTCTGTAGAAACGTAAGCCTTGCGTAGAGGGAGACATTTTGCTGTGGCGGACCGCGGGAGCGTGCCATCCAACCCTCACGTGGTTGATAGGGAACAGGCGGCAACGATTTCAGCCGTGCGTGTTGATATAAAGTGAGCTGAAGTAGACTATTGCTAAACGTACAGTACATGTTAGTTAATACACAAGGGGAAAGAACTAGATTAAGTTAAAGCTGGCACGCCTGGAACTGCTTTCCGCTGTTGATGCCAACCCACTCGCCGGTGGGGTTCCAGCAAACAGAATTCACCTCCATGGGCGAGGAAAAGGAGTAAGCGGGGAGGGGGTCTTTGCCATGAGGGACGGCGATTTCATCAAGGTCAGCAGAACTGGAAAAGTCGTGAACGAGCACCTGGGAATCGTCGCCACCAGAAAGAAGCATGTTTTTCTTTGGGTGCCATGCGATCGAGTTCACCGGCGCCGAGTGGCTGTGGAGGGTGTAAAGCGGCAGGCCGACACTGCGCAAGTCTAGGACCAGTATTCGGTTAGACTTGGCCTCCAAGACGGCAATCTGGTTGGCGTTGTAATTAGATGTAGCCAATCTCACTAGTTTCCCCGTATCTGCAGAATTGAGTTTTGCGTTGGTCGGACCTGCAGGAGCAGCGGTAACAGCAACGGCAGAAGGTGTTGATGACTGAGCATCATACTTTTTGCTTGTGATGCCATCTGAGCGTTCGTAGATGATCGTTGATTGGTCCAAGTTCCGGAGGTCAAACAGTCGCACAGAGCCGTCGGATGAGCAACTGGCAAACACATTGGTGTCGCCGTAAATGTACTTCACGTCGTATACTTCGCTGTCGTGTGCTATAAGCTGTGTCTTAGCCACAAACGTCTCCTTCGTCAGGTTCCACACGGTGCAGGTGGTGTCTATTGAGCACGTGATGAGGTTGTTAGGGTCAAATCTGTTCCAGTCAAAGGATGTCATTGGGGGGAGCTGGTTCAAATTCTTGGACTTCGAGTTAGTGAGAGCGGTCTTTTCCACGAGTTTCCCGGCGGCAGTGGTCGCAGTATTAAGGTTGGTGAAGCTGTTGTTGTTGTTGATGTAGTTGGAGTTGGTTCCGTGAAAGTCGCACTCATCCTGCTTCAGAACCTCGTATATTCTCAAGCACTCAGATGTCGTGGCTAACCGCTCTACGTCAGTGTTGATGATGCTAAGAGCCGGATCCCACTGTAGTCGCGTGATCGGGTACTTGACAGTGTAGTCATGGCGTTTGGTGAGGGACCAGGAGTTGGCGACAACGTCGCTGCTGCTGACGATGTCGCTGGCGTTGTTGTCGTCATCAATGTACTGCGGGGATCCGTAAAGGATCTCCAACTTATTTGTCGAGTCTTCTCTGTACGAGCTCAAAGCAATCTTGGCGTGCCGCTGGTCTTTCGTGGTGGACCAGTCTGCACCGTAGAGCGGGTAGTGGGATGTGTACGAAGAAGTGTACTCGCTGGCAACAATTGGTGCCGTAGCAGCCGCTCCAAATGTCTCTGCATGGGTTTCTTGTGGGTGCAGGGCATAGTGTGGAAGAGCGTGTGCTTGTGAGGCAGGGTAGTTAAGGAAGCTGCCGGCTCCGCTCGTGGCAAGGGAGCTGGCGCCAGCGCTTCCCTTGCTCTTACTTGCGACCGCCTTATGGCTGCCGTTGCGGTTGGTCGACGTAGAGGTGCTGCTGCTGCTGCTGCTGCTGTTGCTGCTGTTGCTGCTACTGCTGTTGTTGTTGTTGCTGTGATTGGGGGTGTGGGCATGGCTGTGGGTATGGCCGTGGCTGTGGCTGTGGTTGTGGGTGACGCTGCTGCTTGAGTGCAGACCGACGTCATGTGACGAAAGGGCGTATCTGTGCATATACGGCCTCTCGGATGCGATGGAGGAACGTTTCTGCAGGCTGTTTATGCTGGGATAGGGGTATGAAGGCAGCATGGCGGGGTGTGGGGAAGCGCAGGGATCGAAGGCTGCTATCTCGCTAGCTCGGCAAAGAGTATTTGGCGGCGGAGGTAGTGGCTGTTGGGGGGCGTGTCTGTGTCGGGCCGTGCACAAAGATCCAGCGCTGGAAATGCCACCATGTGGGACGGTGATGGCATCGACAGCAGTAATAATGGCAGCGGGAGATAGCGACAATCAACGGTGTGAAATTCTTCGTTGGCCGAACACAGCAACTGCAGTCGATAGTCTCCTTTCCATTACGTCTTACGTAAGCTGCCGTTCTTAACTCCCTTCTTCTACTCTGCTCTTTTTTTCCTTTTCCCCTGTTCCCATTTCCCTCTCTTTCCCTTTCCCCGCGCCTTCCGGTTTCTTACGCACCAGCGGGCGCCGAGCCTCTTCGTTCTTCTTCTCGTTCTCGTTCTCGGCCCGCATCCGCCGTTCGCATCCAACTCACCCCCCTCTCCGCGCGCCCTCAAACCCGATGGTCCGCCGGCCCCGCCGCCCGTGCTTCCGCACACGTCTCGCGGAGTACCGCCCGAGCGGAGATCGCACGCTCGTATCACGCACGGGCCAACGCCCGCGCCCGAGTCCCAGCCCCGAGATTCCTTACTTCCGGCCGCCTACGTCGTGAATCATCACGGGCCTTTGTTCTCGCGGCAGACAGTCATGCATGCCCTTTTCTGCAAAAGGCCGCCACCGCTGGCAGTGCTGACCCCCTGTGTCGGTCCGCTGGGAGACCGTCGGACGGAGGGCTCTCTGCCGCAGAGAGGTCTGTCAAAGAGAAGGCCACCACGACACACTCAGGTGAAGGGAGCGACGCCCGCTAGAAGAAGGAGAACCGCAGGCGGGAAGACTGGGGACCCGACGTCACCCCCGCAACGGTACCCAGGCGCTCCGTTGCACCCCGTCCGGTCTTGAGGCTGGCTCTCCCCTCCTGGTCCTCCTCCGCCTGCTTCGCCTCGCTGGCATTGTTGTCTGTTGCAGCGGTGTTGAGGCCGTCACGGCTCGGAACGTGCGGTGCCGCAGTGTATATGAACTGTAGTCTTTCCGCCGCTTCCTCCCCGGGCCCCGTCCCCGTTCTCGAACGTTGATACGGCTGTTCGCTAGAGGCTAGCACGCATTATTTGCCAGAGTTCACGTCCGTCAACAGCGTCGGCACTTGCTCAACCGCAAGCCTTCCGGTATCCAAACTCCTCTTGTCCTCGTCCCGTCCACCTCTCTCCTCTGGCCCGTTCCCTCAGTTTTGCTCCTACCCCGCAAAATTACCCTGTTTCCATCCAACGTCTTGAGTTTCCACGTGCCCTCGAGCCTCTACACACACACACTAGTTGACCAAAATACATACTAAGACGCACAGACTAGCAAAGCAAACAAAGGGACGCTAATATTCTTTGTCACAGCGTAAATGAATCTCGTCGAACAAATGAACAATATCCCTACCTCCTCCCTCCCCTCTCCCAACGCACACTCGGTCTCCTCCACCACTAGTATCAGCCTCAGAAAGGACTCCGATCAAACAGCCAGTTTTACAGGCTTCAAAGACATAAACTACTCTCAGTCCTCCGATCCCTCAGAAGGCGCTAGCACTAGCACTCACGCTCAAACGCCTTACAACCAATACGCATGCATCCGATGCAGAAGGTTGAAGAAAAAGTGTTCCAAAGAACTACCAAAATGCGCAAACTGTGACCGACAGGCTGAATGTTGTGAGTACGTGGAAAGGAAAAATAAGAGGAAGTCTTCCATTAGCCACAATTCAGTTTCAATCATCAAGTTGAAGAAATTACGCAGTAGTAGCGATAGAAAAGCGGATGGTATCGATGATGGCGGCAATCCTCTCTCTGGCTCCAATTCTGATTCCTTTTCTGATAGTGAAGCAACAACCGATATCCCTTCCATCCTCCTGGCTAATAGTCAATATTCTGTTTCTAAACATTCTGCGGATACTACTGACATACGCCATAGAAGAACCATTTCAAATCCGACAAAATTGGCGGCTCTATCGGGTACCACTTTCCCTACAAATGATATACTATATTCCTCTGCGGCCCCCTTTTCTACGCCCTACACTTACAATAGAGGGTCGAGTTTACCTTCCCCGAAAAGTTCCAACATAAGGACTACTCCCACCATTCAATTGCCTCCGATCAGGCAAATCTCAACAAAAATAAATCAACCTGCGGGTCAGGATGATCAGTTACCCACATTGGGATCCTACTCTTTGCAACAAAGTATTAACCCTCTGGTCAACAACAATACTGCAAACATCAGAGGTGACCCTCCAAACAATTCAGCACTGGAATCGAATATCCTACCATCGATTCCGAAGCAACTAATGAAATCACATCTAGCTCACTTTTCCGACTCTAGTCCAGGTTCTCCATTTGTTACGTCTTCCTCCGCGTCTTACATGGCCTCTTATCAATCAAACATCTCCTCGGATGAAATAAAAAGTAGAAAATTAAGTATTTCAGCCTCACTATCATCTTCCTCTCAGAGGGAAAAGACTTTCTTGCTTCCTTCAAAGCAGCTTTTGAAAGCCGAAGATCTCAGCATTCTCAATCAAGATACCAATTTTGTTAGATCAAATGGATTGTTTGACATTTCTCCCCCGAATTCTCTGGAACAGGACCTACTCAATCTAATTTTCAAGAAAATGGGCTTTATTGATGAAAGCATATTGACAACAATTACCAACCACAATCCGCAATTGGATTACCAAAATACTTTGGGTCTTTTATCAAAATTGCTTATTTTTCTAGATCAGAAAGTGATGTTTGAAAAACTCAAAGAGTTCAAAGAGACGAGTTTCAACTGGAATGAAACTAGCATTCAAAATCGTGAAAATTACTTTGCTTCTATCGAATTTCTATTGATTTATACCTGTTCCATTTTAGTCACCAACCGTCAAGCTCGTATCGTAAACTCAAATTATCATAAACTAGTTTTCACAATGGCTTACAAGTTATTCCAAAAAAAAAGCTTTCCTGTAACACGTGTCCAAATACTTCGAATCATGATGCTCTTTGAAATCATTACTCTTTTAGATAATTCAGACCTTGACACGGCATGGTTTATTCATTCAAACTTATCAAGTTATTCACTCAAGTGGGAGTTGAATAGAATTATGAAAAGAAAGAATTTATCCGGGGTTACTTTGTCTGAGCTAGAGTATACAAATAGGTTGTTTTGGAGTATATTTGTGGCTGGCTCTTTAATATGCTCAACTTTGGGTCAACAGCCAAAGTTTTCCTTGAACGATATTGACGTCCCACTACCAATTGCAATCACCAAAGATGAAGAAGCTAGAATAGTTACCCAGGTCATCATTATCAATATGTGTAAAATCCAGTCGCAAATAATCTCCGAATTATATGTTTCCAACGCTAAGTCACAGATTAACAATGACTCAGAGAGGTTTGCAATTTTGTCAGCCTTACGGCAAGATGCAGACACATGGTATAATGACTGTAGAGTTTCACTATCAAGAATACCTCAACTTCTGCATGAGAATAAGCTAAAAATTGAGCCTGATGTTAGGAGCAATATAGACGAATCATTTGGTATGAATCTTCAAGCTTTTGCTGCATGGGTATCACAAGAATACTATTATACACTCACTCAGTTATTTAAGTCCTCAAACTTGTTTCCGAAGCCAGAAATCCCAAACTTTACAGTCATATCCAACGCTACATACCAGAATACTGCCTTACTACAGGATTTGATTTTGTCTAAAAAAATACCCAACTCTTCATTTGTACTATATCGTTTTGCGAATACATCTCTTTCCGTGTTGGTTTCCTTCTACAAAGAGATGTTTTCAGTGGCTGATTGCAGAGAGCTGCTCCAAAATATGTTAAATATTTGGAGATGTGGTAACGATAGTTTATCCAGAAGCTGCTACATATGTATCTCAGAAGTTCGGTCGCTGTTGATTCCTACTTTCACCGATACTGGCAAAGAGAATGACGTACTGAAACTTGGGGAAAGCTCGGCGAAGTCACTTCTAGAGTCAATTCACCACTTTACAGAAATTATGGATCAACACGGGTTCTCGATTTCCATTGATAACGAATACATAACCTCCTGCGAATCAAATGATTGAAGTTTTCCCCCTAATCTTATTCATTTTATCTAGCTTGCTCTCTTCACTTCTCTCAGTTTTCTTCAGTTCTTAAGTATCTTTGATATCTTTGATATCTTTTATATTTTTTATATCTTTTGTAAGTATGCAAAGTACTAAAATCCAACTTTTAGGCACCGAGTGAGACTCAAGAAAAGACGATGTCACGTGCAAGCAGACTAATCAGATGGAAACTCATCGTGTTTTTGCATTATTTAAGAAGTCAACCATAAATGTCTTTTATGCGGAGCCGAAGCTACGGAGTCAGAAAATAGCATAGAGAAAGACACAGGCTATTGTGATGGTTGAAAATGAGATGAAAGGCAAAGTTTACAATTTGGACGTCAAAAAACATATTTCATGTCACAAAAGATTTTTATCCCTTTTACCGAGCAAATTTGAGTCTGAAGACAGCAATAAACTAGCAATGGCTTATTTTTCTTTGGCATCACTTGAGCTGATGGGTACCTTGCACGATAGTTTCAATGATTTTGAACTGCAGGAGTTTGTTGATTACATATACTCTCACCTCATTGAAAGCGAGCAAGTTTCAGGTTTCAGAGGATCATTAACCTACCTAAAAAGGGTGGAATCGATTGACTTGGCTTCGACATGTTTTGCTCTACAATGTTTGCTCATATTGGGAGATAGTTTGGGTAGGATAGACAAGAAGAAAGTGCTGTTTTTTGTGCAGTCATGTCAAAAAAATAATGGTGGATTTACGAACACTTTAGACTCCTTGAATGCAAAAGATCTCAGATACTGTATGATTGCAGCAACAGTGTGCAAAATTTTATGTAAAGATTTCCCGAATTATTCGCAAGCCATAGATACAGAGAGTCTTAAGAGTTTCATATATGGGTTGCAGACATATGATGGTGGGTTTTCAATGTGTAAAGGTGACGAATCACATGGTGGCATGGTGTTTTGTGCAATTGATACTCTATCTTTAATCGATGAAAATTTGAGGAGATCTATTCATCTTGATAAGGCCAGTATGTTACTTGAATTTTTGGTGCATCGTCAGGTACATTTTGGGAAATACAATGAACAGGAATATTTGCAAAATGAGAATGCCGATATGAGAGATAACGGGGGCTTTAATGGAAGGCTCAACAAGTACGCAGATACGTGTTACGTTTTTTGGACTCTTGCCTCACTTGAGCTATTGGGTTTCACTCATCTTATTGACGAAAAGGCTGCTATAAACTTCTTAGTTCAAAATACGCAAAACATTTACATGGGTGGCTTTAACAAAACCACTGACGAGGACGAATTTCCTGATCCCTTTCATTCTTTTCTAGGGCTCTCGGCTCTTAGTATCCTCAAATATCCAGGTATCCAATCTTTAAACTGCCAACTGGTAATTCCACAAAGCTCTTATGTCCATTGGAAAAGCACCTAGATAGAGGTTTTGTTTTTTTCTACTTTCTTTAGCATTACTTACAAGATACAAATTTAACATATTGTATGACGGGTTCGAATAAGGGACGGACCTAGGGGTCACAGCTTAACTAGTTCTTCATATATACACCAAGCAATCGCAGCACTACCTGCCTTTCTGATCAATCTTAGTGAAAGACCGTTGAAGAACAAGAGCCAGCTTTCGTTATATAGCATTCCGCTAGTTTGAGTGAAAGTTTTATATTTTCCAGGAGACAATTGCATTCTCGTTTTAATAGTATCAAAAGGTGCCGTTACGCATGTTGCAAAAATAGATGCCAGGATGGCACTCGAAGAGTTGATAATACCAGAAGAAAGGTGGCTCAATTCCTTGTTGCTTTCAAGCTTGATTCTCATTAGTATCGGTAAAACAGATTTCAATTGTTCATATGAGGATATGTATAGACCTGCGTATGGTGCATCTCTCAAACACGTGGCACCAAAACCTCTGAAAAAACCCCTTACTCCATCGTTTTTCAATATTTCCACAATCGCTTCTTTCATCGATACGTAGTTGTATAAGTTAGACTCAAATCTAACTTTCACAACTGTTATTGGCATAGTAATAAAACCAACTAAGGCCCTCGAAACCATTCCGATTGAAATGTTTTCATATGCTGAGAGTTTGGGGAGTTTTGAGGAGGCATTGAAAATTGGGGCTTGGATTTTTTTAAGCCTAGATACGTTCAGTCGTCCTAGATGCAAAGTCGAAAGGTACATAGCACTGCCTACGGACGTTCTTAACGCACTAGGTAAGGTTCCCCTCCATAATTGTCTCACAGATGTCATGCTTTGAAGTACGGATGTTATCGAGCTATTCCTACTTTGCTGTACTCGTGTTTTGATCAAATCTAATGGCTGTAGACAGACAGCTGAAGTCAGACCACCGGCAAACCCAGCCACAAGATGTCGTGTAGTTTTCTGTTCATTCTTGGACATGATGATTATGAGATGGAGGAGATGTTGCAAAAAATATAGGTGTATTAAGATACTGTGCTAGTTTACTTGCAGCATTTCTTAATTATGGCTTCTTTCTTTAGGAATCTTTTGCGAGTCTAAAGAAACTGAGATTAACTCCAAGAAAGAATGCTGTAAACGAGACCTATCCAAAAGATTCATAGCCAGACTTTGTTTAGTCCTTAAGAAACATTTTGTCGCTGCTTACTTCACCCGATTTCTGAAGAACATTGCAGAAGGAAAGGAAAGTTCCACATCTCGTTACTTAAACATAGCTGTAATTAGTTTGGCCTCTGATGTTTTACTGCATCTACCTATAGCCAGCAACTATCATAATTAATCTTAATATGGTACGGACTGTCAGCGAACTCAGTCCCACGTTCTTTATAAGATACGTTATAGAACTATAGAAAAAGCTATATTATTGAGCGGTTACCACCTATTGAAAATGAAAATCTGAATGTCCGTCTAATAGTTTCATGTGTAGTATTACTGTTTCACAATAGACGACCACGATAAATTAAGCCTCTCTCGGCTAAAAGTCACCACCCCCAAAATCACCACCCCCAAAGTCCCCACCCCCAAAGTCCCCACCACCGTAATCTCCGCCGTAGTCACCATAACCTTGCCCATAGTCGTCGTGACCAATTGCATCACCAATCAACAGACCACCCACAGTACCCAGTGCCATGCCTCCTAACATACCACCCATACCACCCATACCACCGCCCAATCCGCCAAAACGCGATCTTGCTGGCTGCTGTTGAACAGGCTGATAGTAAGGCTGCTGAACGTATTGTTGTTGAGGAGCAAAAGGTTGTTGAGGAGCAAAAGGTTGTTGAGGAGCAAACGATTGTTGCGGAACGTATTGCTGTTGAGAGGCGTACTGCCGGTCAGCACCTGGCGTTTGACTGTTTTGCTGTTGTGGAGCTTGAGTTGCTTGGTTGTAAGATGGAGGACTGCTCTCGTTACCTCCAAAGACAGTTCCCTTTGGAGCTTCCCATTGTGATTTTCCTGTTGATTCGTTTACGTAGAACCACTCTAGAGTTCGGTTGGTTTAACTCCATGTTAGTGTGTTGCCACTAAATAGAACATAAAAGACTACGATTAGTGAATAAACTTACCATTGTATTTCTCGTCCCAAACAGCCACCCAGCCCTTTGGAACCTCTGGTTTAGAGTTTTTGACGCCCATTGATGTGTTTTCGTTTCTGCAAAAACTTGATGTCCATCCCAAAAGAATGGTGTCCAACTTACTAGAAGCAGATCGCCACCTCCTTTCGTTCAAGCCTTCTTTTTTTTTAGCCAGCCCAATCGCTGCTGCCGGAAAGTAAAAAGCAAGCCGTCCCCGGATTAGATGACGTAAGTGCATGAGCTAACAGATAAGGAAAAAATGCCGATGTACTTGAATCTTCTGATCATCCTCTGGAAAGGTTGCGAAACATAATATAGTTGACAAATTAGAGTTAATGTTACAAAAAAATGTAATTTATATGAATGTCACAGAAATGTGTTGGTATCAAAATGTCCTTAACCGAGAAACAGATCGGAATGGACTATATAAATATGACGAAAAGAATCGTAAGTAACGAAAACGGGAGAAGAGAAAAACGAGAGAAAGGTAAGTTGAACGAAAGAAGTTTTCTCGTCAACTAGAATAGCAGAATAGTTGACAGAATGGCAACGAAACTCAACCATCCGTTACCGACGGAAAGCTTTGGAGAGGCGTTGAAGTAGCTGACAGTTGCACTGCTAGTTTGGCCGGTGCCGGACAAAGTTCCTGTGGAGCCATTGAACGTGGCAGAACCGGAGGTACCCGGGTTTCTGGTGGAAGTGTTCATCGTAGTGGCATTTGCACTCCTGGTGGTTGAAGCCTCAACTGTTCCTACGCTAGTAGGTGCTGTTACCAAAGTAGTGCCAGATTTTTTGGCGGTTTCTTGAGTTGTGGAGCTAGATTCCGTTCTCAACGAGCTCGAAGTGCTAGACTCTGAAGAAGGTACTGACACCTCAGAAGTACCTGTGATTGATACTTGGGTGGATGGTAAGGACGAAGAAGCTGGAGTTGCTGGAGCAGTAGTCCAAGGAACCACTGTAGTAACAGTGCTAGATGAACAAGGAACAACAGTGGTCTCGGTCAAGACAGTGGTCACTGTTACGGAACCAGAAGTGAGCGTCTCAGTAAAAACTGTAGTCATGGTAGTAGAACCAGTGGTAATAGTCTCGACAGTGGTGACAGTCTCAGAGCCAGTGCTTATGGTCTCAGACCCGCTGGTGATGGCTGACGGAATGGTAGATGTGAACTGAGATGGTTTGATTGTTGGCGGAGCAGATGATCCAGAAGGCGTAACCGTGGTCAATGATGTAGAGCCAGATGAAGTGGTCTCAGAAGTCAATGAACCTGAAGGCGAAACCGTGGTCAATGATGTAGAGCCAGATGAAGTGGTCTCAGAAGTCAATGAACCTGAAGGCGTAACCGTGGTCAATGATGTAGAACCAGATGAAGTGGTCTCAGAAGTCAATGAACCAGAAGGCGTAACCGTGGTCAATGATGTAAAGCCAGATGAAGTGGTCTCAGAAGTTGCCGGAGTGGTATGTGATGAAGTTGTAGTGGAAGCAGATGGCTTGATAGTTGGTGGGGCAGAGGAACCGGATGGAACAGTTGACGACTCAGTGGTAGATGAATCAGATGGAACAGTCGACGACTCAGTGGTAGATGAACCAGATGGAGTGGTAGATGGGGTCGTCGATGATGAACCAGATGGAACAGTCGACGACTCAGTGGTAGATGAACCAGATGGAGTGGTAGATGGGGTCGTCGATGATGAACCAGATGGAACAGTCGACGACTCAGTGGTAGATGAACCAGATGGAGTGGTAGATG